CACACACAATATTATCTGTCAGTCTCTCGTTTGCCATCCAAAAGTTTCGTCTCATCTCTCTTGCGCGAGTAGACAAAACTCCGAAATGTGTGTTTTTCTCCTACAGAAAAAAGCAAATGAAATTCTCTCACAGATAATATATATCAAAAAGTTAAGTGTGGAAATGAAAACACACATCTTATTGTCCCGTATGCCATTTTTTTACTATTCTATAGCCGTAGAGGTGACCACCGATTTTTTTTTGTCGAACTTTTTTTTCTATTTTGTTCGTTTTTTCGATTTGACGTGCATTCGGGTGTGGAACACATTCTTCTCTCACCATTTTGTATGTGAAATATTCTAATAACAGACTTTGAATTCTTCGAAATGAATAGAAAATAGAAAGAGAAATTCTGTTGAAAAGTCATTTTAAAATGGGAAAAACCAACGCATTAAATCACAAACTTTGTTGTTTTACGATTCAATAGGCATAAACTCAAAATGAATGGAAAATTATGCAAAATGAATCTTAAATAGAATCAAACTGCACACAGTTTGGAATGTCGGTGAACACCTTTATTCAAGATAATTGGATTCAATACGAAAATTTATGTAATGGCTTTGATTCAGAATTCGCGCATTTGCACTATATTCGTCTGGGAAAATCTCGTCTGCAAAATCCTCCATATCTACGACACAGACCCACAATTTATATTCACAGAACGACGTTGTTCACACTTTTTGTGAAAATAAGAAGAGCAAAAAAATAAAATAAGTTAAAATACTGATGTGACCAACTGTGGTCGATTTTCACAGTTAATATTCTCAACGAATGTTGTTCTTTACGTCGAGAACTTTCGAATTTTTTTATCAATTTTTATGATGTGACCATTTTTTACCGAAATAATATTTGTTTCGTTTTCTATTTATCACTTGCAACACCACCGAAAGGTATCCGTTCTTTTTCAATTTCTTTTCTTATATTTTCTTTTTTGTCTCCCGTTTTTCTCTGATACGGTTGTTCTGCTGACAATTTTCACTAATACTGCCTTGAGTTTACCATACGAAAAAAGAGAAAAAATTTTTGTTTTGCGCCCGTCGATCTCTCTCTCCTCGTATGAAAAACTCGAACGAATCGAATGAGAAGAAAACGAAAAAAACAACCTTTTTCCTCATCTAATTCACAAGAGCAGCACAAATGTGTGTTGGAGAGCTTTCGGATGCGATTGTATTGAGTGTGTAGATTATTTGCGTTTTTTTTTTTTGAAGTTCACACAGCAAACGGAAACACACGCCAGTCGAACTGCTCACTCTCATTGGGCTTGCAGGCGTGCGATTTTTTATCCGTGTGATGCATGTCAGTTTCCATGTGTGGGTGAGAGTGAGTGAAATTTTGAGCATTTGCATGTGTGTATACATACACAAACGTGAAAATGAGTTTTAAAACACGCTCTATGGTTTGTTCATGACGTTTGGCGTTCAGTTGTAGTGTAACAGACAGAGACATGTATAAGAGGTATTGAAAGTCACGCTAAAGCATTTTCCGAACGGTGTATAGCGTTAGTGTGTTGGCGCATGTGTATGTGTGTTGGTATTGAAAATTATGTTTGGCCAAAATCATGTATTCGACAACGACCGACGAAAAACGGAGAAATAAACATTGTTGTGTATTTGAAATGCTGGTACGTGAAAAATGTGCGCACAATCATTGCTCATAGTTTTCGACTGTATTCAAATACACTTCAAGCGATACGAAAACACATGTAGGAGAGAGTAAGAGAGTGTGTTGTTTGCTTTTGACTCAGATTTTGAATTGTATATTTTCCGAATGACTCTCTTTTTTTCACTCTCGGTCTTTGTAAGATTTCTCTCACGCGACTTGAAATGTCCAATGCTTCTCAAACTGTGGCCACATGTTCGGCGGAATGAAAACAAAGGACTGTGCGTTGCAGTACGTTAGCATGCGTTATGCAAAAAAAGCTTGAAAATTGAAATGAATGCTCAACATCATTCTTGTTGATAATTTTAAATCCGGAAAAATGAGAATTAATTTTGTTATTACGAAAGGTTGGCTGGTATGATTATAATCCATTCGTTTCTTTCACGAGATGAACTTAACTGTGACTTTAATAATGGGACATTTTTATCTACGGTCATTTGTCGTTAAACAAATTTGTCGTTTCGGTCATTTTGTCACACACACACACCCACACACACAACAAAAAATTTTATTGCCCCAATCACCTGCCTCGACGTAATGCTATTAGATTTTTCATGTTGGCTTGAAATTAAATGGCTTCAAATTTTAAAGTTTAAACTGTAGTTTGAGTTGAGGTACGTCGTTTCAATGGTATACGTAATGGAATCAATTCGGAACATTTGGTGTGCAGGCCGGACACGTTTAGCCGTTTTTCATTTGACGAAGTAGTTTCGTAAAAGTTTTTTCTCCAAAAATGGAACAATTCAATTGAAAGTTTTTTTTTTCTACTTTGAAAACTTTTCTCTTCGTCGCTTCTCACACTCGTTTATCTCAAAATCGGCTTGGTACTTACGTTATCGAATGACAGCAACCAATGAAATAAAAAGAGACAATGAATTTGAAATCTGTTTATCGATCAGACCGAGTCATGTGTGTCTGATGTGAATTGGAGTGAGCAACGAACTGATTCAATCGACATTGCTCAGTAATTATTAACATAAATGGTAATTTGAGAACTGCCTAAACGGCGCATAATCAACGTCTCATGGCTTCAAACTGCGACTATACGATTTACAACAGATTTTATTGAATTTGGATTTGGATTTGGTTGCTAATTTCATTCAACGCCTATTTACAAATTATCTATTATAAACACAGACAGACAATGAATGTAACAGATACCGAAATATTTTATCTTACATCACTTTGCGTAAGGGGTAATGTGTGCCTTCAATTTCCGGCGAAGGGTTCATATCAATTTCTCTATTGCATACCATTACGAATCAATAAGGCGATAACAAATGGGGTGAATATTTTCCATCTGAAAATACGTAGTAAGTCAATCTATGATTGGGTTCATTTAATATGGGTGCTTGTCAGTTTTCGTCAAATATATTTTTCGGTTAGCTTATTGAATATTTTATGAATCTCTCTTTTTTATTTATTTTTCTCACGCTGAATATTTTATGATTTTCAATTTCACAATATAAATTACATCGAAGATAGAATTTCAACAATAGAGAAAAAGGAACATTCGACACATCATTATTATCAACGAACAACAAAAAAATATGTGTCAATAACATCTACACAAATCGTATACGGACTTAAATAGTCAAAATCATGCCTATTGTCAATGACAACATTCACACAATCTCTCGATCTATCATCGTGTATTTGACTACATTCAAAAAATCGTGCCTACTTCAAATTCAACAAAGGACAGTGCTTTTTCATATCATATTATGTTTTTTATTTTTCGCTAGATTTTCTGAGAGGGAGGAGGAGTTCGGTTAATAGGCTGTAAGTGATAAGATGATGACGGTTAATACGCTTCGTATGATTTTTTCCCCATCAGCGGGCTAATGAAAGATAATAGAATTTATATATCTAATTTTTTTTTTGTTGGGTGAGATGAAAATGAAATGTGAATTCACCTACAACTCAAGTGACAACCAAAAACAATATTATTGTTGGCATTCGAAAACAAAAAAGTTCTCTAAATATTATTCGGCGAATCAAAAAATTCAACCACACATTGTGACAATAGACTAGATATACCGATAGCTGTAAAAATTGTCAAATGCGGTACTATCCTATCGAACTAAGTAAACAATTTGTATTTTTTCAGCACTCGAAGTGACAGAGAACATCATTCTGAAAAATCACAGACACAACCCACATCGGAAATGATATGCATAAATAATCAAAAAAAAAAAAAAAGTTGTATGGATTGAAAACAATGTACGGAAAATAATCAACCTCAAATCAAAATATGTGTAACGTAATATCCATTTCATTTTGTTGTCAAGTATACATTGAAGTATGTACACATCGAACGTCATTCGGACCGTAAAAATTTATTTGAGCAAGAAAACACACAAACATCAAATTCTTCGTACGTTTTTTTTTCTTCGTGTGATTTTCCGTTTTTTCGTGATTCAATTTAAAGGCAATGGAATAAAAAAATCCAGAGAGAAAATTTTTGCTTTAAAACCCGCAATAGTTGTGCGACAAATATGCCACGGTCGTATTTTCCATTTAAAAAGCAATCCATTCACTGTGGTAACAGCAATAACAAAATTCAAAATTTATGCAAAAGGAATCGACCGTAACGCAAAATAAACAGCGTGTATCTATTACACCCATCGATTGCAGGAAAAATTGGCCAAGATGATATGACAGCTGAGCCGTATTCGAGCTGGCAATATTAGAATAATAAATAGAAAATATTATGATATCTCAAGAGAGAAGAGACATGCCATTAAACGATGAAAAATGAAATGAAATTTAAAAAAAATTGGTATTTATCCTGTGTGTATACGTGTATGACATGCCCAGCAGCACGGCTCAGCCCGGATCAAATGCCATTCACATTTGATGTCGTATCGAGTGGCAAAACGAGCGCGTATCCGATATCAAAATATCATCATCATCAACATCTGATTTTATGGCTACGTAATAATTTGGGAAATTTAAAAATAAAAATCACAATCAAATTGGACAAAATACAAATTGTGTATAAAATATATCACATTTTCATTTTGTCGGTGCGTCTGTTTTGCTAATTTTTTTATTATCTGTTCTTTTTTATCGTTCATTCGTTTCGGCTTTTGCCCTGATTTCATATGATTCTGTCTAACTGTCATATATCGCATTTATCTTAACTTTTAAAACAAAAATTGTTCTTTGATTTTCGTTTTTTTTTTCTTGTTAAGCGATTAGATATAGGAAAAAGAAAAATGTTTTATTGTGGTGGTGGGGGAAAAATAATGTAAGTGAAATATGATTGAAGTGAGAGTGTTTATGAGATATTTCTTACGGTTCGCTAAATCCATCGGGTGTTTTATCGCTTTGCTTATGTGCATCTTCCTTAGCCTTAGCGTGTTCGCGGTCCAATGCAGCTTGTTTCAAACGATATTTACGATTTTCCTCACCCAAGCCATAGAGTCCAGCTACAGCAGCCATGCCTCTTACACAAACTCGTTCTCTCTATTCTCCGGGTAAAGCTATTGTTTTCAAGTGTATTACTGCAAATGGAATATTCTTATCCAATTTCAATTTGTTGTCGATGAGTTGCTGTTGTTTTGCTGCTTAGGATTTTGGATTTGTTCTTTTTTATTTCTGTTTCTTTTTGTTTCGTTATTGTTGTTGGTGTCGATTGTGTCTATTGTATAAATGTTATCGGTCCCAGTCGATTAAAGCCATCTTAAGTGAGTGTGTCGATTTGTTTACATAATTCAACCATGGATATTATTTGTGGTCGGCGATGTCTTCGACTGGATGCATTCGTACTTCGGATTAGTATTGTGTTTTTTTGTCTACTGATTTTTTTATTACTTTTTACGATTACTTTTAAATGGCTTTTGGTTTTTATCTACAATGGCTGTACTTTTTTTTGTTTTAAATATATAGCTAAGCTATTGGTAAATTGAAGCGTTAACGCTAATTGGTCGTTTTGTCATACACACACTCACTCACTTGGAGTTTTTCAATGCGAATGGTGTTCCTCCTTCAATTGATTGCATTTATCCGTCGTTCTCTTACACGCCCCGATCTCGTGTCCAGCATTCATGTCAATTTCCAACAGTGGAGTGCAGTCAGTTTTTGTGTCATTATCCTATCGTCTATCAAAATTCTGGCCAGCATCCCATTATTTATGCTGTTGCTACACAATTCATTCATGTTGTTTGGTTTGGCTTCTATTCGCTTTTAACTCTTTTTTTCTTCTCTATATCGCGATAAATTTCACTCTGTGCCGAGTGTATTTTCGTCGTTATTTCACACTGTGTGTATGCGGCGCTTTCGTCCTTCCCCGCCGTTATTTATTAGTTGACTTTTCAAACTGTTTGTTTTTTCCTATCGACAGCTCATGGGGCTCGCCAATGTGCGTTGAACATTAAATATTGTCATTTCCATATTTCTTTACATTCATCAATCACCACCATTATATCATTTGGTTTTTTTTCTTCTTTGATTTTTGATTCGTTTGTTCTTTTTTTTTGCTTTGTGATCTTTTTCTTCTTCTTAAAGCGTCGTTTTATTGAAAGTGTTTATTTGTCTATTTTTACACATTTTATTTAATGTGTTGTCGTCATGACGCAATGTCTTTTTCATCGTAGTACATTATATCGGCAGTGTGTGTATCGGGTGTATGAAGTTGATGAAAATTCGTCTCGTTCAACTGAATTCACCGAATAAAACGTTGAATTTTTTTTAAATCGAGAATTATTATTCGTCGTATGCCACAAGAATATTCGACTCAATGCGACGGACATTTAAAATTGCGTGTGATTTGCTTTTTATGTTGAAGGGTATAATACATAATACATGTGTGTACATAGTGTACACATGGCTGGCTATACACTTTTTGGATTTTGTTCTTCATAAAAGCATAGATAAAATGGCAACAAAATACAATACGAAAGCTATAAAAAAAAGTTAGAGAAAGATAAATTGTATGTATAAAAAAATATATATATGCAACAAGTTAAAAAAAATCGATGTATTTTTCTCTTCCCACAAAAAACAATTGAAATTGTATAATAATATATGTCTTTGTACAAATATAAAAAAATGGTTTTTTGGTTGAATTCGCACCATGGACAAAAATATGCATAGAGAGATAGAGAGAGTGATAAAATATATATGTGTATTTATATATGCGTGGTTTAATGGTTTTGGCTATCGAAAATTGAAAATGAACTCAGCATATTCCAGTTGACATCGAAATCATCATTGCTCTAATTGCATCTCGATAAATAATTCAGTTTTTTTTTTTAAAACATAAAATTCGATAAAATTGTTTGGATAAAAAGTGTTCCAATTTAACGAGCCTTTCGTGCACGGCTGAGTTCATTTTTGTTTCAAGAGCTAGACAAAATGTGCTCGGTGAACGGATTTCACATTTATGAGATGAACAAAACAAAACTGAACACAATATTCGACATTTATTTGAAGAAGAGAATCGGACACAAAAACAAAATTCATTCATATATACCCACGACGATAATGGATACAAAGAAAAAAGCTCAATCAGCAAAATTGCAATAAAAAAAAACTATTTTATTCTTCTTCCTCTCCATTGTTTTTCTCTCTTGTTCTGCAGAGAATGGAAATGTTTGATGAGTTTTCCCATACGTTGAAATGCAAATAAACGAAGCGGCTATTTGCATGGACATAAAATGCATACATTGGAAATTCAACAATGCCGAGGAAATTCAATGTGTGTTGCAAAATTTTTTTTTTTGCTCTGACTTTAGGTGAAAGCGATTAAACACAAAATTGGTTAACAAAAAATGCAAACTTTTATTACAAAAGCTCGAACTTTTATATATATGTCTATAACGTTCAATGTGTTGAATTGCCATGAACGAAGTCAACCAGAACAATTTAATTCATTTAGTATTAAATTTTACAGCAGTCCCTCCTCGGCGCACAAACACACACAACACTGTGGAATTGGTTTTTTCTTTCGTTTGCCCTAAGCAGACACAAAAAAGAGCAGCAGCAGTGACCAAAGTCAGCCGAAGATGATGTGGATGGCAAGCATTTTATGTTTCATATTGTCAACAGAGAAAAGCTTTTGTTTCAAACATTTTATAGAGTTTGAATATTGTTAAGCACCGTATTTATTTTTTTGTGCCATGAAAAATTAATGAAATAAATGACAGAGTAAATTTTGTGACAATGAAAAAGATCGTAGAGTCAAAAATCGATTCGATGCGAGAGACAGAGAGAGAGGGAGAAAAAGGTAGATGGAACAATTAAGTTAGAAATAACGTAATTAAATTAATGCAGTTTATATGAACATCGAAATATAAACGACAGATTTTTCGGGCTGGTAGCTGCGTCTATCGTACATACGGCCTCTCTGTCATATATACACATTCGCCTACCTCTCATCTACCGCACGAACAGTGCTTATATATTATTGACGAAAGCATGTGTGAGTGCATCTCTCTCAGGTTGAATTTGGTGCAAAAAAAACACCGTCAGATATATTTTATATACGTACATGTATATATTTCTATATGAAAAACGCTTTTAATTTTAATTTCAATTTGCACTTTCCATATCAATTAAGCGTGTGCATTTCGTTGGCACACGTTCCACATATTCGTTTTCGGTTTTTTGGTGTGTTGACCGATGATATGTGCGTGTGTAAAAATCCAAATATCGTGAAAATGAAATTGTGCGCATTTCGCATTCAATTGAACACGAATTATATAGTCATTCATGTGTGCGTCTGTATTAGTTGCTCGGCAATATGCGTTTTTCAATCTATTTTTTTTTTCAATGATTCGAAAATTTCTTCATTCATATAATCATAAAAATATTACGTATTTTTTGTGTGTATTTCGCTCTGTGCAATGAAATGCGATTTAATGCACTTCGTTACGGCATCGCAACTAGTGATTGATTACATTCAATATTTTTCATCGTTTATTCGTTCATTCATTTTTCCCCTTCAATAAAGCATTAATATTTTTTATGTGTTCGATTTTACTTCGATGCACAAGTGTGCGCATAATTCGAACGTCACAAGAAAAAAAATTGACTGGCACAATTCCCTGTGGTCGTTTTCATTTTTTTTTTTTTGTTTACTTGGAAAAATGAAAAAAAAGTCGTATCTTTCGTGATCGTCCATGCATTTATGTAATCGTTTTATTTTCTTCTTATTCTTTGGCGCTCTCAGTTTCAGTTTTTTTCTCTGTTCCGTTGATTGTGTGGCGGTGTAATAACTTGTAACTTTTACAAGGATTTTGGCTGACAATACAAAATGTTCTTTATGGAATAAATTTGGCAAGGGAATAATCTCCTGCCGAAAATGTCAATATACATATATGTATTGCTTTGTGTACATGGTTGAATATAATAATACAATTTTTATATGTGCGTTTGAGCGAACATTTCATGACAACGTGAGCGTGAGTATGTGTTTGGTGAGAATAGCTTCGAGACAATTGTTTTGTGTGTCGGATGGATTATAACCGTAATTAATTTCATGATATATCTCGCTAACAAAATAGTGCACATTGTCGAGTTCATATTCTGCTCGGCTAATGTTTTAAGTGAATGGCATAGAGAGCGAGAGAGAGGGTTGTTTCATTAATCGCGTTGTCGTTGTTGTTTTTCGAACATCAAATCGCATGTGACACATCAAACGTCCATAATTTATCATACGAGAGAATATGTACACTGTATGGACATCGGGTGATGAGGAAAAGTCTGTCGTGCTGTTTGGCCTTTTGTTGCGGTCAGCCTTCCCAACCCAGCCTTTACGTATTTATCGTGTGTACGTAACACAATGAAGAAAATGAACGCACCAGCACGAACAAAACTCCTTCCAACCGATGAGAGATTGTTATTAATGGTTAGATTGAGTGCGAGTACTTAATGGTTATTGATTATAAATGTGTGCACATATTAAAACCATAATAGCATTGCATTGTGGAGTAAACAGAGAGATGAAAAACGACAGCAATAATGAGTGATCTGATTTGGACAGGAAGCCGGAAACAGGCAGTAGGCAACATAAGCAAATACGATTTGACGCCGTAAATGTTTGATGTGCTGTATGTGTGTGTTCGGTTTATAACAATTGATGGGAATATGATTTGTAAAACATCAAACATTCCAGAGAATTATTTCTCTAATAGCTTTATTTCGGTGTGAATTGAATGAAGAAAAAAAAACGAGACTATGAATATGTATTTAGCGTGTCTTTACGTGTCGTGTTTTTTAAACTTCTTTTTTTTTTCATGCTGAAGAAAGAAAAAATCAAAGGTATACATTCAAATCGTTCACTTATTCACTCGTTCATGCACACATGCCAATGGAATAGCACACCGTGCCAACATCATTCAGAGAAATTTATTCAAAACGCTCCTTCGAACATGCTCTTTGCACCCATTGTTAATATTCAAATCAAAGTATCAAAGCGGTTTATGTGTGTATGTATCTTTCGTTCTTACTTCGATTTCGTTTTTTGTTGAAGAAAAATCAACTAAAAAGCAGCGACCCCGAGAATCTTTCTCTCTCTAGCCGGAGACTTTATTTTCTATTATGTGTGTATGTGTATTTCTGGGTGAAATGCGGTGTGCTTGATTCGCATGCGAATCGCAATGCACGCATACCCAAATAATATGCCACACCGAATATGGCAGCATAAGCAGAATAATAATGCTATAACGTCGTCATGCATGACGATGTAGCTTGGAATTTTCAAACATATTTTGCGTTCATGATTTTTTTCTTTGGTTGTGGCCATAGAACAGCACATAAAAATTTGCTGTATTTCAGCCTCCATATCGCATATATACCTTTATCAGAAGCTTTTACTGTTTTTACGCCGAATGTGAGAAGCGCATTTGTTGATGGTGTCAGTGCCGCCATGATATCTCATTTTCTTTATCCTTTTCGAGGTGTGTATTTGTGATGGTGGCAAGAGATGTACTTTGACAGCTTTGAAATGTTGACGTTCTTTCAAAGGAATGTGTGCTTTTGCTTATTTGACTGTGAACCTTGGCACTCAACCGTCTTTTGGAAATAGGACGCGCGTTTTAGAGAAAAAAACACAACAATTTTTCTAATTTTTGGAATATTTTTCCAGAACGCATATTCCAGCAGAGTTCACAAAACTTGTTTACCATTCGTTCGATGCTGCCATTTTCAGGCATCATAAAAGTGTTTGCCTACCATTCACAATTCGAACGATTTACAACAATGTAAACAATATTATGGTAAAATATACACAAATACACATTATTCGAAATTCACGGGGTGGCAAATGCTTTTTGGGTGACTGGCGACAAAAGGTTTACTTTATCCAAGAGACGAAAACGATGAAGGCACCGACGGAGGCAACAACAACAACAGCAGCAACAATAATAAGTAAGTACGAATGAAAGGAGAGAGTGAGATTGATATAATAATAAATTGGGCTGAAGAATTTGCGTGTAAATGTTTCGGTGGTATTTTTTTTTTCGTTTGCTTGAGGTTGAAAGCGACTAGTATAAATTGTTGAAAACATGAAATATAATTTGAACAAGTTGAGTAAATTCATACATTTTCGCCTTACAAAATAGTCAACCAGAGCGTATTTATCAACAAACAAACAAACAAAAGGAGCGAACGATAATTTTGGGCCTACGATTCGCGACTGAAAATTATTCATATAAATTTTCGGTTTGTTTACTGGGAGAATGAAGAAAACCGCGCGCGCGAAGCGAAAAAAAACCAATATTGTTTCATTTTCATGTCGCAACAAAGCCAATCAAACAAACAAAGCATAAAAGTTTTGTCTTCGACGCTCGCACTGCGATGAATTTTGATCGTGTGTGCATAGTCTAGAAAAGTAATGCAGAAAAGGCACCAACACGTCGTTTTGATTGGCGCTATAGTACGGTTTTTTTTGTTCGTAGAATTCTCTCTCGCTCATTCTTTCTTTTACTCACTTCCTCGTTTACACATTCTGTTCGTGTGCGCTTTTCAGGTTCTGATTTTTTTTTTCTATCCAGAGTTGGCGTGTCAGTTGGTTTGGCTTTAGTAGTTTTGCCGTGCCGTGCTTTTGCTATTGCTCAAAATATGCTTTGTGTGTGCGAGTTGCCGACGCTGCTGCTATTGCTATTGCTGCCATTGCCGTTATTGCTATTGTGTGTTTCACCGAAAATGTGTTGCAATGCAGATAATCTTTTTCGTTTCGCTTTAGTGTAGACATTCAAACAGATACATGTTTCTCACAATTACACTCTCACGTTCACATTCGCCATGAAAATGTATGCGATATATATCTGGTTGCTCTTTCGCTCCCATTTTCATTTTCACTCAATCACATTCGTATATTCAGTCTCGCTTTCTCCATCATCATATTGTCCATATATATATTTTTTTTCATACACATGTTTGTTGCGTTTGGGCCTTTGCCCGTACTATTCGCATTGTCGTTGGGTTCTTCTTTTCCTCAGTGTGTCTCTCTGTGTGTGTATTCTTCTTTGTTGCCTTTTTTATTTTTTTATTTCACATTTCATTTGATTTGCAATGAATTAAGCCGTAGGGTCCTTTTCGTACGATCGCACAATATACTTAGCGTTAAACTGAAGCTCGCACACGATGATGAAAAGAACATAGCGAAATGAAACAAAAAATCAACAAACAGCTATAACAAAAGAAGAAAGAAGTTCTGAAAGAATAAGCTACTGCAAAACGCGTCACAACCACACCAACAAACATAATTTTTATTCCATTTGAAAATCATTTACATCACTGGACGTTTTGAATATTACAATGGATGTTCAACACACATGCATAAAAGACACTTTATTGTATTTTTTGTAATTTCCATTTTTTTCCATGAAACAAAAAGAAAATAAGCGCAACGTGCAAGAGCCGATGAAGAAGAATTTTTGTTGTTGTTGATTATTTGTTTGTTTTTTTTTCTTGCGGTGAACAATCAAAAGCTATCGAGCCAGAAGGGAAGAAGAAAAATATTGTTGGAGATCGAAATACGAATGGATAGCAGAGGAAAAGTTTATTGGCAAACAAACAAAAGAGGATTCAAAAAAATAGCAATTTGAGAGAATATATATCTTGCATCGGTTTACATAAGCACAACAAGATCGAACGAGCAAATAAAAACAAACGAAAGAGTTTATGTGTATGAAAATGTGTGTGATGGTTTTTGTGTTGGCTCAAATAATGAGAAATTGTGCTCGAACGAAGAACTCATGATGTTATTGTTATTGTGTCGATGTTACTGCTGTTTCGCAGAAATAGTTCAAATAAATAATTCAGTTGATTATATGAAACCTAAATGCTAATCAATTTTCCAATTTTTCGTCGCGTTTTTTTCGACTCATCGACAATTCCACATTTCTGGATAGATTTCGGTTTATTCACTTGCGGTGCACTTTCTTTTCAGTTCCAATCAAAATTATGCTGTAATCGTTCCACTTATTTTTTTTCCTCGCCAAAATGTATGATGGTTATTAAATTTTTGGTGTACTTTTTCGCTTGCTCGTCTCTTTTCCATCATTTCGATTTGCCGAAGTGATTTTTCGGTTCGCTGTTTTTTCCACTTTGTCAAACTGAAAATCTGAGCAAAAGTGCCAAACAGACAGAAAGGAGTGCGAAGGGCATTTCAGACAGAAAATTACAAAAGAAGACAGAAGTGTGAAGAGTAGCGAAAAATTTAAGGTGACAGGCAAGGATTTGCCAGTTCAAACTGAATTTTTTACGTTTAATATAGTAATCCTTCGTGACATAACAATTCATAAAGCATTTTAAGTTGTCATTTTAAATCGATTCAGTTTTCAAGGAATTTGCTTTTCCAGTTCTTGTTTTTTTTCATCGTCGATTGCTGTTTCGCAAAAAAAAATAGTTTTTGCCATTTGTTTTCATGTGCAATGCTGCTATTTTGTTCGACGTCCACACGACGACGGTAAGAAGCATTAGCGAGCGGAAAAAAGTTCCGAACTCGATTCACACAAAGACAGAGAGTTCGATCCAACTAAATATTTATGTCATGAGGTTGCTAGTGTTTTATACTGCGGGCCGACCGTTGTGTGTTGTTGTATTTTTTTTTGTTCTTTTCCAAAGATTCATGCGGATAAAATTTCCGTATTTATGCACACAGGCAGCGAACTCGGTATTCATTTGGAAATCACAAATACAGTCTCTTGCACATACACTCACACGGAACAGGAGTTTGGTTGATTTTGACGCACGATTTTTGAAAAACGGCGAAGAAAAACGGAAGAAAAATGCCGTTAATGTACTTGCACTCATCTGTTTATCTATCAATGTATGTACCGTTTATTCGCATATAGAATGGCGCTAAAGGAAGTAGAAGAGAGAAAAACAGCAGCCCCAAATAATCATGTATGCATGGATTGGCAATTGGACGTAATAACATCATTGCCGCATTAAACAAGTCGTTTTCATTTATTCAACCACTGTGCATGTATACACTTTTTTTTGTTTCTCTTTTATGCTCTCGCTCTCTCACTCACTTTGGTTTCGTTTTTTTTAGTATTTACCCTGTTTGATGAGCGAAAAAATATATATACACACACATCAACGTGAAAATGAATTTCAATCACTTCCCATTACGGACGTTACGAGCTCGACGGTTTCCGATGTGCTTCGATTATTTTCAATCGAATTTGACAACGAACGATCTTGTCGATGTTTTGCAGTCTCGATGAAATAGAACGCAAGTCTTTGAATAAATAATGTCATACAAAGCTATTTTGTGCTGGTAGCGCGCACATGTCAATTACAATCCAAAATGATTATAGAGAAAAAATGACTCGTCGAATTTTTTCCTTTTATTTTTTCAATAAATCGCCAATGCGAGAACGTTTTCCATCGATTTAAAAACAAAAAAAAACGTCTAAATGAAGACGAACTGCTTTCTTGGCTTTTATGATGGACGCTTTTTTTTCTCTCGTTCACATACAAATCAAACATTTTGCAATGGGAGCAAAAAATCGAACGGAATTTAAAATTTCTTTTCAGATAAGAACCGAGTGTTTGTGTGTGTGTTTTTTTATTATTTTGAACACACATCTCGAAATGTTAAATGTTCAATGAGTTGTCAAAAGCTGATGATGACGAACCGAAAAGTATACACTTGAAAAAATTGTGAAAAAGGAGATAAGACAATATAAAAGCATGCTAAATTGAACGAAACAAAGAAAAAAAAATGTGGCTCTAGACCTCTCGAATAAAATCGAGAGAAGGAAAGGGGTAAAAATTGATGCGAGGAACATAAGATTGTGTAAATGGTGCATACTTGAGAGGCGATCAAGCATTACATGGCAATTTCATTAAAAGCTATAAAAACCAAACACGACGACAGAGCGAAAAACAAAAAAATACGGAATTACACAAACAATCACTAGCAACAACAAAAACAACAAACGAGCAAGATGTTGAAGTGAAAAAGGAGAGAAAGAGAACAAAAATTGCATTATTACTGTAGCCCGAGCAGTGAAAGAGCGTTTTATATATTCCAGAACCATAAAAATAACACACAGTTGAAACCAAAGTGCTTTTGCTTCTTCATCTGTTTTGCACTTTTCACATCTCTAGCGGGTCTCTATTCGTTCCTTCTTGTTTTGCTCCTTGCATAATTTTTATTCGGTTTGTTTTGCTTGACGTGGCTTTGCAAAGTTTTGTGCATAGATGTGCACACATAAATTTTAATGGACTATTATAAAATGCAATGAGATAACAACAACAGCAACATTCTAAGCGGATTTGAGCAAAAATTTGGTTTGGCTTTTTTGCTGCATATTAATGTATGGACAGTTTTTTTTTTGGGGAAATTCGAACAAACATTTCCCAACAACGAATAATAAAATATAGAACAAAACAAAAAAAAAATAAATAAAACTAAACAAGCACACACACAAGAAAATGAGCAGTCAATTATATTCAATGGTGGAGGACGAGAAAAATAACATGACAAACACTCAAAAATGCAAGCATTTTGAAAATGTTTATAAATTTTAAACGAAACAGAAAATTCTTCTTTTTTTTAGTATTATTTTATGTTCAATTTTTTTTTTTCGCCTCAAACAGTTTGTGAATTGTTCCGTTTGTTTGTTGTTTTTTCTTCCTTTCTTGTATTTTTTCTCTATATTTTAAAAATAAATTTTTTCGATCATATTTCGATTTTCATACTGTTGTTTGATCATTTCCACATATTTTTAGCATAATTTTTCCATGACTGCATTTTTTTCTCTCATTTTTTCTTTTCTTCTTCTTCTTCTTGATCGTCGTCGTCGTTATTGTTGTCGTCGTCGTCGTTGTTTCTCTTCTGATTCGAAATTATTTCGTATCATCATAATTCAACAAATATAAAAACATATATATTAAGAAAAAACACACATAATACTTTTTACGGTTGCATTGAAACAAAAATTAACTACAATTCACATTTAATTTACTTTAAAATTGTTTTAACGTTTAGTATTTTCCGTTGCTATTTCCGCTATATTTCTCGCTTGATTTTCCTTTTAAACGAACTTAATTGCATTCGTTGGCTGAATGTGTCGAATAACTCTGCGGCCAACTTTTTGTTGAAATAATTTCGAAGATGGTAATCGTTTAATTTTTTTTATGGGCTCAAACTAAAAACATTTTTATTCGTCGCGTAAATCTTCTTCAATAAACTGGTCGCGGGCGCGCGATTTTCAAATTTGTGTTCTTTTTTTCTTACTTTTTCTTGAACGATAAATTTAAAGAGTTTATTTTATTATAATTAGCTTTTGTTGGTTTTTTTGTTGTTGTTTTGTGTTGGTTTCGTGTTTTGCGTTCGTTTATAATAATATAATTATTTTTTGGAGTTGTGATTCTCTCTATTCATAATAATTTTAGCTATCCGTTTTAAATCGTGTGTGGTTGTGTTTTAATTTTTTTTGTTTAGTTTGGTGTGTTGTTCTCTCTAACTGTGTACTTGTGCAGAGAGAACAAAAACTGAAAAACAACAAAATAAAAAACGGACTTCCGACTACTTCGAGCGCATGTTTCGACTGAATTAAAATTTGTTCGAAGCGATGGGAAAATGCCTGTGGAAAATGAATGTGATTGAAGCTTTTGTGAGTGAGTGAGTGAGTGAGTGTTAGAGATATGGGAACGAATGCTGTCGCAATGTGTATGTGGCCCGGTTCCGTAGAACGCGCGCGACAACGAGAGCAAATGGTTCAGCAATAGACACAACGATAACAACAACAATATAAGCTGTAGCAGCAATGCGATTATTCAGGCTGGCCGTGTGCGTGCGAGAGAGAGTTAAATGTGTAAAGCTAGCGAGCAAAATTGTTGGAAAAATCATATTGTAGTGTATTGTTTTGTTGGTGGTTCTGCTGCTACTGGCTCTCGTTTTCTCTCTCTCTGCTCTAGCGTCCGTTTCGAATATATATCGGAATCAAACTCATATATTATAAAATTGTGCGGTACTGCTGGTGCTGTTGCTGTATGTAACAAGGTATACTAGGTATATGCGGTTCATTTAGCCGTAGCTTAGTCGTTCATTCTATATCATGCTGCGTTTTATTTGAATTTATTCGAGCTCTTCTCTAGACCGATCGCATACAGAACGAAAAAAAAAAAAATAAAACTGAGAAATAAAACACAAAATTGAAAACACACAGAAAAAAAGGCGGTCACACATCGACACAAATAAAGGAAAAAAATCAACAACAACACATAGTAGCGCACATTTGTCGGTCGATTTAATAATGCACACCTAAGTTTTATGCTGGTGATGTTGTGTGCATGTAGTTGTAACTGAACACTGAATGGACGGTAATATCATTCAAAAGCATAATTGCATTCTCCTGATGGTACTTCGTTCGCTCAACCATTCATTGTATTCGAATTGCAACCGAATGCATTTAGCACCCCAACGCACTTTTCATAATAAAAGCATACACATGATATGTGTGTATGTACTTAATATAACAGCTTTCTTTCTATTTTTACTTCAAAAATGTTTGACCATTATAAAATAAAAAAACACACTGTTTCCAAATTGAAATGAAAATGTGCTGCGAACTGCAATGAACAAAGCGGTAGGAGCCAATACGGTGTGTTAATGTGTATACATTGGGGGGAGAAAACGACGAAGAAAAGAAAATTCCAATTTTTATGTAGTGACATTATACTGCATATGAGCCGATTGTTTTTTATTCTCTTTTCTTCGTTGTACACGGCATTGCTTCATCAAGGGACGACAAATCAGACACACAGATCCGTCTTTGAACATTGCATTTTCAGCGACGTGATCAAAATCATGCAGCTGAAGAAAGAGCGCGCACACTGACTGCACAGCGTCAAACTGCATCTGTGTGCCGTTGCCCGACTGTAGCACGGTGAAATGTAGTGTGTATGCGCAAAAAAAAATTTCGGCATAGATATTTCTTGCTGCTGGTTTTTGGAGTTGCTCTCGTCTCTGTTTCTCCATTTTTCCATCTCTCTCGCTCGCTCTCTTTTCGGTTGTTCAAAGAAGTGAATTGCGTCAACAGCCAAAACGCCATTGAATAGCAGCAGTCGCAATATAAACCACCATCATTGCACAATGAACACTCCAATACAGAAATACGAAACCATCGATGATACAGATGATGGGCAGTGCACGTGCTATTGAGAGTGCAAATGCCGCAAGGAAATCAGATACGCAAAATTAATTTGATTTTATGAATTGTTGTTTTTGCACCGATGGCCGTCCTCTCTAATGTTATAATAAAACGAGAAATTCATATTGCGAAAATGCGAAAAGCCAAAATTCAGCAAACCAGAAAAATTACGCTGTACAACGAATTCATCTATGAAATAACCCATTCCGATGTGCAATTGAAAGTGGTGGTCATTGGCCAGTGTATCACGAGAGTGTACAATACAGTTCAAATGTATTCCATTAAATGTTGTTCAAAATTTATGTACCCAAGGCATACGTACAGGCTATATTTCGTTGTAAGCACATAAAATTCCATTCCAATAATTCAATGGAAAGTGGGTCCGTTCAAAAGATAGCCAGAATCGAAAAATAGCATTTGAATGGGCCAATAAAAAGAATTTTTTTGGTGAAAAATTGCCATAGACGTCAGAAGTCAAGACAACGAATTAGGCAAAGAAAAGAAAGAATGAAGCAAGTAACTCGAATATATTATATATCCATATTGCATATTCATTCCATTGTGAATTTTTCATTGCAATTGTCGGTCTATCTCTCTTTCTCTTTCTCTGCTATTTTATACATATTTACATTATTAAGTTGAATTGGGCCTGTACCTCATTGCTTTCGGCTCTCTCGGCACGAGTTCGTTACTTACAATGCCATAATGTAGTCTTATTATATTCCTCACGCTTCGTCTACATATATTTACGTTCCGCTTTTACCGAACTCCCTTCATTTTGATTGTTTGTATTTGTTCACTTATACGCTCATTCGCCTGCCTTATATTCTTCAAATTACTCTATGAAACTATGCTCTATCTTGGAAAAATCCGTTCGTTTGTTTGCGTTCATAATTTTTCAATCAAAGGAAGTTCACAAATATCAACCTGAACCCCCGTATCGTGTCATTCAATCTTGTAATCAAATATTGTCGTCGTCGTCTTATTTACATAGCATTCGCTCGCGCTTTATCCTTTGCCACACTGCATGTGGTGCCTATGAAGCACCTGGTATATATAGGCTTATTGCTTTAATAACGATTCTCTGTCTTTTTTAACTGCTGCCGCTGCCGTTTGTGTTGTTTCCGCTGCTGCTGCTGCTGCTACTGTCTGTGTGCGAATGTCTATTTAAACGAAAGCGCTTTTTATTCGTTTAATGCTCTTTGATGGTATTTAACCGTTGGAACGGCGTTACAGTTTTATTTCTTCTTGTTGTCATCATCATCATTCGCGGCTTGCTGCCTCATGAAGTGGAGAGAAAGTCACGGCGGTTTTAGAAGCCTCCTCCTCGTCGTCTCTCGCTTGGTGTATTCCAAAATATCAAATGAACTAAGTGATACTGGATCCCGCACCATCCGCGCTTTAAATTCCTTCACATTTTGCGCAACACAATATTCAAACCAAAGCCAAAGCCAAACCAACAAAGTCAGACAGTCAGCCTGTGTTTACTCAGCCCCACACTCGTGGTTTATTTGAGCTTTTTTTGTTGTTGCTGCTTCGACCTCGTCGTTATCGTCTCCGTTCCGTCACCTTCGCCGTTGTCGTCGTTATCGCTGACAATTCACATTTTATTTAACTGCTTTGCTCTATGTTGTTACTGTGTTTGATGATGGTGTGCGCTTTTTTTCTGGTTAACAGTTGTGTTTTCTGTTTGTTGCCTGCTGTTGCTCACTTTGTGTGTTTTCTTGTTTATGCCGCTGGTGTTGTATACACTTTTGTTAAGTTCCAACATTTATTCATTCCCTTGCGCGCACAAATAATTCTCTGTTTCTGATTACAGTATCGTTACAGTTTCCATATACTTACTTCATTCCACTTTTAAAACCAATGTTGAATTAATGCATAAAACTCAGCAATGTGTAACTAAAAATAAAATATTGATAAATGTGTGCCGCCGAGTGTGTGTTTGTGAGCGTGCATATGTGTGTTGATGTTATGTTGCCCGTAAACTTTGGCAGCATTAAAAACAAAAGAGCTGATGCTGTTACTGTTGCACTTGTACTCGTGTTGGATTATTGCAAGAGCTTAATCAGTTTTTCTATTGACCGTAAAGGAAAAATATACGATGATGACGAGAAAAGGCAATTTTATTTTATTTTTTTCCAAGAATGAAAAATAGACGGCAAACGTGTTCATAAGAGAAAACGAAGGAGATGAATGAGCGTTGCAAAAGCACGTTAACGTTTGATTTACATGTGTATGTATAAAAGCATCGAAATAAATATTTTATCAGAGTGAAGAGATGTTTACGTGCAACTCAAAATACAAACAATAATAAAACTCTCAAACAACAAAACCGAATACTCTTCTTCTTCTTCGTTACGCGTAAGTATTTCCGGAAAATCATAGATAAAGAAGATAGTGTGCATTATGTTGAATAAATGTTGTCGGATATACATATAGATTGACGGAAAAGCACATCTTGTCAGACGATCATCACAAAGGGAGTTTTTGTTTGTAGGTGATTCAGTTTTCTTTTTTCTTGTTAACATTTCATCAATTTTTTTCAATCTCTTTAGAAAGATAAAATCATAAAGAGTTGTTTTCCGATCAAAAGAAAGAAAGAAAAGAAAAAAAAGACTAACAAAGACAAGTATCGAGTGTAGAATTGGCATCATCAAAATCGTCAAAAGAATGTTTTGTTCTTTGCTTTTGCACGTTCGTTTCTGTTTATATTCCGTTCAATCGAGGATTTAACGACGTCATAATACACACACCATATATTTTCCGTCGAACAATTTAAAGCATTGCCACATGTATTTATTCTCTATGCGCCACCCGACTGAACGAACGTGTTAAAATGTAATTCATACGTTGTTTATTAATTTAACGTATTCCATACTCTTTCTCTCTCTATTTCTTTTTCTTTCCCTCCTCGCTTCTCCTCTTTCTCTCGCTCTGCGTTCTGATATAAATACTGCAAAGTTTATTTTCATATTTTCCGTTTCCGTGTTCTTACGAGCAAAACACAAGAGTGAATTAAAACCCGCGTATAAAATAGACTGAACGAGCAAGCTCTCAAGAGTAATAGAGCCAGAGTGAGATAGTGAACGAGAACCTGAGCGAGAGAATGTGTGCTGAAGGGATACATAATTTTTCCATTGCTATTCCATAAATAGGCTATAATTTACTTTTAGTCGAATTGATTCTGTTTAGTATTTAACGAGTTCGTTTGTTTTTTTTTTCGTACTCTCCTGCGTACGTATTTCAGTCATTATTATAATATGTTGAATCAAATTCGTGGCCACGTATTCGGTATTTAATAACCAACAAACCGCGCTGACGAGGTGGTTGAAAGCACGATTTAAAAAAAAATATGTGGAAAATACCACAAAATCCACACAAAAAACGGGTATTATCATCGTCATTACGTTGTTGTATTTACATTTTTCGCCTACACACATACATAAATAACTTTATTGACTGTAAATTGACGTGCCGATTGTGAAAGACAACTCACAAAATAATGTGGCGGAAAAAGTTAAATCGGATTAATCATAATGAATACATTCATTGAGACATTGCATGGGAAAGGATAAAGGATTTGGAGATGAAAGCGTGCGATTTAGATAAGAGAAAAATGATAAATCTTTGCCTGAGTCAGACATATTCCTTGATTTATTTTAGGAAATCATCTCTAATAGAAACCGTCCGGTTCTCCGACATATTCAATTCGACATTTATGCGTAATTTTCATCCTCGGGCTGTTCGACGGTTTTGCACACATTAAAAAGTGATGGGAAAAATAAAGGCGTATCAGAATGTCATGAAAAAACAATAACCGCTGAGAGTTTTACTATTGATGCGGATGTCGGATTACAAAGAGCTTTAAACCATGTTCCAATACGCAATGTACATTGAAATGGTATTTAAATTCGTTTTCTGCTTGCCGTTACCCTCGCAAATAGCATACTCTCAATGATGGATGGATGGACGGCACATACACAATTGTTTGTATTATTGGTCACGTTTTTGGTTTTTATTAACTAAACGAATTATATGTCATAATCGGTTTCCATGTAGACGACAAGAAACATTGTCACATCCGATGAATGTGTTCCATCTCTCGGTTTGCTTTGTCTTCAAACATATGCTACATCGTTTGTGTATTGTTCGTTGTGTGTTTTATTTCCAATGGAATTGGTTGAAAACCATTCTCTCTTTAATGTTAACCATATCATTCTTGAATGAATATTTTCCGCAAAATCGAATTGAATAAAGCCAACCAATTATTTCTAATATTAGCTTCGTTATGTAAACTCGCCAACAGCTATAAAAACTCTTTCGAATGAAGTCATAGTGTATTGCTAACAATTTACATTGTGCCCCGTTATGTTTGCGTGTATGGTATGCAGTGGAAATGTTCGGTATCATCAATGAAAATTACATGCATTACTTTATGGGCTCAAAGATCGCACATAGATATTTTTATGCACATACAGAATATGACTTCAATATATGTATAGAGTGTATAAGGACGCATTCCATCTGCATGTAAGTTAGTTATTCCGCAATGGACATTTTAACGTTATCGTCGAAACTTGCCTTTCTTCATACAGTGTATAATACACTTGAGTTGGGATTTATATTACGACATTTGCTATCGGTTTCGTCTGTTTCAACTATAAAACTCTTCTCTAAGCATAATGTATGTGTACCTTTTGACCGTTTATGGTGGATTATGATCAAGTTTGCGACTCATTTTTATTTAATCTACACGACTCGTTTGGCTCTTTCTATCTCTTATTTCATTTGGTTTGGCAATTTGATGCCCAGCGCATTTACGTCGTTATTTTTTACTCTTTTTTTACTTAGCACACGACCAGAATAACTAAATCATTTCCGTAATAATCAAGGAAATGTTGCACGGTGCGCTTCTTTCTTAATTTTTTTTCAGTTCATAATATATGGGGCTATCTCATTACCAGCAATTACTGTTTAATATCATGCCTTTTGCCTTTTTTCAATTGCTGTTGTTGTTGTTTGTGTAAAACTGTTTCGGAAAAATGTACGGTATTTTGTGCAAAATACCATCGTGAAATAGTTTACATTGCAACAAATCAGTATTCAAAATCCACGTTATAAAATGTGGTGGCAAAGCAAAACAGAACAGAAATAAAATGAAGCAAACTGTACAGAAAAATGAATTGAACTGAATAAAAAAAGAACTCAAACACTCACACACAATCATTAAAGCTTTAAGCGTTTTACAACTAGCAAACAACGATTTATGAATACAGTTAGCTGAGTCTATTGCATATGACAGCTTTTATTCGTTCATTCGTTCGCTCATTCTCTCTCTCTCGTTTGGTGTGCCACTGTTTTTGTTCGTTGCACCAACATTTTTGTGTGTTTGGTGTAAAAATTTTCGCTCACACAACATTATGTGAGAAACGATTAAAAAATGCTACGTTATGTTTCACCTCGAATTGATAAAATGATAAATTGCACCGAAATTCGGGTCATTGGAGTAAGTATATACAACCAAGTAACAAACAATATTTTCTCGTTAAAAATTTTTTCCGTTGTTTTGTTGCTAATAATTTAAATACGCTTGCAACTCGAAGAAATCTGTGCTGTCGGTCAGTTTTGAAGTCATGTATTGGTCGCCTCATAAATTGCTTGTGCAAAAACGGCTCAACAACAACAAAACGGCACAGCCAACCACTTCATTGATTTTTATTTGCTTCAACTTTTCTATTACGACATTCTCGTGGCTTATTTTTTTCTCCTCTTCCCTTACCATCGTGCTTTACAAAACACTTTTGTTTATGGCCGTTTTTTTTGACATGGCATTTTTTTATTGTCCATCTCCTTTCTCAATAAAAATCCAATGTTTCAACCATATTTCATAGATTACATTTACCTATACTTACAGCAAAGCCGTTACCTATTGATTAATATTGTAAAAAAGAGAGCAGCAACAGTTAAGCCAAGGTAGACTAAAGACGATTATTTTCTATTTTCTATTTTCTCTCAAAAATCGTTCATTTGATTTTTCCGATGCTTGAATTTATCAATTTTATCGTGAATCGGATTGTGAACCTCCACACAATTCTCCAATGAATGAACATTCTCATGGGCATTGAAAAATAGACATTGACAAAAGCGGAACAAAAAGAAAACAAAATCCAAAACCACTTTCACCATCTGCGACGTAAATAGAATAGCCTATTTTTAATATTGTTGTGTGCAATGAGTGAAACTGGTGTTTTTGTTGTTGCTGTTGCAGGACATGTTCCGTGGTGTGTGATGCAGCTATTGTTGACAGCAGCATAAAAGGTCACAATGAAACACTAGCCGTATACGCATCGACCGCGAACATGTTATATGCAGTTGCAAAGCACACGGAAATAACACAGTAGTACTCGATTTGTCGCTGAACTTTAGTGTCCACATTATAAATGAAACGAAAAAAATAATACGAAAGCGATATTCTATTTTCAGGGTTAGATACAATTCCTTTGCTTGTCTTTTATTTTCACTTTTTATTGCATTCCAGCAAATTGTAAACATTTGTACTTTATATGCTAATTTTGAACATTGTGGTCATGCACAACTGTTTCTGGCACTTCGTTACGATATACATTAAAAAAATATTGTTTGACATTTTGGTAAATTCTTAAATTGGATAAAACAAATTCGAACATTGTTTATAGACAATCTACTTTTGGACAATTAACACGGATAATCATCAAGTCAGTCTTTTTGCGATCTTTCATTTAATAAATCTCTAAACATTTCTTCGCCGTGATGGTATCAATGCCATTAAATTGCGCCTTGATGCTGAGATTCTTATCATTGGTCAACAAAGTCACAGTTTTCGATTGATTTTTCAATTGTAAACAACAGTTGAGGATTCTATCGTCTGGACTGTTTACTTCGATTAGGTGTTCACTGTCCATCGTCGCTTTTTGACCTGAAATAAAATGAGATTTTTTTTGTAAGCAAAAGTAAGTTCCTTTGAATCTTAAGAACCTCTCCGACCTATCTCGAATCTCTCGAATTGACAAGTCCAATAATAGTAAATAGAAATTGTTAATCTTTGTCTCAAAAAAACTGGTGATCAATTAATAAACCGAAAAAGTGTTAAAATGGTTACTTTAACAATTAAAAAAAAAATATCGCTCCAATGATTCTTTCGAAAACTATTCTTAATTACCTAGCAATCGTGGATTTTTCGACTTTTGTTCCTCATAAATGTAGCCTATTGCACGTATCGCATTGAATGCAGTATTTTCTCTGCGTTTCAATTGATCCAGTTCTTGAAGCACCACACATGGAATAAACATTTTTGGCTTTTTCAAATTTGAGCCTGTTTTCAGGAAAATGTAGTCAAAATATTAAAATAATTTGTAAATGAAAAATTATTCAACTGAAAACACGAGGACCATGAACAAAACTGACCTTCGTCAATAATCGTTTTGATTGATGCTAATGAATGGATAAATACATTCGTATCCGGCACAATGTAAGATGTCGACGATAGAATTTCCACAGTCATACTTTCGAGTTTTTGATAACTCAACGTTGAATAATCGACTATCGGCTCCACTTTTTTATCACAAACATTCGAAGGTTTTACATGCTGAAATGTGTCGAAAATTTTCCTGTACAATTTTTTTCCATTCTCTGAACATCGAGTTAAGAACCTTACTATAAACAGACTACCGAACCCCGTCGACGGTTCTTTCAATTGGCCATCATTTTTATCAATTTTATCGATATTTCGTTTCTGTGCTGAATCTACAGAGCAATGGATTTTATTCTTTCTGATTTCAACCAATTTTTCCGAATCAGTTTCATTAATTCTGTGTTTAATCGCGCCCGGCGATGTACTCGATATCTCATTTAGATTTGTTGATATTAATTTTGGAATACTCAATAGACGATTCTGAGCTGACGTCTTCGATTTGAATTTTTTAACTAGAAAGAAGAAATAAAAATGATTATCTTCGAAATTTGATCATAAAAACTGTAAAAAGATACCGTTTTTCGATTTGTCACTGATTTTCAAGCCACTTTGAACAGGAGATGGACGTTTGGTATCATTAATTTTGAATTTACTTATTTTCGTCATTTTATCTCCGCTAAAAGTTTTGTTATTGTTGAGAATGGTCTCTTCATTTGGAACAATATTAATTGGACCGGATTTTGTGATATTAGCTGGCTTATTCACAACAGTACTTTCATCAAGTAATTTTTTACAGTCGTCAATATTTGAAGTGATCACTTTTTGAAATTTTTGAAGGCGATCTTGCGCCGGTGTCTTCGATTTGAACTTTGTGACTATAAATTCGAAAAGGTGAAAAAAATTGTGTATTGTAGAAAAAAAAACATTTACAAAAACAGAGTTTTGTCAATTTGCTCACCATTTTTGAATTTTCCACTGATTTTAAATTCTTTTTTACTCTTATTATGCATTTTGATATATTTTTATATATATATGAATAAATTAACCTAAGATAGTTTTAATCATGTAAATAACTGGATATTTATGCAGTCCGTGGGTCAAAAATGCACATTTTATACTTGTTCTAATTCATCAGTTATTTGCTTGACATTCTTTGTGATGTGCACAACTACAGGTGCAGACAATGACAACTGTCAGTCAGCTGAAACGTGTACTAAAAATTGTGAAACGTCATCATCTCTGTATGGGATTGTTTACAAATGCAAAATATATCTATAGTTGACCGCTTTTTTGGATTTTATGTTTATTTTCTTTATTTTCAATATTTTTATCAATTTTCAACAATGTGGTTATGTATATATTAACAGAAAATGTTCTCTTCAATTTTATAAAATATTTTTTATGTTATAACATAATAATCTCCAATTTCTCTCTCTCTCTTTCTCTCTCTCTTTCTCTATAATAATATAACTGAGGTAGCAAAATAGTTGCGATATCTCTTTGATTAGTAATCTTGCGAAAAATGTAAAATTTAATTCTAAGGCAAAATCTTCATTTGTCAGTCTTACGATTTTTCAACTAAAATGTTTCCAAACATTTATGTGATGTGATGGTTTCAATGCCGTTAACAAGCGCTTTATTGCTGAGATTTATATCGTTTGTGAGCAAAATAATCTCTTTTGATTGATTTTTCAATTGTAGACAGCAATTGAGAATTTTATCGTCTGGACTTTTTACTTCGATGATGTGATCGTTGTCCTCAGTTGCTTTTTGACCTAAACATAAGGGTTTACAGTTATTATTTTCAAAATGATTCGTTCAAATGACAGGCTCAGCGTGTTTGTTTCTGCACTCATACATTTTCTGTGCGTTCTTTTAGCAATATATTTTTCAATTTGTCTTTTACGAAAATATCAGTGAAAAGATTGGACTACATCTACAGCAGTGCTATTTTAACAGCTCCAGACAATAGGAGACCGATTCCGGGCAATATACCTATTGATTTGTTTATGCAAAAAAAATGCAAAATACTAAAATCAATTGTTCCATTTAAATTTTGAACATTTCATTCGGAATGCAATTTCATTCCGCTGAGCCTGCAAAATATTCTTCAAAAACAATGCAAATACCTTGTAAACGATAGTTCTTCATTTTTAGCATATTGTAAATGTATCGAATAGCATTAGACGACTTTATTCGCAATAATTTATTAGTTTTATGCTTCATTTGATCCAACTCTTGAAGAACAACAAAAGGAATTAGAACGCTATATTGATCTGTATGGGAGAGAAAATTGTTTTATTTTCACTCTGAATGAGTCTTATTGATAGCAAAGCACGTGAATGAAACGAACCTTTTTCAATGATGCGTTTGATGGGTTGCAAAGAATCCAAAAAAACGTTTGTATCAGGTATTACGTATGCTGAGTCAGTGGAGACAATGTCGATGACCATACTTTCGAGCTGCTCAAAACTGTACGTCTCGTCATCATCCCATTCCATCATCTCATCACAATCCATTTGCTCAACCGAATTGTCCACAACTGGAGTCTCAATACCGAAACCGTTATAAATAACAGATAACAAATCGTTATTTTTCTGAGACGGAGATGATGTTGCCGGCAATTTTTTCGGTTGCAATTTGTTCAATCGATCCTGTGCCGGAGTTTTTGGTGGGAACAATGTTGGAATATCATCTGATGAATGTTTATGAGTATCAACACAATGTTGTCGGACATCCTGTTCGCAATCGACTTCAATGGTGTCTTTGTTCACAAAAGACGGAACAAAATCCATTGTTTGATGCTTATCTCTCGACGGAACAATAAATAAACTTTTGCTGATTGATATCTTTTTGCGTTTGTTTGGTGATGTTGAAGTGGATTTCGAGTTGGCCATTAATTTCGCAGCTTCTTTACTTTTCGTGACCATACGTTGGAGTCGATCCTGAGCTGGCGTTTTGGATTTGTACTTTTTGACTAAAAATGGAATGAAATTAATTTAATCAAAAAAAAAAAAAAAAACAAAAAAAAAAAAAAAATACAGAGAAAATAAATCTTCACTCACCAATGTCTTTTGATTTTTCGCTGATTTTCATTGCATTTGGCACCGAGAATTGACCTTTGGTATGTGTATCACTTTTGGATGAAGTCCCAATATGAGGCAACGCCATTTTTTCCTTGTCAACTGTTGGGTTTTCCCATTGTGTTTTGCCCGTTTTGGTATTGAAATAATAAAAACGACCCGCACGGCTTGTGGACTCTCGTTTTATCCATCCGTCAGGCAATTTTTTCGAATGTGTATCCATTTTTTTGATTTAACTTAACTAAATGGTATTTTGTCGTTTCTCCCATGTGTTGTATTCAATTTGCAGTGATGGCACGTTTTTTATAGTTAAATTTTATTTGAAGTTGTTGTAATTTGTTTACCGTTGTTTTTCCTCGAAAGACCAAATATTTATTTCGAGCACATTGGTTGTTTATTTATGAGGTGATCATGAGATACTGATGACTTTTACACTTTTTTAAACACAACTTCATACACACATACATACACATAGGTGAACGAAATGTCAATCATATGAAAGGTGTACTAAAAATGACGAATGTCAACTGTTGAAATCTCTTTCAAAAAATGTAATATAAGAATAAACGTTACTATCACCAGAAATATATATGGAAAATTGATGAATATACAACCAACTGTCGACAATGCGCACATTAAAATTTGAAACGGAAGAATTAAGAAAACAAACCACAACACCAACCATCGCAGCAAAATCATATTTTTACGACAATAAATTCAAACGAAAAGTATTTGCAATTTTTCTTCAACAAAAAACAAATGATAAAATCAATATTACGGCTATGTTTTTAAATCGCTTGGCATACTTAGCTCTATTTCGCGATTAATAATTGAAGGAATTTTATGCATGTTTGATGTAGATTTAGTTCAATACCCATTTGAACTAATAGAGTTTTGTAAATATTTAATTTGGAGATAGTGACGATAGTATAAAACACCAGTTTTAAATCGGAATGCATTCAATGAAGAGATTCTTTTACTTATTTATCGTCATTGCGAATAGATTGCTACAAAGAATATTGTTCAAAAAGTGTAAATTTGTTATTATCAACAGCATAAATAGTTGTGTACTAAAATCCGTTCTGTCATCTGTCAAACCGTTGAAAAATCACTTGTAGCATTTCGTTGAGTCGTTCGCTCAATGCTCAACACAACTGAACGAAAAATGTCAAAACAATGTAGAAAAATTCCAATAATAACATAGTATTTACCTTTTATACATATATTCTGAATGAACGAATGCACGACAATTCAGTTGCTACATAACAATCGAACAAAGCCAATCATAAAGTTGTTGTTGTGCACTTTAAAAAAGATAACACCGCGCTCTCGTCGTCATCACATACAAAACGTTGACGTTTTTTTTATTGTTTCAATTTTGTCAATTTAATGTCTTTGTTTGAATTTTAAATGTTTGAAAATTGGTTGACATCAAAATTTCGTGTGAAATTATTCGAATTCTGTCGAAAGGTTAATCATTAGTAAAATTGAAGCAAAACTAGTATTATATAAAAAAAGAATTATAAGAAGAAGGGTTACAAAAAAAGTACAGACAGACAAAAAAGTTATTGAATTAAGTAGTCGAAAATATACAAAGCAAAGACCGTCTGAAAAAGAATCCATATATTGGAAGGCAAATGTAATCAGTGGTGTTGTGTAGTTGTTATCTGCAAGAAAATCAGTGAGAAACGAGCCGAGTACTTGGAATAATATTTGCTATAAGTTTGAAACAGGAGAGAAAATAAATATGGAATATTGCCGTGAACCAATTATGTGATACCCGTATGTGAACGTTCAATATGCGATAAACAAACAAAGAGTCGATATTTAAGCTTCTTAGGTGTGTTGTGTGCTATCACCTCGTTACTTTTTATCTTCAGTTTTGTTTTTCGTTCGAAAGTAAACATGCGTCAAATGGTAAATTGATATTTATTTTGTGGGCGAAACACAACAGAGACAACATATTCACTGAAGCAAAACAAATTACTCTTTTTTTTTTCAAGTCGATCGAATTTCTTTTGCGATTTCGTGAAAGCCAAAACTTTCCTTTCGAATATTCTCAGTTTTGTTGTTTTGTTGGCACAGCCAATTGAAACCAATCATAATTGCAAATTTCAAGGGTATCGGCGCACATTCTAGTGCGATAATAAATAATAACAAATTACACAAATTCTCAAAGTCTTCTCTTGAAATCGAAGTGCCGTAAATCTCGTCTTCCTATTCAGCGTATGGCTGATTGGATTTCTGTCTCGCATACACATTAAATTATGAGAAGTGAGCGAAAGAGAAAATAATGTCGCAATTGTGCAACACAAAAATCATTAGGTGTATTCTGTTTTTAGATTTTTCAATGCACGTGATCGATACGCTATGTTAAAAAAAAAAAGAACTTTCAACGTAAATTCTCTACATCAAAATTGATTCTGCGTAAACATTATTTTTAATTTATGCCATTTTATTTGGGTTTATTTTTTTCTGTACAAATTTGAAGGTGTCATGCGTGTAGACACACGTCGCCGTTGTCACAGTTGCAAAAACACCGAATCGTATAGAACGGGAATATTATAACACACACACGCAACGAATACAAAAGAAGCAGCGAAGGGAAAATAAACGAAACATCGAAGACCAGAGTGAAACGGCAATAGTTTATAAAATATTAATAGTTTGGGGTTTGACAGATAAACGATTGCACGCGCGCCAAATAAAAGAAGACAGTCATAGTTTTTTTTGGGTTTTGTGAATCCCGTATTTGATGAAATTTAACACAAATTTAACATCATGAAGTTTGCCGAGCATTTAAGCGCACACATCACCCCGGAATGGCGAGCAGCCTACATCAACTATGAGGTTTGTGTGTATAATTATAATAATCGATCAAACAAAATGCAATGAATTTTGTTTTTGCTGCTATCGCATCAATTGGTCGTCATTCATATTTCCAACATACTTTTTTCGTCATTCGCTCATTCGACATTTTTTTCTAACCAGTTCGGGTATTTGTTTTTTTTTTTGTTTTGTTTTATTCCCATTCATTTATTTATGTCTTTTCAATTCAATTCATTGCTGTTCATAGTATACACAATTAATTAATTTATACTCCTTGCGAAGACATTCAGAGGCCAACCAGCATAACGAATAAACGAATGAATGAAATAAAAACATACTCACAAAACGTTTAGGGAATGTGTATACATTTAGCGTTAAATTTATTGAATTGAACATTTAAAAAAAATTGAAATGGCTTTTTGATTTACCATTCAAACGAAAGGAGAGAGAGAAAAAACGACCAACAGAACCGCATTTCGAATGGATTTAAGTATTTAAGGAAAAACCCGTGCAAATTATCGTATGCATACAACATTCGCTTGCTTTATAAACTGGCAACCATGGCGCATTGACATGTTACATGTTAAAATCAATTTACATGTAATTGAAGATTCCATTCGGACGTTCATTTGTTTCGTTCATCAAACATTTCCTTCATTTTATTTTTATTTCATTTTTCATCCGAAAATTGTATCTGTTCTCAATTTATCATTTTCGCTTATGTGCACAGTTTCTCTATTTTAGATGTCAATCATTTTTTTCATTTTGTGAAACTATTTCATTAATTCGATTTTTATTATTTATTCAAATATTTTCTTTTTCTTTCTTCTGTTCTTCTCTTGTTATGATTTGTTCCTCCTCTGATCCAATAACCAAAACAAAATATCCAACCGACACACAATATCCAACATACACAAATACAAACACACACTTCTGAATATTGTTTTTTTGGTGTGCCCGGTGCCGGGGCCATTTGGGCATGCATGATGATGATACGATAGGAAATGAAAGCAAAAATTTATTTGGCCGTTGAAGAAGCGCCATCCGTTGACAATGTTGAAGAAGAAATCCTAAAACGTCACTTTGCCAATTTCGATGAAACGTTCTTTTTGTATTGTGATCAGGAATTAAAGAAAATCAATACTTTCTATTCAGAAAAATTGGCGGAAGCAACGAGACGATATGCAGCGCTATCGGCCAAACTTAAAGAGGCCAAAGAAGCCGCACAACGTGTACAGAAAAAGAATTCCACACAAAAACAACAAATTCCACAACGAAAAGTCCAAGAATTGAAATTAGCATTTAGCGAATTCTATTTGAGTTTGATTCTATTGCAAAACTATCAGAATTTAAACTATACGGGCTTTCGGAAAATCTTGAAAAAACATGATAAACTCTTACGAGGTTTGTATGAAGTAAAAAGTGAAAAACCAACAACAACTTATCTGTCTTTGCTATATCAGTTTGTATTTGTTCAGTTTTTGTAACTTCTTTGCCATTCGCTTGTTGAACACTTTTTTTTAGTTGATCATGGTGCTAAATGGCGACAAGAACACGTGGAGTCGACACATTTCTTTACCAACAAAGACATTGATCGTATTATAAATGAGACCGAAACGGTGGTCACAAATGAATTGGAGGCCGGTGATCGTCAAAGGGCAATGAAACGATTACGAGTACCACCGTTAGGCGAACAACAAAGCCCATGGACAACATTTAAAGTTGGACTATTTTCAGGATGCTTCATAGTATTATTCATTTCTGTAGTATTATCGGGTTGGTATTCAAGTCAGGAATTCGGATTTCATTTGGAATAAAACATTGGTTTCTTCAATTTTTTCAGCTATATTTCACGATGTAACGACGGAAAATTTAAAAATTGCATTCCGATTGTATCGAGGACCGTTACTTATTATTGAATTTATATTTTTAATCGGCGTCAATGTCTATGGTTGGCGTTCTTCAGGTGTGAATCATGTGCTCATTTTTGAAATCGACCCTAGAAATCATTTGAGGTAATTATAGATTTAATAATAATTAGTTTATAATAAAATCACTTTGTATTATTAATCTATAATTACCTTGATCCATTAAGCGAACAACATTTAATGGAATTGGCTGCTATTTTTGGCGTCGTTTGGACATTGAGCATTTTAAGTTTTTTGTACAGTTCCAGTTTAAGCATACCTCCATTTATTAATCCACTTGCACTGGCCATTATTATGTTCGTGTTCTTAATTAATCCGCTGAAAATTTTGAGGCATGACGCCAGATTTTGGCTACTACGGATATCGGTAAGATAAATTTTCTCTTCGGTAAAATTCAGATTTTTACAACAAGTCGTTTTAATTGTTCTTCTCTCTTTTAAAGGGTCGAATGATAGCAGCGCCATTTTTCCACGTTGGTTTTGCTGATTTCTGGCTGGCAGATCAGTTGAATTCACTTGTAACAGCTTTGCTAGATTTTCAATATTTGGCATGTTTTTTCGTTGTGAATGGCGATTGGTTGAATGCTGGAAGTAAGTCATGACGTTCTATTTTTTTTCTATTGAAAAACCATTAAACTCATTAATAATTTCAGATACGTCCGAATGCTTTGAGACGAATTTTACCTATCGTCCGATTGTAAATTGTTTACCAGCATGGTTCCGTTTTGCCCAGTGCCTTCGTCGGTATCGTGATTCACGTGAAGCGTTTCCACATTTGGTCAACGCCGGCAAGTATTCGGCAACGTTTTTGGTTGTGATTTTTTCCACACTTAGAGCCATCCACGCCGCCGAATATAAATCAACATTTGATAATCCGTATACAATTTGCTGGATATTGAGCAATTTGCTCGCATCAACCTATGCCTATATTTGGGATATAAAGATGGATTGGGGCTTATTCGATAGTAATGCTGGCGATAATAAATTTTTGCGCGAAGAAGTCGTTTACTCGTCAAATGTAGTTTTTTATTTTATTTTATTTTAATTTTGATTGCCGTAAAAATCTTTTTTTTTATTTTCTAAGTCTCTTCTTCTTTTATCATTCCACAGGCATTTTATTATTTTGCAATTGTTGAAGATTTCATCCTACGTTACGTTTGGCTACTTGGTTTTGCATTAACTGAAGCAGAATTAATTCCCGGTGATATGTTAACCTCAATTTTAGCACCACTTGAAGTATTCCGTCGTTTTGTTTGGAACTTTTTCCGATTGGAAAACGAACACTTGAACAATTGCGGTAAATTCAGAGCGGTGCGTGATATTAGCATAGCACCGATCGATGCATCGGATCAAAACCAAATCTTACACATGATGGATGAGATGGATGGCATACAAAACAGATATACAAAAGGCAATCGCCCGAAATCGAGAAAACAAAAAGATCCCGAGCGTAAGGCGTTACTTCAACCGTTGAATGATTCGATCATCGATTTAAGACTTGAATTGGGCGAAAGCAAGAAAGTTTAATTTTAATTCAATTCTATAGCGATATAATTTTCTTTCTTGTTCGGAAGATTGCAATAAGCACAAAAAGTCAAAAACATAGAAAAAAAGAGAATATTCCTTTATCCAATTTATATGAAAAACTGTTCGGCTTTATATACTTGAGAAATTCCATAAAATTTGTTTCTTTTTCAAATTTTCATTGTGAAATTGTTACTTTATTCAAAACAATAATCGTAATCAATTAACTTGCAACAAAAGACAATAAACTGTAAATAATTCTAAATTGATTTGTGTGTCTAGCGATATTCTTCGCGAAGTTCATTGATTCGCCCATGGCCCAAACGTGTTTTCTTCTTTTCGGTGATCAACCATTGTGGGATGTTCTTCAATGAATGAGCGCCTGGGAATCGCAGTGGAGGTTCTGGGCCATCGAACGGATGTGTTTTTTTCAACTCGCGTACAAGAAACTCTTTGTTTATCTGTTTTGGATCTCTGTATTTATCGAGATAGAGATTGAACGGTTGTCTCAATGCAAAATATTTCTCCTGTGGATGGTATGCTTTTGGGAAATCATATTCATATATCGGTTCCTTCATTTCTAATACATTATGATAAAATTCGGTCAGATTTGTATCATAGTCGGATTGGAAGAATGCCAAACCGGCTGGAGTAATTTTATCTTGCAATTCTCGATAAAAGTCATACGTTTTGAATGTTCGTTTTGTCAAGTCGTAACTGAAAAGAAATATATTTGTCAAATCAAAATAGAATTTAATTTTAATCAGTTCATTTTTTCTTGACTAAATTTCAATTTTGCAAACAAAAACTTACACTTCATCAACTCGATAGCTGCTGAAATCGAGTTTCTTATCCTGTTTGTACAAAATGAAAATGTGTCGATGATAGCCAGTGCCCTTTGGAGGGAATGGCTGCAAATATGGTACAATTACTTCTCCCTTTGAAACATCTCCATTTGGTATATTCCCTCTAAATCGAACAATTTATGGGTCAGTATTCGTTTTCACTTTTGTGCTTGCACTCAATTTAAATACTTACACAAACCAATGCACGTATTCTTTATCATTTTCCGTAAAATGACCGTCCGGATTTGTTAAAACGAGTGTCCACAATGAGTCACCGTCGGGTTGATCATCGAGCAATTTTTTCTTCGCATCAAATTTAACTTCGGGCTGATTTTTGGCATGCGTTGGTTTCAGTGTATTTCCATAATAAACTGGAGCATATTCATCTTCCGATACGGCGTACTAAATGCCATAAAAAAGATTAGTCAATATTTTAATTTGAAAGACATCAATTCTTGGGAAATGGCTTTTTTCTTTTAAATTAACTATGAATGCTACCTTGATATCCAGAGTGATTCGTGGTAAAAAATAGGCGTATCCAAACAAATGCTCATAAATGCCATAATGTTGTGCGATGCTCTTGATTTGAAACAGTCCTTCAGTCTCCAGCCAATCTTTTTTCACTTGATCAGTGTTAACTTCCACTAAATATCAACAAAAACAATCAATTAAGAACAGGTCATAGATGAATCATCAAAGAAACATACATTTCAGGGTTCGTGAAAGCTTTTCAATTTCCGGTTGATTTTTCAATACATCGCGACGTTCAATTTTTAATATAGTTTGTTGAGCTCGTGTCAATCGATTAGATGGAAATCCAATGTCAACAGCTTTCTTTTCTTCAGCGAATTTTTGTTTATTTTGTGCCTCCCCTGAAACGGAATTTTTCACATATTTCATAAATGGCAGAGAATTCAATTTAATAAACACATTTGATTCAAAGCAAAAGTGAAAGATAAATAATCAAACGGAATGAACATAACCTCAATTGACTCCAACTTACATTGCAATCGTTGTTTAATGTTTTTCGCAACACCAGGCGGTTTACCACGAGTTAGAAAACCACGCTGAGAGATGCTGAGTGCCGGACACACATTTCTCAAGATGCCACATTGATGTGGTAGTTTGGCGATTGCATTTCCAAACATTTTTGTTGCAAGTGAAAATCAATGTTTTCCTCGCGTTCACATGAACCTCTATTGACAGACCGTTATTGACAGTTCACATTACGAAAGCGATGACAGTAAAATTCTATCCATTTCAGGGATGTGATACGTAAATACGTAAAACGATTCAACGAGAGAGTGATATGTGTATAATACGGTTATCATTGAAATGAATTCCAAAGTGCATGTTGCACAGATATACATGTTCGAATATGGGTGTGTCGGAAGAGAGAGAGAGAAATGTACGTGTGCATATATTTTCATTTGCAGGCTTTTCTTGTTGCAAATTATAAAAATGCGAATGAATGTTGAAAGAACTTGGCCTTTTGACCATCGACCATAAATTCTTATGTAATTTCCAAAACCAAAAACATTCTCGGAAAAGGTATAAATCATACTTGAAATGTATCATTCGAAGCATATGTGATTTCTATAGAATTGTGTTTTTTTTCTCTTTGTTGATGAATCAGCTCTTTGATTGAACGCACAGGTCTATGAGTGATTCATACAAAGTTATTTTAATTTAGTTGTTTGTTATCAGTTTGACCAAGGCGGGCGAGCACTTGATCAATTCTTGTCTTGATTTATTCATCAAAACAATAAACGAGTATTAAAATCGCCCGTGTGCCCGATGTCGTCATACGGGTACGAAGTGTTATAACTTAATAAAACCAATTTTTTTCGTCCTCCAAAAAAAATGTTCTCTTATTGGATTTTTTTTTCTTTTTTTCACATACGTCAGTCGTATGGTATGCCATGTAAGCAATTACAAATAAGTAAGATAGCGTACAAACAATTGACATGATTTCAATCTTATCAGTTAGTAGAAAAACAAAAAACCATATATCGAAGCATAAAAAAAAAATATTCAGCGATTTCAAAATCAGCACGGTACGAATTTACGCCCAAAGTGGGCAATGTACAAGCAACACGAACATGAAGGAACGGCGAAAAAAAGTATGTTGTATGCGATTGACTTAAACCAAATCGTTGATCATCATTAATTAATTGTCGGTGTATGTATGCGTGTGAAGGTGTTGCGTTGTCCAATTAATGTATTAACATTTTTCCATGTGTTTCACCATTTCATGATGATAATTGTTTCTGCTGCTGTTTTTGTAGCAACACCAGCCAGCAACAACAGAAACGAAACCAAGTTTTATGAGCAAACATTAGAATCGTTTTCGCATTTGAATTGTGTGTTAATTGTGCACTTGTTCGTAAACAAACTTGCAAATAAAACATGAAGAAAAATCAGGTAGTAGCGCTATTTTCGAAATGAAAATGCACAGCTCTTTTCTCATCATTACATCTTTCACTCGATGAAATATGATCGGTATGTTTGTCTTTATCTTTTTTCGCGTGCCATACTCATATCGTGTGAGTGCGCACACACACGCTCGAGGCCCACAATCTTATATTTCGCTTCGCGTACACAAATTCAATTATTGCTGTTATGAATTTGCATTTTCTCTTCATCACACTATCGCAAGGTTGTGTGGTTTTTTTAAAAAAAATATTTTTTCTAGTAAATATGTTTGTTCCCCGATGTATATGCCTGCGCGATAACATGTAACCGAAGCATCGATGTGTTTCGATAAATATAGTAATTTATCATCGATTAAATGCTTTTAAACAACAAAAAGCAGGAAAAACATTTTTATATGTGTAGCAAAATGTGTGTTGGCCTCTCTATTTATCGCTATCGTAGATTTTTGGTGGTTTTGTCTACTCTTTCTCTTTCTCTCTTCTTAGTTTTGGCCCGGATTCTCCGCCGGCGCTTGGATGACTCACGAAAAATTAAAAAGTTTGAAATTGGCATATTCGAAAACGAAAATTTTCACCAAAACGGGTCGCAACAGACCACTGCACCCGAATGAATGTTGGAAGCAAAAACAGTCTCTTATCCATGCTCAATTGCCACAACAGCTTAACTAATGGAATTTAATTTAATTGCTTAATCAAATTATCTCTTTTCTCAAAAAAAAAAAAAAAAAAAAATCCGGAGCCGGAGAGAAAGAAACAAATCTTTACGTTAAACACGACAGATGATTGCCTGATTTTCTTCATCTGAGTTGTTCTGATGCGCCAAATAAATTGATGGAATGTAATAGCCGCCGAAGTTCGTGTGAAAGAAAAAGATATAATGGCAACGATGCGCAGCGTCTAATGGCAATCACACATAGATTCGAAATTAAATTTCATTTTAAACACAATTAACCAATATTTTGCCTTCGCGAAAAGGCCAATTACTGCATTGTTTGTCTCGAACATTGAGCATTGATGTTTTGTGGTTTTGTTTCGTTGTTTTTGTTGGCGTTTTCATGGAACATATAGGCAAGAGACTGCGAGCGAGACAGAAGTCTGAATGAATGCGACCGAAGCGAAAAAAAATTAAGCAACAACAATGGGAAAATAACATAAACGTAGCAAATTAAGATATTGAATAAGCAGTGACCATAAAAGTAGACGCTTCATGTATTTTTCGCTAAACAGGAAATCCCAACCAATAGATCTAATTGTTATGATTGCCATAAAATAAAACGAACAATTAAATCACATACAAAATATAATGTTTAGTGTTTAGTGTCAACCGGCATGCCAATGTGAAAGACCCTTGACGAGATCGAGAACGAAAAAAAATTATACACAAAGTCAAAATTGAACAATATGAATAAATAACCATATATGCGATTGTCGATATAAAATCAGAGTCAGCGCTTTTAATTCTAACGATTTAAGCAAAACACACATCGACCGTTTTGGAAATGGAGCAATATTGGTTCCGAAATCGCATTGACAAAACGAGACTCCGCACCAAATTTGTATATATGTACAATAAATCGGAATCGGATTATTGTTTCTTTGTTTGTTTGTCTGTGTAAGTTTCAACAATCGTTGCCAATAGACGTTTCGCCCAACAATTAATAAATTGAATCCTTTTTGTTTCGCATCAACAATTTTTTCCCATATTTATGCAGTTTTTGCAAACAGTGTTTGACTGAATAAAAAGCAATAACAACAATAACAACACGTTCATACGCATACTCGAAAGAGCATAACAGAAAACAAATTAAACCGAGACTCTAAAAGAAAACTGAATCACTCCATATTTAGTCAAATTTCATGTGTACATATGGAATACGATTCGCAAGTAATCCACATTTACACTCATGCATACATGTGCATACGTACGAATATATGCACTCGTATAACGGCGAACAACAACAATGGTTAACATTGAACGTTGAAAAAAAGAAACATTGTCGCACAAATCAGTTCAAACCCTCTTAGTCAACTTGCTGCTGATAAATGCACATTGCTCACAAGTGAATAATACGAACGACAAGCGGTTCCTCCGCCATCTATCTCGGACGGAAATTAGATGAGTCATACATGGAATGTCCAACTGTTATATGATATTCAACCAAAACACGATAAACGATACAGAAGATCGTTGAAGGGCAAAACAAATTCATTTAAATTTGTAAAAGTGCTCGTGAAAATGCCAAACATATTTTGATTACGAGTACACAAATAAAATGTTGATATCAGTAAGGCATGATACATCATTCGACGAAAATAAAATAAAATATAATCATCACGTCAGCATCGTCATCGACAACAATATCAATAACAAGCAAATGGCAACAACAACAACAATAACAGTAACAACGAGATTTATAAACCAGTTGCCTTTATCGGTTTCACTCCATACATGAACAAAGAGTCATTTCTTTCTTCATCGTGTTGTTTTTTTGCGATTTTCTTTGGTTATATTTCTCATGTTCGGCATGTTGTTGCGAACAGGTTGCGTTCTTCATCGTTCTGATTAGAAATTTTGTTTCGTTAAATATTATTCAGAGGCGATGAAGTAGAGATAGGCTGATAGAGATACAATTCAATCACTTTTACACGTTAATGAAAATTGATGATGCATAACAAATACCAATATTACGACGGCAAAATGCCTGCGGTATGTAAGTGTGTACGCTATTTATGCAAAAAAATGCAAGTCTACATATCTCAAGAAATCGTAATAAACGCGTTTGCATAGCAATATTTATGTTTATCTAATACAATGCTCGTGCTTTTTTTCTGCAAGCTTCTTCTTTCGTTTTTGTTTCTTTCGCTCTCTCAACTGGAATTCAACATCAGATTAACATCGGTGAAACATTGTCGATAAATGTGCATAATTTCCATACGATTTTTTTTTCCTCTTCTTTTCCATTTACTTCTTGTACTTGTGCTTCTCAATTCATGTAATTTGCAAATTGTATTCTACAACCGCAGCCAGCCAGCTACTGTTTGAAGTTGATACATTTTAAATGTATAACAGTATCAAATTGCCTATGCACCTGCAATTGCTGGAAATCATGTAAAAAAATCATCCAAAGCAGCACCTATCAATTAAAAATTTGCCTGAATGGGAAAAAATAAAATGTAGAATGCGCGCAAGCGATTCGTTCATTCTCTCGTTTGGCAAAACAAAAAGATTTTCAACTATTTGGTTGCTGGATGAATAATAACATGTGTGTATTGTGTGTGCATTTGGAACATCGTAACCATACAGTGTGTGCTTAACGGTAGCAAAATGTAGTATAGCACACCTTCAAAAAAATAAATAAATATAATGTTCATTCAATTTCAATTCATCAACACATACACACTCTGACTGATTCCATCCACACCCATGCGATTAAGTGTGCTTCCATATCTTCTTCTCGTGTGGTGGCCCGGATGAATGCGCCGCTGCTGTTGCTACTTTGATCAGAGCTAATTAGAAAAAGTTAGTCGCGCGAATGAAATAAAAGCAAATTATATTAACAAAATAACTCAACATGATTTCCAACATCTCATCATCATCATTCTCGCTCCTCCTTTCGCAGAAAATATGCACGCGCACACGTCTGGACGAAAAGCAAAACAAAACGAACAAATAAATAAAAAGCAACAACAGCATATCCGAAAAGAAATTTTCGTTTCGTTGTGTTTTCACGAATGCACAAAATTTTGCTGGCAAACGATGCAAACCGAAAATAAAAAGATATTTTCTCTTGTGTGCGAATGATTATTGATTTTTCATTGGGTTTGTAAACAAGCAAACCATGATTTAAAGTGATCGATATCTATCAAGAGAGAAGAAAGATATGCTGATGCACACATCAAACAGCGTTGTTGATTTATCGCTGATATTAATGTGATGTTTTTTTTTAATTTTTCGTTTTCGTGTGAGCATTTCGAAAATTAAACAATTGCAAACACTAATCGTTCGATAGCAAAACACGAAAATTCACTTGTTGGAAACGTGAAAAAAACACGTATCGAAAAATTTCCGATAGAAATTCACATGTTTTACTTATCGCTCTAGAAGAGCTTCTTTTTTCTTCCGTTAAGAAAAAGATTTGAAGAATAATAGAGGCAGTTAAGTGATTCGAAACGGATTTGTTTTTATTCTACATGTAATTTTTGAGCTGATGCTGTTGTTATTTGTTGCTTGTTTTTTTCCCATACTCAAATTGCGATTTCAAATTCTGAGAAAAAGTCTTCTTCGTCGGTATATCGCTGACTTGCCGCTGATGAAACATTCCAATGGAAAAGTGGACCAAAAATAATTTCGATCGAAAAGAATGTATAACACACATATCTGTGATGCGAGTGAAATGTCTAGAGAGAGAGAAACAATGGAAAATATGTGTGTAAAAATTGAATAGAAATTTGATTTGAAATGGACCACATCGTGCTGTGGCAACGAAGACGAATGGCACGTCAAAAAAACCACCAAGAGCCAAGTGTATACTTTTTTCAATATCACGGTATCATCTTGCACGGTCTCTTACGGTCGCACTGATACCGTTTCGACTTGTTTTTTTCTTCTTTTTCGTATTTAATGACATCGCCTATTATATCTATCATATGGGTGTATCATCTCTCGCTGTCTTAGCTTGAAGATTATTATGCGATGATGCTATTTTTATGCTAACGTTGAACTTTCGTATGCCATTGATCTCCGGCGCGCACAGTTTTGCATTCGCAAATAGATGTATATAAAGTAACCTTCCAAAATGAAAAGAAATGAACAACGGCATTTTTTTTATTTTCTTCATGTATTTGCTTTCTTCGAAAGGTGATGCAGGGGACGCGAATTGTTATTACTTGTACTCATGTTGAATTATCACATACGCAATCGAATTCAATGACCAAGTTATGTGTCGTTTGCTACTCAACTCAAATGGTAATTCATTTTCGCTTCATGGGATCTCATTGAACTGACGAGACTCGAGACAAGACAAATATAGATATACAAATACAAAGTGTCAGACAAATATATGCATAAAAAGATAGAAAACAATGGCAATAAATGTGAAGAAAACACATCAAACAATACAAAAAAATTTCATAGGCCACGATGTGTTCGGCGTACCGGCTCGACGAGATAGAAACAAAATAAAAAATAAAGACGAAAAAAACTGTAAAAAAAAGAAAATGTAGAAAATCCTAGTGAATTCATGGGCATGAATGAAACATCGCCACGACATCATCATCAAACATCGGCGCATTCAACAGTAGCAGCAACAGCACCAGTATCATCATCATCTCACTGCAGTGTGCATATTAACAAACAAAAAAACCAACACACACCACCAATTTTCCATCAAGTATTCCATTAGCGTCGAACTGTTGTCTCGCCTGTTCTCTCTCTGCCTCTTCTTTTTCAATCCATTTTCAGTGTGAGCGCGCACTATGATTGCTGCCTATACAAACATAATACCAGCGAATGAGTCGCGCCCGATTCACAGTCACAATACAAGTAAAGTTGTGTGCATGGGGATCTCTCTCGTTCGGCGTGCATCGATTTCCATATATGGTAAAAAATTTAGACAGACGATTCGCATTTTCATGGGAGTCAACAGACTGAACATTGTTAACAGCATAGCCGTTTGCAAACGTACAGTATGTTTCATTATAGAGAGAGGTTGATTTAACTACCACAAATTTCAAATATCCTAAAAATGTTTTTGGTGTTGCCATATGAGACTCTAAGCTACTACGCCAATTAACAAAGACAGCTCTCAAATCAGTACAGTGTTTGTTGTGCAACGAAAACATTATTTCCGAACATTTTCATTCACGGTTTGAAGCCGTTTTTCTGCATTTGCATCCAAAAGGACAAAGAATGTCGATCACATCGACTGCTAAATACATTAAAAAGTCAAAAGGGTTCGTAATAAAGTGAATCCAGCAGTATAAGCATGAAAAAAAAGTGAACGACCAGCCCAATCTGAAGCCAAACTGAGCCTCCTCGCAACAGGAAGATAAACGGAGAGTCAAGTTGTTCGATAAAAATTTAGGTATGTTGTTGAGCCAAGGTGTTGAACGGCTACGCCGTCTTAAAATAGAGGTCTCGCGCTCTACTATCAGGAGAAAATTAGATGTTGCCGGTGTTCGTTATCGCAGTAAATTGAAGAAACCGCTTTTGACAGAAAACCAGAAGAAAAAGGCACTGACGGGGCAAAGCAAAATTCAACAAGAGATTGGAGCGAAGTTATATACACTGACGAGTCATTCTTTTGGCTGGTGAATAGCACTACCCATGCCTAGTCTAGAGCCCAAAAGAGAATGGTCGTTCGCACGGTAAAGTATCCGAAAAAGGTGCATGCTTATGGTTGCTTTTGTGAAGCTGGTTTTGGAAAGTTGACCATATTCACGGGGATTCCAAGCGCCGTGAGGATGAACCAACATTATTCATCGACACCGTTACCCATCGCTAAGAAGTTCTATGGCAACCACAATTCGAATTGGCTTCTATTAGAAGACAACGATCCAAAACACAAAAGTCGTCTATGCAATGCTTGGAAAGAGGAAAATGACATTAAACAAATGGACTGGCCGCCACAGTCACCCGATTGCAATCCGAACGAAAATTTTTGGGCTATTATTAAGGCATGGCTTCGTGGTAAAACATACCGCAATTTGAAGCAGCTCAGTTCATTCATTCAGCGCCAGTGAAAAGGTTTTCAAGGCGAATATGCTGAAAATTTGAGCAAAAGTATGCCGAATAGATGTGCCTGTGTGATCGAGAAGGCAGGAGAATGGATTAAATATTAATTTGTGGCGCCGTAGCTTAGATACTAAATAGAATGTATATAAAATAATTTTGTAAAACTCTTGAGTTTTATTATAAAAAATCAACCTCTCTCTATAATGAAACATACTGTACTGGTTACGTTATTCACACTCACAATTGTTGCCACCAATACACACACAACGTTCAATCGTTTGTTCACTGACTAACTGGCTGCTTTGGCTATATTATGTACATATATTCGAATTCGTGAATTCGTTAAAACAGACGATGTCTCAATCCGTACACGCGTGAAAACAAGAGACAGCGAATTGAAAGACAGAGAGAAAAGACAAGACGAAGAAGAAAAGCACACGATCATCATTTTGTACATGCTTATTCATCATCATCATCATCATTATTATCATTGTCGGCGATAGTGTGTACTGTTCGATTTTGGTGTTTTTACTGTACTACACACGGCCGTTACGCTCAAATTCTCCGGTGGGGATCCATTTATATATTTTGTTGCCCGTTCAATATTCTCATCATTACAATCTGTGTTCTCATCAAGTGAACAACAAACCAAATTTTCAATCAAACCAACACAAAAAGTGTACACACTTTTCCAAACGATCTATTTATTTTCGGTTAAAGTGAAACAAAGAGCCCCATAAATCAGCGGATTATTTTTTTGGTGAATATAAAACGAAAAGAAGAGAAAAATTCGTGATATTATTACACACTAGGATTACAAATTAGTGCATAAAAAATTTATTTATCTAGTTGTTTCCCGTAAATTTCAACAAATTTTCAATGTAAGTACCAACACTTTCAATACAAAATATTCTCTTTGTATACATAAAAGAATTTCTCCGAATTTGGTTCGCCGCTCAAAATTACTCATTCTAGTAGAATCACCGCTCAATTTGTTTGTTTACGAAAATTTTTTGTTCACAAAAGTGCAGATAAATTATTGAAAAGAAAATAACGAACGAAACAAGAAAAAAAGATATGAGGTTTAGTGTTTGGATACTGGTAGTGATAATTTTCTTGTCAACAAATGTGCGTAGCGGCAAATAAGCGCCAAAAAGAAGAAGAAGGAGAGAAAAACGATAAACAGAGCTAAAACTGCGAAAAATAAACCGAATTCCGTTGAAATTAAACATTTTTAATTGGTGGTGTGACAAATGTACTAGACCATAGCAATCGATGCGATTACAACACAGCGCACAATTTTCGTGTTGTTTGGTTTCAAATGTGCGCGTTCTCTGGCATAGTTAATTCGCTCTACATTTCCTTATTTAACGTGGCCGATATCACGAATTGTTTTTTTCAACTGCAAATTATCAGCAAGTACGCGTGGCAAGTGTTCGCCTTCACCATATTCGCTATTGCTCATTCATTCGCTCTATTTACAATGGCCGCTCTTGAAAGCAAATTAGAGTAGAGATGCAAACGTCGAAGAAGAAAAAAAACATGCAAGCTTCAATCGATTCTATTGTTTAGTCTTTGAAACTGTCTCAGTTTAAACAACAAAAAAACATGGTTTACAATTTGCACATTTAGTAAACAATACTCTTTTATGCATTTGGCATCACAAACAAGACCTTTAGAATTTATTTACATACGGTAACCATGTGACGAAATGCCGGCATTTTAAAGAGATGGAAAAAAAAGTCTGAGAAAGAGCAAAAAATGGTTAAAATGTGATGTGAAATATGATGCCCATTATTCTGTAGATGGCTAAAATTAGTAGATATTTCGACACATGTGTGGCGTTCACAGATGGGTGTGTTGCCAAAAATAGATATACGAACATGAATGAATAAACGAACAAGTGTCGGCGTCACTGGTTTTCCTTCACCGAATCCAACAAAGTAAAACGATATATTCACTACCGTGATGTGATGCAAATCCAACTAAATGTAAATTCGCGTATGTGTGAGAGTCTCTAGCCATAAATAGATATTCCCAACCACTGTGCTCTCGCTTCAATTGAACTTGAAAATGTTTCTTTTTTTTTGTTAAAAAAAAGCAGCAAAATTGCTCATTCCTATTCCGACACACATTACCTATCCTACGTGAAAAGTGGTTGTTTTGGCGCAGGCGAATGCAGAAAACCTTCATCAATGCTCTTTGATAGCTATCTGTATGCGATCAATACGGCGTTTTACTGAAATTATTTCAATAATTTTATTCGAAATATATTCATCCATATTCGGCTTGTTGTACACCATTGCCACACACAGACATGAAACAGCCCGACACCTTTTTAATACTAATGCTTTTCGACATATTAATGCTTCGAATTAAATAAATAAAAAAAAGACACAATGCACGCAATCCATTAATAGAGTAGTGTTGTTGGTGTAATACATTACCAAATGTTGTGTGTTATTCAATTTACCTTTTTTTATCCCCTCATGTCGCTGCGTCACAATATATTTCGTCGCATTACCGAATCGGTTTCGATCATATAGAATGTCTGTATGCATAAATCGATCTAATTTAATTCCATTTTGTTTTCGGGCCAATTTGATATGGGAGCTGCTCCCATATTTGCCAAAGAATATTGCAAACTCGCATTTAATTCAACCAATTTTGTCTCTTTTGTTTCGCCAAATACAACTTCGTTGATGGTGTAATTGTTGTTGCCATCCAAAATCAATGTTTCTTTTTTTTATCCATTCTCTCATTTCGTCTCTCATGATTTGTTGATTTGTTTGACTTTTTTTGTCGGTTCCATATCATTTCGTATTCACATCGAACGAAAAAGGCCATAAAACACAATTTTCGAGTGAATATGACAGTTTCCTTTTAAAATCGAAAGACAACAAAAAAAAAAACATTCAATTTTTCGAAACAATATACTGTTGGCATATATGAAGCATGAAAGGCAAAACGGAAAAAACGACACACAAAACTCATTTCATTTTTTTATCATTCAGTTATCGTTTTACGTTTCACTCTCTTTCTCTCTTTCTCCGCGTGTGTATTCATGTGTGCGATAGTATCTTTTTTTTTAAGGAAAGAGAACAGCAACACATATGAGAGCAAATTAAAGAAGAAAACAACAACAACAACGAGATATTTTCAAGTCAAACAAATATATATATGTGATATTATTCGAATGGAGAAAAAATACACCCATGCATTGTTCAACAAAACGACAGTTAGACACTATTCCTTTGGCATTTAAATGAAGTTGTGGCCCCCAAACAAAAGAACCATCAAAGAATAGAGAGAAAATGCGGAGAAAGAAACGCGCATTGCTGCCTTATTATTTTCGAAAAGTCTATAATATGTGACACACGCATACATAATCTTTGCCTAATTCTTTTTCTCTATCTCTCTTTCTCTGTCTCTGGCAATGCCAACGACATTCAATGCAATTTATTGTGTAAATAGTAATATGTTTCTGTGAAGAATGAATAAAAAAAAACAAAAACAGGGCGACCATTGAATTAACAAACATAGTAAGCGAAAAACATCACGGAAAAGAAATATTTTGAACGAAAAAATTACACTTATTTCGGTCGCACTATCGAGTTGAGACAAGCAATAATTTTTTTTTCTGCTCATGGTTCAAATCGAGTGCTAACTAAGCACCTATCATGCTCTGTATGTATATGGCATTCGCATAAATGAAATTCAATCGCGAGTGCATTGCGAAAAAGAAACATTGCAAATGACTAACACAAAAGCGATATGACATGAGAGTAATGAGAAAGAAAGAAAGAAAAAAAAGAGTCTATAATACCAAATACGTATTGGTTGCATTGATTCTAGATGGCTTTGAACATATATATATATATATAGATTGAACTGCAATAATCTATGATTGCACAAAACATCAAGCATTTTTGCCACGATAGTGTAAGAGGGCGAACGAGTGAAAGAGAGAAAGAGTATGCTGTTGTATCGGTCGAGTCACACGAAATGCTGACTCTTTTTTCCCTTCGTATCGTTTTTATTTTAAAACATTCCAATTTTATTGTGTTGTTGCCTCTTCTTCTTCGGTTTATTTTTTTCCATTCCGTTTCGTTCGTCATGTTCATCACTTTTACGTGGAATTCTGTTTTAAAACATTGCCTTATATGGTCATGAAAATGTTTGATCGTTTGTTGCGCGCACACTCTCATATTTACACACCCATACCAATACAAAGTGTGTACATATAGTTCAGTCGTTCGAACATACGCGAGACCGAAACGCCGGATAAAGTCGTGTATGTGTCGGCAATGATGATTCAAAATCCTCACAAATGCTTGCACACATATAGCGTATTCGTCATCGCTCTACGATGACTGTATGCGTTCCGTAAGCCGATATGATTCCAATTTCCAAGTGGTTGTAATTTTTGGTGGGGATATTTTGTTCATATTTGGTAGCGCTTTTTCGCTTCGGCAATTGAATCGGAACGACGGTTTTTTTCTGCATACTGTAGCGTCACTTGTCGTTTAGCCTTAGAAGTGTTAGGAATAAAATTCATTTTATTTCTGTTGTGCGCAAGCATTACTCTCAACAAATTAAAACACTAGAAGAAATTCCATATTCGCTCTCCGTGTATATTTTTCGTGTGAAAACTTAAAACAAAAAAAGGTATTATTTTTATTTTTGGTTCAGTAAAAATTAAATTTTTTGCTTAAAAATAGCGTAGATTATTTTTTTCTTCGATTTTCGTTTCGAAATTTTGCATTTGTTCCGAGAAAAGCAAAGTAGTTGTTTGAGAAGAAAAAAAATCGGCGATTCTTTTTTTATTTGTTGATTTGTTGGTGTGCAAAGAGAAATTTGTGTTTTTACCATAAATGGAATAAATTTGTTCGTATCGTGCGTCTCGAGACTATAAGAAACCGAAGAAAAAAGAAGAATAAAAAATCCGAAAGTGGTTGCTGCCAACATCAGCAAAGCGAGAGATTTATATCAATTTTTTTTGCCTCTCTCACTTCCTTTTTTCCAAACTGATATCTTTCATGAACGACCACTTGTCTTAGGGCGTTGTCTTGGTATCATAAGTGCAGCCGAATTTCAAATCAATTTTTTCAAATATAATTCAATTAAAATAATCCAAGCATTGTGTAAGCCAATCGCCCACGATTTTTTCGTACTTTTTCCCAACATGTCGATCCAATAAAATGGATTTTTGTCGGTTTTTTTCTGTGTGAAGTTCGATACGCCATTTTCGGCTTTGATTCCTCGGTTTTCGGTTGTATGCGTCCATGGTCTTTATACGTTTCGGGGTGTGTATGTGTATGAGTGTGTGTGTGCGTGTATGGGTGCAGCATAAGCACGCATACGCATGAATCAGAATTTACCAGAAAGATTTGCTCAACAATCGATGCCGTGTGCGTGTGCGTGTGAGAGTGAGCATATGTGCGACTGTGTGTATGTGAATTAACCGTCGTTTTTGGTATTTAAGCATCAGAACCATCGGCTTCTGTGTGGTTGAAACCGGTATAAAGCGACAACAAATTTAACGTATTCCAAAACGAAGAGACGCGGCAAAGAAACAAAAAAAGCGACCAAAAGAGACGAAGCGAGAGCGATAGAGTGAGAGAACTTATTCACTTACAAAAGAAATTCAAAAAAAGAAGAAGCGTCGGTTTTTGCAACGGTTTTCTCCCTGTGCATATTTCGTGCTGCTCTTGAACATTCAAAACGGAATTTATTAGAAAGTACTCTACATTTCGTAGCTATTGTTTCTTCGTTATCTTTCCCATTTTATACGATACGATTTTTTTTCCGCTGTTTTCGGTGTATCTGCTGTGTGCTCGTTTTGTCTCGAAACTCCGTTGAACAAATATAATTTTTCGCAAGTAATTTAATATAAAATGAAGTTAATTAGTCGTCGGTTGTCTGTTCTGTTTATTTTTCGTTTCGTTCGTTGTTGTGAACAAGATCACATATTATCTGCTCGATTCTTTTGTTTGCCGTCACATTATTTGCATGTTTAAAGTCAAATCGAAAGATTAATTTGATCTAATTGCTTTTGTGTCTTTTGTCTATTTTTTTTTTCGTTTCGTTTCTGTTTCGGTGGAAATTTAGAATTCAATATGTGTGACGAAGAAGTTGCTGCTCTCGTTGTTGACAATGGATCCGGTATGTGCAAAGCTGGTTTTGCCGGAGACGATGCACCACGTGCCGTATTCCCATCGATTGTCGGTCGTCCCCGTCACCAGGGTGTGATGGTTGGTATGGGCCAAAAAGACTCGTATGTCGGTGATGAAGCCCAAAGCAAACGTGGTATCCTCACATTGAAATACCCAATTGAACACGGTATCGTTACCAACTGGGATGATATGGAAAAGATCTGGCATCATACTTTCTACAATGAATTGCGTGTCGCCCCAGAAGAACATCCAGTTCTCTTGACCGAAGCCCCATTGAATCCAAAAGCCAATCGTGAAAAGATGACACAAATCATGTTCGAAACATTCAACACCCCGGCTATGTATGTCGCCATCCAAGCTGTGTTGTCATTGTACGCATCCGGTCGTACCACTGGTATTGTCTTGGATTCAGGAGATGGTGTCTCGCACACTGTACCAATCTATGAAGGTAATTGTTGCCATTTAACTTCACATTGCATCAATTGATGCGATTGTCTTTTTTTTTCATTTTTGGTTTGGTCGTTGCGTCAATGCAACAACAACAACAAAAAGACAGAAATAAACAAACAATGCTGTGTACTAATACAAATATTTTTTTTTATCTATTTTGTTTCTTTTGTCTTCGTCTTTTGTACGTGTCGAATATAGGTTATGCATTGCCACATGCCATCCTTCGTTTGGATTTGGCTGGTCGTGACTTGACTGATTACTTAATGAAAATCTTGACTGAACGTGGATACTCATTCACAACCACAGCCGAACGTGAAATTGTCCGTGACATCAAGGAGAAATTGTGCTATGTTGCATTGGACTTTGAACAAGAAATGGCCACCGCAGCCAGCTCAAGCTCATTGGAAAAGAGCTATGAATTGCCCGATGGACAAGTCATTACCATTGGAAATGAACGTTTCCGTTGCCCAGAAGCACTCTTCCAACCAAGCTTCTTGGGTATGGAAGCCTGTGGTATTCATGAGACCACATACAATTCAATTATGAAATGCGATGTCGATATCCGAAAGGACTTGTACGCCAACACCGTATTGTCCGGTGGTACCACAATGTATCCAGGCATTGCTGATCGTATGCAAAAGGAAATCACTGCATTAGCACCATCAACCATGAAAATCAAGATCATCGCACCACCAGAACGTAAATACTCTGTATGGATCGGTGGTTCAATCTTGGCATCGCTCTCAACATTCCAACAGATGTGGATTTCGAAACAAGAATACGACGAATCAGGCCCATCAATTGTACACAGAAAATGCTTCTAAGCTAGCCGAGCGACAACAACAACACACGCACCACCTCGCAGTCGATAATCGATCAGTCGTAGGCCGTAGCAACTCTAACAACTGCATCATCAATTCAACACAGTTCGCTACAGCAAAATCATCAAGAATAATATTAAAAATTGATAAAAAAAATACATTCAAAAAATACATTTAAAAAAAAAACAACAACAACCAACACATATTCTCAAAAAGAAACAGCAACAACAACAAAAAAAAACACATGCGCATTCACACATTACATATACTTAATTACTACTTTTTTTTCGTTATATGTATGATTAAAGAAGGAGAAATAAAAAGAAACACGAGAGAAAAACGAAAAAAAGAGAGAAAAAATCAATCAGAACGATGAATATGATGAATGAAATCTTCTTCTTTTTTCCTATTTCAAAGACGAAAATCGATATTTTCCATTTGAGATTTGAAATTGAATAAGTATTATATATGCAAAAAAGAAGAAGGAACTGCGTCTTGACGCAATTCCATTTTCTTTGCAAGCCAGTCGATTTAGTTTGTACGTTTTCATTTCTATCGTTTTTGATTCTTTTTTTCGACCAAGCATTTTTTCTTCATTTCAAAAGTATTTTTTATAGTATTTTTTTTTTGTCGTTTTGTTTTTTCGTTTTGAGAGATATTTTGCATAATTTTTTTTTTTCTTCGTTCGTTCGTTTTTGCATGGTCTTTCCAATTTCCATACACTACACAACAACAACAACAAAAAAAGAGAAACACACACATTCGTATGATTAAAATTAATAATTATTAATATTGAAACCAAATGAAGTTGGAATTAAAATAAAATAAAAAGTCGAAAAATAAACAATTTCATACAAAAAATGTAAAACCAAATGCACTTTCATTTAAAGAAAAAAACATCAACAGAAATAACAGCACATTTAAATAAAAGGAGAGAAAGATGAAAAAAAGCAATCAAATTGGCATATTTGAATTGGCCAAACAAATATTGAGTAAACGCTAATCATCAACCATATTCAAAAGCATCAGTAAGCATTTTTTGATTGTTTGTCAATTTGATTGAATCATCACACATTTGTTCAAACACACATACACAAAAATACCGCACCAATATCGAATATCAACCTTAATCTACATTCCATATTTAACGCAAGAGACATACAGAATGAAAGAAAAATGTCATTTTTTATTATGATTATTAATTCAATGCCAAAAAAACACATTCATCTACTAAGAACATCTGAAATAAATATAAACAATAAGAGAAAATCTCGAGTCTTTTTTACTTCTAATTTTCAAAAGTTTTATCTCTCTCTCTCTCTCTCTCTCTCTCTCTATAAATACCTTTCGATCGTTTATTCTTTGTTCGGTCGCCGTTGCTGTTGTGCACAATCAATTCACCGTTGTAATAGGCTCCGTGTGTTTGTTGTTATGTTCATTTTCATGTTTAATTCATCGGTGTTGTGCATTCAATTGGACGATATAGGAAATAATCGGCCCTATTAGACAAAAGCGTTCTATTCATGCCAGCACCGTTTGTGCAAAAATAATGAGCAAAGTTCTCCGTTTCTTGCCTCTATCTCCCCATTGTAACACTGAGAGAATAGAACTTCAATGGATATTAAGTTGAAAAAACGTTATTCGTGTCATAAAGAGATGCACATAATATGAATAAAGAAGAAAAAAAACTCCGTTGTAATTGGTTATTTTAATCTTATCGAATGTGGGTTATCTTTTTGCCGCAACGAAAAGCAACTTTGACGAATTTCGCTTTATTATATAAGCACAAAACTGACGATATGATTACGTCGATTAACGTCAGAATTAGCTTTTTATATCTGCCACAAAGTGGCTTACAATTTCATTATAATCGTTAGTGCACTGTGTTTGTGCCTAGATCAACGGAATGCAAGCAACAGGTGGATTATTAATTAAAACTCACAGATTTCATATTGTTTGCTCATTGAACGGTCACATGATTTTCGCCGGCGATAAATTCATTTGGATTTTCTATCTCATCTTCATTTGATTAGGTACTCATAGAGAGACACAAACACAATCGTAATGTATTATGTATGTGGCGCCAGAAGCAATATCATTACCACAGAGTGTGTTTACTCTTTTTGTGCTCGAATAAGGTAACAACAACAACAGGAAAAAGGTAGCAACAATAACAACTAATAATAAAAATAAAAAACATCGACTTTGTACAACGGAAAAATGTGATACGCATGCAAATGAGGGCGCGCTATGTGCGCTTCTTCAAGCGACGATGACATCACTCTCACTTTTTCGTTTGTGTGCATATGCCATACAACCCCTTTTGCAATAGAATACAAATAGTTTTTTTTCCTATTTCCTTTGATTGTTTGCCATTTTTTTCCGTTTTGAATCGTGGACATTACAAGGTGCAAACACATCAAGCAGTAGCTCAAACAGGAAAAAAAATATGAAATCACGGCTGTAAATAACATTCTTGTTATCTGTGTTCTCTTCCATTTGGCCACGAGAACACTTTGTTTTTCAATGTATTCAATGTGTATGTGGGCCACTGTATATAGTGACTACCTCTTATTCAATGTTTATTCAAGTTTTAGCAAAAACACACAACCATGACTCTGTGATGTATTTGATTGCCAATTAAATGACATTGATAAATTGTATCATTCTATTGGACTAATAGACACGACGTATTCCAATGCCGAACATGTGTTCAATATTCGCTAACAATTAGCGCCACTTTACATCATCAAAACGTATAATTCCATTAATTTAAATCATTGATGTGTTCATCGTTTTCTATTGTTTGTTTCTTTTGAAGCACCTCACATCGAAGCTTTCATTTGCAAACAACTTCAGGTTATTTTACACCTGGAAAAAGCTCACAAAAGTTTCGAATGAAAGTTTTTTTTATTATTATTTTGAATTGTTTTAACTTAAATATTCACATTGGAAGCGGAAAATCACAGTAATTTGAACCAATATAGCGCTGGTCATTCTCATTTTTTGTATTAAAAATAGTAAAATAAAAAGTAAATTGAGAGTACTTATGGAATGAAAAAAGTAATGGATTCATATAGGTTATATGAATGGGTAAGGTTTAAAGTGAGCTCAAATCCCGATGAAAACAAAAGCATCATGATTTTTTTTACATAGATTTGTTACAACAACAAATTCATACAAAAAAAAAATGCATGTTGGTCCTTTATTTTCATCGGGATTTGAGCTCACTTTATTCCTCGTTCATATATGCATATGGGTTGAGTCTGTTGTTGTATTCAATTGAAAAATCAAGAAATGTTTTTTTTTTTAAATCCATATTTTATTAAATATCAAATTTATTATTTAAATTGAAGCCATTCCCATATTTGTCCGATAATATTGTATTTGATGAAAATCATATAAAACAAGAATATGTACCACACCGTGACCAACGTATAATGAACAAATTCGAATCTGAAAGTAAAAATCACACACAATGAAAATGCTCTGTTTAAAATTTAAAATAATGAAGGTTATTAACCTTTTGTAGTTGCGTCTGGCTCGCGGAAGATTCTCGTCCTTTTCGTTTAGTAAATATCGGCGCGCCCCTAAAATTGTGTTTATCATATTAAATATCCATTGAAATTTTGAATTGAAAACTTTAAGTTCTGCAGAACATACCATACATGCAAGCAATAAAATACTTTCGAATGTCACCGGTGACAAAACGATCAAAGCGAAAATCGTTTATGTCCTCCGGTTTAATGATGTCATTCAGTGCCAGAAATTTTGCATTTTTAAATACCCAATGCGTCGTAATGAAGTAATGTAACGCCAAATTCGCCCCGTAAATACGCCGTTGTAATTTTGTTACGCTAAAGATTTTTTTATTATTGAGGTGGCATTTTAAGAATAATGAAAAAAATTTAACATCAAAAATACCGGACACTTACAATTGCCGTTGGCCCATTAATTTAAACACAAAGTCAATGAAGAATGCAGTAAACAATTGGAATAGAACAAACTGAAAAATAAAACACAACGTCATTTAAAAATGAATAATGCATGAAGATGACTTGTTGGTTTTGCATGTGTTGGACATTTACCCTAATAAAGTTATTGTATCGACATTTTGTGATTGATCCACCGGGCAACCAAATCATTTTATCGATTGGAACATCGGGTGCTAGTTTTCGGCCCATTTCCACGATGAAACCGGTGGTGAATTTGCGCTGAATCGATGTCGAACAATTATACACAGGTACAGATTCAGGTGGTTCGGATTCAACAGCACGCTTCCATGCAGCGACTATCATTGCTTTGATTGAGGTGTCAACCGGTGTGAAATCGGACACAACATCGGGATCACCGTACGTGGTACGAAGTAAACCCAAACCACAAGCTAATAATAATCCAGTTGGACCTAAATTAGTATGAGAAATTGTTATTTTTGATAAATCATGAGATTTCTTGGAAAGTGGAATGGAGCGTGGAAAAAATAAGATGTTTTTTTTTTTTGCATATCAATTGACGTAATGTGGTTTATAGATATTCGTTAGCACTTTTTAAATGTCAATCCAAGATTAAAATGTTCAAATTGTTTGTCATTCAATTCGTTTTAAATATAGATACTATTTTAAGAAAACTAATTATTTTGTACAAACCATTAAAGTTATCGATCCACCCTGGCATGGGTTCATCTAAAGACGAAACCACAATCGATGGTCGATAAATAACGACGGGTAAACGGTTACTGAAGTCCTTCACTGCTTGTTCGGCCAAACCTTTTGTAAAAGTATACGTATTTGGTTCGGCATTTGTAAACTTTTCCGTTAAAGCATTTAAAGTCTCTTCGTCGTGCTTTTCGGCAATTTTAATAGCCATTTTCCAATCACCATTTGGTGGATATAACATCTCTTCGACGACTTTCTTGTCGGGATTACAATAAGTCGTAGAAACATGCAAAACAACACGAATTTGTTTAAGTTTTTCGGCCAATCGCATCACCTCAACGGTTCCACGAGTATTCAATAGAATAGCATTTTTCAATGAATCATCGAATCTCACACATGCAGCCGTATGAAAAATAACCGATACATTTCCGATGCGCCTTAAATCCTCATCACTAATCCCAAGACCTTTCATCGTGCAATCTCCGTTGATGGCACATAATTTACTGAAATGATTTGGATACTCTTGGTGCAAGCGATCAAATACACGTATTTTTCCCAATTCTTCCAATCGCTGCTCTGGCGTTTTATTCTTTTTGGCTCGAATCAAAATGAAAATTCGATTCAAATCGGGGCATGAACGTAATAACTTTTCTATCAGCACTTTGCCCATGAAACCTTTGGAGAAATGCACAACATCACTTTAACACTGTTTTTAGGAATAAATTGTGAATATTTACCAGAACCGCCAGTGATAAATATATCACGACCCTTGAAAAACTCTTTGATACCCGGTGCTGCTTCATCGATCATTTTTACACAATTTTTAAAACACAGATATAAATTAAATCGGTTTTATTTATTTATTTCTTATTTGCTCCGTACTCGATAAATTTAGCAAAACCCTAACGGACCGGAAAATAGCTCTTAACACGCTCACGTTTTGAATCATACTGTTTGGCGCATGGACAATTCAATTTGATCACGGTTTGTTTGCTGCGTCAGTTTTCGTGGGTTTTTGCATAAACGTTCGACACTCTGTTATTCGAACCCAGACTTGAACTTAAAAAAAAAACTAGTAGTCGCGGTTTGAACATTTGGATGAATGTGTATACAGACAAATACAATTTCAATATTCAATCCTATGGAAATATGTGACTGTACAATTGAACTTAACCTTTTTTCTATTTCCATTTTAAAATGATGATTTGCACAAATTTTGAACATAGGTTCTTACGAATTTTGAAAAAGATAAGTAGTGATACTTTCACGTTTTTTAAAAGAAAGAAAAGAGAAAAAAAACATTTTGTTTAAATTCATATTTTATTACGCAATACTAATTGAATTCAGTCCATTCCCATATTTGCCCGATAATATTGTATTTGATGAAAATCATATAAAACAGGAAAATGTACCACACCGTGACTACCGTATAATGGACCAATGCGAATCTAAAAATAAAAGATGAAAATGGTCTGTTTGAAATTTAAAACCATGAATGTCATTAACCTTTTGTAGTTGCGTCTGGCTAGTGGAAGATTTTCGTCCTTTTCGTTCAGCAAATATCGGCGCGCTCCTAAAAATGTGTGTCATCACATTAAATTTCCATTCAAATTTTGAATTAAAAAGTTTAAGTTCTGCAGCACATACCATACATGCAAGCAGTAAAATACTTTAAAAAGTCAGCGGTGACAAAACGATCAAAGCGAAAATCGTTTAGGTCCTGCGGTTTAATGATGTCATTCAGTGCCAAAAACTTAGCGTTTTTAAATATCCAAGACGTCGTAGTGAAGTAATGTAATGCCATATTCGCCCCGTAAATACGTCGTTGTAATTTTGTTACGCTAAGAATTTTTTTTAGTGAGATGACATTTTAAATAATAATAAGAATGTTAACACCAAAAATACCGGAAACTCACAATTGCCGTTGGCCCATTAATTTAAGCACAAAGTCTATGAAGAATGCGGTAAGCAATTGGAATAAAATGAACTGAAAAACAAAACACAACGTCATTTAAAAATGAATAATGCATGAAGATGACTTGTTGGTTTTGCATGTGTTGGACATTTACCCTAAAAAGGTAGTTGTATCGACATTTGGTGACGGTTCCATCAGGCAACCAAATCATTTTATCCATGGGAACATTCGAAGCTATCATTACGCCCATTTTCGAAATGAAACCGCCGGTAAATTTGCGCTGAATCGATGTCGAACAATTATACACAGGTACAGATTCAGGTGGTTCGGACTCAACACCACGCTTCCATGCAGCGACTATCATTGCTTTGATTGAGGTGTCAACCGGTGTGAAATCGGACACAACATCGGGATCACCGTACATGGTACGAAGTATACCCAAACCACAAGCTAAAAATAATCCAGTTGGACCTAAATTATTAAGAAAAATTTATACAGAGTTTAATCGATATTTTTAGCGCTATTTAAATGTCTAGCCAAGACTAAAATGTTCACATTATTTTTTATTCTCAAATCGTTTCAAAAATAGATAATTTTCTATTGTTTTGTACAAAAGTCTTTGTAACTTTGCACTTATATTCCACGAAATGTTTTGAGTTTCTTTTTCACGTAACATGTACGAATGGATTTGTGGTGGAAAATAACGAAAGTTTTTTACATACTACAAAAATGGTAGTGCATTTTACGCTGCGATACTTATGCGTTTTTTTAAACACGTTTTGTTAATTTTCTGATTTATTTGTTCACATACCAAAATAAATTTGTACATTAGACGAATCGTTTGTATAATGTACGAATTTTTTTTTACTTTGTTATATATACAAAAGGTTTGTCCAAAGACTAAAGAAATTTTTCGGTGTATTCTTTTAAGGAAACTAATTATTTTGTACAAACCATTAAAGTTATCGATCCACCCTGGCATGGGTTCATCTAAAGATGAAACCACAATCGATGGTCGATAAATAACGATGGGTAAACGGTTACTGAAGTCCTTCACTGCTTGTTCGGCCAAACCTTTTGTAAAAGTATACGTATTTGGTTCGGCATTTGTAAACTTTTGCGTCAAAACATTTAACGTTTCTTCATCGTACTTTTCAGCAATTTTAATAGCCATTTCCCAATCACCATTTGGTGGATATATCATCTCCTCGACGACTTTCTTGTCGGGATTACAATAAGTGGTAGAAACATGCAAAACAACACGAATTTGCTTAAGTTTTTCGGCCAATCGCATCACCTCAACGGTTCCACGAGTATTCAGAAGAATAGCATTTTTCAATGAATCATCGAATCTCACACATGCTGCCGTATGAAAAATAACCGATACATTTTCGATTCGCTTCAAATCCTCATCACTAATCCCAAGACCTTTCATCGTACAATCACCGTTGATGGCACATAATTTACTAAAATGATTTGGATACTCTTGGTGTAAACGATCAAATACACATATTTTTCCCAATTCTACCAAACGCTGCTCTGGCGTTTTATTTTTTTTGGCTCGAATCAAAATGAAAATTCGATTCAAATCGGGGCACGATCGTAATAACTTTTCTATCAGCACTTTGCCCATGAAACCTTTTGAGAAATGCACAACATCACTTTAACACTGTTTTTTTGGAATAAATTGTGAATATTTACCAGAACCGCCAGTGATAAAAATATCACGACCCTTGAAAAACTCTTTGATACCCGGTGCTGCTTCATCGACCATTTTTACACAATTTTTGTCTTTAGAACACAGATTAATATAAATTAAGTCGGTTTTATTTTTACCGTACTCGATTAATTTTTCAAAACCGTTACGACCGGAAAATAGCTCTTAACACGTTCTCCCTTTGAATCATACTGTTAAGCTAAATGAAAATTCAATTTGATCACAGTTTGTTTGCTGCGTATTAGTTATTAATCGGTACTGTGTTCTAATACAATTCAAATATGCACTCTTATGGAAATATGTAATTGGAAAAAAATAACTTAACCTTTATTTAGTATTTAGTTTATTTATTCCATTCATTAGTAACCTAATGATCCAGTTTCAATAAAATTCTATTAAAACATTTAAAAATCATTGCATTGTATCCTGAAATCACTGCGTAAGAACTTATTTCGGATTTTAATCGCTTTCGTGATCCCAGGATTGTTTAATGAATTTTCTACTAATTTAAAACGTGCAAATAAGGTGGAAACAGTTGTAACGATTTACCAAGAGAATGCAACTGGAATGCTATTTTAATCATTAATTCCCGTTTCTCTATTTCTCTTTCGTGGAGCACAGACTGTATAATTAATCCATAACTATATCCGCTATTTTCACTGCACCATTTTAGGAAGAGTGAAATAAATATAACCTATAAGAATTCATCTAATTTGTAAAATGTAATAATACGCAATAGTCTATATTTTATGTATTGTAGAATATGCGTTAATTATTTAATTTGATTTTCTTCCTCAATACCAAATAAAAAGTAAAAGTGTTACAATAAATAAAAATAAAAGGGTATAGAACATCCATGCCATTATGTCATACATTAGATTATCATCATTCGTTGAATGCGAAATTGGACCCAAACCATCAGGTGCATCACTATTCGAGTTGATGAATTCATCTTGCAACATTTCTCTGGTGTTGATGTTTGCTATTGGATCTGAATGCATTAATCGAATATTAATTTCAACATAATCCGATCAGTGCCATAAAATTAAAGAAAAATATTGAAGAATTCATACCTGTTTTGACATATGCGCGAAAAAGTCTTGAGTCTTCAAAGATATTATCATCGAGCTCTTCTCCTTTTACTGTAAATATCCCGAAGGTGTTGATTGTTATAATATGAATACAATAATAATAAACAATAATGTATTTTCTTTTAACAAAAAATGTAATAGTTTACCTCTTCCACTTCTAAGTTTCATTTTAAAAGTACGGAAAACCAGTTAAAATTCACTTGCGTCTTGTATTGTATCTGTGTTTCAATTTCAATTTGTTTATATTTAAATCCAATTCGAACTTTTATTTATGTAAACAAATAGTATCAACTTAGCGACACCACCGCCTCTCCGACCCGTTCGAAAACATTTTTGAAAATGAAAAAGAAAATTTCAATGAATTTTGTACTTTTGATTTTAAAAGTGAAGAAATCATAATGAAAATAAGTAAAAATCAAGGTAGGCCAGGTTAATATTGATTAATAGACAACGGTAGCTTTTTTCAATATCATCATACGAACGAAATCATCGTAAAACGGTTAAAAGAACGCAACCTATTTTTGTTTAGCCCAAAAATTGACATTTGCACATCTGACATATAATCAGATTGAAAACAAGAAACATCACAACAACAACAACAGTGCGGCAATAAGCATTCAATCATCCGAAATGATACGAAATGGGCCGATTAGCAAAGCAAATTGAATAAGAAACTCATCTCAAATGATAAAGAATTTGTTTTCTATGGAGATTCAAAGTGTTTGTGTTAGTTTCAGAGTCAAAAGTGACAAAAGACGATTGGATGCTCTGTTATTATCGTCGTAAAGACGTTCACGACTGTTTGTGATATGAATTAAAACACACATGTGGTTTCACATTGGTGGAATTCCGTAATCTCATTGAAATATAGCTCGTCTCTCAACGACACTTGCTAGTCGTTTTATTTTGAAGAATATTAAAAATAGATACAAAAAAGTCGAATAAAATAAAGTGTTGACAATGACTGGAATGTGTGCCATCTACAGCAATTTTGCTCAATCACGGCAACCGATAATATCATTGACATCGACGGTAATTCGCGGCACCACTCAAATACATGTGCGTCGAAATTCAGTTTTAGCTTACGCACACGATACAACCACCATTTATTCCGTATCCAAACAAAGTCGCATATCGTCTCTTCTTAACGTTAAATCTTTGGGAGCACCTTTATTGACGGTAAGTCTGGAATTCAATTGAAATTTGACTTTTTTAACATCAAAATCAAATCACAACGAAAAGTGTTGAACAGTGCAAAAAAATATATAAAGTGATTAGCACATGTCGATGTGTATGATCAACCAGACGAGAATCAATTAAGTGGCTACGGCAACCTGTTATTAATCAGAACAACATAGCAAGCAAGTGTGTTTTTCGATGTCATAACATCAATGCAAAAAAAAAATTCCAATTGATTTGAAATCGAAAATTACTTAATCCCCAAGTCGCGACCGAAAGTTTCATACCAAATACATTTTCAAGCTGATTTTTTGCTGATAATTGATAATTAAATTGAATGTGCTCCTTAACAAGATACGATTTATTGTCGCACTGTTGAACTGTTGATAAGTTTGCACCGTTATAGCAAAAAAAAAAAAAAAACCATCATCGTTATCATTTTTGTTGTTTTCGTAGTCTAATGTATAAATTTATTTGATATAAATATTATGCAAATTAAATAAATATTCCGTTGGGGGTAACAACAAACGACGTTGTTGACGTGCATGGCATTTGTTTTTCTTTTATTATATCAATTGATCAATGGAAAAACATATTTTTCGAAGGCTTCTCTTATCAGTTTCCCTCATTTTAAAAAGATTTATACAAACATAAGTTCAACAAATGACCCCAAATCTGCTAACGAACATCGTCGTATTGATAGCACGCACTTTTTATGAACTCGACAACAAAACATTTTTCAATCTAAAATACACGATCAATTTAATGATTCCATTTAATAACGTGTTATTCGTCGCTGCAGGCAGATCGATCATTTAACAAATCAGTTCTTTCTTTAAGTGGAAAATTTTATTTATTTTATACGAAACTAGATCAAGATACGAAAATGGCCAAAGTAATTCCATTTTTTTCATACATTTTTTTTAAGTTTATTTATTTTTTCAACAATTTTTGGAACACTTTGTAAAAGTATAAAAATATTTTCAATAAATTTTTTTATGATTTTTTTCCATCACAGAGAGAAATGTCTGGTTCATCAAAAATGTTGCACACAAATTTGTGGGAGAGTGATCCCGAATTGACGGATTTGATCAAAAAGGAGAAGAGCCGTCAAAGCAAAGGTCTGGAAATGATTGCCAGTGAAAATTTCACATCGTTGTCAGTGTTACAGTGCTTAAGCTCATGCTTGCATAACAAATACAGCGAAGGCTATCCAGGAAAAAGGTACATATACAGCTATGAATAATTATTATTGCAAATAAGCAATAAGAGAAAAGAGAAAGAAAAACAAAGAAGAAATATTATTAAATAAAGAATTATTTTTAAATAATTTCGAAAATATAAACAAACGTTATAAAAAAATATTTCAATTCTATCATTTTCCACTCAGATACTATGGTGGCAACGAATTTATCGATCAAATTGAATTGTTGTGTCAAAAACGTGCTCTTGAAACGTATGGCTTGAATCCAGAAGAATGGGGTGTCAATGTACAACCATACTCCGGTTCACCAGCCAATTTCGCAGTCTATACTGCAATTTGTGAACCACATGGTCGTATTATGGGTCTTGACCTTCCCGACGGCGGTCATTTGACTCACGGTTTCTTTACGCCAAACAAAAAAATTTCAGCCACATCAATTTTCTTCGAGAGCATGCCATACAAAGTCGATCCAACCACCGGACTAATTGACTACGAACAATTGGAAAAAACAGCGCGCCTTTTCAAACCGCGTGTCATTGTAGCTGGTGTATCTTGTTATTCACGTTGTTTGGATTACGCTCGTTTCCGTGATATTGCCAATCAAAACGGTTCATATCTATTCGCTGATATGGCTCACGTGTCTGGATTGGTTGCTGCTAAGGTCATTCCAAGCCCGTTCGAACACTGCGATATCGTCACCACGACCACACACAAAACATTGCGTGGGCCACGTGCCGGTGTTATCTTTTATCGCAAAGGAGTCCGATCGGTGAAACCAAACGGTGACAAAGTATTGTACGATTTAGAAGCGAAAATCAACGAAGCAGTTTTCCCAGGCTTACAAGGGGGTCCACACAATAATGCAATTGCTGGCATTGCAACCGCTTTGAAACAAGCACAATCACCCGAATTCCAACAATATCAACAACAAGTCGTTCGCAATGCCAAACGTCTTTGCGAAGGTTTGATCAGTCGTGGATACAACATTACCACTGGTGGTACAGACATTCATTTGATTTTGGTTGATTTGCGCAATGTCCAAATTACTGGTGCTCGTGCCGAATACATTTTAGAAGAAATTTCAATTGCTTGTAACAAGAATACAGTGCCAGGAGATAAATCGGTAAGAACTTTATGAATATTTATATGAATAATTGCAATAAGACATACATATAATAAACATTTTTCATACAGGCATTGAATCCATCTGGCATTCGATTGGGCACACCAGCATTAACAACACGTGGTTTGGTTGAAACCGACATTGATTTGGTTGTTGATTTGATCGATCGCGGTTTGAAATTGTCCAAGGAAATCGCTACGGTTTCGGGACCAAAATTGGTAGACTTTAAAGCTGCTTGCCATTCCGAAGAATTCAGTGGTAAAATTGCTGCTTTGCGTAAGGAGGTTGAAGACTTTGGCGCAACATTCTCAATTCCTGGTACAGCCGATTTGTAAATTTAAGACTTTTTTTTCTCTAATATCGTTCATTCCGTTGCGGAACTAAAACCTGGCCATAATCAATGTGAAAATAATCAAGAACAAATACAAAGTTGTTGCAATGCATCAAAAAAAAATATATATTTAATGATTTTTCATACTATCAAATCACGCTTATCCTTTGCCTTTTTTGACTAAAAAGAACAAAAACTCGATTGTGTTAATAATACATCTTTTTTTCTATACAACATTGTGAAAATAAAAGTCTTAGACAAACGAAAAAAAAAAGATTATTTGTTTCCTTTTATCGGTTTTTGTTACTTATATCTCGTAGTATATTAAAAATGTCTTTTTCCGACTGCAATAAACAAGAAAGGAAAATGTATAGAGAGAAAGTCTTTATAATTCAAGTGGAATGTGATTGAGATTGACTTTGGGGGTGGGGAATATATAAATCTAACAACAGCTACCAAGAACTGTGCGAACATATACGAAAAGAACAAAAAAAAGAAAAAAAGATAGTATAATGCTAATAAAAATAAATGTGAAAATTGATAATAATTTGATAACACAGTGTGAATGAGTGCCTGTGCATACATAGAGATTAGTTATTAGAGAGTTTCGATTGAATAACAGATCTTGATGTATCAAAATAATACAATCACTTAAGTATCATCAGTTTTTGAACATACACAACAAATAGTACAAAATAAACATCTAATTTGGACTTTGACAGAGTCTCATCAATCTCAGGTTATTACATTTTGTTCGCTGTGGCTTCGATTATTTCACTACTCAGCTTGTACATGTGCATGTATAGCAATTTTGTCATTCGAGATTTTTTTTTATAGATAGTAACAGGACAGAGACGATAATTCACTCAGTTAAAGCTCGCTCATTACAAATTATAATAGTAGTTTAGTAGTTTGGACGACCATCTGATGCACGGGAGTCGTTCAAATCAATTGAAATGTTCCCATCCTGTTCGAGCATCGCCATCAATTTTTGACGCATTTTCTTATCGTTCGAGCATGTACACGTTATCAATGCGGCCAATTGTTTTGTTGAATAGGTGCGCTTGGCCTTCTCCTCATAGATCCAAGTTTCCAACAAATCTTTCGGCAAATAATAAGTTTTTATGTAACCATCTACATAGCGATGATGATGTGGAAATTTTAATCCCGACAATAGTTCCAAAATTGACATAAAATGTGCAAAATCCAATTGCATTAAGGCGCGACCACCTGGTGAACATTTTTTCGCATTTGAATAGCTGAAAGTGTGGCGGAACAAATACAAAGTTACATGAGCAAATGGATAAATCGATGAGAGGTGCATATTTACCCTTCAACCAATGTGTGTGTCATAACATGAGCAACACAGTCCCAGATGGGCTGTTTTGGAATGGACAACATTGTCTCAATCTCTTCCAAACGCATTGCAAACAGTTGAAGACCCTGGAAAGGTAAATTTTGATTGTTGTAAGTAAAAATTCTTTTTTGGCATATGATATCGCCCAATCATTTTTATACAAATAATTCGATGCGGGTGACACATCATATGCTCAATTCAAACAACAATTCGGCAGAATTTATTTCTGACCTTTAACTACTTGGAAAAAAAAGAAAAAAAAGAATTATTAAATGATTGCTAAAAATGGCACACTCACTCGATTCATGTTATTGACATAAGTACTGTGCTCGACATTCACATGATTTATATCCCACTTGACCTTGGCCATAGACGCGAGTATACCATCCAAATCGTTAACCTTGGCCGCGACGCACATATAAATTGGTTTCCTCAGCTCTTGCAAATTGACGTTTGTTTCATCGAAAAACGCTGCCAAAAAGCGATTATCATTCGGTTGCAGCAAATGTTCCAAATATTCACGAATTTGGGCGAATTGTTGTACTAACGTAATTGCACTTTCAACACCGACAATACGAGACAGAAGGCCATAGCTTGTGTCTGGATCATTCAAATCTTGTTGAATCTGTGTTAAAAATAGAAAATCAGTGAAATTTTCGTATACCTATACGATTGAATCAACTTACAATGGACATTTCTGATCGCCAGTTGCTCACTTTCGGCACAATTTCAGCTGCAATGCGATTCAATTGATCTCTTAAGTTGAACGTGTACAAATTGTCACTGGACAACGATAAATCTGATGCGAACAATTTATGCACCACATAAATATAGAATTCAATCAATTCCATCATACATTTTACGATTTGCGGTGAAATCGAATGGAGTAGTTTGCACATTTGTAGATAACGACCAATACATCGTAAAACATTCAAACTGGAATTGTTCACGGTCATATTTGAGGTCGGTGTTAATGCTGTGTCTGTATCTTCTACATTTGCATTGGAATCACTTTTCACATTTGCATTCACTTCATTCAACTGATTATCTTCTTCGCTTTCTTCGGAAAAGTAGCACGATTCATCGGCAATGCCAGCTAAAATATCCTCTTCGAGCATCGTTACATCAAAACCACCGTCAAACGGTGAACTCTTCTCCGAGAATCGTAAGAAGTAACCGCACGAACCATACACTGAACTATTGCAATCTTCTTGTGAATGATTCGATAAATTTTCATCGGCCAATTGATTTTCGTAGCTCTTCTTTCGTTCGGCGAGTCGCTTTGATGGAGACATTCGAGTACCAGTCGACAGTGGATCCGATGATGAATCCATCTTATCTCTTCGTAGGAATCGTTGTAACGAACTTTTAACCGCATTAAACTCTTGTAATTGAATCAAATTGCTGAATGAATGAATCGGCATCCATGCCTCGTTGTCAAGAAACAAACGAATTTCATCCAATGAAGACTTGTGATAACGTTCAAAAAACTGTACACTCTGCGATTTCATCGATTCGATCAGCAATGTTGATGGTTCATTGCAAAATTCCATACCAACTTTTCGTAAACGTTGCACTATCGAAAGCACCTGAATAAATTGTTCGTATTTTAATGTATGCAGTGTTGGGCTAGTCGATAAAAACACCGCCAGTTTTGATTGAATGTCGTTCCAAATGCGATTGTAGCCAGTTTTAAATTTTTGTTGTGTGTACGTATTTTGTTCGATTTCCGATTCGGCATCCCGTTCGGCGATTAACTTCGGTGGTCGGGTGTTATGATGCCAAAGTGCCACTTGATAGTAACATACCAGAATGCACCAAAATGATTTGCACAATTTTATCAAACACGGAATGAACCGTTCGGATGAAATATTCTGCGAGAAAAAAAGACGGACAAATATCAAGAGATGATGATGCAAAAATGAGAACAATAATGATTTGGTTTACCTCACACAATTCTTCAAAGAGACATTTTTGCTTTTCCTCACCATTGCGTTCGACAAACTCCTTGAGTACAGTAAAGGCTTGTGTATGAATGGCTAAAATTTAATGAAAATAATATTTATTTAATAATTTTTATAATATTTTTTATGTTTATTTTTTTACTTGATATGAAATTCATGTGTAATTGATCAATGGCTGTCATTGATTTTCCCAGCAAACGATATGCGTCCTGTAGATTCGAATAGGTCTTCACATCAAAACTGTGCGGTACATCACCGAGCACTGTGTCCAATTGTAGTTCAGTCATCAGCAATGTGTCTTGCAGCTTTTGTGCCAATGCAGCAACGCAAACATATTGACTATTTTCAGCTGCCAATCGTTTACATTCCAATAACAATGAAATTGCACCGGAATAATTTTGTGTGTCCAACAATTTTTGCAATTGAATTTCGGTGGATTTTAATTTTTTCAATTTGTACAAAGTTCGTAGCATTTTTTGCATTGCTTCTCGCTTTTTGTACATGGCCAATATTTGTAAATTGGTGGTGGTTAGATTTTTTTTCGCACAACTCAAGTATGAACGGGCTTTTTTACATTCCAACAATGATTGCTGGAGCATCACATCTGCTTCTTGGATTGATTTTGTTTCGCTATTGCATGAATTTTGCTTCTCGAGTATATTTTGAAGGACTTTCTTCGAGATAACTTTGTGCTGTTGCTTTAGCACCATCATTGCACGTTGCACAGACTCTTCGTCCATATCACCTTCGATGAATTTCTGCAAAATTCAACAAAAAAAATGTCAAATTTCAATTCTTGAATGTGAAGTAATTCGTTTCGAAGTAAAAGAAAATTTAATGGATTCAAGCATATAAAAACGTATGCCAAATGTCAGTAGCTAATAAATAATGATGTTAATTCCAATAAAAATGTTATAAACTCACATTAAGCTCATAAATGCCAGTGTCGACGTTTTCTTGAAAATAAATGGGCTCGGTGGAATCGAAAATTTCTTGGTCGGGAATGAGTAAAGTTTGTCGCTTAGCAAATTCATCATCGCCATCGTCTGCTGTGACAGCGGCAATCGCACATATGTTCAAAAGAATTGATTCATCCGTTGTACTTTGCACCTCGTTTACACTTGATTTACGTTTATTTGTATCGCTTACTGTTGACGACAATTTTTTCTTTGTGTAATTATCGGTAAATCCCATTTGTGGAATCTTTAAATTTCGATTCTGTTGGATACCAAGCATAAAATTATTTCACTATTTGCACAGATTTCAATTATCTCAAGGCCACGAAACTTACCTGATGTTTATCGAGAAAGTCTCGAAATTTGTGCTTGATTTCGTCCATTGTGTCATAAAATTTCACAATTGTACATTATTTCTCGCACAACGAGAAATGGAATGCGTGTATTTTACTACTGACTGCCTACCAAATGTTGTATTATGACACCTTACAGACTTTTATGCTACTATGTGTATAATATACATACATTTCATTTCTAATGACTCTTTTTCTCTGCCATTCTCTCACCTATGCGTCATTGTATTGGAAATGGCAAGACTGTCACACTCATATGACAGTAGTTTTGAATAGAAATTCGTAAATATTACGTATTTCGTAGAATACACTGTTAATACACCAACTGTCAAGCACTCACACATACGTGAAAACGTAATACATGTGTGACAGTTCTTTCTCCATCAATTCCGTACATTGTTTTTCCATGTCCATGGATGGATTGTTTACAATTTGATGTGAATCAGACTAATCAAATATTACTTTACAATCCAGACAGTACACGACATCCGACGACATCGTATTAATCTATTAATACTTGACACACTCCCTCAATGATACTGTAAACGGTGGGTGAACAGTCGTTTGTCATGATTTAAACAATGCAGTCGCTTATGTGTTGTTCGTCGTGAATGTTTCACATTTTGGTGAACCAAAGTCATCTGACACAAATTTCACTGTGATTTTATTGTTGGTTGCACGAAAACACGTTTTACATTTTATTACGACAATATTTTACGCATTTAGTGGTGGAACGATTAATCGATTTTTTTTCTTTTGATAACTTTTGTGCATCAAGGTGTGTCAACAGAGTGCATATTTTTCGATAATTCAATTAGTTCACGCGGTTATTTTTGTAACAGATCCACTTGGCATTTTGATGTGATAAGATGTGGGAATTTTCGCAAGATTCCGTTACAGAGCAATTGAAAGTTGATCAAGCATTGCTCAACGTAAGCTCAACATTGGATGATAATTTGTGGCTTTATCAACTCTCGAGTGAATGTGTTGCGGTGAGATTTTTCATTTTGTTATTCGCTTTAAACACTCGAAAAAAAAAGAGATCAATTTTTATTTTCATCGTTTCAAAATTGATTTTACAACAATAATAATAATCGATTTCGAATCGTTTGAATGAACATGAAAGTTTTTGATAGCTATTTCAAATTTACTAAAATTTTATGTTGTTTTATTTATACTTCAATTAACAGTTCATTTCGAAGTAAATTTGATTTCGGTTTTTCAAAGTATGTTTGTTCACATGTTTAGTTTCTATTTGTCTCCTTTGTAGTGTCCTTATAAAAAATTAAAGAGAATCCCGGCACGAAGCTATATCGTTGAACGAATCAATACAGCAACCCAACTTAAATGGTCATTATATAAGTCTAATATTGGCCCATATGCGTTTGAAAACACGTAAGCTATTTGTTGCTCTTATTTTTATTCACAGTTGTTTTCCATTGAATGAATTAAATTAGACTATCGATTTCTATTACTTCTCGTGTAGCACCGCACACTGTGTTATTAGTCCGGACAATTTAGGCCAATTTGGCATTTACAATTTGACTATCGACGATAAAGGCTGTTCGTTTAACACACATCAAACGCCAGTCAATCGAGATTTGTGTAAGTGATATCGGTCACTCGTGTACAGACGCTTTTAACGATATCTTTATTATGAATCATAAAGAGTCTAATTTTAGTTTTTATATGGTGCCGCTTTATTTAAATTGAAAAATAAAGCGGATGATTATTTTTGATGAATTTTTAATGAATGTTTCAATTTTCTAGCGATAATATTGGTGTTGGTGTTTATTGCATTGGTATATGTGGCATTTACACTGTTACAAAGTGGCCGACAATATTGGTTGAAGCGACAAAATACAACCGCTTCAACGAGTCAACTCGATGGTGATGCAACAGTTGCAGCGGTTAATGCGTCCATTCAAAAGAATACATCGCAACGATTGCGTAGTTTGGATGCATTTCGCGGTTTGGCCATTGTGACGATGATTTTTGCAAATAGTGGATGTGGTAAATATCATTGGTTGGAACATGCAAGTTGGAATGGCATACATCCGGCTGATTTTATATTCCCATCATTTCTATGGATTATGGGTGTTTGCATTCCAATTTCGTTAAAGTCACAGTTTGCAAAAAATATCCCGCGATCGGATATTCTTAGCAATATTTTTGTTGTGAGTATAATATTGGTAAAATTCGATGTGAATTCGACCAATTAATTTTCTTTTCTTTCGTACAGCGATCTGTTAAGCTTTTTTTCATCGGTTTGCTAATTCACACTGCGCATGGCCCAGACATACGTGACATTCGCATCATGGGCGTACTACAACGATTTGGAATTTCTTATCTCGTAGTTGCTTCGCTGCAAGTTCTACTGCGAAAACAAGTGGCAATCGATTCAGAGGAGCGTTCACGTTCATGGCGAATCTCATTCCTTGATGTCACATCATTGTCGTCTCAATGGATCATAATGCTTGTCATAACGGCTTTTCATTTAATCGTAATTTTCTTTATACCGGTGCCAAATTGTGGCGTGGGCTACCTTGGACCTGGTGGCATTCACGAAATGGGACGTTTCAATAATTGTATTGGCGGCGCAACAGGGTACGTTGATCGATTGATAATTGGTACAAGACACTTGTATCAAAGACCACGCGCTACTGCGATCTACGACGAACGAATGCCATTCGATCCGGAAGGTCCGTTTGGATGCTTGTTAACAATCGTCCAAGTTTTCTTTGGAGTTCAATGCGGCAACACATTGTTGTTATTCACAAGACCCATTGATCGTTTGAAGCGATTTTTGAGTTGGAGTATCATCACATTTTTACTCGGCGGCTGCTTATGCCAATTTTCTATCAATGACGGCCTGATTCCAATCAACAAAAATTTATGGTCACTTTCATTTGTTCTGGTCACGACTTCAGTAGCATTTTTAATTCTATCCATTTTTTATGTCATTATTGATGTGAAGTGCTATTGGAGCGGCAAACCGTTAACGTTCGCTGGGATGAATGCAATTCTCATGTACATTGGTAGCGAATTGTTTGGGCGAATGTATCCGTTTTATTGGCATTTTAACGGCATGAATACTCACTTTATGTTCTTATTGTCAAATTTGTGGACAGCTGCGGCATGGACATTTGTTGCTTATTATTTATATATACGTAATTTCTTTTTCTCATTGTAATATAGACATTTAAGTAGAGAAAAAAAGAGACTGCACTTTTTTTAGTGCAAGGCCAATCATTTGAAATTCAAGTGTATTTTGGGATTGTGGAATAAAATAAAGATTTAATATTTTAGTGGAAATCATATTTCAAAAGTTTTTTTTTATTGTAAACTTTTTGCTTGGATTTGCAGCCAATCAAAGAACTGCAGCTTATATACAGTTTAACCAATTTCTACATTTAGAAAAGTTGTGTCAACAAATTAATTATCTACACAAAAAAAACATGTAGCTGTATAGTGTATCGCTGCAAATGAACTTTACCTGGCCAGTAGATCCAAACTTAGACTGTGGTTGTTTCAATTTCTGTTCTTCGTATTAATTCAAATGGCGAATTTAAAATCCGAGTCTTTGAAATGAACAGTGGTCCATTCATCAAATTTCTTGATATAATTCTCAGTCATCTCATCAAAGAATCCACCGGCCTTTCCTTTTCGAAAGAACCTAAAGAAGATAAGATACGTTTTTTCATTATTAATTAATAAAAGAAAAGTATTTGAGACATTTTTTACATTATTTATGAAACTTTTACAACTATCTGAATACCTACTGATAATCATTTTTTGGAATGTGTAATTTCTGCATATTGCCAAATGAAGCATATTCGGTGAGTTGTTTTAGTTCATCTTCTCCATATTTGGATTCGAGAAATTTGGCGATTTTCTTAACTTCATCAAATCGATCATTTAAAAGTTGCTCATAAGTTAAAAATAGAAAATTATCCCAGTTTCGAAGCTCCCAATAGGCAAGAACGTGTGCATAATGTGGAGCAAATAAAGTCCTATTATCCATGAATAAATCGAAATAATCTTCAATGGATCCCGAAAATATTTTGTGTCCATCACTTATCATATGAAACGTTGACACGGCCACATCTTTTGGATTGCGTGCAATATAAATAATTTTCGGTTGTACTCTCCACAAATCTACTGGCAACAGATGTAGTGGCAAATGTGATTTTATAGCTCGCGGTGATGGTGTGTTATTCAGTTTCTCAAGTTGGCCATAATCAACTAAAAATGCATCACGTTCAAAATATGTGGGAGTACCGGTTCTTTTGAAAAGTCTAATCCATGTTTTAGTTGCCAAACAATGTTCATGGTCCATGTTGTGCCTGATTTTGGAAATGCTATAACCCATACATCGTCTTTTCTTACTTTGAATGCTTGCAATTGGTTGGCCACGACTTCAAATTGAGGAAGCAGAAAACACGATTCGAATTTATAAGATTTTGGAAGTGGTAAATGTTCATTTTCCGACGGTTTTGTATTCACCTTTAGGTAAGTGTTTGTATTATCATTGTATGAATCTTTGTTAATAGGCGTTTTCACTTGTTGAACGTACTTTCGGCTTTGTTTGATTCAGAGCTTGGTCTTTGCAACATTTCGTAATGAATGTTTGCAAATCGAATAGATTCAACTTTTGTTTACTATTAAATTTTTCTTAAATTCGACACTTAATTTTTTTTCTTTTTTCGTTGCGAACGATTTTTGATGAGTTTTACTAGAGGGTAGATGTACATGTATTCGTAATGTTCGATTAGTGATGTAATCGCCAATATTGAAATATTCTTCGTGTTACTATTTTTATAAATACATACGCAATATATGTGCAATCAAAATAACATGTATCATGTTTGTATTAGTATACACAGCACCAATATGATGCCGAAAAACGACTAGTGAACCACATTTTGCGTGGATTTTTTATTCTCTTTTGTGCGTAATTTCTTCGACTTTGTGTAGTTCGATACGTTTGTATTCTGCTATCTTGGATTCACGTAATCACTTAAACCGTGATTTTTTATGAAGCTTTAAGATTCATCGAATCAAGATGTATTCAAAAAATAAATTATATTTTTCGAGACTAAAAGTGGATTCTACATTTTGAACATGTGTCTACCTGGAAGTTTTATCTTTAAATTGTTTGCTCAAAAACTCCGAGTCCGAATGCTTAGCGAATAAACAATAATAATAAATTTATTCTCTCTCTCGTGTCTACTGACCACTTAACTATAAAACGTCGGCTCGATTGGCTCTCTCCTATACATAAACATAGCAAAAAGCTGTGTGTCCTCCGTGGTATACAAATATATTTTTTTTGACTCCAATCGACCTGGTTGAAATACTTCTGGCTGGTTTGCTTGGTTCATGATCCTTTTTGATTTTTTTATGCAACTATTCAATTTGGGTGGTGCAATTGGTGTGGGCTCCTGATCTTGATGATTTCACAAATCTATGTGGTTGCGGCAAATCACCATTGCTTACAAAAGTTAATCGCGACTTACGTCAAAATGTTGAATCGAATATTGAACGATGTACAAATTAATAAATAAATTGGATTCAATTGACTTCAATATACCCTGAAAGGGAATCGAATCAAATTACATAAAAAACTCAATAAAAATGTAAAGATGCAAAATGTATTTTATTGAAATATTTGTTGTGACAATAATTTTTAAAAAAACAGTTGTTGTGTGTTCGGCAGACATTATTATTATTCAATTAATTGTTGAATTTTGGCCTAATCACCGATGGTATTTTAACGGCTTCAAATCTTGATTCAATATCACTATCGACCGCATCATAGTTGGCATTGTAATAATCATCGACAGACACGTATCTTGCACCGCCATAGAAATCTATCAAAACAATAAGTTCAATCTGCAATTTACAAAAATAGAATTTGTGTTGCTTGCGCCAATTAACCGATGCTGGATGACGATCGGTAAAGTATTCATCGGCCTTGGCATGCTCATCACTGTCCTCATTTAGTCGTTCAACGCGACCACTCAGAATGGCACGTGCACATTTTGGCTCTTGTGTATCAAGGCCCGAATTTAAACAGGACAAATCTTGATCTTCCGTAAACATAGCGGTGCATTTATTGCTTTGATTTATATCTTTGCCCGTGAAATCTAAATTGGTTAACAAAAAATAAATGTGTCCCGTTGATTTTCCGTTTACAGCACTATCAGCAATCGATTTAATGTTCACCATTGGGAAGCCTTGAATTGATGACACCGTTGATATTGTTCCCATTGACGTCCAATTTGATTTATGCACCAAATAACGGACCATTTTTGCATAATCGGTATGAGGTGGCCGATTCGATAAATTCACTTGACCAACGCATTTCCCCACCAATGTGATTGACACAATAAACACGAACAAATTGAAAATACTTTGATTCGGTATCATTTTCGATTCTTTGCAATTTACTCGGCGTCTTTTATACAAAATGTATATTCTTCACTTTCGAAAAATTGTTTAAATTCCCTATTACCTTTTTTTCAATAAAATATTTCAATTTAATTAAAATTGAATTGTTGCGTGATCATTCCACGAATAAACTCTAAATGAATATGTGAAATTAATTTGAAGAAAAGAGAACTTGAGGGTTTTGATTATAACATGGCCAAAATACAATTTCGTACACTTGAGTTCAAGTGCCTGAAGTGATATATCAATCGATATCCGTGCTGATAAATTAATAAATAGGAGTAATGTCTGTCTTGACAACAGGTCACGTACATGCTCTTATCAGAAGCATTAAGTAGCTGAATAACTAGCAATTCACCTTTTTAATAGTTTCAAATTTCAAGAGAGGGGAGGGTGGTCGGTAAATTCGTAGATCAGTTAAGGCTGGCTAATACCAAAGTAATACCAAAGTAATACTATAGCAAAACTGTAGGAATTTGATACGATTTGAAACACTTTTTATCGCTTTTAAGGTTTGAGATGAGAAATAAGTAAGAAAAACGACCATAATCGTCCATGGTAAATGAAGACGAAAATGTATCCAATGAAAAAACTGACTTTGTTTAAAATTTTGTATTTGATCAATCATTTATCAATGTAATATTAAGCTTCGAAATCGTTTTCGGTTAGTTTGTACCACGCATAATTCAAGCAAAACATATTTTTTCGGATTCTTTGCAAGAGATGCAAATTCTTATTGTTATTTATGACACGTTTTATTTTATATCATGTATTTTAAGTTTTTCTTGTCCAATTCAGTGAAATTATTAATATAATTTCGAATTATCATGTGCTGGTTAAGTAACAAGTCACGATGCCATAAAAACTCAGTCGAGAGAGAGAGAGAGAGAGAGAGAGAGAGAGAGAGAAGGAGTAGGAGGAGAGTTCGTGATACAGATTTTATGTAAGATGGATTCAATTCAAATATGTACCAAATAATCAAATTGTTCGAAGCCCAAGTGATCATAAGAATAACCTGGAATGAACCGACAATAATTTTAATGCAAATTGACGAACAAAGCAACGCGCCCAAATGCATTATCATTTGGTTAGTCACATTCCAATAAATTCGCCATCAAAATTTGCTATAAAAGCAGTAATCATCGACTCTTACGATCAGTTCAAACCAAAATAATTTGTTAAATTGAAGAAAATCTAGTTTTCGGCGATAAAATATATTTTACGTAAAAGATTCATCCAAGTGCAAACATGAGGGCAGTTTTAATTACTTTTTTCATTAGTTTCACTTATATATTGTGTGAAAAGGCTCGTTTTGATTATTATCGTGTGTATTCGATTGAAATTGAAAATGATGACCAATTGCAAGTAATGCAGGACTTAGAAAATCACCAGGATGGTCTTTTATTTTTGACACTTCCCATTGCCAATCAAACAATGGTGGATATTCTAGTTCCACCCCATAAATTTTCAGACATTGGTGAACTTTTCCAAAAATATGAAATGAAAAACAAAATAAAAATCGAGAATTTGCAAAGGTACTTCAAAAATATGAACAACTACTTTTTATAGAATGTAATACATGAAATTTCATTCAACTGTAGTTTGATCGATGAAGAGCAGTCGGATGGGGCTTCATCACGAGCAGCATTTGGTTGGAATCGATATAATACCCTGAAAGAAATAAACGACTGGATGGATGAAATGCTGCGTCAATATCCAAGCGTGCTCACCAATTATGATATTGGTAGAAGTTATGAGAAACGAACGATTCGAGCACTGAAATTGTCAACGAGACCAGAGCTTGTAATTTGTGAATAGGTTGTTCGATGGTATTAAATAGCTTTTTGATATCTTTTACGTATTCACTTTCAGAAAAATCCAATCATATTTGTTGAGTCGACGGTTCATGCACGTGAATGGATAACTGCGGCAACTGCGACATATCTTCTGAACGCACTACTGACAGCAAGTGTATCGAGACCTCAAGATCCAGAGATTACACCATTGGCTATGAACTATGATTGGGTGTTTGTTCCAGTTGTCAATCCAGATGGATATGTCTATTCACACACCAACGTAAGTAGATTGATTCAGTATCTATATTAAACTTATGACGGCTGCGCCCTTCACATAGAATCGAATGTGGCGTAAAAATCGAAGACCACAATCAAATTGGTGCGTTGGCGTTGATGGAAATCGCAATTTTGGCTTTTACCATGCACGTGAGTTCATCGTAGTTCAAGCAAGCGTTCAGAAAGACATACATTTATGCGAGCAATTGAATGATGCTTGCATCATTTGATGCGCATCGCTAGTGCTTTCGTTGTGCGTTCGGAGCACTTCGTGCGCTGCCGAAGATCCGAATGTACGGCGACAGCACAATCGATGCGCATCAAATGATGCAAGCATCATTCAATTGCTCGCATAAATGTATGTCTTTCTGAACGCTTGAGTTCAAGTATTCTTAAGTTTATTATTAATCGCTTGATTTTCAGAAAGCGGTGGATCAAAAGATCCATGCTCCGAATTGTATGGTGGTGCCAAGGCATTTTCTGAACCAGAAACTTTTGCGCTATCAGAATTTGTAAAAAACTTCAACATCAGCTTATACCTTTCATTTCACTCGTATGGACAAATGTTGCTTTTTCCCTATGTAAATCGAATTTTATTTTATCAGTTTATTAATTATCCAGAGTAGGTCATACTAACTTATCATTTTCAGGGACACTCAAAGAAACGATCTGGTAACTATAAGGATTTGGTAATAAAGAAAATTGATAAAAGTAGACAATTCGCAGTAAATTCAAACATTATAACTGTTTTAGATGGAAATTGGATTGAAAAGCGCACAAGCAATAAAAAAACGATTTGGAACAATCTATGAAGTTGGGCCCACATCTGAAGTTTTATGTAAGTTTTTTTTTATAATTTGATTTTTTCTGTTAAAATTGCCTTAAAACGTGTGAATTTGTTAAGATATTGCATCTGGAACCTCTGCCGACTGGGTGTATGCAAAACGAAATGTTTCTCTCTCCTACATTTTCGAATTTCGCGATGTTCGCAATGGTAATTTATTTTTATCGATATAATTCAATGGTAGACTAAGAACTTATCGTTATTTGTTCAATACAGGACGTAACGGTTTCATATTGCCACCGAAACAAATCATTCCAAATGCACTTGAAGTAATTGACGGTCTAAAGGTAATGATCAAAGAAGCAAATCTACGAGGATATCTATGAACTTCAACCAATATCGATTTTTAAATATACATTATTGACGAATATTTTCAATAAATATTAACCGAAAAAGATCCATTATTTGCTTAATATCAATACCACATTCTAACTAGAATAGTTGGAAAAAAGATCAAATTGTTTTATTTGTCGCATTGAACACATTTTACAAACTACATATATAACGAACAGTAGCTCCCAAAAAAATAAACTAATGTTCAAACGTCTGACTAATAGAAATGAAATATTTTGTTTATCTAATCCGTCAAGTAATCAAATAAATATCATATCAGCAACGTGATACAACTACTTTGATTTTTCTACATACACACTGTAATAAATATATAAATATCTACAATATGAGTGAATGAATGAATAGAAAGATAAAATTTCTGTTTAATTGTGTGGAACGGTTTACATGAGTGGACATTTTTTTCAAAGATTCTGAGAAAAATGTTAGTCAGTCTACAACAACTGCACGTATAGTACGTGCTAGAATAATATTGCGAATTAATTGAATTTAGTATTGACTTACAACTGATTTTGAATTATTGGCGTATTCTTCAAGTACGAACGACATGAATTTAAAATAAAAATAAACAAAATTTGGATATATTTTTGGCTGATATTATTTTATTACTTGTGCGTCGCTTAAATACAGGCATTTCATGAACAGTTTTTATACTTAATATGACAAATAAGATAAGATAAACACGAAGTACAACTGATGTTACTATATAAAGTGCTAACTTGTGGTCACTCAATAAAAAATATCGATTGCAATTTTTTTTCGAATCATTCTCTCTCTCTTTGAATATTAAATGAGAACGATAGAAGACATAAGATTTTTTAACCTAAGTGTATTTATGTGTTACGAATAAAAATAATAGTTGTGCATATGAAATGGAATCTGCGCAACAAAAACTTCCGCCAAATCCAAGGGAAACTGCTAATTTTTTTTCGAAAATATTTTTGTGGTGGACATTTCCACTGTTCCGGAAGGGCTATAGAAAAATTCTTCACTTAGACGATATTTATCAACCTTTGAAATGTGATAGATCTGAATTGCTTGGAGATCGACTGGAAACGTAAGTTCTAAAAATATACTTTTTTAGTTTTTTTTAACTCGGAACAAACATCAATTGAAAGAAGAAGAAAAATCATGTAATTGTGTCAACTCTAATTGGAACTGATTACAAAACTATCAAAAGATAACGAAAAAATGCTAGTGGAAGTATTATCGAGTGTCAACCATGTAATGATCAAATTATGTCTAATACAATATCATATTATCATGGTCAATTGTGCTGCCAACATCCGACTATTTTATCGTATAAACTTAGTGCTCGCTTAATGCTGTATAAAGTTTTTTTGTTTAAAATATTTTTTAATTTATTTAAAAAGTATAGTAAAATAAACAAAAGTATTGTTAATTTTCGGTGCTCACAGATAACGGATAGAGTGTGCTACTAAATTTACGAAGCTTGACAATTTTCGAAGTCTCAATAGCTTTGTCATGTGTTATCTTGTATCTGTAAACAATTTCGCGTGACTCAACAAAAGCGTATATTCTTTTTCCCCTCACTCTATTTTGCTCTGTTAATCTCAGCGGTAAAGTAAGTAAATAGTAATCAATACTACCCTCACTTGCTTTCTATATCACCTGTATATTTTTTTTGAGCTTCACGTTCCGAGCGACATCTCTATGTGCTTGGCATTGAACTCGCGATCCAAACGAGCACCAAAGGCAATTAAAACATTTTTTACTTTTCCGCACACACCTAGTGTGAAAGGGGAAAGTATTGCAATAGGTCAAAATTTACGAAACCTCAAAAACATGTTTTCTGGACGTTTCTGAGGTCAGAGAACCCGAATCAGGCCGTTTTGAGCATGGTTGTTGTGGGTCGCTTCCACGTCGTACGTCGTACGTCGTACGTCGTACGTCGTACGTCGTACGTCGTACGTTGTCCGCCGTACGCAAAATTTGTCCATCGATTTTCTCACCACCCAGAAAAGTTATTTGAAATCTGACTTCACGGGATGATTGGGGGTCCCCAGGAATAGAAATCATCAGATTTTGAGCGACTTTGGTTGATGGAAAAAAATTCCATGCCTGGAGTGATACCTATGAAAAAGAGTCCAATTTTCGTCTAAAAGTCATACTTAATGTAGACTTAAACACTCAAAAATATGTATTGGGGGGTTTTTTGGCACGAGAAAACCGAATCCGACGTTAGTTTTGAGATACAATCAATTTTTAATACAGTTTCCTTGAAAAAATCACAAAAAATTTGGATTTTTGTATGGGAGCCTGTATGCTACCTTAATGACGTGAAACTTTGCACAGACTATTTTTTACACAAAAGTATAACATTCTGAAAATTTGAAGAGATTTCAATTAAAATTAGGGGTACCTCCCATACAAAATTTTCAATTGGCTCAAAAACGAATATTTTGTATGGGAGATACTCTTGATTTTGGTTGAAATTTCTCCAAACCCTCCGAATGTTATTTGTGAAAAAAATAACCTGTGCAAAGTTTCACGCCATTAAGGTAGCATACAGACATGGCTCCCATACAAAAATCCAAATCTGTTGTGACTTTAGTTATGAAAAGTGTTTCAAAAATAATCTTTATGGCAAAATTAACGTCAGACATATTTTTTATAGTATTTTGTTAGAAAATAGAATACTTTCAAATGTCGTACAAATGGGTTCATCATGAAAGTGTGAAAAATCTTTTCTCGGGTACTTCTGCTATTAAATTAAAGAATATTTCGTTGCCAAAGTTGAAAAATATTTTTTGGTCTCGAACTTTACGCCGCTTGAAAGACTTGAAGAATCGAGCAAATATTATTTTGAACTTTCTTAATAAAATACGCAACTACCACCGTGCGGAAAAGTTCGTCTTACTCCCGTAAGACTCTTTATTTTTTTGGTGCGAAAAAGTAAAAAATGTCAACTGATTTTGTGTGAAGAAAAACCATGTGATATGCAACGTCCTCGCAGTTAATTTCGATGACACAAACTGTGCAAAGTAATTTCAATTTATTTTCCATCACAAATTCACTAAATACAAATAATAAATCGGTTTTTGTTCAATTTACACGGTATATCTTTATCGAGCGTAAAATGACAGACGTCACAACAAATGATTCCGTATTCAAACTTCAAACAATTAACATTCTACACAAACTTTTTGTTCTAATTTTCATGAGCACATAGAGATGGCGCCATCATGCAGTTTTTTACATTATTTGCCATTGTAAGTGATGGTAGAATCAATATATGTGCTGCTTACTCATTATTACACTATGACATTTTATTAAAAAAATTAATTGTCTTAAATATGTGTACAATAAGTGTTGGTATTATTTATTTCATTCGATCGAATACCAGCCGCCAGTCCTTTCGACTTCGGAGCAGCAGATATCGACTGTGTTCATTGTATATTACTATATTCATAACATAACACAATTTTTCTTAGTCTATTTTACCGAACATTAAATAACAAATTGTCCAATTTAACAACACTATTTCTAAAAATGCTTCTCGATGCTGATTCTAAGAATGTTTCTCTTATTAAATTAAAATTCCTACACGCCACGTAAAATGGTTGACTATGCGCATATTCAGCTGTAAACATTCGTACTCTAATAAGTTCTGTATTACTCAAATTTCTTTGGTTTACATCATATTGCTGTCTTGTGTATACAACTATACAATCTTATCTCTAAGCGAACGCGACACCATTTTATCCAATAAGGAATCGTAAATTAAAAATACAGAGGCATTTATAAAAACTGATACGGTAGCAATACAAAATTCTCATCTCTTTGATAAACAAATTTTAATGACCATATCACAAATTTTTGCTAGAGTGTAAACATTTTCAAATTACAAACATTTTGATGGGATCAGACATAGGTGCACCCTCAACCACCTCTCTCTACGGACTTAAAACATGACATGAAACTAATAACTTGATTAAATTGAATAAAAATAAATAAATTGATTTTGCAGACAATGGAACAAACAAGCATTGAAACCAAAACGCAATGCGCTACTAAAAGCGATCGTTGCTACATTCTGGAAAGATTACATTCTATTGATATCCCTGTCATTTTTCAATGAAATTGTGTTGCGCTTGGGACCGACATTTCTTTTGGGCTATTTATTGGAATATTTTCGCAAAGATTCCGGAATTGAAGATCATATGGCAATATTGTATGCCGCTGGATTTGTACTACTTAATGGTTTAAGCTCTTTGGTTGCGAGTAATGTCATGTTGCTGTCTTTTCACAATGGAATGAAGGTGCGAGTTTCGGTGTGCAGCGTCATTTATAGAAAGGTATTACTTGAGAAACGAAAATTGAATAAATGAACAAAGTAATAATTTAGTTGAATTTTAGGCACTAAAAATATCACAAACGGCACTTGGAGAAACACCGGTTGGAAAAGTTGTCAATTTACTGTCCAATGATGTAAGTATAAGCTACTGTGTCTTTAATATGTGTACTGATTTTCATTTTTATGTATATTCAGGTCAACCGGTTCGATTGGGCTTCATTGTTTATCAATTCATTACTGACATCGCCTATAGTTACACTTGTTATTGGCTGTTTGATGTGGAAAGATATTGGGGTGGGTGGACTTGTTGGCATGATAGTCGTCTTTTTCATCGTTCCGATATTAAGTAAGATTTTCAACAGTGATTGAAGTTCATTTTTTAAACAAACGAAAATGCCGCAATTAATTAATCAGCAATAAACAATTTTAAATAGGCTATGCAGGAAAACTAACATCCACATACCGTCGCAAAATGGCAGTACGAACCGATGAACGTGTCCGATTTATGGATGAAATTATATCAGCAGCTCAAGTTATAAAAATGTATAGCTGGGAACGACCATTCGCCAAGCTGATCGATTATGCACGAAAAATGGAATTGAAATTTTTACGTAAAAAATCCTACATCGCAGCATTTCAAATGACATTCATAGTCATTACCACACGATTGGCAATTTTCTGTGCAATGTTAACCATTGTACTAGTCGATGGTCCAGACAAAATTAATGCTGCCAAAATATACGTGATGTCATCGTATTTTCGAATCATCAGTCAAGTATTGTCCATGGGGTTTGCACGTAGTTTTGCTGAAACCGCAGAAATTTTGGTAGCTTTGAGACGATTGGAAAAACTTTTAATTTTGGAGGAGAAAAAAATACCCGCACAAATCGAAAATGGTAATTCAAAAGGGGTTGAGAACCGATCAGTTGAAAAAATAACTCAGGTAAATGACAAAATGTATTACATTATTCTTGCACAGAAAGAAAATATCAGCCGACGCTATACGCAAAACCGACTGGTACGTGCGCTCATACGTTTTTACATCTTTTACATCTAGTGACCATACGATTTTTCGACTGATTCGTTACTCTTTGTGCGTATCTTCGCACAGTCGAAAAATCGTATGGTCACTAGATGTAAAAGATGTAAAAACGTATGAGCGCACGTACCAGTCGGTTTTGCGTATAGCGTCGACTGATATTTTCTTACTGTGTGAAATATGATAAAAACGTCAGGTTTTATAGTATTTTTATCACATAAAAGGTAAATATTTCGGCGACTGAAGATCCAAACACATCAATCTCAATGAAAAATGTGAGTGCGCGTTGGATATCGAGTAGCGGAAACTTAGAATATTCGTCTAAGGATCAAAGTGCGACAGCCCATCAAAATGGTGAAATAAAAAATGACGAATCAGCGGCAGGTGACATCGAAACACAAACTCTAGACAATTTAAATGTTAGTTTACCCAAAGGAAAGCTAATTGGTGTAATTGGACCAGGTACGAATTATTTTCGACGTAAAAAAAGAAAATAATTTTGCACTTATTGATGTTTCCTTTCTTAATGATGGTTTTGATTCAGTTGGCAGTGGAAAATCATCATTTTTACAAGCTCTCTTACGTGAACTGCCATTAGAATCCGGTTCAATCAATATAAATGGCTCAATTTCGTATGCAAGTCAAGAGTCGTGGATATTTCCTGCGAGCGTTCGACAGAATATTTTATTTGGAACTGAATATGATCGCAATCGTTACAATGCCGTCGTTGAAACGTGCTCTTTGACGAAAGACTTTGAGCAACTAGAAAATGGAGATCTTACAATTGTAGGAGATCGTGGAGCAAGTCTTAGCGGTGGTCAGAAGGCACGTATCAAGTAAGTGATATATTTATGAATACTTTTTATCTCATTCTAATTAAAAACAAATGTTAAGCCTTGCCCGAGCTTGTTATCGAAATGCTGATACTTACTTGTTAGACGATCCATTGAGTGCTGTTGATGCGCATGTCGGTACACATATATTCAACAAATGTATAGGCCAAAATAGTCGATTGGCCAAAATGAAAGCGACACGCATATTAGTGACACATCAAGTACATTTTCTGAAAGAAGCTGATTGGCTAATTGTTTTAAAAGATGTGAGTAGACAAGATTCTATAAATTACATAAATACTAATTGAAAAAAAAACTAGGGAAAAATCGAAGCTCAAGGATCACCGTTGACCTTATCGAGATCGGGTATTGATTATGTCCAACTTGTTGGCGAAATTAAAACACCGGAAATCGACGAAAACTTCGAAGTATTCAAGCGTCAAACATCATCAACGTCATCAATAAAAAGCCAACTGTCGCGACAAACATCCATAGCACCATCCATTAACTCCGGCGATATCCCAGCCGATATGTCCGGATCGCATGAGAAAATCGATCAAGGTGTTGGAATGGAAAGTAGCTCCAAGGGAAAAGTGAAAGGATCAGTGTCATTGAATTATTTCAAGGCCGGCGCTCCTTGGCCTGTTTTATCACTATTGTTTGGTTCTTTTGTCTTTGTTCAACTTATAGCAAGTTTGGTGGACTATTGGGTCTCCATATGGTACGCAAACTTTTATAAATTAAAAAAATGTATACTTTTCATTTAAATAGCACAGCTTTTAACTAGATTGAAACTTTTTTTAGGACCAACCAAGAAGAAACTCGTGCCCTCCAAAAAAATGCAATTTTCAATAGTACTTTACAGGAATCCAGATCGCTGAATGATATGAGAAGTTTAATGTTTGATATCACATCATTTACGCTAAGCACAGATGAATGTATTTATATTTTTGGATCTTTGATCGCAGCTCTTTTTATCTTCACGTTTTTGAGGTATTCACAATTGTTCACATTTATCGTATTTCAAAATGTCTCGAATGTTTTCCAATTTTTATATTTAGATCGATTGGATTTTATGTAATCTGTGTGAGAGTCTCCCATAAGTTGCACAATGCTATGTTTAATGGACTTATTTCAACTTCGATGCGATTCTTTGATACCAATCCATTGGGTAGAACACTTAATCGCTTCTCAAAAGACATTGGGTAATTTTCAAATTTGATCGATTTTTTTCTGTGTATAATTATTAACTTCAATATTTCCAGAGCTGTTGATGAAATGCTGCCACGATGCCTTTTTGACGCAACACAAATTTTATTGGCACTAACTGGTTCAGTTGTACTAGTTGCAGTTGTAAATCCATTATCAATGGTTCCCGTGATTGTTTTGGGATTCTTTTTAATAATAATTCAACGGATATACTTAAAAACGTCAAAGAATTTGAAACGTTTGGAAGGAATGAGTAATGAATTAAGCCGCCAAAGAAAATATCAAAAATATTGAATTTTTATTTCATTTATGAATATGCATAGCAAAATCACCCGCCTATACACATTTATCATCAACTTTGACCGGTTTATCGACTGTTCGTGCATACAACGCGGAAAAAACTTTACGAACTGAATTTGACAATCATCAAAATTTGCATTCAGCATGTTGGTACTTGGTTATATCTACAAGCTCTGTATTTGGTCTTTCGATTGACATGATCTGTCTGATGTTTACATCGTGCATCATTTTTTATTACGTGTTCTTCGGACGTGATGTATCGGGTGATCAAATTGGTTTAGCGATTACACAGGCGATGGTGAGAGAAATCTTTTTTTTGTTTCATTACATTTATAAGTTTATTATTTTCCCATCCTACCCAAGCTATGGTACGAACATTCTGCTTCAATTACTGACAAAAAACTCTAATTTAAAATTATGAAAAGGGACTCAATGGGATGGTGCAGTGGGGTGTTCGCCAGTTATCTGAAGTTAGCAATCAAATGATGTCAGTTGAACGTGTGCTTGAAGTAAATACAAATTAAATTCTTGAATATCCAATATTATTTACATGTTCACTCAATGGAATTGTATCAAAACTTATTATTTATTAACTTTTTCAAGTATCGAGATTTGGAACCAGAAAAACAATTAAAAAAACTAATTAGCGTAAGCAAGGAGTGGCCATCAAAGGGATGTATCGAGTTCCGAAATGTATATTATAGATATGCAGCTGAAGCAGAGCCGGTTTTATGCGATTTATCACTTGTTATAAAATCCATGGAGAAAATTGGTATAAAAAAAAACAATGAACACAATTTTCAATGGAGAATTATATTTTAATAATAATTGTAGGCATTGTTGGTAGAACGGGAGCTGGGAAGAGTTCATTGATTGGTTCGTTATTCCGTTTGGCATGCGTCGAAGGTGATATTTTGATTGATGGCGTTAATACCGCTGAAGTTCTATTGAGAGATCTGCGTAGACAAATAGCCATCATTCCCCAAGATCCGGTGTTGTTCTCGGGCACATTAAGAAGGTATGAGCCATTATTATCGTTCTCATCCACGGTTCATCTAACAAAATAATATTTGCAGAAATTTAGATCCATTTGAAGAATATTCAGATGCAGATGTTTGGAATGCATTGGAAAGCGTTGAACTGAAAAGTGCTGTATCGGAATTCTTGGGATTGCAGTCTCAAGTTCTGCCCCATGGTGCCAATTATTCGGTTGGCCAACGTCAACTGCTGTGTTTAGCTCGTGCGATCTTGCGAAAAAATCGAATTCTTGTCATGGATGAAGCTACTGCTAATGTGTTAGTTGGAAATTTATTCGATTTAATTAAATGTAGAAAATGAAATGAATTTATTCTCGCCTTTACAGAGATCCACAAACTGATGCCCTAATTCAACAAACAATCCGTAATAAATTTACCGATTGCACTGTTTTGACAATTGCACACAGACTGCACACAATCATCGATTCAGATCGAATATTAGTCATGGACTTTGGAAAAATAGCCGAATTTGATGAACCTCACATATTATTGCAAAATGAAAATGGCATATTCCATGGCATGGTCAAGGCATTGGGAGATCAAGAATTCATACGACTATCGCAAGTGGCTTTGAGACAAAACCAAGTAATACACAGTTACCTATAAATAAATTATGAAACTGTAGAATATTTGCAGATATTTAATTTAATTTTGTGGAATGCGAATAATAAAAGACAATTTATTTAACAAGAAACTATTTTGGCATTTATTTAAATTTATAAAATAGATCTCGTTTTTCGATGCGGCATATGCATTGATATGTAAAATAGAATGTAAAAATCGAAGGATGGAATGTTCAAAGTTGAAAGATGTAATAAACGACGAATCGACTATCACATAATTTCACTACAAAAGTAAAGAGGCAAGTTAAAGTGGTAAAAAGTCGTAAAATTGGCTTAATGCAACGTTAGCAATGCTCTAATTCAGCTTCAATGTTTACTTTGATTCGGTGGTATAGCTCAGAAAATACAGCGATTGCATCTGGGGAATTGGTTGTTCATGATTTTTCGAAGAAAATTCATCAAAGATTAAAACAAATATTAAATATTTACACATTTTTATTTAATTCACAGGAACTGGAAGAATTTGTGCGCCAAATCAATGAACACTTTGATGAAATCGACAGCTTTGAATTGGTCGTTGATTGAAATGGTTTTCATAGAAAATACAAACACACACAAACTTTATAAAGTTTAAAATCTATATTCCATAAACATATCTCCAAATGAATGACATACCAGTTTGTTCCAGTGCATGATAGTTTATACAAACGCTTTTTTTTGTATAAAAAGAGTCTCTGGTCTCATGAGCAATGCTCAATGAGCATGCATAATCTTTATTCAAAATAACAACCATTTTTTGAGTGCATATAAATTAGGTAACGAAACATTACATCTTAAAAATCTAAACCATGAGTATTTATTCTTAATTGGTTTCCCGTTTTTTATTTGTCTTTCGACAAAAAATTAAGGAAAAAAGTCGATTAAGGGTGAATCAAAATGAGAAAGAAATTGGAATGAATTAGTCTTCTAATCGGGAAATACTAAGAGGTTGGATTCGCTGTCATCAGTATCATCAGTATCATCATCAATATTGGCATTTACAGAGCTTGAATCTGCGACAATTTTCGGATCGTCGTCTTTTTCATCATCATCAATTGTGTATACAATCTGAATCTCAACGGACTTTACAGGGTCGGATTTTGAATTCACATCCTTATCATAGGTTTTATTGCTGCAAATATTATTAAAAATATATAAAGAAAATTAATAGATGCTTTAAAACATTTCATAGAATATATAATAATTATTAAATATTAACTAATTCAAAAATACAAACTTTACTCACCATGTTTCTTGTAATGGTGGAGATAATCCTTCCGATGAATCTTCCAGTGATTCCTGTGATTCCTCTAATTCATCAAAAAACGGAGGTTTATCATCGTTTAATTTTTTAAGATCCATTACTTCGCAATCCTCGGGAAGAATATCATTGGGAATCAAACACATAGGATCGTCGGCGAAACCACTGTGATAGAGTGGATATATTCGTTTTGGTTCGATTGCTTTGAAGAGACAAAATAGGTCATTTCTTGAAGGATGTGGTGTATATGGGACCTATAATATTAATATATTTATTTTAAAAAAATTAGTATTAATGTGTTTTTTATATACTTACTACAAATAAGCCCGGGATTTTCTCCAATTTGTTCATTTCATGATTGATGAGTATTAACTTGATGTGAATGATCCGTCTTTCAAATAACCTATAACAAAGATTCAACTATTTTTGAAAAAAAAAATCTAAACATTTTTAATTATAAATAGTTATTTACAGTTCGTAATGTCGTTGGCTCAGTTCTCTAATTGTACCAATAGGTGAATAAATCTTTATTTGTGGTTGTCCATCAAAATTAAAAAGATCAGAATGTCCGTTTTGTTCGAATAAGATTTTCTGTAGTGTGTTTAATTTAATTTTGATGCCATTCTGTGCTAGCCGGTGAATCAATTCTTCATATCCAAATATATCAGTATGCAAAAGTATAGTAGATCCAATATTATCACTAGAAAAGTAAAAATTACATTCGTGTAAGTTGAAATAAAATCTCGAATAAAAATGTTTATGGAAATGGTTCCATTGCTTACTTGACAATTTCTTCGATTTGTTGGCAAGCTTTTTTCAAAAGTCCAAACTCATTCAAACGGGCTACCGTATTATCTACATAAATATCATTTAATCTGTCTTTGTAATACGCAATAGCTCGACTATCTATTACATCTCGATACGCTGTGAATTGGCCTGTGTACAGGTGAACTTCGTCTAATTTAGACGAAATAAAAATTAAACTTTCCAATTACGAAAGTTATTATAATATAATTATGTGCTTACCACCAATTTCAATTAGCAACATAACCGATCCGGATGGATTTCCAGTTGGAACACAACGAACCGAAAATTCAACTGCACCTTTCTTCTTAAATCTTATTCGCCTTTCCGTAATCACATTAAACGTTGGCGACTTCTTTCAATTGAAATATAAACGTGAACAAATTTTTTTCAAATTACAAAATAAAAAACTCACTTTCAATTTAACCATAACGGGATATGCATTTGCACTGCAGTAGAATTTCGCATTTGGACACTTTGACTGGTTGGCCGTATAGGGATGACATTTTGGTTGTGTAAAAAAACAGTAAATGATGGTCTGAAAATGTATTTTTATAAAAACAGCTGAATAAAATAAACTAATTGATTACTATAATACTTCATCTTCCGGATCTGGAAACTCATCAAACAACACATGTGGCAATATATGCAATTTCATATTTTTCAGGACAAAACATACAATATTTTTATTTGTGGCTACTGTGTATATCGTTATATTTTCTTATTATTGTTTATCTAACAGATGAACTGTCATTGTCACTAAGTTGCCGCCAAATAGTGACATTTGTTCAGTTTCAAATAACAGACAGTTAGTGGCGCTAGCAGTGCGACAGTTTTGCATTTTATAATTTTGTCATAATTTCAGTGTGATATATCCATTTTTTAAATATTAATTATTCTTTGTCAAATAATAAAATAAAATTCTAATTATTGAAATTGTTTTTTTTTGTATTCGAGTATTTGAATTTGAATTGTATAACACGATCCAAGTTAATGTATAAGACATTCCAAAAAATTGGAAGAATTTGCTCGCCAAACCAATGAGCACGTAGCATAAAATATATGCTCGAACATAAAACACAATAACATAATCTCAAAGACTAAAGCCGGCAAATAATTGTATTTTTACAAGAATTCTTATGAAATTATTTTTATATATTTTTTCTTTGTTTAAAATCAAAAAAAAAATCTACAAAAAGTCGATTGCAGCGAAATACAACCGTTGTAAGGTGTGTTTCTTTTGCAGAAGATTCGGTTAGAAATCAAAATTAATTTATGATTTTTCTCTTTTGCTAAATATCTTCTCATCGAGGCGCATCGAGGAATGCTATTTAATGACTATTCGCTGAAGAAATTCACCAAATCGAAAACATTGCATTAACTTAATAATGAACCTCTACCACTCACTGTACAATACTTAGAAGTTGGAATTTGTATATCAATATGTTAATGTCCTTTCAGTTTGTGGTCAATTTTTATGACATGCCTAAAAAATGCAGGCGATAACTTTTTAATTGAATTGCAATCAAAACCAGATTATTATCAAGATCAGGATATTTATTTGTTAATAATCCAGTTTTCGGGTGTTAAAGTGTTATCCACCTTTTGTTTTTACTCACGACAAGAATGCATTTTTTATTTGAGTTAATCACCTTTCTTTAGCTCCCACCATCTTATTTTTCACAAGGGAAACGTAAATATAAAAGAAGCGTTTGTACTTCTTGTATTCAATCTCGTTTGCAAAGCAGAGCTAAAATGAAAGTGACTTTATATTTTCTCATTTCAATCCTGATAGTGTCCATCCTGGGCCATCCGGGCCAATCGAACAATCCAGATCGTCCGGATAATTCAGATTATAGTGAATCAAGCCGCAAACGAAGTAAAAAATATTATTTGGAACCATTTGTTAAGGTAAACAAATATTATTAATTAATAATCAAATTACACACTGAACGATGATTTTCTTCAAATTGTATTTATATTTTAATCAGTTTTTAATTGTATCAGTTCAAAAACAAAAACTTCGAAATTCATCGTATAAATGTTGCACTGGATTAACATTTTTATTTTTTTAGACTAATTGGTACAAAGCAAATGCATATTGTAGATCTCGTGGAATGGATTTGGTTAGCATCAAATCACATGAAGAGAATTTGGACGTGTTGACTTTTATTAGAGATGCAGGTATGTCCATTGAAATGATTTTGAATTGAATGTTTTGTACTCATATAAGTGAATGTTTTTTTTACTCAGGCTTCGTTGACGAATCATTTTGGACAGCTGGTACTATATTGGGTGACACGCGTTACTATTGGATTAATGACGATGTTAGATTCAGATATACGGATTGGTCGAATGGACAACCGGATAATTATCAAAATCAAGAACAATGCATGCAGTTGAGGAGTGAATACAATTTTCGTTGGAATGATGAAAGTTGCAATACTAATTGTAACATAATTTGCGAAAGTCCATTGTATGGAACTCATTCGACAAGATTGTTAGAATTCGATATTCACATCAAAAATATAACAAATTAAGATCAAAAAAATAATAAGAGAAAAATCATATTTTTAACGAGACCATGATTTTTTCCTTTGTTGTGTATTTTAAGCTCCTTTTTTATAGACTTAAACAAAATTATGTAAGTCTGTTAACAAACTTGATAAAGATGATCAGTTTAAAAAATATTCAATTTTTATCAATTATCGCCAAGCTAATTAAAAGTCTACTTTGTTTCTTTTGTACATTGCATCGCGAGCCATAAAATCATAAATTGTTGTACGATACAAGACATTTTATATTTGAGAAATTCACTTCACATCGTTGAGTTCTGTTAGTGAAAATACATTGGCAATCATAATTTAAGTCCAAAATATGCACACTCATTTGAATTTGAAATATAAACGCGTATCATTGTTGTTCTTATCGCGAACACTGTATCAATGTATTTGGTATGGCTTTTTTCTGTATGAGTTTATTATTACCACAAGAAACCCAATACCGAGCACAAGTCCAAGCACTAACACATGTGATAATGCGGTCAATAAAGTAGATAATATATATACGTATAAATGTCTCTGATGTCGTTCAGTTGTACTGGATGATTCGATGAAATCGTATCGAAGCGTGTTTTTTGCAAATTCTTTTTTGCTAATAAAAAATATATTTCAACAACAACAAAGTAGTTATACTACGAACAAAATGGTTAACGCAAAAAAATTCATTTTCGCTAAGCGTTTTGATGGATTACCAAAAGTCACCGATTTTCGCTTGGAAGAAGAAGTCCTTGAAGAATTGAAAGATGGAGGTTAGTTTCTTTATGTTCTATTCAAAATGTTTAACCAAATACCGCTTTATCAATCATTAAATAATTTCTTTTCTTCATCAGAGGTTCTACTTGAGGCAATTTACTTGAGTGTTGATCCATACATGCGGCCATATAGCGAAAAGTATCCGACGGGAATAACCATGATTGGCAGCCAAATTGCAAAGTATGTAACTTATCTCCTTTTTATTTTCAATGATTTGCACTTTTTTCGCTGAACGTATTTAAGTTTGTATTTATTCGAGCATGTCGATATATCAAGCTCATTTCGAACTGTTAATAATTGTTAATTTTCATTTAAAATAGAGTGATTGAATCGAAGAATTCCGCTTATCCAAAAGATGCTCTTGTTTGTGGATATTTAGGTTGGCGTACACACACTATATTCAATCCAAATGAGGTCAGTGGTGATGATGCTATTAAAACGTATATTTTACCGTCATTTGGTGGTCTTCCACCGTCTCTCGGCCTTGGTCAATTGGGAATGCCTGGTAATACGGCATACTTTGGCTTCTTGGATATATGCAAACCAAAGGAAGGTGAAGTAGTTGTTGTCTCTGGTGCTGCCGGTGCTGTCGGTAATCTTGTCGGACAAATTGGTAAAATCAAAGGATGCAAAGTAATTGGAATCGCTGGCAGCGATGACAAATGTACCTGGCTCACTAGTGAATTGGGCTTTGATCATGCCATCAACTACAAGACGGAATCGGTTGCTGAAGTTTTGAAGAAATATGCACCGGATGGCGTTGATTGTTATTTTGACAATGTAGGCGGTGCAATCAGTTCCATTGTTATCAACCAAATGCGTGATTTTGGTCGCATTTCTGTATGTGGTTCGATTTCATCATACAATACACCGGTTGCTGAGTGGCCAAAAGTGCCAATTTTACAACCAACTTTCGTTTTTAAGCAATTGAAAATGGAAGGATTCATCGTAAGTCGCTTTTGTAGCAAATGGTTCGAAGCCATTCAATGTATGAAAAAATGGACAGACGAAGGAAAACTTAAGTATCGTGAAACCGTTACAAATGGTTTTGAGAACATGCCACAGGCACTCATTGACATGCTTCAAGGTCAAAATACAGGAAAAGCAATTGTTAAAGTCTGAATTATTGTAAACAATTATATTAAAAATAACAGGGAATGAAAATAAAAAAATATAATAAAAATATTGTTTTGGCAATCATTGCATGTGTTTCATCGTCTGAAAATACTTAAATTACCTAATCGACTAGAACAGGAAACTTTTGAATAAAAAACTGGAAATTCAATTACCTGAATAAGTACGGAAGAGAATGCGGTTAACTGAAAATGTCGTCGAATTGTCTCAAATTAGGCAGCAAAATAGATAAGTAAAACCATTACATTCTAATTCCAACAAACTTCTTACATTTTTTTGGATTTTTCCATACGGGTAAAGTTCAAACTTCAAACAAACCTGTTATCATTATCGGTAATTCGTCGCAATTCTTATCTTAAGTGAGTTGTCAATGTGCATGTGTCTGAATGTCTCACTATGAATATACTGGACTGAGTGTCGACTTAATTAGTATGTACTTACACAGTATAGCACCGGTATTTGTGTATGAAGGTAGACGCAAACAAAAAGACGATACATTTGCTAATGACTTCTCAATATCAATTATAATTTCTTTCTAGATTTCTTTTATTTGGCTATTTACATTTTTTTTCAAATTGGCATTTGGTATTCGAAAAGATATCATTTTATCATCTTTTTTATTTGAAAAATAATATAAAAAAATGTTAAAACGAGCACCGACTCAGATAAAAGATGAATTTTTGCAAAAAATGTGAAAGAATGCCAAAAGTTAGCGATCTTCGTTTAGATGAAGAAATGCTTTTTTTAAAAATGTAGATTTGTTTTTAATTTAAAGTTTTATGCATTTCTTGATTACAAAGAATGTAGAATCATCCAATTTCACACCTTTAAACCCCGTTTCGGTTATATAAAATTGAATGCTAGCTGTTTGAATGTGCGAAAAGTATAAAATTAACATTTACATTCTGAATAGCATTCTTTGTTCTAATTGTTATTCAGATATTTTGATTGAAGCACTCTCCTTAAGTGTTGATCCATACATGTGTTCATATGATGAATTTCTTCCAATGGCTCGACAATGGTTGGCAAAGTATGAAAAAATGTTGAAATTTAAAAAGAGAACGTGCAAAGATTACCGCTTAGTGGTTCTCATCAATGAGTTGGCGAACTCATACCGTTTTCAATCCAAATATCACTGACACATATTCAGTACCACATACTGTCACTTGGTTTTGGCCAATTGGGAATGCCTAGCAATTCGGCATACTTTGGTTTATTAGAAAAGTTTCAACCGAAAGAAGTGAAGAAATGTAGAGGAATGCCCTAGAAGGTGTTGATGATTTCTTTGATTATGTTGATGGTGAATGGAGTTCAACGGCTACCTCAAATGACGGATTCTAGTCATGTCTCAGTATGAAGATCGATTTCGTCATACAATTCTTCGTAGGCTGGTAATTGTCTAAAAAGTGATCATTATTCCGCCATCAATCATTTTCAAGTAATTGAAATTAGAAGGTTTTGTCGTTCAGCATCTTCTGATCAAATATTATCGATGGCATTGCACCAATAATTAAATTAAAACAGTAGTAAAATTAAAATATCGTGAAACCGTTACAAATATCTTTGAAAATATGCCACATATATCTCTTCACATGTTTCAAGGTAAAAATTTCGGATTGTTACAATTTGAATTTCAATAATAATTCCCATACAACAATCCGAATATAGATTTTATTTTAATTTAATAATAAATAAAAGCGATAAATCACTGTGATTTCCAAACGGAATTCTTTCTGTGACAATTTAACATTGATATTTTTGAATAAATGAATAAAAAACATCAACATCCAAAATAGCTTGAGTTATTTTTTTCTCTTTTTTTCATATTCGAATCTATGTTTCTTTGGCGGTGAAATGAGCAACGCACACACGTACACACATATAAAGCAGAAGAAAAAAAGTTAATAAACACAAGCCGCTTTACCATAGATTGTTGTCAGCTGTTTTTGAACATTGATATATGTCTGTGTGCGGAGAATGGCGTAAGCAGTGACAGCAAAACACACAAAGGCAAACAGCGATGATGATCACATCAATGCCATACAACTAACATAAATGCGCTCTTTCTCTGTCTATCACGCTGAATACTGAATAAGCCATAGGCAGACAGCATCACCGTAGAATATTCGGAGAATAGAATGTATAGTTCAATACATCTTTATATTCGAATTGATTGGGTTGCGTTCGAACATTGAAAACATGATTGCAAATATTTCATTCGCTGCTACATGCACAACGCAAATGCGTTCGATTCGACAATATACACACATATTAACATTGTGCTGGTCGTCGTCATTGTCGCGTTTCTCGTGCCTGTGTCTGTATTGGTGTGCACAACAAGCAACCATCATGACAAAACAGTCAAGGTAATTTTGACAAATATAAAAACATCTTTTTTTTTCACATATTCACTCTTTCTCGGTAGAGTTAGTCAGTTTTGTTTGTATACTTATTTTGTGCGTCTGTGAAATCTTCTCTCACGACATTCAAAAATCAGTTTCGACGTAAAATCACGCATACCTGTTGCTTGTGTTGAAAGGCCAATTTGTCAATTCAATTGAATTTATTTTATTTATTTTCAATTAAACAAATCAAGAAATAGCGAGGAGGCGATCGAAATGCGAAATTAGTTCAACGTTCGTTCATCATATTATCGGACCCGTGTCAATTGGAATCGAATCAGCCATAACAAGAAGTTTATTCACACATTTTTTTTTTCTTCATTCTGTGGCGAAGAGAGAGAGTAAGAAAAAATCCAGTTTTACATCGTTGTGAATCATTTTGGGTGAAACGAGTTGGCAAGCGTTGTTGACTTGAAGTGATGTGTGCTTTTTGTTTAATATTTGCCAATGACTTAAATATTTACGTGAATGAAAATTCTGTTTAACATTCGACAATTTTATTCTCGCATAAGAATAATGATACAACTTTAAAATTACACGGGAATAAAAGCAGAAACGGAGTAGAATCATTCAATCGGCGCAACTTTTTTCAAAAAAAAAAAAAAAATATTCTCATTACAATAAGTAAACGACAATTCATGAATATTTATGGTATGCTGTCGCAAAATGTACAGATCAAATTACGACCAGCTGACGAAAAATGATCGAACAACAAATAAATCAAGTTGAATCGTGAATGTGTTTTGTTTATGTAATGGTTTTTTTTATTGCGTTTGATAAAAAATCAAATTTAAACCTCTGTTGAGTACAGTCGCTGGCATTGTTTGTATGTGAATTCAAGGCAGTTGTGTGATTCAATAAGGCCTATTTCGCAATCGTTGTTTTATCGGATTTCGTTAATCCAGTACGTGCGGGTTTTTGTTTGTTAGCTGGAATCGCTCAACGAATTTTAAGTACGTGCACGACAAAACACTGTCTACGGCTTTCAAAGTAATTACACATTGTAGTTCATAACAGTTAACTCGTCTTGTTGTTTTATTCTATATTAATAGAATTTCGTGAGAAAAAAAAATATATACGGTTCAATTTACGCATACATTTCGTGCTCAATCAGTACGAAACTCTTTTAAATGGTTTATTGTGGTCGACGAATCAAGCAATTAATTTTAATTAAGTTTGTCTCTTTCCACTGTGAGATCTTGTGATCAATTGAGACTGTATCACGAAAGTACTAGTTCGATCGATTATTTTGTTTGTTGAGGTTGCATCATTTTCGAAAAAATTACGAAAATCTGAAGAACACATTTTTTTTTCATCGACAGTGTCGTTAAATTCTTTTCACTGTCTGCATATGATCAAAGGAATTTGAATGTCCGTCATATTTCAACTAATTGAACCTTTTAAATATTTCAGATATGCCTGGGCCAGCAAAAATGCCAGCCGCCAGTGGCGGTAAGTTGCCTCCAACATCGCCAAAAATCAAAAGCGGCAGCAGTTCGTTTCAGATGCCGACATCGTCATCGTCACTACCACTAAAAAGCAAAAGTGGCTCGGGATTGAGAATTCTTTGGATTCCTGGGCGTAGGAAACACCACGATAAAGGTGCCTACAAGCCAACCAATTATAATATTGAGCATAAACACGGAGACCGAAAAAATGAGACGTGGAACTTAGGCGGTTCAAAATCACACGAAGACATACTTACTGGCAGGTGAGTTCAATGAACTATTACTATGTACACAAAAACATTGAAATTTATTTTTAAAAAATGTCTCATATTTTGTAACATTCCAAAGCAGTGACAAAGAAGATCATTGCGATCCGTTGACATCGAGACCGGCATCAACACCAGCGTCAAATATTTTACCAAGCGCTACATTGGGTGTGACCACCGTCGACAACTGCTCCGGATCCGAATCCGAAATCAAATTAGAAAAAGTAATTATCATCATCACGCAGATAAGCAAACAAAACAAAGCACATCTAATAAAAAAACTCATTCATATTTCATACATAACTGTTGCACAGTTTTCAGTTTCACTTGAATCTATGCACGTTCTTTTTCTTACTTACTCTCTTCATCTATCTATTTTTTTTTTCTCTAATAAATTCTTATCATTCAAGATAATTCACAGCCATTTATTTTTGTATATATACGATTTAGTGTGTAATTAAGGACATTCACTATGTAAAATACAATATAAGAGATAGTCTACAAAGTTTAACATCGGCTAAAGAAAATAGCGCACAGTCAACGAATGTTGGTGATGGTGATGAGAAACGGAGCGCCCCTGATAGCGCTGGACGAAGTTACACAAAAGTAAATCATAAACACACACTAAAATTCCATTATGATAGTAGTGATTGGTGATCATTTCTGTTTTTAAGCTATTATTCTATTTATGCATCCATTTCAGCTTGAAATTCTAATCAATTTAACGTCACATCATTAACTCATTTTTACTAATCGAATTTCTTCTTCTATTTTTCGAAACAAAAAAGTTCGACACAGATTTCGACTCGATCGAGCGTATTGACGACTTGGACGGGCAACCGAAACTGTCGCATCAGAACGGTCTGCGACCAAAATCAAAATGCACAAAATCAAAGGAAGATAAAACCGTCAAATGCCTTTACTATACGATGATGTGTTGCGAATGTACCATATCTTGAATATCACGCTATTTCTATTTTGCACCATACTCGGCACCCGAATAATATTACATCGCCAAACATATCGAAACTAGTGTGGACGGTGCAGCATGCATTTTACCCACAAAGTTTGTACGTACATATCGTCAACGCGTGCATATTTATATTATCATCCAAATCGAATGTAATTCTTTATAAATTTTATCATAGCAGATAAGTTTTACTTTCCAGTTTACAGGAATAGAAACGACCAGTTTTTTTTAGAATTTTACAATACAAATTTCATACGAAATATACAAAAATATGCGAAATACGAAAAATACAGAGAAAAATTGTTGTAGCACAAAAGAAATCGAACAAAAAAAAATATAACCGTTTGTTTTAATTTACACCTAAATCGAGTTGAATTCAACTGGTTAACCCATTATAGGTGCAATTTTTGTTTCACTTAGACGAAATTATACGAATTCAAGTTCGGATTAGGTAGAAAATTTCTCCTCCTTTGCGAACAGTTCATGCGCACTCCGTGCGGACACTTTTTGCGCATGTCAGTCGATCGCTTCGGCCCGATTCACCCATTCAAAATAGCCTCCGATCGGTCAAATTCGCAAATTGAATCTAGTCATTTCATTGATCAGCCTCTAACTGCCAGTCGATATAGTCCTGCGATAATACGCAAAACGTATTTTTTTTCGCACAGTATTATTTTCTGTGAAAATTGAAAACGCGATAAAGAAAAGTTTTGAAACTTGTGATCAAAATTCTCTCAAACGGAAGTTGGTTTTTAAGTTTCATGCAAATACGTAAAAACAGAATAAATTTGAATAAATTAAAAAAAAAAATACAAAAAGTGTGTGTTTTTTGTGCAAAACTTTTCACAAAATTTGTGAATTCACTTGTTTCAACGACACACACACACACACACACACACACACAGTACAGACCGAATTTGATCGGCATATGGTGCCTTACGCTTTCAACATGTACCGTGCTTATTAATAGAAAAAAATGTAGTCCAATATATATTTTTAAAAATAGAGCGCAACGGCAATTTCAGCTCTACGAATTATATGAAAATTAAATAGCAGAAAACAAGCAACCAGTACCGCAGTCAAATTTTTAGCGAATTTATTTTCTGGTGCGTGTTTTGTTTCGGGTACATTTCTATCAATATTCATTCAAGTCTTTCCCCCAGTGTCTGTTGCTGTGTTTTGCTATGTGTTTCCGTGATGACGAAATAGAGATTTATCTCTTTTATCAGTGACACTTTTAATGCCGCAGTGATTTTATTCTACGAATGTTTATTATGATTTATGAAGAGGCCAGTGGCCAAAAATTACAACGGCGCACCGAAAAAAATGTGTATGTGATTTCGTTTCGTGTAACAAAATGATCTGAATAAAAAGAAAATATGTATTAAAGAGCAAAAATCCAAGCAAAATATTCACATGCTTATCAATGCGATAAATACCAGAAACTCGGTTATACAATCTAATTCTGTGTAATTAATTTTGAAGATAAGAAAAATATTAGATACAAAGAGAGAGATAGGAAACACATAAATAGAATATGCATCATTTATATCCAGTGTCAAAAGGCGATCAGTTATGTCCGTTAGGTTTTCATCCACAAGTAAGATGGCCAACCAGATGTAAAAGATGCTTTCGAGATTACAAAGATCATGGCGTAAAAAGAGGTGACGATATTGCCGCTTCGTCGCCCAGCCTCACAGACACATCACGAACTCGGTAAAATTTCACAAATGAATCGAAAGAAAATTAGAAAAATTGCCAAAAAGAAACAAGAATATCAATGAAAATAACGGAATTGCTTGTTTTATGTGAGAAAATGTGTTAATCAAAAGTAAGTTAATTAAATGGAATTATTGTAATTATCGCACAGAGTTCAGTTGGAGAAACCAACCGACCGTAGCTGGACGTCGACATCGAATTTATCATCGTTAACACCTGAAAAAGAACGTAAGCGAATTTTGTGCTCAAAACAATTTCTACTTACACTTTCTCGAATCAATATTGCATCTGGTTTTTCTTCTTTCATTTCTTTTTTCGAATAATTCACATACTGTTTTAAATGAAAATGTTCAATAAAATTAACGTGGTTAAGCGCCACCAAGAAGGCGAAGGCCAATTTCATGGACTTCGACCGATTTGGATGAAAATGAAAAGCCTGAACCCGTTGCTGAAACCACACAATCCACCGAAGTAAATGTGGCATTGCCACGACGTCGGCATACTTCCGCAATAATTCCAGAGGTCCCACAAGTTGAAGAATCCTTTACATTACGTAAACCGCCTCGACCTCCAATCATCAAACAAGATTCCGAAGATTTAACCATATCCCGAAGTGATTCATTGGCGGAACGTGTGCGAAAAATGCAATTACTCAAAAAACAAAACAGCATCGAACGAGAACTGCGATCACGTCAGTCGAGTATTGAAAAGTGAGACTGTTTTTTATGGAAAAAATAATTACAGTGTTAATGGTCTGTGAGAATAGTTTGTGAATATTAATTGCTTTTTTTGTTTTGACACAGGGAACAATCACCTTCGCCTCGAAATCGCACTGAATCAACTGACTCAAAACGTAGTTCGGTAGTGAGTTTTTTTGTTGCCATGCTTAAATATTAATAGTTTTTGTCTCAATTCAAATGTGTTTAACACCCAATAATTTCAGGGTCGAGAAATGTCGAAATCAAAGCCAGTTACAAACCATGTGGAAGATGTGGAAAAACTGAGTGATGAACTGAGCAGTGCACGTCGTCAAAAGGATGATAAAAATGAGATTTCTTTACGGCGTTTGGCGTTCACCGACAAAGGAGCAAATCAATTGCAAACAAACGACAGCGCAAAATTACAATTCAAAGTAAACGACTTGAGTCGACAGCTGGAAGATTTAAAATACGAAAAATTGCATTTGACAACAAAAATCAAAGATCTCGAAAAGAGCGTTGCGATCAAAGCATCGAAATCGGCCGAAGAAGAATTACGTAAAAAACTATTGGCGGCCGAACAATTGTGTGAAGAGCTTATGGATGAAAATAAAGAAATAAAAAAAGAATTGAAGGGAATGGAAGATGAAATCGATGAAATGCAGGATAATTTTCGTGAAGATCAATCCAATGAATTCAGTACATTGAAAAAAGAAATGGAAATGACACAGAAAAATTGCCGCATTTTATCGTTCAAATTGAAAAAATCCGAGCGAAAAATCGAACAATTGGAGGCCGATAAACAATCATCAGCACCGGCCGCTCTTATTAGTCAAATTAAACAATTGGAAGAAGAATTGAAAATTTCAAACGATCGATTGCAACAAATGCAGGTAAAGAAAAAATATGAATATTTTCATCGATTAAACAAACAAAATTGTTAAAATCTCCGAATTTGTTGCAGATTGAAGCAGAAAAAGCGCAACAAACCCCATCAAATGGAAAACCAACGTTGAGTTCAATTGGCAAATCGAATTCAATGGATGGCAAAATATCACGTTCATCATTAATTCGCGGTAGTTCACAAGAAGATCCACAGCAGTTAATGCGTGATTTACAAGATTCAATTGAACGTGAGGCTGACATCAGAGAACAATTAAAATTTGCCGAAGAAGAAGCGGAAAGTTTACGTAAAAAAGTATTAAGATTCGAAGACGAAAATGAATCGTTGATGGTTCAATTGAAAAAAATGGCAACGAAGGCCCGAAGTGAGTGTGATTGATTGAATTAGAGTAACTTAAGTGTATACTCAAATAGTTTTCAATGTGTTTTGTAAATACAAACAGCAAAATTGCTTTTAAACAATTTGATTTCACTTTTTTCACCTCTTTCAAAATGTTTGCCGTTTCAATTGTTTGGATTGTTATTTTTGTGCAATGTTGATTATTTACACAGGTCGAAAATTAAGTCCATCAGCACCATCTCGATTAACCGTCGATGCTTCAGATAAAGATGAAGGAATATCAGATGAAGAAGATCCGGCCGAGTTGCGAGTATTGCTCGATTTGAATGAACAAGAATCATCACAGTTGCGACGTAAAGTGGATGAACTCGAACAAGAAAACAAAACATTTAAAACGCAATTGAAAGAGATGCGTGAAACGCCAAAAGCGCCAACATCAACATCGAAAACGACCATTGCAAAAGACAAAGAGATCGCTGAGCTACAAAAGAAAATTGTCGATATGGAAAAAGAAATGAAACTATTGCGAAAGAGTTCGTCCAAGGCTGGAACACAAACCTATCAAAAACTAGAAGAGGAAAAGAAAAAAGCAATTCAAGATGCCAAAACATTGGGCGAACAAATGGATACGTACAAATCGGAGATCAGTAAGTTGTTCAACTTAAGTCTACTTGTTAAAATTCAAACAAAACAAAAACACAAAAATGTTGATGCAAATTTTATGTGAAAATGTTATCGCTGTAGAAAATCTGAAGAGTGTCATTGCCAAACAAGAGACACGATGCATGGAATTGGAAAAAGCGAGCACAGACAATGAGTCAAAGAAGAAGAAAGCATTAACCGATGTCAAAACCATCGAGGAGAAACTGAATAAACAAGAGAGTCTGGTATGAGAATGAAATTGAACTGAAAAAAAGACTGTACTTGTTAATAATAATAATTCAAGATTCGGACTTAATTTTTCGTGTTGATTTGTGCGCTCTGTTATTTATAGATAAAGCAATTAGAAGCAGCAAAATCGCTCGGCGAAACCAATGTAACACATGAGAAAGGGCGAGCGGCAAAGCTTGAAAAGGAATTAGACGAATTGAAAAATGAGAATCGACGCTGGGAAACAAAAATAGCTGATTTAGATGCGGATTTGAATGTGAGTTTAAAGATTCATCAACATTTTTTTTTCGTTTTTGGTTCGGAAATGAAAGCAAAACGGAAAAAAGAGTTAGAAGAGCGGACGGAATGATTAATTGGAATTAATGTTTCTTTTTTTTCTTTTTGCTGTATGTATTTATAACTTAAGACGTTGCGACGAAAGACACAAACGGAAAAGGTGGCACTCGAGAAGGAAATAGTTGCATTAAAGAGCCAAAAAGACATTTTGCCGGGCAAAAAAATGGACGAACTTCGAAAACAAAATACCGATTTGCAGGCTCAAATCGATAGCGAAGTGAAAAAGACAACCGACATCACCAGCAAATATGAACAATTACAAGAGCAGCATGTTTTCATTAAAGCTCAGTTATCAAGCGACAAAGAGGCGTTAGAAACATCAAACAATGCGCTCAAAGCAAAAATTAGCACATTGGAAACGAATGTAGAACGTTTTAAACGTGATAATATCGATTTGAGCCGTAAAATAGTCGATGTGCAAAACAAATGCAAAGATTTAGAGAGCAAAAGTTCACAAAATGTAGTTGTGGAGCATGAACGCAAGCGTTTGCTCTCATCGCTGCAGGAAAAAAGCCATCAGTACGAATTGTTGGTCAGTGAAAATGAAATGAACAAAGATTTGAGTGTGCAGCTGAAAAAAGAGGTAACGAAACAGACATATATACGCATTGAATACAAATAATTGAACGAAGGCGCGCGTTTCTTTTGTCGTCGCGTGACACATTCTTTTCCAAAGTGATATTCCATTAAATGACGGTTTTTTTTTTCACTTTGAATAGGCCATTTAAAAACCATTTATTGCTCATTCTTCTGCTTGTGCTCATTGTATCCTAAACGCGCACACACACATTAACCAACACATTTCAACAGTGTGTTCTAATTTCAAACAATTTCTTTCGATTTTCATTTGATTTTATTTTACTTCTCTTCTCTCTTGTTGCAGAACGACGAACTGCGAAAAAAATTGGGTGACTTCAATAAAGTGAACAAAGTGCAAACATCTCTAAATGATCATAACTCGTCGCTCGAACAAGAAATTAAACAATTGAAAGCAAAGTAAGCGAATCGATGGTATCGTTATTGTTGTTGCTAGTTACTATGTAAATGCAATGAGAGAGCGAGTGCGCGGAAGAAGAAAAAAAAAATCGAGAACAGGGTGTGTAATTCAAGTTCTTGTTGTAATCACATCTGAGCTCTCTCTCTCTCTCTCTCGTTCTTTGCCGCTCTCATTCGTTGCGGATATTCAATGCGTATAAAATTTGCAAAAATCACTCTGTTTCTATCGGTAGCCAAGAGACAAAAAAAAGTGACACGAGAGAAAAATGTTCTTTGACTTTGCGCCATGCAAGCGACACAGTGCACAAATGCAAAGCCAATAATGCGCCAAGCACGCGCTCAACCCATTCGAAATGAACGCTTTGCATTCCGTTCATTTGTTTCTTCGTTATTTTTTTTATTCTCTGTTACTTTCGTCTCATCATCATTTGATTAACTGACATCAAAAAACCGCTTCAGTCGTTCGCGTCAAATGTGCCGCCACAATGTGAATTGCGTTTTGTCGTTTTTTTTTTGTTTGCTAGTTTTTTTTCTAAATTAAAAAGAGGCCACATTGGCGATCATGTAACTCGAAACTAGATGACTTGAAAAGACTAAATAATAAGATGAATTACATTGTGTGTGTATGTTATTTTTAGTTGAAAGGCGGTCGTTTTCAGTTGAAAATTGCATGATTGCCCATAAAATCCATGCGGCATCGAGAGAGAATTTGCGCGAACGCGCGCTCGTATATTTATAAATTGATTTGGCTGTATCGTGTTTTTGTTGGCTCGTAATGTGCACAAATATGCGAACATTTTTCAGTCTTACAATGTGTATGCATGTACAGATGGGATTCTAATGGTTTAACGTGAAGCCATAATAGTAAATTATCGATTCTTGCAAATTATGTTATAAAATGCAAATATATTACATTGTTGTTTTTTTTCTTCTGCGCTTTTACCTAACTAACGATGCAACAAATTTTGTGGGTTTTTTTCTCGTCTCTTAAATGATTTTCTCTCCGTTTAACTCGTTTTCTTTTGTTTTGCACTCTCGCGCCCAATGCAGATTGGAAAGCACCGCAATGGTTTCGAAATCCAATGAAGCTGCAACCAAATTGCGATACGAACAACAAGTCTACAACATGCAAACGGAACTCAATTCGCAGCAAGTATGACATTTGGCATTTTTTTGTTGTTTGTCGGTCGACTGTGTGCTCTGGTTTTTTTGTGTATGCAATCGAAATTGAAATGAAAACAAATCTCTTTTTTGTCTCTTTCTCACTTTCTCTCGTTCTCCCTCGATGGGCCGTTTTTTTTTTGGGGCGCTGTGTGACGTTGCAGAAACAATGCGAACGATTTAAACGTGATCGCGATTCATTTAAGCAATTACTTGAGGCGGCCAAAAAAACAATCAAAGATCTTAAATCGAATAGTGGACGCACGAGCAAAGCGTCTAGCGGTGACGAAGATGATAAATCGAAAATATTGACACTGGAGCAAAAGGTAAGCGGTTTTTTGTGTGTTTTTTTATAAATTTGAATTGATTTTATCTCAAGTGTAAAAGAACATGCTGTGTGACAACCGTTTTTTCTTTTTTTGCCTGTTTTTTTCATTCGCAAGATTGGAAATTTAGAGGATGAATTATGCGAGACGCGGCTGGAGACCAGCAAACTAAAAAACGAATTGGTGTCAGAGAAGACCGGCGCGGAAATTAAGTTGTCCGAACTGCAATCACGCATCAATGAATACGAAGAAGAACGATTGTTGGGCAGTGGACGAACAAAAATGCCTGGAATGAAGACAAAATTAGAGCTTTCATGGCAAAAAGAACGTGAAGAGCATCAACGTTTGTTGCAAGAAACATCAACGCTGGCACGTGATTTACGTCAAACGCTGCTCGAAGTTGAACGTGAACGAGACAAAGAACGGCTGGAGAATCGACGTAAAATTGAACAATTGGAACGAAACAATGAGGAAGATTTGGATGAAGGACGGAAAAAAATTGCTGAACTTCAATGTGATTTATTGGAATTGCGTGATGCTCATGCTAAGCTTCGAACATCCAATGAAAAGCTACGACTTGAACGAACTTGTTACGAACGTGAGCGAGATAGTTTCTACAGAAGGGGGTATTTATTACCGAAATTACCTTGTTTAAAATTAAAGATAAAAACTATATTAAAAAAATGGCACCATTTCTCTCTCTCTCCCATTTAGCATTGAACTCAATTTGGATCGACGCTTGAATTCATTGCTTCAGTTAGTAGATGATTTGTTTAAGATGTCACCGGATTCTGTTCAAAGTTCAATACTCAAAAAACCGCCAACACCAAATATGCAAAGACGCTTAGTGAAGAGCACTTCAGTTGATCGGCCCGATAATCAATTTTCGGGCAGCATGGAACAAGTGACGAGTCTGATTAGTAGACTAATGGCTGCCTCCGATGACATTCGACAATTCCAAAAGAGTTTCGGCGACGATCGTGAACGAGAGCGAATGCGTCGAAGTAGTATGCGACGTGCCACTTCCATTGAGAATGGTGTCAGTGATAATGAACGATCCATAGGTGGACGGTTATCGAAATCATCATCGTCCACACAAAACGGTAGTCTATATCGCAAAAGTCTATCGGTCGATCAATCGACATTGAGTGGTCAAAATCCAAAAATTTGGCGGAATGCAAACGATAGCAATTCATCAATACAATCGATTGACTCAGAATTACAGTATGGCGGAGGCGGCAATTATGGCCGAGATTCAAGCTTAGATTCACGATTATCGGGTGGTTCAACACAAAGCGATTTACCACGAGGTACACGAAAAAAGAAACGCGGACTCATGGGCAAACTTAAGAGCTTAACAAAGAGCAGCAAAAATAATGACACAGATGGTTCGGTGAGTTTCTTTTATCTTCCTCATTCTTAGAAGATAAAAAAAACTAAATTTAACGCTTTATTATTCCGTCATTTTTATTCTTCTTCTTCTTCTTTTTCAAATTCCATGCGGTTTTGTTTGTGTGGAATGTGCGTGTGCGTCAATGTGTGCGTATGATAGCAGCAAGTAAATTCTGATTCGGACATCAGCCTTGTCAATTATGATTACAAATCAAGTAAGACGAATCTAAAAGGTCGATTATCGGATATGTTTCGCCGTTCGGCGTCAGCATCGCGAAATGATAGCGAAGATGGTGGCGGTGGTGGAAGCACTGTAACGGTTGATTCAAGCAATAAAACTGGCGCTTACAGTCGATCCACAACACCAAATCTTTCGTCACGACAAAAAAGTCCCGCAACAATAAGACCGGTTCAAGTAAGTGTACAACTATCACTTGCTGTGAGAACGAACATAATAATAATAAAAAAAGCGTTTCTATCCAAGTGAAAACATAACAAAAAAAACGCCAACAACAACGATAATGAAGAAAAAAGCAGCCGCAGTTATTTGAGAAAAAGCACACACACACAGAAAAAAATAAATGAAACAAAAAGAAAATAGATCGATGGTTTAAGACGGAACAGAAAAAAATCTTTTGCACACTCTCGATAGGGAGTGAGGGAAAATGCACAATATATTTACACAATTTTTGATTGAAACAAAAAAAAACAGAGAGAATGAATAACTGTAGCAAAAGGCTTTGAACGTGATCTCGAACAAGCAGCGGCGTGTTCACCAAGACCCACAAATGGGCCGTCTGTTTTCTGTGTGTCCAAAATGAAATGATTGAATATACATGCTCATGCCGCTAAACGCTCTCGATATGTATATGTGCCATTGCACAGAGTGTAAATGTCATCATTTACGTGTTTTCTTTGCTGAAAAGCATAAAATCGCAAAACGAAGGAAACCATCGAGAGAGAGAGAGAGGGAGAGAGAAAGAAAAAAACACAACAAAAATCATGCGACTTTATTTTTTTTCTGTTGTCTTTTCTTTGGTACACACATTATATAGGTAGAAGAAGGCTTGCTCCATTCGATACATATCGATATACATATGGAAATGGTTTGTTGTATGCGATGTGTATGACCTCAATTTTTGCTTACAGCAACAATATGTTTTTCGTTGCTGTGCTTTTTTTCTGCTGCTGCTGTTGCTCGATGATGTTTTGTTTTTATTTTATCGAACAACGATTTGAATTAATGATGGAACAGAAACAATTCTCTCGTCGTTTTTTTTTCTCTCTCTGAATGTTTTTCTTTCTGTATATTAATATGTTTCTTTCTTCAATGTAACTATTATTATAGGAGTTGTTGGTGTCATTTTTTTCTCTTCTCTTCAATGTTTTATATTTTGCGTAATTTTTCTATTTTCCTGTATTATTGTTATAGATTCGTTCATCATCAGCGTCACCACAGCCAAGAGTATCGATGGCGGAAGCAAGCAATTCGTCGAAAACACCTACGTTAGTTAAGCGAGTGAATAAAAAATGAAAATGAGCAAACGTACAAAATACACACGACAGCATCAAATCACACAGTGAAATCCATAACAATTCAGAGCGATAGAGCAAATGGAATAATCCAGAGTTAGAGCAAGAGATGAAGTGATGGCGACGGCGACACAGCGCCCATAATTCGAATAATATTTAAATATTATGTTAGAGAGCAAAAGCAACATTACCATATATATACACAATCGAATGTTGCACATTGAAATGTGCGCAAAACAGAGAAAGAAAGACTCCAAATACGGTGCACACTAGTTGCTCTCGTCAAAGGCAAAGAAGAAAAAAAAAGAAACAAGAACTCAAAGTCCATGCAAATATCATTTACGGCTGAACTTTTTTTTTATTCAATGCAGACCAGCAAGAAGAACGGTGTGCGAGCATGGCCCAATCTCTTTCTTTCATTGGAAATGAATATATGCAATGCAACTCATTATTTGTTTTTGTCTCAGTTGTTTCGATATTTTTTTCTGTTCGCTGTTGCTTTCGTCTTCCTTCTTTTGGTGTTGTTTTTCTTCCCGCTGCCAATGGAAATATTAAAATCAATCAACAAATCAATCCGTTTTTGTATTATTACACAGTTTTTTTATATATTTGTTTATTTTTTTTTCTTTCTCATTTTATTCTAATAAATTTGTATTTGTAATATGTATATAGGTCTTTTTTGTTTCTTTATATAATATATTGTTGGTTGGTTGGATTTTTCATCTAAATTGTGTATATAACTTCCGCGACAAAAACACCGTACACGAAATTACATTATTAGAAATCATTTTTTTTTTCTTGTTCTCTATTTATTTCACAAAAAACTTCGTTTTGCTAATTGAGTCTAAAAAATTTAATTCAATTCTACTAATTGATATTCAATTTCCGTCTTTTTTTTTCATGATAAATTATGTTTGTCTTTTTTTGTCATATTTTAATTATTTTCAAACATTTGTAAATTCTCTTAAAACATTAAAAATCTATATCTCAATAAATTGTAACCGTGTTGGATTTATTGGACATTTGGCGACAACGATAATGAAGACGACAACGACGACGATGACGAAGAGAAAACAAGAAAAATAGAACTCATAATAATGCAAAGCGAACTTCGTACATCGTACACCGCGTTTGGTTATTTTTTCTTTCTTTCTTTAGCTCTCTTCATCTTTTAATTTAATTATGTGTATCTATTTCCACACATTTTCTAGATATCTTTTATAAATTTGTTGCAATAAATTAGTGTGTATAGGTTTTTGTTTTAATTGTTGCATTATTTGGTGATTTGATTAATTAATCTTGTTTTCTTGCTCCGAATTTCAATTTTTTTTTTGAGAGAGCGTCGATGACATTGAATCAAATCGACCTTTCTTAAATTCAATCGTGTTTTTTGTGTTAAGTTATTCATATATCCACAGAAAGAGGGAACGGCGCGGAATGGCGCAACACAAGAGAAACAAAAATGTTAGAATTAATCTATGAAGAAAATAAAATAAATTGAAAAACATTAAATTTATGTTTTAGAGCAAAATGGAATTCCTAGTTAATAAATATCCCTCTTTCTACAAAATTAAAATAAAAAAATAATAAGATGAAACAAAAAAAAAATATGTATAAAAAAAACAAAGAAGAAAAATAATAAAGATGAGAAAAAAACTTGCTAATAATAATGATATTTATTTATATATGTATATAATAAGAGATAATTCCCATATATGCAATAGGAATAATATATCAATGTGTTTGTAACGTTCTTCTATTTTTTTTGTCGTATTTATATATTTTCAATAATTTAGAGACGATTTGCAATATGCTTCTATATATCCGTTTTTTGTCTTCTCAACAACATTTTTTTTTTGTTCGATGATATCTACTACGTTTCTACGTTATCTTCAACTTTTTTTTTGTTCATCATTTAAATAACAATTAGGCTATTACAAGAGACGATAAACTACGCAATTGAAATATATATATATATAAATATGTATCTATATGTGCGTTTCGACAATGCGATCGTTTTTTTTTGTGTTTTGTTGTCAAATTATTGTCGCGCACGCACACATTTTGTTTTTGTTTTTCCGGTTTGGATACTTACTTATTTCAATTCGTTTTGTTTTGTTTTCGTTACCGAAACTATAACATCTCATTCTCAATTCTACTATAGATAAATTTATACACTAGTTGATTTAGTTGATTGTCATTGATGACAGGTGCAGCTAAAACATTGGTAAATGTATTTCTGCACCATCAGTCGTAGCTAGCAGAGTATCGAACTATCGACAACAGCCAATGATTTTTTGCGATAATTTAATGCCGCTCGGCTGCTGCTGTTACAGCAACAATTTACAGTCTTGTCAGCACCACACAAACAATTCATTGTTATTGTACTGTTGCTGTGCTGTTGTGTAACAACACCCACAGATGACTCGGTCAATGTGTTAATGCTCAATGTTGACGAACCAAGTGAATGATGTCCGTTTGTGGTATTCGTTGTGGTTGTTGTGATTGCTGTCGCTGATAATCGATACGATGGTAGAATTTCACGATTATGGTCTGTCGTTAGATTGGCAAATTTACTGCGATTTGGTGGCGTTGATTGTGTTGTGTGATATTGTGTGCTTGACACCAGTCCAACATTATCCGATGACACAATCTCATCAAAATCGATACGTTGATTATTCGATAGAGTGCCATTGTTCAATTGAAATTGTTTGACAAGCGCAACACACGACGGCGTATGATGATCGGCATCAGATTGATTTGATTTTCTTAGGACTTTGGGCGTTGTTGGTGCATCGGGAAATAAAACCGTTTCATGTTTTGTTTGAGCGGCTGATGTGGTGGCGGTGGTGTTGGTGTTATTTGCAGCGACACTGGCGGCATTGGCGGTTGATTGTTGTACTGTTGTTAACACGGATGATATGTTATTGGTCGTTGTTGTGGCGGCTGTGGATGTTGATGATGATGATGATTCATCGGCATATGTTGTCATCGTCACTGTACCATTGTTCGAACTGTTATTACTGTTATTGTTGTGCAACGTTGTTAAATTACTGATTAATTGAAGATTGTTGACCGTCGATGCTGTCGATTGCGGTGCAATTCGGTTTGCTAGAATTTTACTTAGGTTAATGTTCTCTTTGTTTGTCGCATAGTCTTTGAGCAAATCGCTTTTGTCATTTGGATTGTTGATATTATTACAGCTATTATTGTTATTATTATTATTATTGTTCAATGTGGTATTTTGTTTTGCGCATTCCATCGAATGATTGTTATGATGATGCGCATGATACTGTTGTTGATGATGATGATTATGATGGTTATGATGGTGATCGATGCCGTTCAATGTTTTGGAAGCATTTGTATTGTTTGCAGTTGTATTGAAACCATTGTTTAAACTACTGAACAGCACTTCGTCTAACAATGCTGTTCCATTTTTTGGAGTTTGATGTAGAAAAAATCCAGCGCTTGCTTTTGGCGGCGACGGTAGTGATGGTGTCGGTGATGTTCCAACACTATCGATCTGTTGCAATTTTTTCGCTTCGATAACGACGTGATGATTTTCCGGTATAATATCGTTCGTTGATATAACATTTGTTTTCGTTGTTGTACTGTCTTTTATTATCGACGCCTTTAACGGTTGACTTGATTCACTTAACCATTTGTGTTCAAGGCACTCAACAGCCGACATCCGATCCCTTGATTGAGCGAACGAGCGAGCGAGCGAGCGAAAGAAAGAAAGAAAAAAAGAAGAAAAAAGAGATAAAATGAGAATTATGAAAACAGTAGGTAAATTTTGTTCAAAATAAAACAATCGTTTCCCCGTATGCAAAAAAAAAATGACTGACTAATTTGGAACACCTAATTGACTGACTTTGATTGATTTTTTATCGTACCAAACAGTCTATGTCTGTCAATCGACCAAAATCATTAGTAAGCAGTTGACTATAATTATTTCCCAATTTCAAACAATCTATGATTGTTTTACATACAAATGCAAAATGCAAAGTAGTTAAGTCAATCACCTTTTTTTTCCACAGGGGATATATTGCATGCGATAATAAGAATGTATGAATGTTTCAACTTACTCAGCGGCGACTTGCAAAGCGCTCTTAATGAAATCTTTTGCATCCTCTGAAACGTCTTCGAACAGTCCATCCGGAAAGTTAAGATTACATTGTGATATGTTCAAAAATGTTTCTTGCTTTGTATCACCACCGAATGGGCTAAATCCGCTAAGAAGCACATAGGCAAGCACTCCAACCGACCAGATATCAGTTTTAAGAGATAAAGGCTCATATGAAAGTACCTACAGAGAGCAGCAGCAGCAGCAAAAGCAAACAATGCCCCGAATGATTGAGCGAGAAAAAGAAAAAAACGAAATCAGCCACCGTAAATCAAATAAAACAGCCGCTAAATTAATCTCATTTCGGAATATGTATAATGTGAATACCGATTGAAACGAATCTAATTGTAAATTGATATGCCTGTTCGAACATTAAAATAAATGCGCGCGCGAGCGACATGAATCTTATTAACACACATACCTCTGGCGCTACGTAATCTGGTGTTCCTAATATCTCTCGAACTTTACTACCGGTTTCTTCGACGATTCTCGATATGCCGAAATCGCATAATTTGAGGCCATCTACATGGAAGCGGGAAAGATGAACGTGAGCGTAAGCATGAGTGCGCAATGATGATGGGAGAGAAACAGCAACAACAACAACAACAAAAAAATATAACGAAATATTATTTTGATAAAAACCGTTTTCACAATATGTATAACATATATGTGCGCAGGCAATATACGAGCAACAATTTCGTATTAAAACCATATGAATCCCCATTCTTATTAAATGGGAGAAAGAGAGTAATAACAAACACAAAAAAAATCCGTTACGAACCTTCAACTCGCTTGCCACATAACAGAATATTTTGCGGTTTCAAATCCAAGTGAGCGATACATTTTTTGTGTAAAAATTGTAATGCTTTTAAGACTTCTTGCATGCAAATGATGGTTTGGTGTTCGCTCAACGAACCGGCCTCGTCGAGTAAACTTTGTAATTCACCGCCGTTTGCCATTTCTAATACTAGCGCTGTCTCAACCATTGTCTCATGTACCGAATGCAATTTGACAATGTGCTCCGAATCTGAGCACAATAACAATATCGCAATTTCGTGTCGAATCTCTTTCAATGTGCATTGTGCACGGCGCCTGCGCCTTAGAAATTTCGCTGCAAAACTAACACCGGTCTGTTTATGTATCGCACGTCGAACGGTTGCAAATTTGCCCCTGAAAATATTCCGATTCAAAATCGAAAAAAAGAAATTAATTAATTCATTTTAAAATATATGTAAAACAAAAACAACAAAATCAAAACAAGATGAAGCAAACGCGGAGAGAAAACAATGCGTGAGTGAAAAATGTGGTTAATCATCATTTTTGTGTTATTTCATCAATGTTATCGATGGCATTGAACGGTTTTTTTCGCAGTGCTTGCGACAGATAGTGAAAAAAAATAATAATTAAACACAGCCATAAAGTAAACAGCACAAACGTGGAAAAATTTCATACACATATTAAATCAAAGTGACGACGTCACATGTGTATTTTATTTAGTGTACAATTCAACTCTTATCGAAATGTATCAGCAACAAACATAATAACAATATGTGCATCGATAGAATTGATTAAATAGAAACGAATTGATGTCATTTTTGCGCAAATCGATTGACGTTTTATTTTTTTCATTTTCAATTATTATCTAAATTAGCTTTCTGTTGACTCATATTTTCCCCCGCACTTTTTGTATTGTGTTTTTTAATGTTGCCGCGCACGCGCGCAACGAGGGGGACGTTTCATACTTATTTGTTTCGTACGTAGTGTGTTTTATTGTATTTCACTTACCTTGCAAATGGTGTGTGTTCCACATCGTAAATTTCATTGATATCACCGCTTGCAATCAATTTACTTAAGCTTGCATCAGACACTTCTAATAGGCCGTCACCGATCGGACGAACGCCATTCGCCCCTTCGACAAACATCTTTCACGCGCTATGATTCCTTTAGATTTTATTATTCCACTACTTTCCTAAATTGATAGAAATAAATGAAGAAAATAAGACAAAGAAATAGACAAAACCAATTAAAAAAGAGGCAAAACACATCACAGCAAGAGAGTAGAAACTAGCAAATGACATCAAATAAAAAAAAGAAACACATTGTCGATCATCGTGTAAGTGTCACTCGTTGAACAGCAAATCAAACAAATTGATTTTATGGAAATGTTTTTTTAATTGTTTTCGTTGTTTTCTGGTTTTTTTTTCGCTTCGTTTCGCTAATTGAATGGAAATTTCAATTATTCATTAACTGATTAGTAATAAAATAAATGGTATTACTTTGACATTTTTTTCTCGCTCTCTACACCGAGTGTATATGGTAACATTTAATATTCGATTATAAATTCAAATGCGCTTGATTTACGCACACAACACTTCACTTAGCTTGCGCACTTATAACGTATCGATATTGCTTGTTATAATTGCTGCCGCTATTGTAAAATGACGACGAAAAAATAGCGGACAAATCAAATATTACGGATGTATTAAAAGACAAAGAAAAAAATCGATTGAAAGACTCATTACAAGCACTCTAATCACGCTTTGAGTTTTATGCTTCCCAAAAAATAATTGTTTCATTGAAATATAATATCATTTTTGATGTACGAAAAAAAATTGTCATACAGTTATGGCATGGTATCTGAAAACAGTAGCAAAAAGTGTGAAACATTTTTTCTGTTCGTTCATTCGAATTGTCGCCATCGTGCCCTCACTTTTGTGCGCATTATGCGCGCACATTTCCACACACACGTACGATTCCACCAAATTCTTAAACAAATATGACAAAGGCAACGACTACGACGAACGAACACACAAAAAAAAATCACAACCTTCAACAACCATTAAAGTTTATAAAACAAACATATATGCAATTTAAAAGCGCGTTGGGTATTAATTTATTGTCACATATTTAATAAGACGACGCGTGTTCGAACATCAATACAATGGAAAATAATCGCCCGTCCGTCCCATCGACCGACTGAAAAAAACGGTATTGATTCGTTGGCGCTTTTTTTATATCAACACACTCACACAGTTTTTTTGGTCAATTTGATGTTAAAAATTGAAAACATTTTTTCTATAAAATTAATCATAGTCGAAGCGAATATATCAAATCAGACAATAAACTGAATCGAAAAAAAATTGAATTCCAAAATATCTAAAAACGAACAAAAATAACTTTAAAAATAACACGCAAACGAATAACAAAGGAGGGACACACACACACCAAACAACGTTCAGCACAGAGAGAAAAAATGATTTTGTTCGTTAGACATCAAGACCTTTTATGGCTATGATTAACGAAAAAAAATTAAATAAAGACAAATTCAGTAGTGGCTGCTTTGTTAAATTCAAACTTGGAGCGAGCACATACCAGAGTCTAGCGCAAAAAATAACACATCGAACGAAAAGTTCAACATGCCAAATTTAGCGATGAAGTTTTCTTGATTCGACCGTTTGTGTGAATCATGTAATTTTTTTTTTAAATCTGTTTGTTCGATCGTTTCGAGAAGACAAGTGTGTATTTGGCGCTTTGAACAAAATTTATTGTATTTTCTCGCCCCGTTGCCAAAAATGATGATGATTTGCGAGCTACTTGAAATAGAGAGAGACGAAGAGAAAAAAAAACGAAACAAAAACACTAACTAGCATTAGCTAATTCCAAAATTAACGTCATGAATCAAACACACTCGAAGCGAAAAAACAAAGAGCAAACATAACACTTGACAAACAACAATAACCAAATAGACAACAAAAAAAAATTAACAACTTAGTAAAACATGTTTCAAGAATTTCAATTGAGAATGTCAAAAAGTGTGTGAGTGTGTAACAAAGTAAGCGGAGAGATACTCATAAAAAAAAAACTATACACGATGATCATAAAAAAAGAGGCAATATAATTCTTAATAGGAAAAAGAAAAAGGAAGCGATTTGTTGATGTCGAGATGTACAAATTTGGTGAAGTAGCTGCCGCTTAAAGTGCACACACAGATCGTACGGCCATTGGGTGCTTTGCATTAAACACACGGACAATTGTATGAGTTGATGATGGTTTAACGCGTAAAATTACTTTACGCGTTTGCCATACTACTTAAAATAGTGTGTACGTATAATGCACGAAACAATGAAATGATGTGTGTAAATATTCATAATTTATTTGGTCCATTCACTTGGTGGCCAACAATACCAAAAATGAACAACGGCAACGGCAATGGAGTGAGCAATGAACGATCAAAAAAAAAACTATGCGCTAACGAAATACTCCAAACAACTGGCGAGAGAGGCAATCGAAACAGCACAAAAAGACACATCCATATCTCGTTTACCCACGATCAAATCAACTGATGATGCCAACGATATGACGACTATTACAATGTGTATATACAATGATCTTCATGTGAATGTGAACGGTTTTTTTTTTTCATAAATATTTTGAATCTGATTTCGGTGTTATCTTCGTTGAGGTCGAAAAAAAAGGCACAGCGCGTAAATTCTGTCCGACACTGTTTCAATGGAATGAGATTGAGATTGGATGAATGTGGTGTGTGCGTACGTGTGTGCCACCGTTGTCGCCGTCAGATGAGTCGGTGTATGCGCTGTTGTAATAAAATGTAAGCGCATATCTTAATTCGTTTATTTTTGGTGTGAATTGATTATTGTGTAAAAGAATGTTTTTTTGTTGTTGTTGCCGTTCAGCTCAGTTCGGTATGTGTCAACTTGCTGTTGCATATTTTTGAGCCGTTGCTTGGCTGCCTTCATTGGCACACACAAATATGTCGCCTAAACGCTATATTTTGACTTGTTGGTGGCATTTTTCTTCGACATAATAATATTAGCATCTCGGTAGTTTGTGCGAGCGCGCGCATGGTCAATATATCAATAGCTTGTCTTATGCTCTATGTAGCTCTCGAAAACTCGTTCATGTGTCGCATTAGAAGTTTCAACATTTGCCTTTTTCTTTCTTATTTCAAAAAAGCGCACGCCATTCAATCCAAATGGTTTTCATTTTCTTTTTTCTCGACTCTCTCACATACACACACGTGCGCGCGCGCAACCCGCACTCACTCAGCACACACCGTCTATAATTAAAAGATAGTCAAAGTGTCTTTTTTGCACAACACAACGTGACATTATCGTTGCATATTTATTCACTGAATCAGCATACAAAGAATGTTTTGAATAATATTCGAACAAAAGACGACGACGACGGCGACGGCGATGACGACGATGAGAAAGAGTGCAAAGAAACGCGTTTTACTTTGCGAACTGGTGTACCTTCTCTTTCTATCGCGTGCTCGCGATCTCATTCGATAAACGTGTACAAAAAGTAAAAAGAAACACAAATAATAAATCATAGTTGCTAATCTGTTCGCTTACTATTCCCTTTTATTTCCATGGAATGGAGAGAAACGGTTTCAACAAAAAAAAAAAAAAAAAAAAAAAAAAAAAAAAAAAGCAATAGCATGCTTAAATGCTTCTCTCGCTTTCGATGTAGATTTTGTGAGTGTGTATTACTTCTGCGGCATTCGAAAATGTAAACAATAGAATATTAATTTACAAAAATCATATAATTAAAAATTCATTTAGCCATTTGCACTATGCCACCGCATGGCAAGTACACACAATGAAGAATGAATGAAAAACAGAAGAAGAAGCACGAACATGGCTCTGGAGTTTTGTTTCGATTCTGTTGTTAGCTTCGTTTTTATATTATCTTATTGATGACGATGTGATGGTGGCGTGTAAAACACTCGCCGAAAATTATAACGGTGAATCGAGAGGAGAGAATAACAAAAAAAAAAACATACACGTATCACTTCGCCAAATTTAGGAGAGAAAACAGAGCAAATACACACCGTAATGAAGAAGCAAAACGTTACAAATTATAATAAACACAAGAACAATAACTTGGCATTAATGGAAAATATGCTGACAGAAACACGACGGCGTTCATGCACACTTACACAAATCGTTGTCGACGGATTCAAATGAGTAAAATGAATAAGAAGATGTTGAAAATGGCACGGCACAAAAGATTACAATGGAAAAACCAATAGAATTGTATAATGGACAATTTGAATTTTGTTGGATGCTCTTTTTTTTCCTCTTTGTAAATTGCATATGAAATAGGCTATTGTTTTTTTTTCTGTTCAGGTATACGGGTTTCTTTTTTCTCTTCTTTCTCTATCTCTATCTCCCCCTCACTCTCTTTCGCTTAATGTATGTGGTGTTTTTGTGTTTCTCGACCGAATTCCTCAGACAAGCGAAATGCGCTGAGCTGCCGCATTTGACGAAATTCTTTATTAGTTACTTTAGATGAATTGAGATTTCATCATTTTGAATGATCGTTTTTGTTGCTGTTCACTTACTCTCTCGCATTAAATGTGTGTGAAGAATACACACCAAGCATTGGGTCATTTGCTGCTGCAGTACACATTTAACGTAGCGTATAAATTTAGTTTAAAAACTGAATTGGAAAAAAAAGCACAGAAAGAAGAAAAAATGTTTGTATGTTTGGTATGAAGTTATGTGGTCTCGAATGCGAATTAAGTAGTTCGCATACATTTCATTTCGAATTGGTGTGTAATATAATTTTCTATTTCGACGAAAATGGTCTGGCCCGAAACGGAACACACGAAGCCCCAGCAAATTGAAGTGAGATAGACATAGATTGGGTTTGATGCAAGAGCGAGAGGGCCACTAAATAAAGAGAGAGAGAGAGACGGACAAAGAAAAAGCAGCACGTCGATTCGATTACAAAATAATTATATTACATTTTCTATTACATGGTAGTACAGCTTGCATTGCATTGGCCAAACCAAAGTGTAATTTGAATAAGCGTTTATCGTGTGGTGCACGATAGAGAGTAGCCGGGAAAAGAAACAACAACACAGCAACACACCACGGCCTCATTACATAATCTTTCTCTCTCACTCTCTCTCGTGCGCGTTGTCGGCACGTTCGTGTAAAAAGTTTGCAATTTCATGACAACAACAACGACTTCGACGACGACGATCAAAGACAATTTTCGATTGGGCCAACTATTTTCTACTTCTTTGGCCACTACCGCTGTTGCAATTTTTATATTTTTCGTGTGTTTGCGACTCTCTGTCACAAAAGAGTCTTTTCTAATCGAGTTTTGTTCCGACTGACTGTGCCACTTGAAACGGCAGATCAATCTTCCTATATTCCGTCATGTAATTCCACATTCATTTGCGCGGAATTGCGGTTGTTTCATGCCGTGTATTGCTTGTTTTTTTTCTTTTCTTTTCTTCATTTTTTTCTCTCTTCTTTTATGTTCCAATGCGAGCTGGTATGGTTAATGTACTAAAAGAATGCGACTATCACCAATGTGACGACGAGAGGAAAGGCAACAATATAATAATAAAGAAAACGACAACAACTTCGTCCACAATATGTGCACATCTATGTACAGGCGGCGCGGCGACACTTACTTCTTGTGTGCCGTATATACAGCACACAGAATGCTGCATACTTTAGAGAAGCAGCAACGGCAACAGCATAACAAGAGAGCACAAATAATTCAGATTTTTTGACCCTATTTTTTGCTTTTAGCTTTTTTCTCTACTGCTGCCATCGTCGCCTCCGCCGCCGCCATCACCGCCGCCCCTGCTACTGCAGCTTCAAGTTTACTTTGTCGCATTTTCATACTTTTCTCCTCACAAACTCTCGCACAACACTCAAATATTCGCACTCATTGCAATGCGCTCTTACTAATCAACTTGCATATTTTTACCGAGCTTTTTCTTTCTTTTCATTTCGTCGTCGTCGTCGTCGTCGTCATCGTCATTTTATATATATGCGCTTGTGCGTTCAATACTTAATGCATTTCGTGCACGCTGGCTCTTGAATTCATTGTGTCTTTTTCTGTGCTCCTGTGCACAGACATACTTTTGCAATAGCACACTTAAGTGAGAGACAACCGATTGATATTATATTTGTATGCATGTATGTGTTATGTAGAAAACATAGCCATCAAACACCTCATGTCAAGACAGATAGTAAGAAGTAAGAGTATCTCGCAGCAAACAACAGCAGTCATGTAATATGCTGATGATGTGGTAGGCTGAGTTGCCTTGTGCATATATGTATATGCTATATATATTTCTATCTACTTCATTGTTGGGTGCTATTATTGTTTTTTATTATTGTCTTTGCATGTGAGATGCCTGATTAATGCAAATGTACCGAGATATGCATTTTTTCACAATTTTACACAACATTTCATATGTTGGGCTGCTTGTCTTTTATCGCGTTATTCATTCAGTCAGTCTCTTTCACTCTTCCATATCTGTATCTCATTGTCTCATTTGTTCCGAATATCATTCGCGCGAATTGCAATTTAATCGGACTAAAAGTATGTGTGTATGTTTTGTGTGCAGATTGATTTTTTTGTTCGTTCGTTCGTTTCTTTGCTCTCTATCTCTCCATCTCATTATATCGCTTCTCTCTGTTTTCCATCGTATTTACGCAGCTTTCGCGCAAAACATGAGAGAGAGACTCAAGTATCAGTATAATTGCTTGATCGGTGTGCTCTGTGTTGCTCTGTTCTTATTATGTGTCGTTTTTGTTGTTGTTGTTGTTGCTTTTTTGTGGATCACAACACGAAATAAAACATGGGCAACGAAACGAAACAACACAATTGTATGTGAATTACGCAAAAACGTATTTAATGACTTTGAAAGGCCGTCTGATGTTACCTTCCCGAATAAATACATACGTGTGTGTACGTTTTTTTTTAATCTTTCTTTCTCATTTTCTTCTTCATCACCGTTTTCGGTGTTGCGTTTTTTTTTTCGGTTCCGATTGTCACAAACGTAAATTGTCGATGAACTCGAGACGGCATAGCAGCCGTAATAACAGAAGAGAAAAAAAATCGCTCTCAATGAGCAAAAAGCAGCCATATAAAATCCCATTCCGTGCATAATTTAGGCCTGGTTTTTTTTTTCATTCTTCTGTTTGGATTTTAGTTGGATTTTAGTTGGATTTTATGACTGTTGCAACAGCCAATGGCATCGACACGAACGCATTAACGCCACATAATCCGAGCTCAAAGAGTTGTGGCGGGCGTGAGAGTAGAGAAACAAAAAATCCAACACCGAAAATAAATTAATTATACTATAGCTCATTTATACTTGAAAATGTGTAAAGTAATGCATTGTATGTTCGCCATTGCGTGAACCTTGTAAAATAGATGAATAACAATCGAAATATAAATTTCAATAAAAAAAAAAATAAAAAACAACATTATGGGTATAAAGTCGTAGGTACTTTGTCAAGTCTGGATTTTTTATGGCATTGTTTAACACACGCGGTGGCCCCAGCACTGCCACACACTCGCTCGAGAGCACTATCCTCTCACACATGAATTTCATGCATGTTCACTATCGTGAACATAGAAAATTGATTGATTCTCGTCTGGGTTCGCTTGGCATTTTTTTCTTCTTTTTTCTTGCTCGTCTTTGGCTTTATGGTGTTTTTTCCCTAAGAAGAATCTACTTTTTTTCTCTTCGTTTCGGCGATGATGGCTCGTTATGTACACACTCAGTCACTCATGGTGGCAATAGGCATGGTTCTTTATTTCCATCATCAAAAGTTCATATACGCATTGAACCTTTGCGCGAAACAAAAAGGTAGAACACTGTGTGCAAATCAAAAACTCTAAACAAACTCGCGTCGAGACATGTATCCAATACACTTCTCTCTGGTTTGTTCGTATTTTTTTTTTTTTTTCGTTTTTCCGTTGCAAATCGTTTCGTTCTTATTCTCTTTTTCGCATACATACACTCTCTTTCTATTCTTGTTCATTTCATTTCCATCTGGTTCATGGCACATTTAAACCGAAAGATCAAAAAACCAAAGCAGCAGCCGTTCGATGGCTCGATATATAGGAGAAGCAAAAGTTAAGAGAAAGAGAAGAACAAACGAAAAAAAAATCAACAACAGCAACGGCTGCAAACACATACAGAAAATCGACTCTTAGTTCATCGTCATTTCTGTGATCGCGCGCGCGCGTGAGTGTTCGCGCATTGTTGCCGTCATGGTCGCCGTCGATGGTTGATGTCGTTATTTTACAAACGCAATACTTCTCACACACAATATAAAAATGAAGCAAAAATGTAATGAAAAATGTATACACGAAAAAAAACAACACCAACAATATAACAAGCGATCCAATGAGGAAAAAGGCGACAAGCGAAAAAGAAATCCCAAATTGCCACAAGCACAACATTTCTCATTATATAGACATATTATTTTGTAGTACATGTTTTATTTTTCGATTGTTTCTGTGACGAATTTTGTATGACCGCACAAACATACACGAGGGCGAGCGGACTCACACAGGCGAGCGCGCGCGCGCGCGCGCGAGAAAGATCTGTTCATATGAATCTATTGACAAGCATCTCTTCAAACTCATCTTCGGTTTCTTCTTCTTTTTTGCAATTTTAACTCTCAATGGCAATGTGTAAGCCATATATTCCATTCACTGTGTGTACCTTTACGTTATTTTGGGGGGATCTTTTCATCGTTCGTCGTTGCTGTTGTTGAAAGATACTCAGAAAAAAAAACATGTACATACGGCAAATCATCATCACAAACAGAACATTGAATAAAAAAGATGGTGCGACAATGAATTTTTGGTGAGTTAGTCGACGTTCAATAAACAGCAACAGAGCCAATAGACACAGGAACAGAGCGAACAAGAGCATGGAAATGAATGTGCCTTGCTATGTGCTATACACTGTGGTATGAGTGAAAATGTGCACGCAAACCACATACACTCACTCATTTACGTATGTGTTAAAACACAGAACCACATCACATATTCTCTCTCGCAATATGTATGCAGAGCATATTCAATATATATATATGGCAAATGGGCTTGCAGTGCAGTTGTTAGTGTCTAATTTCGTTTCCTTGGAAAAATTCGACGTTTATTGGGTGATTGTACCTTCCAAGTACTTATTGCCCTGTGCCAACAATGTTTATTCTTCATCGTCGGCTCTTTTATTAGACCTTTTTTTCTCTGGCATTTTCGTCAAACTTATTATATTTTTTATTTTTGGCTTGCTGTCGCTTTGAAGTTTTGAAATCCGAACGTGATGATTTCGTGTGTACGAAATGGAACAGTTGTCAAACAGAAAAATTTGTCGTTGCATGTTTTTTTTTTCATCAACTCCATTCGCTACAAAACAATTTTCTTGGAATTGCGCGACCAAAGCACAAAAAACAACGACGACAACGATGACAAAATAAAAACAACAATGAATTTGGTGAATTTGATGTGCAAGCACAGACAACGAGTTGGAAAACACGACCCGAAGAATGCTTCTTTCTGCTGGATTTTTTTTTCGCTTCCCGCAAAACATAAAAAAATTAGTATAAAACGAAGTAAATATTGGAATGGAGCGAACAAAAAAATAATTTCAAGCAGAATAAGAGGGAAAAAAGTTAAACATCGACACGATTCATTCTTTAGCTTAAATTTCAACTTCACTTCTTCTTCTTCTTTTTCTTTTTCATATTAATTTTATTTAGCCTCCGACGAACTCTCTCGCATGCACAAACACTCTTACAATACAGTCAGCCAGGCTCACTCTCTCGACATTCACGACAAAACAATCACTCGCTTATATTCTTAATATTATTTTTTCTCCAGCGCCCTGAACTTTTTCGTCACTATCTCTATCTCACAATATATTTATCTCTTTCTTTCTCGTTCGACATTTACTCGATCGACCGACGAATGTGTAGAATATTTTACAATGTTTTTTTTTTTATTTCGTTTCGTTCAACTTCTCAATTAATTTTACATACGTTTCGATTAGGTTGTCTTATTTCTGGCGTTTGCTGTTGTTGTACGTAATATCTGTTGTTGGTTCTGTGTATTTATACTATTATGAACTGGGTAGTCAGACTCGGACCACTTGATTTATATTGGAATAGTTGATTGCCGTTTCACTCGTTGTAAAATTCACTCACTCTCTTTCTCAATAATCAATACTCAATTTTTTTTTAAATACATATATATAATATTCGCGCACGCAAATCGACAAATATACAAAATTCCGAAATCGCATCAAACAATTTTTATGTTTCTTTACTTTTCAAAATTTTTTTGTTGTTGTTTTGTTTTTAATTTCACATGAAAATAAATTAAATCGCTCGTATTTCGATCACATACAATTCTCTTTCGTCGTTTTGATTTGAAATCAATGTTGTGTTTTTGCAATATTTTTTCGATTATTATATATCTTTCTATTTACACCACGCCCGACCAAAAAATTACATTTAAAAGAAAAAACATCAGATAAACAAATAAAAGTCACGATCCTTTGGTCGCTGCGCCCAAACAGCCTTTCCGTTTCAAACGCTGTAAATGAACTGATTCAATGGTGTTAAATTTATTATTTGTATAACCGACGAAATAAATGAATGCTGTTCGCCTCGCGCTGCTTCTATGTATGTGTGTAAAAAAGACCGTTGAAATTGTCGCTGCTGCATATAATACCAATAAAATGACAGCGGACGCATAAGTAGGAGAACGAATGGACTGTTGAAAAAGAAGTTGAAAAAAAACCACACACAGATCTAAGTATGCCCTAACTCATAAATACACTCACATACATACACAACTCATTAATAGTGAATGTGAAGGTTCATGCTCGCACTCAATATGCACGGTCGTGTATGTACATGAAGAGAACCAATGAGAATATTTCCAGCTAAACTTTTCTACACACACGATCGAACCCGTACAGTTTTAACACAACAACAGTTGTGCCCGTCATATGACAACGCGTCCAAATACTAACATTCCAACTCCATGCACCACTCACACATACATACACACACACTCACACACACTTACATATCGAAACAGAGACAATAATGAAATATCGTCAAGCAACGACCGTGCACATGCACGAATCGAACGCATAATTCATGTGAGAATCCAAACAAAATCAAATTCCAATTCAATTACATATATATTCTTTTATACAAGTGGAGACGCACTGTTGATTTTTTTTCGACGTTTGTTATTCTCGATATTTTGAGATATTTTTAAATAATTTTTATTTAAATGTTGTATTCTTTGAATATGTAAAGTTTCATATTAGCAACATTTTTGTTAAACTTGAAAAATTTCGAAGAAATGAAGCCGAATCTCCGAATTCCAAGAAAATATCGTCTCACAAGTCACATTTTACCAATAGGGATGTATACAGTATTCAAAAAGTAAACATTAACAAGAGAAACTATTTGGAATGTCATTGAATGCCGTGTGTAAGCGTGTACAATGTTATCTTGATTACGATGCCAAATAAAATACACACAGAAAAGAAAACTGGGCCGAGATGTGTCAAATATCGTCGAGCACTTGTGTATTGTCGTCGTGTGATTTGTTGTATGTGAGTGTGGTTGTGTGACGACGATTGCAAAATAGTGAAAACAAAAAAAAAATACGAGTTTTCACTTAACAACGACACATTTTGTGGAAAATTATCTTCCAACAAATAATTAACGTGAAATTCTACGCTCACGTAACACATCCTTGCTTCATACCAAATGGTAAAAATGGTTGAAATTCCATCTAAATAACATACAGTTTTGCCACCTTTCACCGTTCGGATTAGTGCAATTTTTTTGGAATATTTTAATTTAAAAGAAATATGGGGAGAAACGTGTAAATAATTTAATAAATAAATAAATTTAGTTTAGATTCTGTCAAGTGCTTAGTTTGTGTGATCTGCGAGAGTAAAATAAAATAAATAGAAAAAAAATGACGGTAGAAAAGAGTAAGCAAATTTTCAATGTGTTGTCATTGTGCCTGATTTGGTATGTTGTATCGTCGAGCAATAATGTGATAGGAAAAATGGTACTTTCGAGCTTTCCTTATCCAATGACCGTAACCATGGTGCAACTCACATCAATCACACTGTACAGTGGTCCGTTCTTTAATTTATGGGGTGTACGCAAGTATTCGGATATGTCGTGGCAATATTATTGTAAATTGATCATTCCGTTGGCGTTGGGGAAATTTTTCTCGTCCGTTACATCGCATATATCAATTTGGAAAGTGCCTGTTTCGTATGCACACACGGGTAGGTACCAAATTAAAAAACGCGTATTTAATAACAGATTATGATCCATTGATTAAAATTCTTCGTTAAATTGAGCCTAATTTCCCATATGTCAAACCTGCGGGTATTGAATGTGTATGCGTAAGCAGGAAATTTATTATGTAAAGAAATTTTTTAACTGTAAAACATCTGTAGACGTCGTTTACATACATCATCATAGTGTTCAGACCAAATGACTGTAACGTAAGCAAAAAAAACAAACAGTATATATTCAATATTCAAATTGATCCAAATTTAAACCATTTGAAGGTCATACACACAGCATTGTACACATACTTTTACTTTGTAATTAACACTGACCGCCGAAACGGACCATTCGCAATGTTAACCAATCCGTCCGCATACATGTATGCATACACAAAATCAAATCGGTGTGCATTTTTTGTTTGCACAAAATCAAAATAATGAATGACTTCGTGCCCGTCGTCTATGTTTCTATTTGGCGCGCGCGCCATTTATTCGCATGTTTTTTTTATTTATGTGTTACAGTTGCTATTACCTGAATTCATTTCTTTCTTTCTTCTCACTCATTTCGTTTCTCTTTTATTCAGTATTCGTAATAAAAACAATGTTATTTGTTGCTATCACAGATTTTAATTGAAAATTACTGTTTTCGAAATCAGAAGCAAAAAAAAATGAGATCGATTGATTATCGTGGATTTGGGTTTATCCCACTTTGCATATGTTTTTTTTTTCGCTGCAAATGATATTTGTTGTCTGACTAACATGATTAATCACTAAAATTCACGTAATTTAATTTCGCACAACGCTCTCACTTTTATATGCTCATTTTGGTTAGCGTCATTATGACGCAATTGACATTTTTATTATACATTAAAAGTGAAACATTCCTTTTTTTTAATAGCACATTTGTTACATTGTTTGTTTTTCTTTCGTTCTTCTGTTTATTTGTTATAGTTAAAGCGACGATGCCTTTGTTTACGGTGATTTTGACACGGATTTTCTTTCGAGAGAAACAACCGACATCCGTGTATTTAAGTTTAGTGCCAATCATCACCGGAGTTGGAATTGCCACAATGACTGAATTATCATTCGATATGATGGGACTGGTTTGTGCACTTGCCGCAACCCTTGGTTTCTCACTGCAAAATATTCTATCGAAAAAAGTATTGAAAGATACCGGCATACATCATTTGCGGCTGTTACACGTGCTCGGCCGCTTGGCATTGATACTCTTCCTTCCCGTTTGGCTGTACATGGATTTCACGAAAATTATTCATGAACCAACAGTTGTAAGTGAATCCCAATTCAATATATTCCACATTTTCAAGGATTTTGCATTTCCAATGACTTGAATCGGACACGATTCGAATCGTTTAACTCTCGTACTTTCAAAATTGAATCTCCTTGAACATGAAAGAGTCAAGATTTTTCTTGTTGTCTACGTTTGCTCCAATTCAAATTATTAGTCAAATCGATTCGTTTTATTTACAGACAAATGGTGACTACAAAGTTATAGCGCTGTTGTTCGCTGATGGTGTGCTAAATTGGTTGCAAAATATCATTGCATTTAGTATATTGTCATTGGTGACGCCGTTAACGTATGCTGTTGCATCGGCATCAAAGCGAATATTTGTAATTGCCATATCATTGTTAGTGCTCGGTAATCCAGTCACATGGGTCAACATTTTCGGAATGATGCTCGCCATTTTCGGTGTACTATGTTATAACCGCGTAAGTATACTCATTACATAATGTTAATTATATTCAAATTGTTTTAATGCATTTAATTGTATAATTTTCGAGGTGTTTTTTTTTTTTTAATTTGTGGATTTTATCTATTTTTCAGGCCAAACATCTATCGAAACTATCGGCAAATGTATTGCCCTCATTTTTCCCGAATCGAAAGGAGAGCGGCACCATACCATATAAACCGTTGCCAATGAATATGAATAACAATGGTTTAACGTCACGTATAGCAGCAACGAAAAATGGCACCGTTACGAATCTTCTGCTCAATGGCACCGCCGATCATCACAATTTCACCGTGAATGCCAATAATAAACTGTTATTTGTATAAAGACAAAACAATTTAATTCGCTCTACGATTTTTCTACAAACTGATTGCTTAATTTGTAAAATATTATTACTATTAGATAAAGAAAAAAAAATGATGTTTACATTGACTCTATAGAGCTATAGCTTAGATTCGTGAATATTGTAAAACAAAAGTCATCTGAATGGCTTTCGAAAATTCGTACGAATCATTTTCGGGATTTGTTTTTTTTAAATTCATAATACAAAGAATCGTAGGAATTATAACAAAAACTACAATCAATTTTAGATAGAGTTTTTTGCCGCAAAACGTACAGATATCATGTATGTACTAAAATAGTTAGAGAGTTGGTCAGACTTTTGTAAATTATATCTTGTCTAGCAAATTGTTATTTTAATAGAAGGTTATTTTTGTAAAAAGAAGAAGAGGGCAAAACGCAAACATCATATGGAATTTATTTATTATACTTACACACGACGAAAAAAAGAAATGTCTTTTTAATCATGAATAAAAAAAAATATATATGAAGCATGTGCAATTTTCATGTCACATGAAATTGATAAGACCTCTTAAAACGTGTTCTCAAATCATTTGTTTGACGTCTTTGGACTGATAAAACATTTCTTCGTTGAAATATTATTATTTTTATTTTAGGTTGTTCACATTTTTATGACTCAATGGCGGAACATGATAAGAACGAATTTATTACGAAAGAGACAACCGCATCCATGTGTGATATGTTTTGCCCTTTTGTGAATTCTATATTTTTGTACAAAAGTTTTGAACGGGATGGGCTATACCGATAATAATCGATACATTTAAATGAACATTTCCAAATGAAATTCTTATTAATTTAATTTTATTCTGATTTTATTTACTCTAAATTATAGCATTTCTGTTTTCTAGCGTCTGCTGTAGCTGTGGCAGCAGCTTGTTCTGCCATTTTTACTGCACGGTACATGCCATCAACACCAATATCATTCGGGCAAATCATTAATTGCAATGTCAGATCTTGTCTCGATCTAAGAATTTTATTTATTTCCATGGATGTTTGTACGTCCTTATTTAATTTGCCGGTGTGAACACTGCGAAATGAATTTTCACTCATGCTTCGTAAGCTTTGATCGATGAACCTAATCAGTGGAAGTTCATCCATCTGAATGGACAATTTTTTAAATGAATCTTTTGGAATTTGTTCCATTGCTTTCAAGAAGGCATATAGTTTTGCATGCTTCAATGATTGCCGGCGCTCGACACTTCCTTGCAAATTCCTATAGAGAATACATTGTGTATAAATGTAGAACATTTTTCAATATGCAAATATTGGTAGTAACTCATGCAGCTTTTAGAAACTTACAATGGATGATTCGGACCGAAATAGACGGAATATCCCGATTTGGTATCAAGATTACGTGGATGATGATATCCACTTATAAACACACATACATATCCATCAAATCGCTCCAAAAATTCGTGTTCACCATACTTAACGAGTTTATGAGAGGAGAGTAAATAATTTTCAAGTTTTAGTTCTCTGACACAATCGATATGTGGATATGGCTCTAGATTTCGTCTTCGCAGACCCAATTTTGGTTTCTAAGAATGCATAATAAATAATCATGGTTAACAACCGGAATACTGTTACTGGCACAATAGTTAATACATACTTCATCTTTGTTGTCACCATCGTTGGATCGACTGCAAAAGGCAGCTTTTTGATTCAGACTTATGCTTAGCACCGGTCTATGATTTATTGTTCGGATTTTCGGGAGCGCAGACCTGAAAAAATGATTTTTTTATGTATCACCATAGCATTGACATTCAAATAACATTTTCACTCAACAATTTATAGAATATTTAATTGCTTACAATTTATTCAGCGTTGAAAACAATCGTCTACAAACATTCATGTTGATTTTTATTTTAAATTAAATAGAATTCGGAATTTCACAATGTTTCTTTTTATTACCACGATATTCATGCGATTTTAAATTGATGTGATATTTGTGAGGTTATGTTCATTGGTGTTGATTGGTGTTTAATTTTTTTCGTGTTTTCGACGATAAAATATTGAAAAAATAAATGAGACTTCGGATAAACTGAATTTTATGTCAAATCGTCTCATATTGAGGTTAGGTGTCTTTTGTGTGTGCTTTGACATATATGTCAATTCAAAAACAAAAATCGTTACATATCGTTTAGTATCGACTAGCATTTTGGTCTATTTACTTCGTATACCTGTTTGTTTTTCAATACATTAATAGATTTTCTGAAACCTTAAATCGAAAAGTCTCTATCATGATTCATGATGTTATATTCTCTAATCTAGATGAATTTACATGAATAAATATTTTAATATAATATTTATATAAAAATATGTTTTCATATCAACAATATTGTCTATTAAGGCATAAATGGAAGAAATTGCACGTCAAAAAAAAATACAGAAAATATTGACGCAGAAAAATGTCTTGTGCAGATAATTTGCATACTAATTTACGTATACCTTAAAAATATTATTTTTGATTTCATAAACAAATTAATTGATTAATCAAACAAAGTTCGTTATCAAAGTTCAAACAGTTTATGTGTTGTTATTGGCCGGATGTATTTATACTTATTCTGATAAAACACAATAAATTTGGTTTTTTATAATATAAAGTGTTTTCGTTAAAAAATGCCGATATTTGACGTCACATTTTGTTTTGAGCCTACGCTATAAAAAAGGGAAACCGCACATTTGGCAATCACTTTATTTTCTGATAACAACAGAAGACGCTTGAGATTTGACCATTATTAACCACGTCCGAAGAGTTTATCGTAAAGTAAGTTTGTAAATTTTTGAAAATAGTAAAAAGATCAGAGTAAAAGTTTTATTTGAAACGTGAATCTTTGATGCTTGAAGTTATCTCGTACTGAAAAAAGTGATTTGATATACATAATAATATAAGGACAAAAAATCAACTGATTAGCTAATTACATTTTAGGTATTTAAAAATTGCGTTAGCTAAAATTTCTATGATTATTTGATTTGCTCTTTGTTGATTTCAATTTTTTTCAGCGCAAAAATGAAAATCCTTATCATATTTGCATTATTCGTTGTCGCTGCAACCGCTTTCCCACCGGGCAAAAGCGAACCAGCAGCTCCACCGTTGACGGAATTACAGAAAGAGCAGAAAGATGAGAATAAAAATACTCTTGCATCAGCCGAGCCCAATCCAATAGAAGAAAACGCAGAAATTGACACAAAACGCGCAAAACGATGGGTATGGGTTGAATACTTCTATCCAGAACCACTTTCTTTCGTCCCAGCTACGCGTACAACAACAACATATGTACTCGTTTAAGATCAATGATTTTGTTAATTTCTTGAAATAATAATCATAAAAGTGCACTTATTATGAATATTCGGCAAATAAAAAAATATATCTCCTTTTATAAAAGAGTAACACATTTTGTCATTTTATGCAAGATACAACCTTATATGCAAAATACAAATAATTTGTATTCATCTAAAAATAGTAAGTCACATTTATTTATGGAATTTTTTTTAATGAAATATCGTTGTACCTGTATTATGAAATATATAATAAGGCATGGGCTATTTTTATTACTTATTCCGCTATAAATACCTTAATGAATGAAATTCTTTATTGATTATTTGCATAACTTGATTCTCAAAAAAATTGTCAAACACTCACAAAAAAATACCAATCAACGAGCGAGCAATATTTGTATTTTTAACAACACTAAACATTGAAACTCCCTAAAACTATGCTACATAAATTTGACCTTCATAAAACCTGGCAAGAAGTTGTTTTAAAATTTACTTCGTTAAAATTTAATTGAATTATTGAAAATTATTTACAGTTTCGAAATGAAAAGTAATTGAATTTTCCTTTTTAAAATTATTTCACATCCAAGGAGATAAATACGCAACGGAACTTCGAAAGTTTGAAATTCTGTCCACCATAATTTATTGAATATTAAAAATACTTATCACAAAGCGATAATTACCTGCTAAAATGATCTGATAAGATTAACGAAAGTCTCTCTTTATAAGAGAGGATATAAGCCAATTTTGGTAAAGTATAACAAAGACTGTCTACAATGTATTGCAAAGCAGTTATTTTGATTTTTGTTGCTTTTTTTGCATTTGTACCATTCACTAATGGTTCAAAAAGTTTGTTTTATACAGGAACATATGTTTACAAGAAAACCATAAAAAGTGAATATCCAAATATCAAATATTACGAAGATGGCATGACCGCCTCAAAAGATCAATCCAAAACTTATCAGCTTGGCAAAAAGGAAAATGGTAAAACAAATTGAGTGAATATTATTCGAAGTTTATTTTCTTAAAAAAAAATCTGTTTTTAGGTGATCATGAATTTTTTTCAAAATCTGATTGCATCTACCATAGTGAAACTGGTGTGGAAGCGAGTCGAATTTGTGTTCGCAGCAATTATTTCGTGTCCGCCGTTGATATTAGAACAGAACAGGTTATTATGAATAATATTTTTTTACCAATCATTTGACTATTTCATTCACTTCGCAGACTTCGAACATTGGAAGAGCATGGATTAAAGAAGGCGGATTTAGGATGTCTGAAGGCATACTATTTTGCTTTGAAGCTCGTAATACAATAAAATTGTGCTATAAAATGCTTATATATGGTCAAAATGCTGTAATGATGTAGATGATGATTTTAAAATATACATTATGCGCCGCTTTTATTTTCAATTAACTCAGATCAATTAGTATTCTCTAGTAATATTTTTAAATTGATGACGCGATGATGTCATTTAACAGAAATAAATTAAACAATAACAATGAAATCGTATCCCCATATTTGGTGTACTTGAAATCGAAATTTTGATTGTATCAGTTGAATTGTGTGCAGCAAAAAAAAAACTCAATTCTTAATCTGAAGTAATTTTGCTATTTATATCACGTCGAATCGATTTTTGGATCGATTCAAATGAGGCGCTTTTCGACGAATGTATGTTTATGCAGCGCCACCTGTATTCAAGAAATGTTTTGTGAATCAGCTGTCAACGCTGTTTATCTCATTGTATTTCTCTTTATTTTTGTATGCGTCTTTTCACGCATTGTATCACTTGTACTTGTCTCACAGATACAGTGTATTTTTGTGTTCTGTGTTCTCGATATAGTTTGGTTTTGGTCGTGAAGCCATAAGCACAATAAATATTATCTTGTCTAGTGAATGTTTTTCTTCACCTTTTTTTGTATTAAAGTCGCTGTGCGCTATTGGTACTGCATGCAGCCGTATTAATTGCCTAAAAATATCATCAATATAAATTTATTTGTAAATTAATTTAGAACAAACAGTGAATTACGCGTTTTAAATACGCAAAGGGAGAGAAAAAAAATGAATTTGCCACGAAAAGTAAGTAAAATATTGATGTGAGATTTGGGATGTATTAAATTTGCACAAGTCGCATATTTTCCACATTTTACTTGGTGTTGGAAGTTGTGCGCATGAAATTGTTTGTGTTTTTTTTTTCGTTTCGAGAATGGGGTTGGTTCGCATCTCGCACGTATACACATAGTCTCATAACTGTACGTATATGTGGTATGCAGACTGATGAAAGAGAGAGTGCATTTTCGGCACATAGATCCATGCAGAGAATGATAGTAGGAGAGAAGGCGACACATGAAGCAAATATAAAAAAAATCCATATCATTCTGCGCAAGGTTGAATATGTATAAGAAAAGCATACGCATAAGCATAGTATAATAAATAGTAGAGAGTAGAATGCACAGGAGAATCAGAAAATGGATGACAGTAGAAATGAAGTAATACAAAACGACTAAAAATAAGAAAAGAAGACACAGTGCTCAAGTTGAAAACTCACTCTAAATGAAAAAATAAATAAATAAAATAGCAAAACATCACTTGACAGTAAATAGAATGGAAACATATTGAAGCAAATAATAAATATTGCGGCTAATTGCTTTTAAATTGCTTTTGCGAATGAGAGAAGTGTATGTATAAAGAAAGTGCTGTATTCATTGATTTTGTATGCGAAATGTGTTATAAGCAGTAAGCGTATTGAATTGAAAAAAAAAGAAAAAAACTGATTGAATGAATTTATTTTCTTTCGTTTTGCAGGAAACTTACTGTGTTTATAAGCTAAACGTCTAAGTTGTATGCCAAGCATTGTTTGCAAAAAAAAAATCGCAACGTTAACAAAAAATAAATAGATTGCGTAAAATGTCAACGACACCAAAGACTTCTTGTATTCCATTGCGAAGTCCAACACCTCCGTTGGATTCATCGAGCGATGAATTGAACGAATTGTCATTGGATCAAGAATTGGCTCAAATGGAGCGGCCACATTTTTTAGACTACATACATCCGTATTCAATTGAATCAACCAATGATCAACCGCCACCAATTCCACCCAGACATCCATTGACAAATAGTTTGCCATTGCCATTGAATCGCAATCGATCATCGATACCAGTCAAAATGATTCGCAGTGCTGATAATGTGCCAATGTACGATGCAAACGTGCCATCTGCATCACCAAGTCAAAGTGGTGGCAGTGCTAAAAAGCATTTTTTGGATGAGAATCCAATACGACCCGACTATGAATATGACCGTCCGCCACAACCGACAAGCACCGACCGTCTTTACGAACGTAAAGAACACCATCACCAACAACAGCAACGAGACAATGTGAATGCCATTAAAATGCAATTTGATGGACGACGCCATACGGTCGATCGACAAAAGCAAAAGAAATGCAAAGAACCGAGCTACACATTGTCTCGATTCTTGGAAACAGATGACGCCATTAATCAATTTAACGATAATGGAGTGCAATTGGGCGATGTAAATCTCAGCACCAATTCATTGACGGATCGTAGTGGTACACAAAATTCGAACGTTGACTATGTATATTCACTGTTATCGATGATTGGATGCAACAATCCAGTTGAAATGTCAAAAAAGTTTTTGGAATTATCGAAATCGCCAAATACATGTGCCACCTTACGACACTCGCAATGTATTCCATTGCTTGTTCAAATGATTCACTGCAGTGATGATGAGTTGACCAGACGACAGGCACGGGAAGCCTTAAGAAACGTTGTTAATTATTTGCCAGACGATAAAGTTGGCCGACGAGAAGCAAAGGTATGTATTATTTGTATGGTTATTTTTTTCTTTGTTAATTTTCCATAGAGACACTCATTTTTCTTGAATTATACTGAAACGATTATAAAATACTGAATGAAAATTCATTTCAAAACGGTGGAAAGTCCTGACTATTTAAATAAATAACATTGACTATTCGATTTATTTTATTGATTTTCAAAAGCAAAAAAAAAGAATAAATAAAGAAATTTGATTAAATTGAAGGTATTGCGATGCATCGAACAAATTATGGACTATTGTGACTTGATGAAAAAGTCCAAGGAGAATGAAAATAGTACCAAAGTAGTGGAAGGTGAAAATCATTCACTGTCAGCGATGGGCCTATTGATGAAAATTAGCTTCGATGAAGAATTTCGTCATTCGATGTGCACACTCGGCGCTCTACAAACCATTGCGAATTTAGTTTATTGCGATCATGCTGTGCATGGAACAAATCCAAAAGACCCAAACTGTATATCGCTGCGACGATATGCCGGTGTTGCGCTCACGAACATGACGTTTGGTAAGAAACAGAACGAAATTTTTGAATTTTTTAGTTTTCTTTTTCAAATTTCACTGGTTTCATTATTTTTTTAATTTCAATAAACATTTTTTCGTTTATGTTTTCACAGGTGATGGCAACAATAAAGCAAATTTATGTGCCAATCGAGATTTCATGAAAGCATTGGTTGCCCAAATCAATACAGATGCTGATGATTTGCTACAAGTGACGGCAAATTGTTTACGTAATCTGTCGTGGCGTGCGGATAACAATATGAAAACCGTTTTAAATGAAATTGGTACCGTAACGGCATTGACATTGGCCGCAATGAAAAAGAAAAATGAAAATACATTGCGTGCGATTCTATCGGCGCTATGGAATTTATCGGCACACAGCCAAAATAAAGCTGAATTTTGTAATGTAGATGGTGCATTGGCGTTTCTCGTTAAAATGCTTACGTATGAATCGCAAACATCACCAAGAAATGTCTCAATTATTGAGAATGCAGGTGGAATTTTGCATAACGTTTCCAGTCAAATTGCGGTGAATGAAGATTACCGCAAAATTTTGCGTCAAGGAAATTGTTTGGGCATTTTATTGGAACAATTGAAATCGGAAAGTTTGACAATTGTAAGTAATGCATGTGGCACACTATGGAATTTATCAGCTCGATGCCCTGAAGATCAAACGTTTCTTTGGGATAATGGTGCAGTTCCAATGCTTCGATCGCTCATTCACTCCAAGCACAAAATGATTTCACACGGTAGTAAAGTTGCACTAAAGAATTTGGTGAACTTTCGACCAGGCGGAATGAATCGAAGCGGACTGGATCCAGTTGCCAAAATGATGGGACTGACCGAATTGCCAACGTTAAGCGCACGAAAACAACGTGCGCTTGAAGATGAATTGGCTGAGAATCTATCGGAGACGTGTGAAAATTTTGAAGTAACTAAAACGCCACCACTACATCATAAGGCAGCCAAAAGTTTAATGGTGTTAGAACGAGATCAACAGTATATTGAACGCAGTTTCGGTAACTTATCACTGCAATGCAATTTGAACGAAACAAGTGCCAATTCGAAATCAAACAGTAAGGACTTTTGGGAAACGAAACAATTTCCATCAAATGATTTTAATATAAATCAAGCGCCAGTACAACATCCAACTGGTACAATACCAAAACGATCCATTCAAGCTGAAGCCAATGCACCCACAGTCGTCCGAAATGATTCGGATCAAATTACAAATTTCTCATTGGTTTATTCAGAGAATCATCCCGAGAATCGGGATGTTAAAGAGAAAAAGAATCGATCTTTTTCGAATGCCGAAGAAGATACGGTTAAGTGTTATGTGAACGAAGATACTCCAATGATGTCGACAGCAACATCAATAAGTGATCTTCCAAAGCACCACATTTCGCACAATAATATGCATCGACATTTAAAGAATGGACGCACAACAACCGAAAATTCGGGCATTAATACACCGGAGAAACCGATTAACTACTGCGAAGAAGGAACGCCAGCCTATTTTAGTCGACGTGATTCGTTTAGCAGCCTTCATGAGGAGGCTGAATTTATTCAAGATGACATTGATTCAGAGCACAAATCAAATCAAATCAACATTTTGCCAGCGCACAGTAACAATGCACCAAATGATCAAATACGTAGTGTAGATAGAGGTCGACAAGATTATGAAAATAATGACAGTAACAATTGCACGGTTCCAACGACGCCCGGTGAATGTGCCTCGAAAACGGTGACATTTAACGAATTCAACTTGGAAACACCGATGATGTTTTCTCGTCATAGTTCATTAGGCTCACTTGCTAGCCATGAACCACCATTAAATGATGACATTGGTTCGGTTGTTAGTGAAACAAGGTGAGTACTCTTATTTTGAAAATTTGCAAACATTTGAAGTCTATTTTCATATCTTTTATCTATTCCACTTCTATTAGCCGTATGCCAAGTGGAATCATTTCACCGTCTGAAATTCCTGATTCGCCGTCACAAACGATGCCACAATCGCCACGACAAAAGCATTCACGTGAAAATGCAGCCAACCAACGTCGTTTACCATTCGACGATGAAGTTCGGACATTTGGTGTCGAGAATACACCGGCGTTAATATCATGCGCTACAAGTTTAAGTAATCTCAGTTTGGACGACGAACCGAAAATTGCAAACGACTTGTTAATCAAAGAGATGAGATTAATGCATCATTTATCAGATGAACAGGACGACGAACCAAATCCAATTGCATCAACATCAGCTGACCAGAATGATGTTGATTCAAATTTGATTTCGAATGCAATTGCAGAGAATTGCGATGCTGGAGAAGCACTTTCCGACTCAGATGAATCCATCAACGACGATGATAGCCTCCTCAAAAATTGTATATCGATGGGAATACAGGCGAAAATCATTGAACCAGGTAAGTTTTGCGATTAAAGAGTGCGAAATAGATCCGCATTTATTAATTCAACTATTCATTTGAAGATATCAAATCACCACCTGCTCTACCTGAACCAAATGACATATTGCCAGACGATTCAAGTTCCGAAGATGATGATCTCGGTGGGAGTGCAGCCGATTTATTGGAGCAATGCATTCGATCGGGCATCACGAAGAAAGCAATCAAACCAGAAACCTCAGGAATACCTTCAGGAAGTAAATTGAATAGGGGAATTCGATTGCCGCCACAACAAATGATCAACAAAGAAAATCCAATCGGAATGTTGCGCAAAGGTGGTAATTCATTCATTGAAACAAATTACGATGAACCAAATCGCTTTCATATTGAAGATAGCCCATGCAATTTTTCCATTGCGTCCGGTTTGTCCGATTTGACGGTGGGATCGGAAATGCTTAAAGTGAACCGGTAAGCTGTGCCAACTAAATAAAATTGATGGAATTATTAGAAAAATGTAAAAACTTTTCAGATTTATACCAAGCATTCAATCAGACATCAATGAGGAGACCGATGGAAATTTAAACGAAAATTGTTCTCTTAGTCCAATATCAGTAAATTCCGAGGAAAATCGTCATTTGCTAAATCAGGTAAATGTTTGATTTCTGCTTCGATTAATTATCCAAATAAACTCATACAATCATGCACTTTTATAGGCGGTTGCTGCTGGTAAAGCTCGAATTTTATCACGTGAACGAGCATCAAACGCGACTTCATCACAGAGTTCGAGTGCGGCAACTGTACAACATGTGAGTACGGTTAAACAGCCAGATTCCGATACAGAATCAGATGATTCAAACAGTTCAATCAGTTCGATCGATTCGAATGATTCAAATGCAATGAATCTGCTGCAAGAGTGCATCAATATGGGTATGAGCAAAGTCGCTGTATCTCAAACAAAAACATCATCAAAATTACCATCTACAAAATTGGGTGCTGCTGCAAGTGTAAATCACTCAAAAAAATCACATTTGCCTACACTGAAAGCGTCCGCACAGCCAACATCGAATCATCGATCACGTTCTACGAAACGTGAAGATGACAAACAATGTCTTTACGATTGCATTAATGCTGGCATCGAAATGAATGTCCGTTCAAAATCGACTGTCATCGAAAAAAGTTTACCAAATTTACCAATAAAACATCGCCACGAATCATCATCGTCGCAATTGAAATGTTTGCCGTCAAAAAACGTACAAACTACGTCTGCAACTGTACAGATATTACATACTGCCGGTGCCACAGACGTAGTGACGGACACACGAAGAGGCACCATCGCTTGCGCACCCGCTCAACATCAGCCGGTCGTCAATTCAGCATCATCAATGATTTCGAAGAACGAACGCGACCAAAACATTATTCATATAACCGACGATACTTTCGAAATAACAGCAACACCAACAACAACACAAATGGCAGCAATCGAGACTGGATATAACAATTTGGAATTGAATACATCCACTATGTCGACGAAGAGCCATAACAGTTTCAACATGGGCGAACTATCTAAGGTATTATCACTTAAAAATGTCTATTTCATTACTTTCGAGTATTTTCGCATTCTCTTTATTAATTGTTGATTAATTTCGATTATTTCCATTTTTTCTTTTCTCATTTCATCCCCCTCCCAGGAATTGTCATTGCTCGAACGTTCTAATGAATATCCAGCTCAATTGGGACAAAATGAAAGTATTTACGATTCGCAGCACAGTTCAAGTGTGGACATGGAAGTGTCAAATGAATGTTTGTTTGAAAATTTATCACCACCCAAAATGGACAAGCACAAAGACCCCAATTTAATGCTGCAATCCGTTGAACGGTTGACACATGAATTGGTTTCAACGGCTGAATATTTGCGCACAGCAAATTCATTGGACGATGACATTACAATCACAGAGTCGAAAAATACGCTTAGCGAGTCTAACAATACATGGAATGAAGATACAAATCCAAATGCCATTCCATTTCCGAAAATGAGCAAAAAAGCTCCGGTAATTGCATCCATGGACGATGATACAACAATCAGTGAACTGAATGGCAGTCGATACGAGATGGCCAATTCCGAATTCATTGAAGATTCAGCACCCAACAATAATAGAATAATGATTGATTCGAATGGATTACGATTTGAAATTGGTGGCAAAGTAAACATGAATAGCGGCACATTCAATTGCAATGGATTCGATTCGAATAGTACCACATCTACAATGACCAATTCAACGATTATTGCAATCGAAGCGAATAAAATTCGAAGTCAACTGATGAAAGAGAATAAAACTGACAGCATGATCAGTTTGGATAAAATTCGTCCGCCCTCCGTTATGGATAAAATGAACAATTCCAGTTGTTGCGATTCCTTAACCGGCGGCGCATCGTCATTGAATCGTTCGCCAGCACGATTTCTCACCCAAGGATTTATGGCACGACGAGCCTTAAACAACAATGGCAATAACAGTAATCTTGGCAGCACTGATAGCATTAATTCAAGCCTTAATTTAGACAAAGTCAAACCACCATCAATAATGGACGATTTACTTGATTCAATGATAAGTGTTGATAGCATCGCATCCGAATTGGTTGAACAACCACCATTGCAACAACAACAGCAGCATGAAGAACAATCAAACTATGAAACGGCGTTTAGCGAATGCGATGACATGACACAAACGTTAAAAAATTGCGCTGATTTACCATTTGACGATGGCAATAGTAGTACACCGTGTGGTTCGGATTTCAGCAGCGTTGAATCGACACCGAAAAAAGGACGTCGATCGTTAACACCACGACGTAAACGACAACTTACCAAAGAGCGTTATCAAACGTACACCATTTCGACGAATAACGCAGAGGCGCAACAACAGTCGGAAAATGGTGTGGATGAAGCCATCCGGGAAAAACATGGCATATTTGAAATGGATTTATCCAATCATACACTTTTGATCAATGGTAATGACAGTGATGCGATTAGCTTGGTTTCATCCGACGGTGAAATGTCATCGATTCGTGCATTCACAAAGAATCTCCCCTTTCTGAATGATATTAGCATCCATAACGATGTGAGCGTTCACAAGGATTTTAGCATAAATACAAACACGTACACAAAACTACCACGAGGCAGCATTCAAAATTGCTTGCAATCACCAATGCCAAGCGGTGATTTCTATGAAAGTTTACCAATGGATAAACCATCGTCCAATACAAGTAGCAAAACATCTTCGCCAAATCGTAACATCACAAAATCACCACGAGTTATTAAGCCGACTGTCAGTACGATGGCGGCGACAGAAAAAATCGATTCATCTAATCAACCGGATGAACCAAAAGTAATTCGTGGTCGTAAAAAACCAGCATACATATCACCGTATTCAATGGCAAAACTCAATAAGTCTACGCCACAGCCGAAAGAGATCAACAAACCAAAATTACCGAACAAAGTTGTGTCACCAAAAGTGGAGCCAACCAAAACACCACCGATAAGTTCAAAAACGGTTGAAAGCAAAGCCAAATCATTCATTCAACGCAGTGCTGAATCGTTGAAGAAAATGCGACCAACATTCACATCAAAATTGAGCAAACAAAGTCCAACCAAGAAAGGCGAGAAACAATTATTGGACCGTCAGAAATCGTCTGATTCAACAAAATCATCCGAAACGCTGGTCCGTCAAGGAACATTCATTAAAGATGAACCATCATCCGAAGGGGAAATTCCGGTGATCGTATCCGAACCCACATCACCGAAAAAAACCAAAACACTAGTCTCAAGAATTCCATTCAATCGTGCTACATCGCTGCAAGCATCCGGAGTTACGAAAAGCAATACAAACATTGAAATTCCATTGCAGAAAAATGCGTCGTCCACATTTATTCGGCGAACAATAAAAAGTGCATCAAGCACATCACAAATATCATCGTCATCATCACGCGGATCTCTATCGCCACGCCAAAGTCTTGATTCACCATCAACTAGTAAAAGTATATTTAATCGGTGGACAAATACACCGAATAAAAAGATATCGCCGCTACCAACCACGGCTACGAAATTATCTAGCACAAAAACTACTAGTCGCGAATCAATTGGCAGCTCAGTTGGTGCTGCAACAAAATCAACTGGTAAGATAATAACAAAAACATCACCAGCCAGCAAAGCATCAAGAATTATTACACCGCGTACCATTTCAACGAATGGCCGAACCATGAAAGTGTAAATCTTCGCCTAGAAGGGGAAGAACAACAGCAACTGGGCGAGTAGCGAAAATATATTCAAAAAGCGTTTATTTTGTTTGTTTTCTTAAGCTTCCTATATACGCATAAACTTAGGCATATTTAATGGTGAAAGTAATCTTTCGCCCCAAACTCACTCATACATATACACAGCGTATTCATTTTCATTATTATTATTATCGTTTTAAAGAAGAAAAAAAATATTATTTATCTGCAATGTCTAAGTCAAAATAAAGCGGTCTTGAATTGATAGATTAGAAAAATCGGACTGAAAAGTGTTCGTTGTACCAAGTTCATTATAAAGATGTGCATCCATTACCAATCCTTTTATTTCGGAATTTAGTCGATCAATAAATTCAAATAAAAGCATTGACAATGAGAGAGAACTTTGAACGGAGTTTTTCAGCCAGATTTTTCATTGCGTCCGATCCGAATACAGTCCGCATCAGACAGCTAACACTGATGAACATTGTATTCCGATGTATGTTTCGCACGATCGATTTCAAGCCAAAATCTATTCTACTTAGCTAGCATATTTTGAAAAGAAAGAGTGACATTTACATTACTTATCTCACAAATAGAGAAATAATAACAATCATTTTTAGGCAAAATCTACTTATATATAAAAATTTTACTGTCCACTCAAACAAATTTACATAAGTCTTTAGAAGAATGTGAGATTATATTATTAGATTTACTGATCATTTTTTTACAACAGCAAAATTATTCAATCATAGTCACAAAATAATACCATAACTTTATTATTACTATTATCAATTGTAATCGATTGCACGCTCGACTATTACGAGCATTTTATTTTCTTTTTGTTTGTCTGTTTATTGCATTCTAAATTCGTACCGAAAATAATACAAATTATATTTTATGTAAATATCGAATCAACTTCTACAGAACAAATTCAATAAATAAATATTATTCATTGAGTAGCTTGTGAAGAAAAATCATGTAGTTTTACTCTTAACTTACGCGAAATTCGATTTCATTTCAAGAGAAATTTGATTTATAGGCACAGATGCTGAATGATTTTATTCATTTTTGGTGAATATGCTAAAATTCACTTATACGAAGACAACTTATCATCGGAGAAGAACTTACTCGCCAAATCCAAAGATGAAATCGGCACATCGAATCACATTTGCAGTTATTCATTTTAATTTTGAATTGTGATAGTGAATAGGATCAACGGTTCCCACAAGGGGAGGGCAGGAGAGGGGATAAATGCATGGAATGAGAAACTGTGATTTTAATATCCGGGTTTGTTGTTGCTTTATCTTTCTAAAAGGAAAATATTTCAACAAAGTACTAAGTAGAAAAACAATTAGTTTGATTTTGGTCATTAATTTTATTTGCTGTTTTTTGCATTTTTTTTTAAACTCAGCCAATATTCTTTAATTACTGAGTTTTAATTCAACTACTCGAGGTCACTCTAAATCTTTTTTCATTGTTTTTTTAACTTCTTTAATTCACCGTCATTACGATCAACGTTTTCACTCACTGGCCAACATAGTATTTCGTCTATCGTCTAAAAGTTATTTTGCAACTCGTTAATATTTTATTATTATATTTATGAAAAAGTTCACGAAACTTACCATGTTCGAAATGTTTCTTTTTTGAACAATTTCATTTAGAAGATCCATACACAAGACTGCATCTTTATTTAGTAAATTGTCTTGAAGAGTCTTTTGTACTCCTATTATCTATAAAATAAAAATAATGAAACATAAATAAAATGTTTCGATTTTATTAGAATAGAATGTTACTTACAGTTTCTGCACTAATTTTAAATCCACGCTCATATGTGGATAAAATATCTTTCATTGTATTTCCTGCTTCATTGAATCGACCGCACTCGCTGAGTGCTATGAGCCGTACATTCGCCGTTGAAAATCGTTTATTATCTGGAGGTAATACTTCCAGGGCGATTTCCGGTTTACTTTGATTTATAGCTAACATGGCAAGAAAGCTGGCACTTTGATCCATTTGATGTTCCTTCACTGAATCCCTAGAGATAATCAGAAGAAAAAAATGGAAGTAATGGAACAGAATGGAATATGAATCGAAGGAATGGATCAGGAATTGTAGAGTAATGGAATAGTAATTTTTAAGTAAGTATGCCTTGGTACTTACGCCCACACATTCAGTGCATAGTCCAGATGTTTTGGTGTGTTCTACAAATCATTTCGATATCATAAGATCTTAATAATAAAAAAGAATGGCTTAAATATTTTACCAATTTATAGTAAGCGGCCATCGCGAGATAGTTCATCAATCTTGATGTCCCCTTTTCTTGTTTCGATTGTAAATCGCGTCTTTCCCGAATATCTTCAAGTAGTTTTTCATACATGCCCCTTTTAAACAGTAAATCTCCCAGCACCAACGAGCAGGTTAATCTTTGAAACATTCCTCCGATATGCAAATCATCGTTTAACTATATAATCGATATAAATCAAATACTAAATAAAAAAACGCGATTATTTGAAACTAGCTTACCTCGAGTGCTTTTTCTGGCAAATCCAAATGATATAACATCCGCATAGTCAAAGAACCAAAATCAAACGACGACGAAGATAGTGCTGAACTTGAATAAATGAAACTTAAACTTTTACGTAATAATTCAAAATTTGCTTCGCATTCGGCCCTGTCCATGATGTGACACCATCGTTTTGTTATATCACTCACGATTGTCATATTATTGAAGCGTATTGCCGATTCCAAAGTCTTTAGATCAACTTTGCGAATGATTTGCTGTGTCCTAAATCGATTATTCTCATAGGCTGTTATTCCCAATTTTTGTTCGGAAATTAAAGTTCTCTTCGCAGTGCCGACCACTGTGATAATAATGAAAACGTAAAAAGATAATGAAATTGTGAAATAGGTAAACACAAAATGACTTACCGGCATTTACTCTCAATAATTCTTTGTAAATTGTTGAATTATATTTTAAAATCAACATTTTGCTAACTTCGTTTGCTTTGAAAAAAATTAAAAACAGAACCTAAATATATGAACGTCAAATATGACAGTCAATATAGACTCATTCACACGCATACCTGTACGTTCCAATTGATTGAAGGGAAAAACGCAATTCAAATAAAAATTCAAAACAATTGTAAAACAGCTACACGTATTGAGGTGGAATTTTTGTAATCGACACCAATGTGGCTAATTGTTGATTGAAAATACGCATTTTTTGATTTTTTGTTGTGATTTAATTGAAAACCACTGGAAAATAAGAAACAGAATACTACTCATGTACCGAATTGTCATTCGGTTCTTTGTTTATATTGATTTAGACAAATCACAAATTGACTATTCAAACAAGTCATAAATAAGAGATTATCACAAGAAAATCCACCAAAACTCAGGATACTCATCAAATTATCATAATTCTATGTAGTTTATGAAGAAAAAAAAACATCTATTGTCTGTTGAAAAATGTTGAAAAGTTGCATTTTACTTTGCATACGTCGAAGGAAGATCCTCGAAGAAACTGTTCATTAGAGGACAAATTATTCGATTTAATTTATTGATTTCAAAACCAAAAAAAAAAACCCACAGAAATTTAAATAAATTGAAATAAATGTTTTAAATTAAAAAAGTGAACAGGCCGTACTCTCTACGACATTAACCGCACTCATTTTGATAGAAGTTGTCATTGCTGTGATATATTCAAGATGGCTACGAAGAAATTTTTCCATTGATTTCTGTCATTCTGTATGCCAGTCTGTCGAACATTTTTCATAAAGGTAAAAAAGAATTATTTTTCGGGAATATTATTGTTTTGGAAATTACGTAATCAATACTATTTCCACCAAAAAATGAATGAACTAACACCAGCGATGTGATAAATGTGCATAGAATGTTTGAAAAAATAAAAAGTGACCTTTTGTTCAGTCTAATCGCACAAGTTATACAAAGTACATTTTTTTCAATCTGTCGTTCGGTGTTATGTCACAAGTTTATTGGTGTATTAGGTTGAATTGATGTTCACCATCAAATTCAAACTAAATTGAAATTGTGTTTTTCATTCTTTCATTGGACAGTATGGCACTGAATTTGAAGTGAATTTTGTTTTATATTTTTCAGATTTAAACAAAAACCGAATTAAAGATGGGTAAAGAACCAACCAAAGAAGAATTGGAAGCTCAAGTACCATTCTGCGCTCCATTTGATCCACGGTTCCCAAATACCAACCAAACCAAATATTGTACTCAATCATTCATCGATTTTTATAGATGCCAGAAATTGCGTGGCACAGACTACGAACCATGCTACTACTTTGAAAAGGTTTTCCACAACATTTGTCCAAATTCCTGGGTAGAAAAATGGCAAGATCAAATGGCCAACGGAACTTTCCCAGTTAAAATCTAAAAAAAAGTCTTATACTAAGCACACACACACAATTTAATTATGAACAACATCGTTTGCACCACAATCAACAACAGTGTGTAAACATGATGGCTTTGTTGTATTTAGAAAAATGCTATTAAATGTAGTCCAAACCAACTACAAAATACGTGTTTTTATTTCATTTTTTTCAATGGACTTGTTTGTGTCTCACATGTTGTGTGAGAGGCAGAAATTTCAATTTGATTTGAATTTTAGGTATTGCGTTGATGCAACATTTAAAAATGTAAAAATGAAAGAAAATCCATAATTGATACCTAAACATGAAATGGCCCTATTTGGAATAGAGCTTAAAAGTGAGGTTAGGTAGCCTTTGAAAGTACACTGTTAAAAAAACGTCCAATTTTGTTTATTTTGCAAATCAACGGCCAATTTCTATTTAAAAAAAGGAAACATTTTTCAAAGAAAATTCGACTTTTCGAAAGAAAATATGTGGATATCTTATTTGTCCGTTTTATACACAAATATCGAATAAAGAATTATTTAACACTTTATTTTACAACAAAATCTAAAACCATTCGAAATTACCATAGAGAAAAAGAGAGAAAAAAGTGCAATGCCATATCGAATTACACTTCGCGGCTAATTAATTATGCAACGCTTTTTTTTATTTTAAAATGTTTCTCTGTTCTGGAGAAATATTGTTTTTGAATGTTGCACGGGCAAGAGTTGGTCTACAGAGTTTGGAATGTGTGTGTGTGTTTGTGTCCGTCTCTCAGTTGGAAATGCATAAACGTTCAATATATTCGATTGGCAATCATGTGGGTTTAGTGTTTTCTTGTGTCCCATTGTCTATGGAGTTTGGTATGTGTGTTCAATATCTCTGCTTCTTGGCCAATAAATTCGTTTGTAGTTTTTGTTTCTCCAGTTGTCTCCTATCCAAGTACAAGAGAGAGACGTAGAGTGCAACCAACATGCTAATGACATGATATTTACATTATTCGATCGTTTATTATATTGATTTTTTAACATGTGTAATTAATGATTATTTTATTTTAAATACGTTCCACCGCGTTTCGAACAAAAAAAGAACGAGAAGCTGAAAACAAATAATTTCTATGTGACTTCTATTCAGAAAATTCATTTTCATTGTCAAAATAAATTGTCGTTTTTTTTCTCCTCCTGAGCCGATCGTTTCGCTTTTAATTACGATATTTTCAATGCGCAATGTGTAGAAAAAGACATATCGAAGCGGTGTGTGTGTGTGTAAGTGGCCAGAAAGCAAAAGGCACACTCACACCGGATTGTCTTTCAGACATAGAGAGCATCACAACTTGTCTTTATCTTAGCTTGATATCTTTCGTTGTTACGTTTGTTTGTTTGGTTTTTATTCTCTTTGCTCCAATGTTCGAATATTTATTGCTTTTGTCTCTAGAATATTTGCTGGTGCTGCGGCTGCTGCTGTTGCCATTGCATCTACTTTGACCAAATGAATATTTGGAAGAGAATGAAAATCGCCTGTTTTATACAACGAAATGGTTGAAAAATGGTATTATATTACCGGCAACCAACAACATCAAGTCCAGAAATTCACGTTAAATTCCCGAAAAAGAGCAGCAACAAAAAACTCTGCATTCATTCAAACGTAACTTACATTTATGCTTTATCTTGTTCATGATGACCGATATTGCGAGCGTTTATTTTCGGGTTTTTTTGCGCGAACTTTTCCCTTTTGCTTAAAATGTCATCTCTGCTACATAAGTATTGTCTCCTTGCCATCTTGATCATTTCGGGTATGGAAAATATTTTATAAATTCATTTTTAGAGCTAAAAGAATGGAAACTACAGCATATGACGAGAAAAAAACGTCGTTGTCGAAACAAAAGCAACACCAAATTAAAAGTCAACCAAAAAAGCGTATTTCTGTCAACGAAACGCAATGAATTATTACGTCTACCTTTCTACCTACCCATCAAGCAACGAAAAAGAAAAAAAATTATTCATATTATATTTGTTTGTTCTTTTTGGTTTTGTTTTGTTTCGTTTTTGGCAATTATTATGGGTGAGCGCGGCCACTCACCGATCGATTCAAATCCAAGTACCATATGCATACCGTATTGCATGTGGCATGGAGATTAAGTTACGAGAGTTGATTTCACTCATCTCTCGTTCTATCTATCACAAACACACTTGAGCGCAACTTATCTATGGGAAGATAATTTTGATTAATTAAATGTCGCACTCGCTGTTCGATGCTGATGGTTCGTTTGGGTCATCATCACCGTTGTTGTTTGTTTGTTTCGTTTTTTTTCTTCGGCCGGTGAATTTATCGAGAACCCTGTCCAACATGCAGTGCATTTGCATTTTGTTGAAAATATCTCATTTATTTTCATTTCGACATGTTTCGACTGTCTCACCGTTTCGGGGCCCGGTCAGATTACATGGTTTCTTCATTTCTCTCTCTCTCTCTCGCTTGTATCTTTCTTCATTTTTTTTCTTTCCTTACACGTTTCGTTCTCATCACTCACTTTTTTTATCAAGAATTTTCTATTATTTACTTTCAATGATCACTTCAATTTTGAATTTATACAAAATAAAACCAGCGGTGGTTACAATTCACGGGGTTCTTGTTTGCATCTTTTTTTTTGTCTTTCTATTTTAAAAGTCACACAACAGTGCCAAGGTATGTGTGTGTGTGTGGCGCTCACGACGACTATCAGCTCATATTTTTTTCACTAATTTTCTTTTTATTTAAATATTATGTACTATTCAACACATTCATTTATATGTTGATCGTTGCCATTAAATGAAAACAAAACATAAATTTCTGAGCTGGTGAAGAGAAGAGAAAAAAAAACATGGAACAGAACAGCGATAATCATCGCACCAAATGACCAAATTTAGAATTGAATGCCAAAATGTTTTTGTTTGAAAATAACTTTTGTCATAATTGAAAATGATGTCATTAATTTCACTCATTTTCTCTGTTTAGCTCTTTTTTTCAGCTTCCTTGTTCCTTGTTCGCCATGTCAAATTTGTGATATGGTAATTTATGCAAAAATAAACAAAATCATCCATTCACTTCTTCACTGACGCAAGAATAAAACTAAAAATGTGTTTATTGAAAAATTAGGCGATTAAAGTTTTCCAACGATCGTGTTGCAGCGCAACGACTGTCACTTTCGATTAAATTCAATAATAACTTTTAAGATTTTATTTATTTGCAAACTTTTGTTTTCAGTTTTCGTTTGGACGCGATCAAGTTGAAAAATAAAATACAAGAAGCCAGGGTTACTCTCATCACTAATCCAGTATCCATTTTTTCTTTTTAAATCCATCGTCTTTTTGTAAATTCTCAAGAAATGTGGCCATTATGCAGACTGTCATCTCTTGCAAACAACATATAAAAAGAGCATTTGACTTACCTTTTGGTTTTCGTGGTTTCCAAGAATTCGGAAAAATTCGAGACAAGTCAATTTGGATGAGATTCAAATATTTATGTGCACCGATTTTCAGAAAATAAAAGGTAAATGAACCTTTGTTCGTTTTTGGAATGATTCATCGATGAACGCACGAATTGTTGTGGAAAGGGAAAAGAGTATTATTATCTGTAACCAAGCAAAAATCTTGCACAAAAAAAAATTGAATGAAAAATCGAAAGAAAATGTTCAAACACAAAGAGACAATGCACATTTTGCATTCATGTGTTCATCCTTTTATTTGGAATGAAGTAAATAAAAAGATGTAACAAGAAGACAAAAGCGAATGTAATTTGATCCATTTTTTTTGGAATGTGTTGTTGGCGTAAGTTAATTACGCGTACGGATGAGAGTGCATTCAGCATTTGATGATTGAGTTTTTAGAGAAAGAGAGAGAGAGAGAGAGCCATCATTGTCTGCCATCACTTTGGATTAAAATATTTGGTATATGTGTTCGTCGCATGTGGAATCTAGTGTATTCAATTCGCTTGGATGAACATGAATGAGCATGAAGTCTGCTTCGTATATACCATAATCATAGAGAGGAGAAAAAATTGCAGGCACATGGTAAAGGCATCGCAAATAATAACAAATTCGAGTACTTACGCTAGAATAGAGTACAAATGACTCCTTTTACAAGCACACAAAAGAGCAATAAATGGCCTTTTTGCTCTGGTAGAATATTGTATTGGGATTTTTCTCGCTTAATAATCTATCACAGCCGCTGGAATTAGTTTGCAAAGGTACAATGAGCATACAATATTCGGTGCGTATCCCTCTAATCTTCTAGCGATGGTCTTATTCGAAAATCTATCCTTGAAATGAAGCAGAGATCAAGTTTTAAATTACATGCATTTGAATTTGCGATGCGCATCAAAATAGAAAACAAGAATCTCGTTTCGAATGGGCGCACAGAGTACACTTACCACTTGCCATCCCCTCTGTAGCCCGAGTAAATTCTTCTAAAGGTCGTTTGTTGATGAAGGGAAACAAAAACATCATCATCAATATAATCTAAATTTGATTACCACAAATGCAAACACACACACACATACCAGTTCCAGTGTCGAATTTCACATGACACCAAAACAACAACAATAACAATAAAAATTCGAATACAAATTGCAATTCGGTAGCAAAATTTAAGTGCACATCGAGAGAAAATCACAATAAAATGTACTAATATTTTCATTACTCTTCACAAATCGAAATTCATGCGGATAAGCAGCCCGAACAGCGTAAAAAATATGAACGGAATCACCCTCGTGATATAGACAGATTACGGGTGGCTCCAATGTTATAAAATAATGCAGTGCGTAGCAGAGGAATTACTGTGGTGTGACTGATTGAAAAAAAGAAAGAAGAAGCAACCGTTCACAATGTGATTCATTTTTAACAAAGGGTGCGACACTACACTCATTGAAGACGTACTGCATCCGTGTGCAGCGAAGCTGAAATTTATATTTTGGCATAAAATATCCATCTTCCGCCTCTTGAAAATTGAGAAATGTGTTTTCACTTCAAAATTAAGATTTTCTTGTATTTTCGAAAATAATTCAAAGTTTGCCAATTTCAGAATGCTCGATATACGAATGATTGAGAAGAATTGAATGAAAAACAAACGATAATTTTACAGTAAAATCTGATTTGTCGATTGAAAACAATTTCGTGAATGACCAATGACCAGACGGATGTCAAATTACAGTTGCTGATTGTGAGATGGATTCTTTTTTTTTCAATACTGGTGGGGTTAAACGAAAGATATGTAATTCGAAGGATAATTGATAATGACGTTGAGCCCGTACATTCTGGTTAGAATGTATCATTTAAATCAATGGACGGTTGGCACACAGTAGCAATCATTATTATTAGTTTCAAAATGAATGATAGGCACGCTCATAATTTTCTCATCCTCCTCTTTCAAACCGCATTCGATTCACTCGCTCACTTGTTCACATACAAACATATCAAAACCATTATGTTGCATGATTCAACATCATTTATATGATACACATCAAAACTGAAAAAAAAAATACCTTTTGTTCAAATTCGAACAGGTATCATCATCATCGTTGTGTATATACTTTTGTGGTTGATACGATAATTTATCTTTTCCAACATTTTGTGTTGTTCCGAATATAATGGGGAGAAAATTTCAATTTTCAAAAAAACAAACAAAATCCACACACAAATGATTTATATTACACACGAACAAAGTAAATAAAAGCAAAAATAGTGCAGTTTGACTGCATTAAAACAATTTGTAGATTAACTTCTTTAATAAACTCTCGCTTTAAATTGTATATTTCTTACGTATTCAAATTCAAATTGGTCTACCGTTTAGCTACTTCATCATCTCGTTAGTTCATTGTTTCTTTTCTTCTTTTTTTTTTTTGTATCAAAAAGATTCTTTTATTTTCAAAGAGGAAGCAATGAGAGTTGAAAAAGAATGAAACCGATGAAAACCCGAATGAGTAATGTTACCTACCTGTCGAGGTCATGATTTATCGAACAAAAGGCCAGGTGACAGATATCGTGGTGACACTGACTGTTGTGCCCGGTGAAAACAACCTACACATTTCAAGATTCTCGTCTGATAAGATCAATTTTAATTGGTCGAAAATTTCCTCGTAAAATCGATATTCAATGTAGTTCTGTCATCGACAAAAGTCCAACTGTTTCAATGAAAACGTTATATTTTCAAAACCTGAAAACTTATTTATCAATCGAAATTATTTGTTGGTTGTATGTTATTCAAAATAAATGGCCAATATCGTTTGTCATTCTACAAATGGTCAATTTTTATTACGTTATATCCAATTTCAGTTTTGCATTTTAAATAGAGAGATGTGTTTTTGATTTATTTGCAAAAGGAATCACTTCTCATAAAGAGAAACCGAAAAATTGTCATTAAAAACAAAACCAGAAAGATTATCATTATTTACTAATTTTTTTTTTTCAAAAAGAATTGCACAAAAAGCATTTACATATCTTAAAAATATAAATGTAATAATGTCCAGAATTGAATCTTGGCTAAGTTTATAAATGTGTTTTTGTTCTCTTCATTAAATGAGAATGTTCTTTCGTATACATTAAATGAATTCGATTCAGTTTTTTTAAGTTGCGCCCTGCAGTTTCTCTAAAATTCGATCCGAAAAAGAAGTGTGTATGTGAAAAGTAACAAATTTATTCTGTGCATTACGTTCAAAGCATTTTTTGGCGATGCAAATTTCTAAATTAAAAAAAAACTTCTCAAATAATTTTTTGTTATTTTCACTGGCTAAAAGTTATTTATAAATAATTTATATACTTAATTCGATAGTTACGTATACATACGAGACTTAATTTGTATACAAATGTTTGCTTGAAGATTATTCTAATATTTGATATTAGACGTCATTTCGAGAAGACAAGACTCCCTTTTTGAAAACCTTCGCCATGAAAGGAACAGTTCCCTTCCGAGCGATTTTTCTACAAAAAAGGATGACTTTTCCTTCGTTTCACCAAATGAATACTCATTGATTTGATTATTGGGTCGAGTTGTCTAAATCGATTGTATTTGTTTTACCGCCGCTTTACAGCTCCTCCAGACACCTTGTATTTGTCAGCATAATGCGAAGCAGACGCCAAACTTGTCTAGCTGCATTTTCTAATGCTCCCGGCGATTTGCCTTTGAAAAGATCCATATTGGGCAAAAAATAGTGCGGACATCGTCGACACTGTAAGCACGATATCAATTGCATAAATATACCGTTTATTCGATCGGCGATACAATTATCCTCCCATTCGGCTTCGCGCGGATGTTTTTCACATTCGTATAATAGCAACGTTTTCATATGGTACGACGTGACTGGATTGCCCGGCAAATCTAAATGTCGATCGCGCAACGTTTTCAATATACTCAAACAACGTCGACGGCATGCACCTGTAGGTTTGTTCATTGCATTAATTTCACATTTTACAGTGATAAAATAAAACCAATGGAAAAAAAGAAAGAAAAACGGAATTAAGACAGACCGAATAAAAATGTGAATTAACAAAAATAAGAAATTAACATTGAACCGAACGAAATAAGTTTATCGCACACACGTATTAATTGCTATGCAAAAGGAATTTCTCTGTCGCTGTGTCGGAAACAACACAAAAAGTTATGCGTCGAAAATTCGATTTTATTCAGTATCTCATTTTATCAAAAAGGTCGCAATGTGCCAATGGAAATAATAACGTTTTTATGTGTTGAAAATGTTTCAGCTGGTTTTTTTTTCTGGATGTTTCTCGCGCATCCAAACACTTCAAATAGATTGAATTCTACAGCAATTATGCGATGAAATGCCGAACAGCGTTGATTTTCATCGGAACAATATAATAGCATATTCACCACAAATACTTTTTAACACCGACGAAAAAATTCAACCACAAATGACTCAACTCCGCTTCAAATGAATGTGACATTCCGAATTCATCATTTCCGACGTGTAAGTGAGATTGAAAAAAAAAATAAACGTTGCATATTTTAATGGTTAATTTTAAAAGTTATCTTTGTTTTTATTTTCTTCTGTTGAGAATTAAGCTTACAGCCGCGAGATTGCTTCGTGTTGTCAGGATATTCATTGGTCAGTGTTTTATCGTTGTTTTTATTCACATTTGCAACACATTTTTGGCCAATAAATTTGACGAAACCACATTTGCATTTTCGTTTCGCTGCTCCACTCCATAAAAAACATCACAATTCACTTAAATATTGCGATAATGATTTAAAAGTGAAAGAAACTTATTTTATTATGGGACGATTTAAATGAGATCGACTTTGCGTCATCGGCGACTTTGAATTCATTTTTCGTTCCCATGAAATAATTTTGCGAAATTAAGAAAAATGTCAAAAATTATCAATTTGAATGCAATTCCCATTACAATCTTTCCATAAGAATTTGTCATCGAATTAAAACCCGTTCAATTCTGTTCGGCTTATTAGTCAATACGTGAATATTGCTTGAAGCAATAAATGAGGCGAAACTGGCTTTCTTCATTGATTTTTATGTGTGCGTGAAATGATTGTTTGATATTTATATCGTTGGATGTTTGGATGGTTGTGTATTGGATGCGTGCAGGCGCCACAATTTATTCGACATGCAAATTAATTGCTTATCGAAATAAATACGACAATAATAACCAAAAGTATGGCTAAATATGTGATTTTTATTGGTCGATTTTTCAATAATGAACAAGATCAACGAAACGAACAACAGTACAAAAACAATGAGATGGAGAAGGAAGAAAGAAAAAGGAAGGCCCGTCGTCATCATCGTGTGTACATTCGCTGAGCGATGTGAAATAGAGTGTTTGTCTCTGTGAATGCCATTGAATGCATAAAAAATTGACTAAATTTATTTATTGAAAACGAAAATTATTAAAAACAAACACAGCACACGATATGGAGAATACACAGTGCAGAGTGGGAGAGAGGGAGAGAAAGAGAAGGCGAAAGAATGGTATGAGTTAAGGTGAATTGATTTGGATGCAATATTCAAAATACAGAGAGAATGAAGGTGAGAGACGTTGTGTGCAGCGCATGTTTGGTGGACATCAACAGAGAGAAAGAGTCCCTGTTGTGCATCAAAAGGCGCCATATAGCATATATATATATATTCGTCTTTGATGCAATCCGCATAATTTAATCCGCTCCAAACCAAATGCATCGATGAACAAACAAACGAAAGAGAATCGCAGATCGGCCGCATGCAAATGCTCATGCAATGCTCTTCAGCAATAGAATTGCAATAAAATTCAACGGCAAATTCTTTCGCCTGGCAGCAGCCTTGGTGCGTTTGATTGTTTTATTTTCGCTTCTCAATTCCCTTATTTGCATTACTCATTTTTTAGTTATTGTTGTTGTTGCTGATTGCTTCATGTGCGCACCAGATCGCGAGAGATTTCTGGGAGATATTGCCAACCAAACTGATCTGTCAAACTTTCAGACTTTTAACCAGAAACCATGCAATTTTCTCGATAAAATAATTTTCATTTCAAGCAAACACACACACACACACACGGTTATTGTATTGTTCAGTTAAACTGCGGTTTCTGTTCTCTTTTGGCTGCGAATTGCATCGCTCGCAAGAATCGAGAATGCCTCTTTTTTATGGTTTGCTATTAAAGTCTGTACCATTTGTATTGTGTCGATTTTAATGCAAAACCAATTGCCAATTGCTTGGATATTATTGATAATTAATTGTACGGCATCGTTTGTTATCATGCCGATGTTCGATTTTGTGTGGTCTATCGGTCTTTGGAGTTTGCCGATTTCGGTTCGATCGAATTGATTTATTGAGAAATTTGTTAAGAAACTATTTAAATGTCATATTCGAAAGCGATTGGCAAATGCGCCCGGTTAATAAATCGAACGTTAAATTAGCCGATGATTATGGTGCTCGGGCTATTTGGTTTTGTGGTAAAAGAAATTATTATTTTAAAGTAAATACAATCGATTATTGGATAAGTGATTATTGATCTTTTACCGAACAAAAAGAAAACAGTATCCATTTACATGTGAATAATTTTTGTCTTTCGTTACAATATCGAAACAATTTCATTATTTTCCACACGGAACATATGACACGATGCGAATGTTACGGAATCATTGTTTCATCATAATGGATAGAATAGTGATATTACCTCATAGGACCGTATGGCAGATGAACAGAAATGCAACAGTCGCATGAAAATCATGAGCGATGTAACCGCAAGGCACATTTTGTTCTCCGTTTTTTTCTTTTTCTTTAAATTGATTTTATAATCAACAGATTTCTGATGATTTATTTATTGTTTGCATAATTTATGTAGCGCAAAGTCCACAACAATACCGTGCACATGATCGATGTGTACGGGGCCAAGATTCAATTCCGGCATCGAAAATTTGAGTTGGCTACAATTACAATCTAATTAATTAATAATACATAAACAAAAGCCGATAATTTTCGAGCATTATTTATGTGTGCCACACAAAACGAGCTCACTCACCATTGCATTGGCATGGTTTGTTTGCTCTTCTTTTTTTTTCGTTCGTCGTTTTTTATCGGATGCGATCTCTTGATATTTATTTTATCAGGTCGTTGATATAGCAAAACGATCATTTACTTTGGCCTGTGTGTGAAAAAAATATTTCATTCTCTCGATGATAATAATACCGTGCGCACGGCGGCAGAATGTGGTGTGCACAATGTAATGCCTAATGCAAACAACCCAAACGAAAAGCGTACAGTGTGTGTTTACGCGTCTTTTTTTTGGCACAACAACGTGCATTTAACGTCGATCAACAGCATTTTCTCGGTGTGGTGTGTTTTTTTCTGCTTCATTCGCCAAGAATGAGCCTTTTTTCACTCTCTCGAGCATTTTGCATTTCGCTTTGGCAGAATTTTTCAGCCGATTTAATTTTGTACGCTCAGTTTGCTTCGGCCACGTCTCTCAGCACATTCAGCTTAAGGCGATTTTACAAATTATAGCTTTAACGTTCTAAGGATATGTTGACAGTTTTTTTGTTGTTGTTACTACACATCTCTCTTTCACTCTTTTGCTTGTAATGCTCTTAGTTGGCATTGTTACCCTTCATCATTCGTCTTCTTTCTTTCTGTCTTCTTGTTTCATTCAGTTTCAAGTAGATCGAAATTTATGGTGCAGTTTGTATGAGCGCTATTTGCGCGCTCTGTTAAAATTAGATTGATCGATACGCACGAAAATTCTCTCTTTTTCTTAGGAAGAATACATTTTCTTTAAAATAGTATGTGCCCAGTGCATACACTCACACAAAAAAAAAAAATATCATGCAATATGAACGTTTATCTCGCTTATTTTTTTTCTTTGTGCTGCTCAAAAGATGCCCGTGATTGTGGCCGATTTATTTTTCTTGTTGTTGATTCGTTTACGTTAATATTCAATTAACAAAAAAGTGATCGGACCAAGTCGCACCATGGATGGTGGCCTTGCATATCGTATGGTTTCTAATTAAACTGACGTCATTTTTACCTCACGACAAAATACATCAAAAATGCATATCTTTTATCATGATCTCAATCAATCTTTTTGCTAAACATACGTAATCGATTTTGATCGATTGATCGAAGACATACACTCATTGTCTTAATTTCAAGAAATTAAAATTTTAAAACCAAAAATGGTTTTTATTCAAATTTTATTCTTTATCTGATTCTCTTTTTAAGATTTTTGCTTTTCTTCTTCCTCTCAAAATCCCATCCTCGTTTCAATTCACGAATGCGCACCGTTTTTATAGTTAAATTTTTATGATCTATTGATGATATGTGTTCGCCCGTATAAGTGATTTGTTTATTATTGTCGTGATCAATGCACACTTATTGTCGTTGTGCGCCTTGTTCTTCATTGTGTTGTAAGTCACTGTACGATTGTAAGCCGTTTTTAAAAAGCAATTAAAATCGATTCAACCCGAAAAAACCTCAAATATAATTTATGGGCTTGTATGGTCTTTTATTCGGATGTTAATAAAAATTTATTGATGGCTCCAACAGCGACCACAATCCCCTGTTACCTGTGGTAAAACGCTTCTTTTTCATTCTTAAATTTGGTGTTTTTTATTTCAGATTTTTAAGTGGATTTTATATTCAATCAAACGCGTACCATTTTCACACTGTTCATCATCGTCCACTCTCTATAACAAGGAGCCACTTAATTGAATACCGAGCCGATTGTGCGTCAGAGTGGGATTAGCGAAATTAATAATTTTCCTAAATGATTTTGGCGTTAAACGATTTCGAATTGTGGTAGCTCCAAATAAGGTGGAAGAAAATATCTCACTCTGTACTCTATTGTATTGCAATTTCGGTGCGAAAAAAATGGTCGATGCCATTTTGCAATTCGAAACGGTTGTCATGATTACATTAGAAAAGTATTAATCGTTCTTCATACCCGTTAATTCACCCACAACTTGGCGAAGATGAAAGACAGAGTCTCATCTAGACGTTGATAGTGAACTTTGCAATTTTATTGCTCTATCGCATGCTCACCATATCGTCATCATATATAATAATTGCAAATTGCGGATTACCTACTGTTTTGCCTGTCAATTAGCAATATTTTGTGTAAATTTAAAGTTTATTTTTGAACCTGTCTTGTTTGCTGCAATTAGGAGACGAAGAGAGAGAAAGAGAGAGAAGAGAAAAAGCATCGCAAACATGTCAAGAATTGATATTTCATTTTCTGTCGCGATATTTCGCCATATTGCACACATGGCACAAACATCATGCCGTTTAATCGAGACTCGATCTGCCGTTTTAAATGAATGCTAAAAACAAAACAAAACGACGAATAATTTTCGCATTGTACATGCACGTTGTTTTAAATGGCGTGTGATATAATTGATTTGTATGCACATTTGTATGCACATTTAGATTGCGTTTAGACGATTCATAATCATATTTCAGTCATTAACGGTGTAAAACCACCAGGTCGATCGTCTTTTTTTGTCGTTGAAAAATGTAAATATAGCGACGATCGAGAGAGAAAAAAGTTGCACCAGAGAATAAACTGGTTAACATTGTAATATTGCAAACATTGACTGGCGAATGAAATGACAATCAAACCATATTTTTTTGCATACGCCAGCGAGAGGGAGAGAGAGATAAAGAACGAAAAAGTCAAACGGCGACCACGAACGAAAAAATACGACATATCCATTTACATCAGATAAGAAAAAGAAGATTTTTTTTCAGAGATGCAGAAAAAAATGGTAAAAAGAATGAGAAAAAAAATAACCAGAACGCAAGAGAAAAGAAAAATGTCCACTCGCCTGTTATCTGATCGACGGTGTGCCGATCATGATATTTGTGTGGCGAAGACAAAAAAAAAAAAAACAAACAAACAATATTTATCCTATTAACGATTTTATTCTCTTTCTCTGACCCATGGGAATCATAATCATGAGAATCGTGGCTTTTTTTCGCATAGCACACACTATTTCCGAATCGCGCGCGCACAATTCTCACAAATATAAATTGAATAGATATTTTTGTGTCGAAGAGAGTAAATTCGGAGCAATAAATTTCGAAAAGTCGAACGAAACAAACGATATGAACGAATTTAAAATCGCCCAAGCAGTCAAACCATTTCAAACGAAATGTAACTTGATTTTTGTTGTTTCTGTGTCGATTGACAACAACGACGACGACATTGAATGAGGTATAAAAAAACTGTCACTTTGAATCTATTTCGTTATCTTTATGATATTGTTGGATGTTCGGTTATTTACATATTATTGAATTTGATGCACAGGTATAATAGCCGAAGTGCGACCATATACAGTGAGAAATGCTCGACTGAATTACTTGCGGTCGCGTGAGTTTTAGTTCTGTCTGTCGTGTGTGTGTTTGCTGCACTGTGTTGGCCATATCACAGTGTCAAATGTGGCAGATGCAAACAGTAGATATATACTTGGTTGCCTTCTTGCCTGTTTTGCTTGTTTTTGGTTTAATTGAAAACCATTGACGATGGTTTTCATCGCGCTGAGCAATTTTAATGAGATGAGTTCTTAGCCACCATGGCTTGCCAGTTCTTTCTCTCTGGCTGGATAAAGAAAAAAAACGAAGAATGTGCGCGGGTTGACGAACGAACGAATTCGAATGCATCGAAAGTGAAACGAGAAATGTGAGAAACAGAACAATGACGAGAAAGAGAAAGAAATCGAATGAAATCATATTACAGGTACGAGATGTGATTTTATGAAAGTCATAACCGTTTTCAATGGTTGTCGTCATTTTATTCTTGATAACAACAATAATATTCAAATGATGTGTGTACGAGAGATCATCTCCGCGTTGAGTGAGTGTGGAAAGAGAGAAGAAAAACACATATAGGAAATTGGTTTTGAGATAACGTTCGATTTGTCGTACGCACAGTCGTTGTCCACTCAACGTTGTTGCTATAAAGCCATCATTTTTATTGGCATTGGTTTGGAGAATTGATAAATATAAAGTACGTAATTAAACGACATCTTGTTAACAAGCTTATGAAAATCGTAATTACATTCGATATTTTATTTGAGAATAAACGATGAACACACTCAATATTACCTTTTTTCCCTATTTATTATTATTTGAATCAATGAGAAAGAGATTCAGATTTCTCTCTCTCGCTCTCTTCGGATTCTCTCATTATATGGTTCTCTTTCTCTTGCAAGTGGGGAGATCTATGTCGTTTCTGTTCCTGGTGATGATTTTTCAATTTCTCGTTGGCGTTTCGCCCGTTTATCTCACGCATTGTGTTCAGATTACGAAAATATTAACTAATTGGATATTCGTTTCTTCTTTGTGTGGTTATGGTTATTTTATTTAATGACAATTTTTCGTTTGCCGTCGGGGTGTGACTTTGTGTATTCTTCTTCCTTCTTTCTTTTTTTCCATCGTTTTATAACTTTTTGATATTTTTCGCCATAAAATTGAACAAGCAACATAATTATGAGATTTTGTCAAATCAATTGCACTCTTTTGGATCTTAAAACGTAGTTGCAGCTCATGAAAGTGCATCCGATGTAAATTGAATGTTGATGGCGAGTACATTTCACTCAATTCGAAAATTGATACATTTAGAAAGATGCGTGTGCCATTGGCTTAGGCGGCGATTTTATTACATTCATTTTATAGATCTATTTTACTTCAATGTCTTCTTACAATGTTTGTTTATAGTTCAGTACCTATTGAGGCGAAAAATGAGGTCGTTGTCGACTTTAATAGAATTATCATAAAAACTATTCATTTTATAGCACAAAGTATTATATTATTTTCGTTAATTACGTTAAATCCTTTGAGAAAATTCAACCGTTTCTTTTTGTTCAAGAAATTCAAACGGAGCTTCGATTATAAAACGCTTCAATTAACAACGAAAAAAATTATTTTGTAAAAACACCGAAGAGGAAAATCGTTGTTCTCGAGTTTCTATTGTTGTTTGCTAAACATTTGGTCTAAATCTTTTGTTTGTGAAATAAATAAAGGAGTTGTAATTTGGAAATTTAATCCCACATCGCGCATAAAATGTCTGTCTTCTTTCATTGACGGTTTTGAAGAAGGAAAAAAATCGTCCGTTCGACGAATTGAAATGTGGTTTTGCTGGATAGTTGATTGAACTACATTTTACATTCATGGATCGAAACGAGAATAACATTCCAGTGAATTGTGATGATTGAAATCAAGTTCGTACGGGTAAATATTTGATTCAAAATTGAATTGTGTAACGTGTGTTTTGTTTTTGATATTGACGTCGGTTATTCAGGACAGAGGAACCCTTTTGCTTTTGTTTTACCTCACACATGAAATAGATTAACTTGAAGAAGAAAAAAACAAACCATGTAATAATCGATTTTCGGCTTCGTTAAAACTGAGAACCCATGCGTCGCCTTCCATGGCTGAATTTTTTCCTTGCAGCGCAATGCATTCCTTCGACAGCATGTCAAAACCTTCGGTTTTAACTTCAGTCACCAAATTCGGATGCGGCCATGGAATCGATGGTATTGGCCAATGTGAAGCTGATCTTGGCCAGACTGTAATTACAAAACACAACAAATCCATTAGATTTTATGTCGGATTATCACATAACAACGCTCTATTAGTATTAATTGTATAATTATAAGTCACATACGTCCAGCGCATTTGAAAGCAGGAGTTATTTGCACAATAATTCGTTCTCGTATTCGTAATTTTACTTCGGTTGTGTCAGCAATCATCTTTACAATGTCACGATAAGCGCATTTATCGACAGCTTGTGCGACCAGTGTTTGAAATCGAGAACGAATTTTTCGTGCCGATAAATAGCCGCTGGCCGTTATGAATTCCACCCAAAGTGACATCGATCGCTTGCGGCCATCGCTTAGTTTCAGCACAGCACAACCGGGAAGTGTGCCATCGTCGACAAAATTCAATACTCCCATTTGATTTAGATAGATAATGATTTCGAATTCATTTGGTGAAATTACTTCGAGACCATCGTATCGGCCATTGTAATCATTTAGCGATGAAATGAAACGCGGCTCTTGTACTTCAACTTCTTTTAGTACATCCTGTACGATTCGGCATACCTCTTGAATCGTTTTCAAAATTCCGGATTTGCGCAATTGAACACGCTCACCGAAATATTTATTCATTTGATAAACCATTTTTGACTGTGCCGATATCATGTCTGATGGTACAAGCATTTTTTCCGCACTCACAAAATAAATGTTAAAACTTAACCAAAAAATCGGAGTGTCGCAAAAATTGTTCGGCCAATTTTATTTCCAATTTTTTTTTCAATTAAATTCTTATTGCTTCGCTTTTTTGTATGTGACAAGAATGCTTGTTTTCACTTTTCTTTAATTAACATTTTCAAATTATTCTGGCAACTTTTTAACACATTTTTTTGTCTTATGCGACACTTTTATTAAATTTATGCATTTGGCTGCGGAGCTATTAACAGACCATTTAAAAATGCGTTCAATAAATTTCGCTGAGAGATGAATAAAGAATTTATATTGCATATACGTTTTAAGCAATATGTAAATATTTTGTATTCGTTAATTTGTTCAAATTTTGTTTGGCAATTTTTTTCCGAATCTTTTTATCTGTCGTCGCAAACTGTTTTCTTCTTTACTCATAGAGATGAATTTAATTAGTATACGAAAATGATGAATACACCTCCACGTTTATCATAAATTTGTTCAAAGCAGAACGCGCGTTTTAATGAGACACAAACGACACAAATCTTTCTCTGGCCGGTACAGCACAAAAAATGTGAACACGGTTAATTTGCATAGATTTTGATATTATTATTTTTCTTTTAAATATATTTTTGCACATTTTTTTCATACACACATACACACTGAGCAATTTCGTTCTTCACCTCCAAAATGTAAATCGTTCGTGCAAAACTTGTGAAGAATAAACTAAAAACGATATGGTGAGCACACTTATTCACACGATATAGCGACGGTATTAAAACAACCGTACGTTGTGAAGTTCTAAAGGCCACTGACTTTAGAATCGTACGTCTACCGTGAATATGTATATATGGCGCTTTCAGCAGTACACAATATCAAGTATCCAATACTCTCGTTTGCCACTCACTCATTCGTTGTCTGCTTTGCTGCTGCTTCTGATGCAGTTTTCGATTTCCGTTTATGTATTTGTGGTTACTGTCTCTTTTTGTGGTGGATCATGGGCCTATGTATCCCATGGAAAGACATGTTTATTGCACAGGGAATATATCGTTGGTTCCAGATCGGTGCTCATGCATGTATTATCCGTTTGTTTGTTTTTATGCACGCATTTATACCATACATAAAATATGCGTCGGCAAAGACCATCGTTGCTGCTCCATATGCAGACACACTGCAGTATGTAACACTGTAGTACATGTATCGTTCTACGTACATTTGGCTCCACCCACTTTTTAGTGTGATGGGCCGTGTCATATTCCACGATTTCCGTTTTATTCGTTGATTCTATTCGCAACATATAGGACTCGGCTCGATCTTTTGTGCGTGTAGTATTATATACTCATCGCTATTATATGCTTGCTGGCAATCGTTTCGGTTGGAAATATTTCACAGTGTTTTAATATACAAATGATAACCATTTTTCTTACTTCTAACGATGGTTCGCTTAGAATTCACTCAACTGGAAACAACATTTTTTTTTTCTCTTAATACACATTCCCGAGAGTAATTCCCAAAATGTTGAATTTTCGTTTGCTAAGTATAGCATACATGGCATTTTCTCCGTTAAATATATATGTTATCGCCACATTTTCGATAGCCATTGCGTTTTCTTTATGATGTGTTTATTTACAGAGGTATATAAGAAAAAGAGTCGCGATTGCAAAAACTGTGCCATTTCGGTTGCCAATTGAAGATGTAAAAAAAGTACGAAAGTCAATTCACGATTCTGAACAACTTTGTTCGGAGACTTTTTTGTAATCGAAATGGTGAGTTACGCCATCAAGATCCATAAAATGTCTATATTTCACAACAATTCACTCTGCATCTCGATATCATAATTAAAGCACGGTTTGGATGGCAACATCACAAACAAACCATCGATGAAAATAAGCTATCGCAAATATTGATCTTTAACAGACAGTATATACGATAAATTGGATTCAATGAGAATGATTTCATCGTCAGTTTTTTTTTGTATTTATTCAATGCCACCAATGATTGAAATCATTGAACTCGTCACATTCGATATTCAATCAATGGATTTTATTGCAATTTATTGAAATTCTATCCGATTTTAAAGATGTTATACCAGTTTAAAAACTTTTTGGGAGGTAAAGCTAGATGCAGTTGTGTCAAGTAAGACACTATTAGAAGAATTTCTTCGGAAGAAATATGAATTTTTGTTTTGTGATTTTCTGTGTTAGAAATTATGAATTGTTTTTACTTACTATATTTTCCGTATGAAATTTAAAATGTAAGAAATTGCTTTTGATCAAATGCGTTCACAAACTTAGAAATAAATATCGGAAAATTGGTCATTTTTCATCAGCTAGTTTCAATTTCTGAGGTTTATGTTTCCATTTTGTTTGTTTCCTTCTGAAGCGTCGACCAAAAAATAGTGCGCACTATTACCATTGACTGCACGTTTTGTGGAGCGAGAGATGGAAAATTCATTGCACATCCGACCAATAAATATTTCCGAGATATTCGATTATACCATTGGGAGATGTGAGATTTATGCATATTGAAAACTATTACTCATTGTATATGCAGTGCGTCACGAGATATCTCTATAGGATGTGTTAACCAGCAATCGAAAACGCGAATGCAAGATACGAAAGAATATCGAGTGGAAAAACTGTGAAAAGTAGTTGTGTGCATTGCATTTGCATTTCAATTCTCATTTCCATGTTTGTTGTTTTATAATCGTTCGGAATGTTTCTGTTTTCTTGTTGCAACGCCGGCGATTCTTTGTGCATTTTAAAACATTAAAATGTTATTTATAAGTTTTTAAGTGGTTTATTTATGTTCATTTGTATCACTCGATTCAAATGACATCTTATTTTCAGTTGAAAACAAACATTGTTTGCTGCATTTGATACGGAGTGGATTGGTTGTCGTCGCTGCTGTTATTGTCACTACATCGAAATGATAAGTGATAAATGTGCGCTATTTTGCTGTAAATACTCACATCGGAAGTATTTAATCACAGAATGCTATTTGTTGTCGGTTCAAAGGGAATACCTTTCGGGAATTTGGAAGCGTTAAATGGAAAACGAATTTGAAAGTGAACGAGAAAAAATAGGAAAAAAGAAGAAACAAATACTAAAGACAGCTATTTATTAAATGCTATTTAGAGAAGAAAAAAAGTTAAACGGCAAAGTAAACAAAAAAAAGCCATCCAATAAAATTTATAATGCGCTGCCACTGTGTCTTGCTCGGCTTTTGAACCGCAACAATGTTTGATATGATAAAAACGAATGAGATGGCGCGGCATTTTTTTCATAGTTGACAGAATTTATGAATAAAATTGCAAGTTTTAACATCGAAAATTGAAAGACCATAAAAGGACGACGCCGCACACACACTCGACATCCAACTGAATAGCACATATGCTTTATCCGTAGCTCTCTCTCTTGCTCTCTTGTGCCGAGCTGTGGTGCTTTTAAATCTTCCGTTTTTATTCCATAATTCGAATACAATTTTAATGTGTTTTCTTAAACAAACAAATCGAGCCATTGAAATAAACGAGATAACAACTTATGGCGTCGTGCAATTATTATTCCAAAGTGTGACACATGCATTTGCAATGTATCGCGTATTAAATGTCACCGTATTTATGAAAAAAATGCATTTAAAATTACATCCTCTGCTGCATTTGTCTCACTCCTCTTTTCACTCTGTACGGAGACACGATACCGATATGATCATCTGGGAGATGAGGGAAAAAATGCCGTTGAAAATTGAAAAGTGCGCGCGTCTTGACTGTCTATAAAATAATCGTAACACGTGGTTTCGTTTAACTCGAACAGAGAAGCATATTTGTTTCATCTTCTTCTTTTTCTCATGAAATTTACGGCTTTGGTTCAAAATGCGACAGGACTTGCTGTGGCATCACTTTTAACTTGGTACAACTAAAATGAAAAAAATCCGAAGAAAAAACAACATTTTAAATAGCGCAGAGGAAAAAAATGAAAAATATCATAAGTGAAGCGAAAAAACGACGACTAAGAGATAGATTTGTCGTCGAAGATAAAAGAGATTGTTCAGTTAATTGGTAAAGAGGTAAAAAAAGGAAATGAACGCGTTTTTTTTGTGTGTTGGTTAAAATTAGCCAAATTTAGTTGAAGCCAGCGGGAAGAAAACAGATCTGATTCCGAATCTCTGAGAGAATTGACAAAAAGTGCGTATACCGAAAATTAATTAAAATTAATAGTTCATGAGCGGCGCTGTGACAGTCGCACACCATTTGTTCACATTTTCAAGCAAGATTACCGATTGAATTCAAGCGCGCATAAAATTCTGCACATTATTATGATGTGTATTTTGATTTTGAGCAACAGGAATGTATTCACAATTCCTTGTTTTTTCTTTCATCTCTTCAAGGCAATCATGTATGTACGAGCGATTTGGCTCATTGAATTGTGCAAGCACATATTTTATATTCGTTGTGCCTTCGTTAAGAGAATTTGTGTCTTAATTATTGTGTGCTTGTCTCACATTAAATGGATTTCTCTTTTTATATTACTATAGACTCGATGAGATAATATTGATGGGATTGACTGTTGCACCGCATCAACAACAAAAAAATTCTCAGCAAGATATATGCTGTGTGTGTGTGTGTGTGGGGATATATTGAGCTTAGCCAACCGATTAAAGTGACAGATAAAACTTATAATTAATTGAATATTCAGACGAATCACATTTGATATTGACTATTTTCAATAGTTAAAAGACTATTCTGAACGGAAAAAAGATTCTTTATCGAAGCAAGACGATGTGATGATCATTTATTTCGTCTCATTCAACGTGTACAGAAAAATCGATCAATTAAAGAAATTAATTGTATCCAATTTAAATTGAGCGAAACCAGACTAAATGGCTGATGCTTACGGTTCAAACCGATCCATTCACTTTAGTTTAAAGTTGTGGAAACAAATTTTTCAGCACTCCATTCGTCGCCGTTGAATATGTTTAGTTGAAAATTTGTCGTCAAATATTTTCAATTATGATTTCAATGTTAACTTCAAACGAAAGTGTATGTGTTTTGGTATTTCAATTTAAAAGAAACCATAAAACCCATTGATGGTTTCGGAAAATGCAGTCGATTTTGTTTGTGCTTAGGGAGAAATCATTTTCGGAACAACATTTTACTCTTTGAAATTGTTGTTCTCCACAGAATGTGTATTTGAATGTGCCTTTTCATCCCTTGGGAGCACCAAAACGTTTGTAAAACACTTATCAAATGAAAAAAGAAACATCGACAAAACAAAAATCATATTTCTTAATAAAATGTCCAATCGTCTGAACCTTTAATGTACTCGCGCTGACTCTCTTGTGAGTATTTCGTGAAATTCGTTTCGGTTTTTTGGGAGAAAATGCATTATGCACACACAAAAGAGAACAACACTTAATTCAATTTAGGAAACAGAATATTATTTGATTATTTTCCGGCGCAAACACGCGCGCACTTAAAATATCCGATGAATAATGGTGACAAGATGAACACACACCATCCCTCTCATAAAATGTGCTGAGAAATGTACATCGGGTGAAATTGTGAGCATAGGACCCTCGGTGAATGTGCTATATCTCGTACAAGTGATGTTAGGGAGATAGATACATGGTGTTTTTGCTTGTAACGGAACTTGAATTTATTCGCCAACACAAACATCAGCAATTTTCTTCATCGAAACACGCATTACAATTAAATATGCTACAAGCACACCGACTCACACCAGTCTCTCCATTCAATTTCAAATTAAACTCGTACGCTCGTCCCTTTCGAACTGTGTGTGTGTGTGTGTGTGTTTGGTAAATGTGATTTTCACTGTCATAAATACGAATAAACAACACTAAAAAGGTATACTCACGCAAAGCAAACAAACCAGCCGATGCCATTTCGCCCTCCACATCCGAAGAGATTTAATCGAATCTATCACATCACTGGCATTGCACTTTGCTCTTCACAAAACCCATATCACTGCTCCGCATCTAATGACAAATATACTCAAAACAAATTCTCGCTCATATTTTTGCTTTGCATGTTTGCTCAGTGGCACTTATTCGAATTCGATATGTATGGCGATGATTTGCTTTCACTCTATCACAATATCAACCGCATTGTGCGAAAAATATCATGATTAAAAACCATCTGTAACATTTTGACTCTTGTTCGCTACACCCCAAATGCGTTTTCTAATGAGAAAATTCACTTGGTTTTGGATTTTAATGTTGTTATCAAGTTGACAAAACATGACATAATCATGAGAAAGTATTTAAATTCCGGATCAAACGAAAGATGTGTGTATAAAGCGGTAAACGGTTCTAATTTGCACCGAGCATCTGTCATCGCCCGAAATGTGTTGGTTTGAGTTTTCAGATGAATAGAACATACATTTTTTGATGAATAAACTTAACAAAAAACATGACATAGCCATGAATCACATGGCCAAACCACAATACGGCGAGCATTTAAATATATCAACCGAATTGTGTGTTGTTTTTTCTTGAATAAAACTTGCTTTAATGTGCTGCCGTTTTGTTTTTTCGAATAACGCTCAGATATTGCCGTGTGTCTATTGATATTTGATTCTCTATGGATGGCTTTTTTTTCATTTTGTTTTCGGTGTGCATGTAATAATGTTCTCGAGTGCATGTTAATTTAGGGTAGATAAATCACGTTCAATCAAACACTCCGCGCACGATATCAAGATCGAACAAACAACAACAACAACGATGACTGAGTGGGTAAATACAATCGCACTGGAGAAGGAAAAAAAGTAGCAAATAAAAGCGAAAACAAACATAAACGTGCGCAAGATGAATCGATTAAACACGTTTTAACACGAAAGGCACTCAAGCCAGCCCAAAATGCAAATAGTCAATTGCTGCTGTACGTTCCGACACATGGAGCTGCTGAGAACTGCTCCCTTTCTTTCGTTAGATCGTACATAATATTCATTTTTTTTACACATTTCGGAATTTAAATGGCATGTTGCACTTCAGAACTGCTCATTTTCACTTAATAGTTGACATAATTAGCACTTGAGAGCTAAAAGCAAGACTTGAAAGGGATATAACCATTAAGCGACATCCGAATACACATAGAGTGTACATGCCGTAGCCAAATTGTTTCATCCATACAAGATTGACATAAAGATGCAAGTGCTATTTGTTGCGTTAATTAAAGCAATGACACTATTAAATTCCATCTTGGGCGACAATTTTCACATCTGCTTCCATTTACATGTTGCACTCATTCAATCACGTTATTAGAATCTCTTTACTTCTCGAGAAAAATGCAAATGTAGATTTTGGATCTTTTTTGTTCAACTGAAGTATTGTTCATATGAAAAATCAAAAATTGTATTTGGATTGTTTGTCAATCTTAAGAAAATCATTTCACATTCTTAATTCTGTTTCATTTTTTTCTTCTTAAAAGCGATTCTATTACCTTTATTATTTCTAACTTCGATTAACTTTGGATTGCATTTCTCATTCAAAATGCAAGATCTCACTCGAAGTATCGTAAAATTCTAGCTCACATTCAAGCCATAAATACGTCTTGCTTATCTGATGACACGATTTTATGTTTCAATCGTGAATTATTGCCGCCGATTAAAAGCAACATTCAATCGAACGATTTGTGAATGTCACATATTTCTTTGCATTTTAATTGAAAATTAAACACAATTATTTATTAATGCAATATTCGCAAAAACCAAATGAAGATTTTTCTATTTTTTTAACTAACAGATCAAAATATTATGTACTAGAAATGTAGGCCGTGTATTCATAATTTTGCTACATATTGTAGGTTCTTTTGGTTCAAAAGGCACATTTATTTCAAAGACTTCATGAATTATTAGATTTAATCACTTTACCACCTATCGTTAACGGGTACCTTCCACCATACTTTATAAAAAAATCCCGTCGAATTTCGGCAAGACCAGCTTTAACGGCCATCGGCCCAATTTAGCTCGATAAAAATGCCTTTTGGACATCATTTATGCCCGGGTAAAATCCGTTTTTAAGGAACTTTGTTCGGCCAACATGTAAAAAAGTTATTTATTTAACCTTCGCTAATAAATAAAAAAATCGATTGTTATGCAGAAAAGATAAGAGTAAATTAAATTCCCCAAAATGCTGTTTTGAAAACAGTTATAAATTTCCAAATAAATTTCTAGTTACTTTCCAAAAGAAATGTGATTTTGAGAAACAAATGTGTAATTGCTAAAGTCTGAAAGACTGTTTTCTACATTTTGCTATCGTATCAGATTTTATTTTTCTAGTTTGGAATGACTTTTTTAAAGAAATTATTCATTTGGTTTATTTAACGAAACAATTTTCTTATAAATTAAACCATTCTACTGCTTGCTGTATATATGAAGGGATTTCGAATCTGACGGCGATTAATTCAGTTCATAAACCATAAATCCAACGAAAAGTCGCATGAAATTCAATCGATAAATGTGTTGCATCCATTTTTGTGTGCGGCAAATTTGAAGTACATGGGCGTTTCCTGCCAATTTTATCCCACAAACAGTATACGATCGCTTGTCTCGTTGCGTGCAAAGCATAAAGCAATAAAATTTTGTGGAATAATACGAGTGAATATTCTCGTTATGTACAGGCGCATCGATTTTTGGTCTGCATTGCATAGTCGGGGGGCAAAAAACTCATTGCACTGCACAAGTGATTTAAAATGAGACAGATTGCATTGCTATTGTTTCAAGCATCAAATAAAGTTGTGTAATGAATTGAAAAAAGGGTTAAATTACAATCAAATTAAAAGTTCTGAATAGAAGAATGTTCCCATGATTTCAATGAGTATGGCTCGGGCTTAGATTGACCTACAATAGATGTCACCACATGTGTTCATTTCATTGACAGCTGAAACCTTCAAAAATACTTAAAAACATTCATCTATTTCGACGTCTATGCGAATCAAAACAAAAACTCTTTATTTACCAAACTGGAAAGAATAGATTTTCGTTGTCTAACATTGATTTGTGTTTAATTTGTTTTCAATTCAGTTTCATCTGTCTTAGAATTTAGTTAAAATGGTGTTAGAAATAAAATCAATTTGTTGTGTTGAAAGTTTAAGGAAAATACCCGAAATATTTGGTTTACAAAAAGGTAAATTACGTGTACAATATATTCCAGTGTGTTAAATGACGAGAGAAAAAAAAATTGTGACGTATATTAATTCATTGAAATTTTACGAATCAATTTTCAGATAGCAATTGGTTAAATAGTGTTCGTTATACGTTATCTGTGAAAACGGGTTGTCTGGTGTTTGCTTATCGGACAAAAATTATTGTTTTATCATTGAAATGGGATTCACGTTTGCATCAATCAAAATATTCAATTACCTGGTCCGATGAGCTACCTCCATACGATGACATTACTGCCGTCCTTTGTTTACCCATCACAAATGAAGCCGAAGAAGTAACACATTTCAATCGTATATCAATGTTAATTGTAATCAAAAACGAAAATATTTGTAGATTGTGGCTGGAATTCTAATTGGATTCAACTCAGGATTGTGCCAGTTGATCACGACCCGTGGTCAAGTTATTATATCACAGCAATGGTACCCAGAAGCTGTGCAAAGTATACAATTGCCCAATGAAAAGAAATCCATCGAAGAAATTTATGTGATGTATAAAACATGTGTGTGTATTTTACAAAGCAAACAATTGATGCAATCGCTCAGGAACGTCGAGAAATTGAGTAAGACATTCTACATACCAAATAATTTCATTCTGTTTAGTTATAAACTGCTGAAACTTTTTTTAGATAGAACAAATAGTCTGTTGGGAAGTGTTGCATGTCGGGTGTGGAAGTATGATGACTCATACGGACGTTCGGAAGTTGTTCATAGTTCAGTTATTGGATCGAAAAAAATTGGTTTGTTCGACCATTTATTGGCGGCAAGGTACTTTATCATTTTCATTTACTTTAAGCTGTAAATGTCACATAAAATAGCATTCAAACCAATATTTATCGCTTATGATCTTATTATATTTGGTTTTATAGCATGGAAGGTGGATTTTATGCATCGTATAAAAGTTCAGCACCACAACAAATGGCCGTTTTATCGGTTGGAATGAGGCCATTTGCTGCATTTTATTATGCCAAAGAAATTATCGTTCAACCTTTAGTATCGGTGGCAATTGTTCAGGCTGTTGCTAGTCAAGTGAAAAATGCTTTACCGTGAGTATTCTTAGCTTGTAACTGATTTTCCATTTGATGTAATATTGATTTTTTGTATTGATCGAAACATGAACTTCTTGCATTTTCCTTGTTCCGTTCACAGCTCATGGTTTCCCGGGGCAGCTCAAAAGCCCCAATCCGTATCAGAGCCAGCTCCGCAAATCTCAACTGAATCAATGATACTTCGCTATGGTTTTTACGACGACCATCGAACCGGACATCGAATTTGGTTGTCACCGTATAATCGTTTAGCAGCTGTTTCCGACAACTTGGGTCGTGTAATTCTGGTGGATTGTCAATATAATGTGGTGCTACGTGTTTGGAAAGGTTACCGTGATGCACAGTGCAGTTTTATGAAAGTCGATGAAAAAATCTCCAGAACTTCAACGCAACAAAAACGACGACACGCTTTATTCATAGCAATATACTCTCCAAAGCGTTCCACTGTTGACATTTGGAATGTAGAACGTGGAAGAAAGTTGGCTGTGTTTCCGGCCGGTCCAAATGGCCAATTAATTCAACAAAATTCGTATTCAACCGTTTCCAGTGCGGCAAGTTCTAGTACAAGTTCGGTTGTATTGAAACCAGCTTACCATTCATCGACCGGTGCATTCTTTTTGAATCCAACAGATCTTACGATTAAAGAGCTTGCCATACCATTTCATTATGCGCTTGATGCATCGAATACGAAAAAATCCAAAGATATTCATATTATAAATCAAATTAAAGCCGACCTCAAAACAATTGATCAAGAAAATATGTCCGAATTGGTCGATCTATGTGATAGCATCCAAATGAATGAGATGCGATTTAAATGCATCGGATCGTTAATAAAAAGTCGATACTTGACACCCGAAATATTTTCGATCATTTTAAGCACATTTTTAAAGAGCATCGAAGGAACACCAGAGACTTCAGATCAAGAAGATGAATCAACACCAACCACGGTGGAAAATGATTCGTATAGCGATGCACGCTTGTCAAAATTTCTGCATAAATACGAAAGACTGTTATTGTTTTACAACGGAATGAAACAGAAAGCAACGCACGATGACTTGAACGATTCGGATGAAGTTAGAGAATCTGAATTTGAGGACATTTTAAAGGTTATTGAACAGTACAAGGGGTGTTTGACATTCAAAAAGTCGAAAAAAGTTTCCATTCTGAGTCCATCATCTTCGAACAATAATTTTATCGAATATCTATCAGTTTTTGATGCATCGGGTGATCACATTCGATTGCATGAATCCAAAAGTGTTCGATTCACCTCGGTTGGCTTTGATCTATTCGATAGTTTTATCAAACATCATACGACTTTTGATGGATTTTATAAACTTGCAACGATTTCCACTTTGAAGAATAAAATACTGTTGCGACTATTTTTAAGGTACTGGATGGAAAATGACATTGCGTATGATGATAAGTGAGTGTTTATAATTACGAATAAACGAATACGAAACAAGATATGGAAAAAAACTTTTTTGTTTTTTTACAGAAATGAAGTAATCCATCATTTGGTTAGTTTTACGCACATTGTCCAAACCATTTGTGATCTGGATCGTGGATGCGCCGAACATCAGTACAGTGCCCTATCACCGTGGTGGCAAAATATTCGTGAGATGCTACTTCAATGCTCGAATGTATTTAAATCCCTTCTGGCAGCGCTTTTATGTCGGGATTTATCGGTTTTGTATCGCCAGAAAGAGGTAAGCTCAAAAATATTTCCCTCAAAAGGCTATTATTTTCAAAACGATGTTTTTTGCTTTAAATCTTCCTCTTTTTTCGGCATGAAGGGACAAGACAGTACTGGCGAAGATGAGGTCTGGGAGCAAGTATCTCAGGAAATTGCGCAATGGTCTCTTTTAATTGGAAAATTGGATGACATTGCTGCGTTGAGTTCAATTCTCTCGTTCACTCCGAAAGTCACTTCGCCTGCTGCTGATGTGGTTGTGCTTGACTACACCATACCTGACATAAGTTTAATGACAATTTTCAGCGGTGGTAATGGCATTGTATCTGAATTAGTCGCCAAGTGGATTGCATCAACTGGAGTAAAGGCGAGCGCACTTTTCACTCCCGTCAACGAAGAGGAATTAACCGAACAATATACACCACATTCAGCGGTTACGTATTTTGATCTCTTACGTAAACATTTTCCATTCAGTCTTCGACCTGGAGCTTTATTTGTCCACTTAGCATGGGAATATGCGAATGCATGGAATAATAATACGGAAAAGTTTGAATACCTCAAGACTTCCCTTGAGTATTTGAATTTATTCGAGAAACCAGATTTCGCTTTGAAACATGGCATTTGTTGCATTATTTGGAACAATATTTTGAGAAAGTACATTCAAACGTCGATGAAACTTTTGAATAACATCGGCCGAAACAGCGAAGAATCAAAATCACTCTCAACATTTAATGACACGATGGTAAGAAGAAGATTCAGTTTTCGATTACATACATAGATTATATCATTTTTCTTAATTCTAGATCCCTGAATTCGTAACGCACTGTAATAAGTTCATCGATATGATGTCCGAAACTATGGTCAGTCAACTGGTTGAATTGAAATTTGAAGTGCTGCTACAAGATGGTACCGAGCCCGCATTAACATCGCAAGCAAATAAACAGCGTCGCGCGAATACACAAATCGTTGAACTTCATTCACAACTGTTAGAGGTGATGTTGATCATTTCTTCATTGAATGTGAGTGTGAAAGGCACCATGAATTCATTGTTCAATGAAGTGTCACGTGAACTATTGGCATGTGACATTAGCAAAGAGTTGAACGAATCGATTTCAAGGCCAGACGAAGCAATTAACAAATCTCGCAGGCATTTCCTACATCGAACCATAAATGTGGCCGTAGACCTGATACGAAAGGACTTTCAAGATGTATATTTAACTGATTTCAATTTGTGGATTGAAAAAGTGATGCTGTTAGCCAAAAAATGGACATTGAATCAGGAGGAATTAGTCAAATATCAAGTAGTTCAATTGTATACGCGTGGTTGGGACGAATGTGCCGAATCAAAAATAAAAGAAGTTTCACAACTATCGTCGATCGGAAAAATATTGCTGTCGATCACAGGCACCCGCCTTAATAATTTCGTCAAAGATAAACCCGATTTATATTCAAGAGTCTTGACCAGCGGAACTCGCGTGAGCTCGTATTTAGAACAATTGGTATGTATGAGAAAATCGATTTTTTTCGGTCAATTTCAAGATACCATAGATTTGACATGGGAATGGAGCGTTTTTAACAGAAACTTCTTTGCACATTTTTCAGGATGAATCGTCATTAAAATTGCCAGCTCAATCCGAAGAAGTAGACGATTTGACCTATATTAATCGATTACAACGACTTGCAAAAAAGACCTACGAATGTTTGGCCAAACAAGAGAGTTCCGAACTAAAATTAGCGGCCCAGTTGCATGATGCTTGTGCTGAAGTTAAGGAATACCTCAATTCAATCGAAGCCCCCTAGATTATTCCAATGATGAAATAAATTCAATTACTGTTATATTTAAATAAATAAAGCAAAAAAAAAAGTTGAAATTGAGTTTAAACATCGAATAAGAATAAATTCTTCATTTTCAAAACAAAGACATATCCAAAGAGACAAGCATCAACATCGCCATCTGTCGGCATGTGCTACTTAATTTAAAGTTTGTCACGACAGTTCTAGAGTAAATGTCGACTCGCATTGACTGCTAAGTAATGGCATTTCACGGCAATCCAAATGCAAAGACAATAGATTTTTTTTTCATCTGTCGTCAGTTCGAATTTGACAGTGTGAGATAAGTGTGTTCGGTGTTGGTGTGTGTGGTAAAAATCATATTTCTATTTAAAAAAAAATTATAATCTCTAGAGAGAAGGAAAAGAAACAAAAAAAAAATAATATCTGTTTGCACATTTTAATCGTATTTCAACAACTGACAAAGCCCAACGAATTGATTGCAAAGCAAATTAAGTTTAATCCGAAAAAAGAGAGTCCATGAAAATTCTGTGCTTTGCGGAAAAAGCAAAAAAAAGAGAGTTATTTCGAGTGTAATTTTGCTTTGTTGGTGTATGTTTTTTTGCATTGAGAAAATTATCTTTGGTCTCGTGATCAGCATATTCACACACAACCAAGAAGCCAGAAAAAGATTGAAAAAAGAAGAGCTATACACATAGCTAGCTGTCTTACTAGTTTTTTTTTTGATGGTTTGGTCGTATGTATCCAAATATTGGTAAATGTTGACGTAATCGGTCGCCATTTGTGTATTTGTACGATACGGGAGATACGTCGCGCTGCGGCACAAGAGTGAAAATAAATTCCGCAAAGAAAAATCAAGGAAAACGCAAACCGACGTGTATGTGTATTTCTGTGTGTGCAAGTGTATGTGCGACATACTGCCTCCACTTGTTCTTTCTCCCTCACACACATGCACTTGGTATGGTCAGTGTCAGTAAGCGCGTCTGAAAGGTATATATTAGTGTTTTCTCGCTGAGCTTGTATTCGTGAATATGGAAAAAGGCACCTTACCAAATGAAAATAGGAAACACAGTTGAGAAATAGTTTGATATCCGAAGGAAGAAATATGCAAAATTCTGTAAACGAATAAAAAAACAAGCGAAAAGAAAGGCATCGTTGTCATTAAATCGCGATTCACACAATAGCGAACGAGCAAAGAAATGCCATTTTCTGCGCTTGAATGACACATCTTCACAATCATTCACAAACCATCTTTTTTAAGTTGAAAATATATTTTGCATTTCAATTAAGCGTAAAGTACACACAATTATATTAATCTGTACTGGTATTTTGTTATGTGTTCGTGACAATATGTGTATTTGTTTCATTGTAAATTACTCGTCAAGTGGTTTTTTTGTTGTTTCATTTTAATTGGAATTTCTGATTTGGATACAGAAATGTTGTTTGTGACAAAGGAAAGATTAACTTGTGCCAATTATCACCACAGTGAATAAATATTGGACGACGTAACGAGTTCATGAATATACATATATAAAAATAAACACACTATTCAATGCCTTTTATCGTATAAAATGAAATATCAACGAGAAGACCCAAGAAAAAAAAATCAATAACAAAATGTGCACTTTGATCGAGTCGATAATTTAAAAAAAAGATAAAGAAAATCGATGTACTAAACGAAAGAGAAATATCGCTTTTTATCAGCATACGTTTTTATCAGCGACATTTTCTTCGTTTTTCATCATTTTTTTCTGTTGTGTGTGGCTGCGAAGGAAACATTTTTCGATTGTATGAATATGTATCCGCAACGAAAGAGTGTATTACAAGGAGAAAAGAAGCAAAAAAAAACAACTTAAAAGGAACTCGGCACATTTGCATGTGTTCACGAATGTGTGTGCAACACAATTTGCTAAAAGGAAAATTCCTAGCAACAATAACAAGTGAACAAGCGAGTTCACTTAGCGTTTGTGAGTTACGATATGGGCTCTTTTTTAGTACGCCACTATGCGGACGACCGATTACACGCGCCCAAACGCTTACTCTCTCTCCCTCTATCTCTTGCAAAATAAGTCATCACTCGATACACAGTCATAGCGACGCTCGCGTTAGCTCACACATTATGAAACTAATATATCTTTTTTAATGTACAAAAATTATAGCCATCCAATGTATATATAAATTTCGATCTATCGGAAAGTTCAGAGTCTTGTCTGCCTTTGCCACACACTGTCCCATCACGGTTGAAGTCATCAGTGGTGTGTGTGTTTTTCGCTTGGTCGGCACATAATTTTCTAATCATTACACAAACACTGTGTGTATGTTGTGTGCTATCCCATTTATATTTTATATTTCTCATTTGATTTTGGTTGACGGCAATAAACAGTGTATTACACTACATCTTGCCAACAACAATCGAATCGTGCGGTCTAGCAATTTGCTTCTGGTATGTGCTCCGTGTATATGTGTAATCGAAACGACTGAACGTGCATGATACATATTATTCTCGACCACGGTCAAAAATACAGACACAAAAAAGGACCACGTATACTAAAAAAAATAGCTGCAATAAAAACGATGTATTCAAGTGACACAAATTGTTGTGAACAAGATACTATTAAATTTGAAAATAAAATCACGCATTTAATATCGACAGACAAAGAGGTACAACGTGTAACCCAACCGCGCTTAGAAATTGAGAGAGAAAGAAGAACATTGTTTTTTATTTTGAAATTAAAAGAAAAAAACACAGAACGACTGCGACAACAAAAGAAGAAAGAAAGATAATAAAAACGACGAAACACAGACGAAGCCAGAAGAATTTATTTTTAGTTCTTATTTCATTTTGCGGCAGTTGATATTTGTTTGTCATGTGCGATTCATTTGCATCAAGCGAAAAAAAAGCTATCGTAAGCTAATGTGCGAAGGAAATATTCTTTGGGGCATTCAATCTGTGGCGTGCGCGTTGCAAATAGAAGACGAAAGAAAAATTAGCATTTTTTATTTATAATTAAATTCAATATAAATTCTAATTTTCATGCCATTGAAATCCTGGCTTGCGAACACTAGCGCCAGCATAATAATCGTTCCATTCATGAATGAGACGCCGATTCAATTCGGATAAGAGAGTGAAAGGTTCAGTTTTAATCGCTTTTTTTGTATCACTCATGTGATATCAATTAAATGATGGAGTAATGGAGTTTGTAAAAAAAATAATGTGTGACTTGAAGCGCCTGAATTCGTTGCGCAACTGAAATATAAACAGCGTAATCAATACCAATCAAACTAATCGATGTGCTGATCAAAAGCAATTTAGAATCGAAATGGAACAACCAACAGTAATAAACTCCAGAAACAAAAAAATGGTCGAAAGTGGTGAAATCGATACGACTATAAGGCTGCCATTTTTATTGGCAACGAGTTTGGTTTCGTTTTTATTTGTGTACATCATCTTTTTTCAACAAGCAATTGATATGTATATGCATAAAAGAAAAAAATATATATAATGACAATGCGACAGAATGAGTTCGCGCTTGCCGCGAAGAAGAACTCGAGCTCGCTCGAACGATTTATTTACATCGATTGATTCACCAACACTTTGTGTCATAAATTGTGTATCGGGACAACAAGTCGTCGTCGTTTTCGTCGAAACAACAACAAAAAAACCGAAAAGAAAGCTTGAAGCATCGCGATATTGCATCTACTCTCTGAGCGAGTTTTTTTTCTTCTTCCCTTCAATATGTTCACTCGCCTCCGTTTAATTACAAAAACATTGTTGTTAATTCATATCTTGAATGTGTTGTGCATAAATTATTATTTTTACTATGCGACATTTTTTTTATCTTCTCGCTTATTCATACAGTCGTGTGTGTTAATTGCTCATTCTCAATGTTCTTTGTCAATTGCAACTTTATCGTAATTTATAACATTTTCTATCGTTCATTTCGCTAATGGAAGCCTTTTTTTCTTTTTATTTTACACTTATTAGGAAGAACGACAGAGAAAACTAACGCAATCAGTTAATGAATTATCGGCAGTGTGCAGTGAGTGACATCCTGCGAGTGTATTCTAAGCCCATTTCATCGATTTCTGTGTTTTACATTTAAATTTAATCGATACACGTTCAATTGTTTCGAGAAATAACGATCTAAACTTACACATAAACCTAAAACTCTTACGATAAAAATGGAGTTCAACAAACATTTTAAACTGAATTCAATGTTAAAATACATCACAGTGATTTTATTTATAGTCAGCACCACAGTTAAAGCAGGTAAGCAAACCATTTTTTATTTATTTTTTATCGATGGTCATTTTGGGTGTTGAATTTTCCGTCTTAAAAAAAAAAAAAGAAAATCAGCAGCGCAATGTTCATTTAGATTGACTGTGTTTGTCGAGGGTGTAGTTAAATTAAAAGTTAACATATTATAGTCTCTCTTGAGGCATATTTTGTAAATTTGATGAATCCGCGCCCTTATTTCATTTTCATAGGTGCTATCTTTTGTGCCTTTTATTTTGCTCAAAAGAAACGACACACTTTTGTTTCATTTGATTCGTTTGTTGCATGTAAAATGGCAGTTTAACAATTATGTTTGAATTCAAATGAGTAGAAAAAACAGAACACTATTTTCCTATACATATATTTTTTATTGTCCAATGAAATTGAATTCGATTCGAATGTGCATTAAAAATGACGTATACAAAATGATGTCATTCGCGTTGTTAACGAAGAGATAGAAAGCATATTGATTTATTACGCTTTTATGTGGTGTGCATCATTTAGTGCGCCAGCTTGAGAAATGTTCGTTTGCGTTCTCAAGGCATAAATTGTAATCAAAACGCCACACTAAATACTTTGATGGTTGTGATGTGCGTAAGTTGGCAACCGAATGCAAATCAATGCCGAGAGATGGAGAGTGTGAAGGAGAAAGAGAGCCAACAGGAAATATTGCACATACAACAAACGACCCATCGTCTATTGACATTCAGATATGCGAATAGTTGTTTATAGAGCAACCTGAGGGATAAAAATGGGAACATTAATTACGTCATAATCGGAATAGTTCAAGTTCGATGTTCGTTCTCTCTCTCACACACTCATTTTTCGGCATTTATTGCACATAACCTCTCTCTCACTCACTCTCGATGTTTTATTTTATCGGTTGGTTTTCACCATTTTGAAAAAAATATGGCATTCCAATATATTTTGGTTTATTGGACATGTGGTCACATGAAACAACACTCAACGACCATTGATTGTGCCAAAACGACAGATATAATGCACAGCACACAGGCATGATGACAAAAACAATTCAATTCAAAACTCTCAATGCGAATATCATGTGGAATCATTTAAAATTCAAAGTTTTAACTTGTTTTTTTTTCAAACTCAAACAAAAATGATGACCTAGAAAGTGCACAGAGATAGAGAGAGAGAGAGAGAGAGAGAGAGAGAGAGAGAGACATGACAAGACATTTACACACAATTACCATTCCAACGAATGTATACAATATTGACATTTTAAAATGCCATAAAATAAACTACAAATAACTGTTTGTCTTTTAGTTTCAGTCCAATGTGAACACAGATAAAAGCAACAAAAACAACATCATGACGATGAACTGTCGTTAACAGTGTGAAAGTTGAGGTTTTCTCTGTGTGTGTTAGTTTCAATTAAAAGTAGCGAACTTTCAACTCTTGCCTCACTTTGAATGCTCTCATTCATTCTCTCACTCTCCCATCGTCAACATGTACTAGGCTAGATACGCTGTATTGATGTTTGTACATTCGTTGTGTCGGTATCAAGTTATGGTGTGTGTTGAATGCTACAATATCCCCGCTGTCATGCACATGTCGATAACAATAGACAACTTTAATTGAATGAGTCTCCGGTTTTATGGCAAAAATATTTGTTTGCTTTTTTTGTTTTGTTGATGTGCTGCAATTCTCGATCGAAACTCGAAATGAATCATCCACATTATGTTGCTGTGCAGCAGGAATGCAGTATTGCACGGAAATGCATTTCGTTACCAAAGTGGAATTCAAACAGAGCACACAGAAATGGTATTTGCACAAGTTTAATTGATCTCATTAGGCCCGTTAAAAAGTTTTAACAATTCAATTTTATCAACTTTGCTTGAAAAGACGGCATGATACAGAGAAAAAACAAATAAACAATTAGTAAAGACATGGAGAGGACGTGAGAGATTCGCTACCAAAACAACCCACATACATCGTCTTTGAAAATAAAATTGATTACGATATTTGATAAGCACTTAGTGTCTGACAAATTAAATTCCCATTACACAGACTGCAAGCAAATCAAATTACGGCATGATTTGTCTCACGTTTATCACGTACGCATCAATCACTCCATTGTGTTTATTCCACAGCCTTATCTTTTTTTTATCAGTATTTTCTTTATTCAACAAAACGAAGCCGATGGAAATTATCATCGTTGAGCTCATTCCGCTAGTAAATATTTACGACCGCTTAAAAATGGATTTATTTTTCGCTGTCGTGCGAATTGTATTCCGATGTCGTTATTGTGGATCATATATATTGTCGCTGCTATCACGCACATCATTCAAGCAGATTTAATCTAGTGTATGACATTGTCTCGATCCACTTTTATGAAAGACCGTATTACATCCATTTAAAGTTTTCCGGATATAGAATATATCTAAATGTTACACATTCCTTTTCACGCATGTTTTTTTTTAAGTTTCAATCATTACATGCTGAAAATCCGAACAGTTGAATAAACATGTTAAATAATTTGTGTGCTATAAATAGATGCCTTAGATCCGGGCATAACCTTCCAAGTTCAATCAACGTTGCGTGTAACTAGATTTTAGAAACATCGGAACTTAATCCATTTCGATCGTAATTCCTTAATGCTATGTAATGGAATACGCCCAAATTATGACATGCATATGTTTTAGATGAAATTTGAAACCAAAAAGATAATGATGAAATCACAGAAAGACAAAAAAATCAATTTTTAATAATTTTGTTAATTTTTTTTTCAGAATTACAAGCAAAATATACAGATGAAGCGAATAAAATAGTTTATTTCGATGCAAGAGATAAGAGTGGATTAGTTTTAACTTGCAAACAAACTAAAAGTAACTACGAGATCAAATGGTGAGCATATTTTGAGATCGTCGCTAAACATATGAGCGACGCACGTCATTTTTTTTGCTAGAGTTAATGATGACTGATATAAAATAAAATTTAATCATTGCTTTCATTTTCTAATCCACGTATACAGGAAGAAGAACGGAGAGGATGTGAGTAAAGTTGACAGTTTAAAAGGTCGCTATGCTATCAAGGATAACTACAGCAACTTTATAATCGAAAACACTGATCCCGATGACCATGGCAACTACACTTGCAAAATTGATGAAACTAATGAGGAGCAACATATTGAAGTAATTTGTAAGTGAAACATGTTGAAATAATAAGGCAAAAATAATTGAAAGTTAACGTCATCAGATCATGTTTTATCTTCTAGCAATAACATCTGTTTTTAGATTTAAAAAAAATTTGATCTTTTTTTATAAAACTTTGAATTTTGAGAGACGAGCTATGATATTTAAAAAAAAACTGTATTTAAAAACTCTTTGAATACATAAGTTTTGAGTCTTTAAATCAGATATGTGAACTATCAAGACACTCAACACTGTAATCTTTAAATAATTAAATCTTTTGTAAATAACATAATCTCTTGTCATTTAAAAAAACTAATCTCTAAAAACAACGACAGAGCCATACCTTTTTGCACACAAAAAAAAAGATAACCAATTTTCTTCATTTTATTTTTCAGCCGCCGTTTATTTGAAGAAAATTCCCAATAATTTGTCTGTTGTTGAGGGTGAAAGACTTACAATTCATTGCAAAGCATATGGAACTGCTCCCGAAATCGAATGGTCTCTTGGTGAGTTTGACAGAAACACATGCCTCATTTCACGTATTTGACTGAAAAATATTTTTCTATTTTTGCATATTTCTATTTGAAACGACGAACAAAAAAAAATAGTTGGCGGAGCCGAGCTTAACCTAACGCATGTTACATTCAAAGAGGACGAGGAAAACGTCAAAAATGCGATACTTATTATTGAACATGCCGAACTCGAAGATCGAAACAATTACACGTGCACTGCTAGAAATAAAGCCGTTGGAATCAAATTAAAAGATGCACAAGGTGTCACTAAAATATTGACAGAAGAATCCGAGCATACATTTGTGAGAGTTAAAGGTACAATTGATCTGTGTGTTACACTTAATCGTTGCGCAGCATATTAACACTGAGTTTTTTGTTTATCTCTTTAGGAAAATTAGCTGCCTTATGGCCATTCTTGGGCATTTGCGCCGAAGTATTCATCTTATGTGCCATTATTTTAGTCTACGAAAAGCGGCGTAACAAGGAAGGCTTAGATGAAAGTGATACAGATCAAAGTCCCGAACAGTAAGTGTGAACAATTCTGTATTGCAATTAAGCCATTCGAATGAATTCTTACAATTTTTTTTTCATTTTTCGTTTCATTCCTACAGAGAAAAGCTAAAGACCGGCAAATAACTTGAGTAAATCATAGAAAAAAATTTGCTCTAAAATTCACTTCATGATTTAACGAATGTTTAATTTTTGGTTTTATGATTATTATAATTTTTTGAGGCAAGGAACTTAATAAAGTTTCATAAGAGAACAATTAGCAAACGATACCAACAACCAAAAAAAAAACAAACAAACAAAGAAATACAATTCTTAGATGAGCCACCAGAAAATGAAATTTACTAATAAAATACACACGCATAAACGATGGTCTAAACCGAATTTTGTTTTCAAATAAATGTAAGAGAAAAATTTATTAGATGAAATAAAAATTGCAGCCCATCAAGTTGTTCACAAACAAACACACATACACTTTTGAACCCTTGCTAACTTGGTATACATGAAGAACAAATTAAAATGCTGAAAAACCCTTCTTCTTTCTGATCAACAGCAGCAAAAACTTCAACAACAACTAAAACCAACATGCTAGACATTTATTAATAAGAGAATAACATTTCGGCATGTATCACTTATTAACTAACATTATAAACACACCAACAACAAAACAGAATTTAAAACAAACAACATCGCCGCCATATTCAACAATAAATGAACTCAAAAAAAAAATTATGAGGATAAATTAACACTAGATTTAACAATTTTATTCGAAAATCGCACCAAATTTCAACAAATCTAAGTATTTATAGTAAATTCGTAAAGAGATAAAATAAATGAAATAAATAACAAATAAACTACACAAAAAAAGGGAGATTAATTATTATAAAAACAGATTTATAGCAGCTAGTATATATAATTAAATATGATAGATTGAAATCAACTGAAAAAAATGCAACTTATCCAAACTTAACATTAAAAAAACAAGCAGAACAAACAACAACCAATTCGAAATATTTAAATTTTGAGCCACAAAATCTTTGAGAATAAAAAAAAACATTTGTTTCGGTAGAAATGGAATTACCATTATTATAATGATGATGATTATTATTATTAAATTATATTAATAAAATTAAGTTTGAACAGTTGTATTTTATTGAAAATAAAAACCAACAAAAATAAAAAAACTAAAAAATCCACTAAACACTCATGTTTTTTTTGATATTTTACTTCATTTAGCATAGATTTTGTGATTCTTTATTCTCAAATTCAGTTAGTTTGAGTACAACGAGTGTGAGTATTCGTCACACATATCATATTTCATATGTTAATCATATTATACTCTGTTTGTTAGTTTAAATTCATGCCCGAGTGACATATCATTCGTCATGCACACGCAGGCGTTATGCTTGAATCATCTCGTTGATTCGGCCGAGTCAACATCTATGGACAAAGAATAACACATTCTTTCACACACACATGAACGTTTTTCCATTCCAATTAAAACTATCGTGTTAAATTTAATTGGAATGAACACAGAACACGGCCTGAGTAAATGCTTATACGTTCGTATTACAGAATATTTATCGCATAATGCAAATCTAGGGAGTCCCAGGCGAAAATAAAGGGGGAGTCTCCAGGCCAAAAAACTTCAGCAAATCGAAAGAATTTCTGTCGGCAAAAAACACTAGCAAATCGAAAGATTTTGTAAAAATTTGCTGAGGGTCCTGAAACGCTATTCTCAATAATTTTTTGAACTCTTTGATTTATTTTGATATTACATAAAATCTCGCAATCATTTTTTTTTAAAATGAATGACAAAAAAAGGAAAAGGAAAAAAAAAAGAAATAGTGCCAACGACACATGGTGTTCCCAGACGGTCACCCATTCAAGTACTAACCATGCTCAATGCAGCTTAACTTCAGTGATCGGACGAGAACTGGTGCTTTTTACATGATATGGTCGTTGACGAATGTATAACTCTTATTTGCGAAGACATTTTTTTTGCGATTTGATACATTTTACCATATTTATAAGTGTACAAATTCCAAATACACACCATTTCCAGTGGTTATCAACAAAACGTAAAGTTTAGAAAAACTATTTGATTGCATGCAGGAGGAGTAGAACAATAACATGTAAATGTTACAATCTGAATATTTTAAGTGTCAGAAATAGAATAAAAGTCATGAAATGGAATAAGTATACGTGTTTGCTGTTACATATAAATTAATCTATTTCTTCTAAACTTTGTGATTCCATAAAAAATATTTTCTTATTTCAAATGTGACATTACATGCTTTATTATTCTATTTCATCTAAATGTACATGTACTACTGCAGTAGTTTCTAATGAAAGCATTGTCGAAACTTTCGGATGAAATTAAATATTCGCTTTGAATTTAAAAAGTTTGGAATCTTATTCTCTTGACTTTTTAAACACGGTAGGTTTTATTACAAAATTATACAAAATAGTTGGTTGTTAGACATTCAAGAAAGTGGACATTTTCTAAACAACTGCAATTAAAAACAGCTGCTTATTTTAATAGCCATATAAGTTCTTCAATTTCTACCATTAATTTCTTTATTAAAAACTGAAAGTATACCGAAGAAAATGGACCGATTTAATGTGCTTAAAATTAACCAAATATGTATGTCACTTATTGGAATTTATTCGTATCGTTTAACTTCATCAACCAACGAATTTTTCAAGCGAATCGTCACCTACTATGTTTTATTCTTTGTAACATTTCTGTCAATTTCTGGTTCATTGTTTGCTTATCAAAATTTATCAAAGTTAGACGAAGCCATTGGCGCGAGCCTAATTGCCATTGGAGGATGCCAAGCATTTGGTGTGTTTATAAGTGTTGGATTGAAAATGAGAAGTGTAAAGTTGTTACATTTAAAATTACAAAGAATTGTTGATGAAATCACTGATGACGAGATTTTTTATTTATTCTGGAAAGTAGAGCAAAAATGTCGAAAAATTACAATATTTATTGGTCTCTTCATAGTTTATGATGAATTGATGATTTTAGTTAGCCCAATGACATCCATTTACAATATGTTCAACGGAAATTTCAATACTTCTACATGGAGTTTACCAGTAAATTTAGTGGTTCCATTTAGCACTGAATCTCTATATGGATGGTATTTTTTATGGTTTATTGAAGCAAATATTGGTATGGCATATTCCTTATGTCTTGCTTCAACTACATCATATTTCATCAGTTGTTGCTTTTACATTGACGGCATTTGTAAATATTTCAAAAGATTAATGCATTCGACTAAGAAAAGTTCCATGAGAAATCAACTTTCAGAAGCCATTGCTATTCATATTAAGGCACTGAAGTAAGTGAATCAAATACATGTTCAAAATTAAATTTTATCTGAATTAAGCGCTATTTTGTTTTCTACAAGGGTTTTTAAATTGGTGGCAGATATAAATAGTGGAACGATTTTCTCACTTCTTCCACTTAATACATTATTTTTGGCTTTGGCATTGTACAACGTGGAACACGTAGATATTTGTTTTTCTTTTCTCGTTTTTTTAGTTAAATATTCCAATTTATTTTCAGTCAACGTTTGTCATTGCTAAGTTTGTCTTTAACATTGTCATCTTGATTGCATCCTTGATTTGGGTATATTTATTTTGCTATTTTGCAACGATAACAACTGAACGGATTTCATCGATTGGTGCAGTTGGTTATGACTCAAATTGGTATCAATATCCCCCAATGCTACAAAAGTATTTCATTTTAATAATTCAGTGTTCGAATGAGCCAAGATATTTCACCGGACTAAATCTTATTAGATGTTCTTTGAGTAGTTTTGGATATGTATGTATTTTCACTTTTCACAATTTACTTGAAAATATGAAATATCTGTTGTTAATTTTATTTTTAGCTCTTCAAACAAGCTTGCTCATATTACTTGATTTTCAGAGGCTTGTCACATCATTAATATCAAAATGGTGTACACAAAAAGGTACACAAGTATACTTTTCATATTGAATGAATAAAAAAATGATTTTTAAAATAATAAAAAATCATTCCAACTAACCATAAGTATCATACATTTTTTGAAAAAAAATAAAAAAAATTATCAAAAAAGAATTAAAAAAAAAGAAATGGTGCCAACGACACATGGTGTTCCCAGACGGTCACCCATTCAAGTACTAACCATGCTCAATGCAGCTTAACTTCAGTGATCGGACGAGAACTGGTGCTTTTTACATGATATGGTCGTTGACGAATGTATAACCCTTATTTGCGTAGACATTCTTCAAATATAATATCTAAAACACACTTTTGGAGCAATTATAATGTTACTTAAAGACTTTTTTTGGTTCCAAGTGAAAGAATATGCCTTTTACTTGCAGTTTTCAAATCAATTTTTATCATCGATATGGTTAACTTGGTATTATTAATCAAAATGAGTGAAATAAAGTGAAAAATGTGTCCGTAAATCATTATTATGGTAAATTTTTTATTGAAAACTGTAAGTAAAAGGCATCTTCTTTCACTTAAAACTAAAAATAGTCTTTAAGTAACATTATATATGCTCCAAAAGTGTGTTTTAGATATTATATTTGAAGAATGTCTACGCAAATAAGGGTTATACATTCGTCAACGACCATATCATGTAAAAAGCACCAGTTCTCGTCCGATCACTGAAGTTAAGCTGCATTGAGCATGGTTAGTACTTGAATGGGTGACCGTCTGGGAACACCATGTGTCGTTGGCACCATTTCTTTTTTTTAATTCTTTTTTGATAATTTTTTTTATTTTTTTTATTCTTCCATTCAAATATAATCTAAATGTTGATAAATTTAAACCGAATTTTCACTCGTCGATTTAAAAGTTTTACCTAAAAATGATAAGCCATCACCAACAAAGGTCAACTGAGACAATTGTGATGAGTTTTAATTTGATTACTTTTGTTGGCCTCATCCAATTCAGAGAATCATTGATGTTTGGATTTCGCGTCTATTTTTGACGACAAAACAGCAGACAAAACAGCTTCTTTACTGTCCAATCAGAAATTAAAGAAAGGTATCATCAAGAACAACCACAAAAAATCACCAGGTGCTAATAAATGTATAGATGATTTGAATAAAGAACTAAAAAAACCTTAAAATCTATTCAAAAGTCGAAATCGAAAAATCCAAAGGGAGATTATAGATGCAATTACTTTGCGAGAGTCATAGGAAGATCGTAATAATTTTAATTATTTTTCTAGCAACAACTCATGAAACAAATAGTAGAAAATATAAGCAATTTTTGTTTTGTTTTCGTATTTTTTCAATTATATATTTGTAAATATCATCAAAAATAATATGTGAATTTAACATAATATGATTATTATTTGACACTTTAGGAAAAAAGCCGCCTATAAAAAAATCAGAAGCATCGAATTGTTACCAAGCCAAGGACATTTAAAAAAATCGATCGATTCTTTCAGTTTTTTGTTTTCGAATGTTGCAAATCATGAATATACAATAAAAAGTAGGTCATTCGAGTGTGATAGAAGTGAAACAGAACTTGTCATAAAAAATGAATTTTTCATTTATTCATATAATTTTTTGTTTGCATTTCAGTTATAATTATAGTCAATTTCAATTAAATATGTAAATAAATATATAAATTTGCACCAGCCATCGGAATTGCCTTTATTCCGTTCGAATTTGCATTCTCAATTTATTTTTCATTAATTAAACAAATTAAACAAATCTTTTTTTTAAATGAATTGCATTTCATTCGAACAATTCTACTGCACTGGCATTTTATAGCTTCAATTTGAAATTATATGTTCATAATTTCATTGCGGTTTAATCAGCTCTTAATAAGAAGTGGTTTACTTTAGTGTTAATAGTTTGTGTTCTTTGCTTGTGTGCTTGATTTTTGTTATTTTGTTAAAAATTGTATCGTCTATAAATGTATTGTTGAATCCTCGTGTGCCAATTTATTTGTATCTCATCTCATACGACATGTCTAACAAAGACGGGCCTCTTTCTAATCGGTTCACAAAAATTCGACCGCAAGATTTTTTAAATGTGTTTTTATACTTTAATATCGGCTATTGAAATAGAATCATCACATTCCATACCTCAACATCATACTGACCTACGTTAAATTATAATTATATTTTAGTGAATTTTTAAAGTGATTACAGAAACTGTGTGAAGTAGATGACCCATATTAACCAAGGCATTAGAAGTGAATATCGTGAATCAATTGAAAATGAATGTCTACAGCACATTTTCAATAAATTATGAATAAAGTGAACATTTTCCGTCATTTTATTGAAAGAAAGAAGAGAAAGGAACAAATATATCAGTAAAAACAATTCACAATGATTAGTATTGCTACCTGAATAAGTGTAAAAATTTAAGCTATTTCTTTTTAAGAAAGAACTAAACTGGGTCGTAAGCAACAACTAATATAGTAATAATTGTGAGTGAGGTTGAGTATGAGTGAATACGTATGTGTGTTTGTGTTTTTTTTACTCTTTTGCTGATGTTCAAACAAGCATTACATTATAACAATTTTTTCTTCTAGATTTTTTTCTCTTTTTTTCGATTAGAATAATAAATTTGCAATTGTAATTAAAGCACGGCAAGTTTGCTTACAAAAAAAACAACACCGAAACGTGATCCATTCGAAACAATGGATTCGATCGATTTTAGCGCGAGAAAAAAATGTTTTTTTTTTTATTATGGTAGATTGCATCTTTTTTTTTTTTTGTATTTTCTTCCTTCTCGATGTGTTTCAGTGTCTCGGTCACTTACAATTAGCCACTAAATTAAATCGCAATTCGATCGGTAAAACATACAAACATTCACTGGTTGATTTAGTTTTGTGAGAAGGTTTTTGGTAAGACTGATTTAGCTACTGGATTTCCTTGTCCAGCACGAATTCCGCCTTGAACATGTCCCTGCCCGGCTCTAATCGGTTTAGCTGCAAGAGGAAGAAAAAACGTTTTATTAAATGTCAAATTATGAATTGTGTTGATTTAAATAAAATCATACCGATTTGTGGCTGAGGTCCACGACGTGCCAAGTTCTTTTGACGGACGGCTTCTTTGATGCGATCCACTTCGTATTGGTATCGTTTTCGGTCGCGCATTGCACCTTCCTTAGCCTCCTTCAGCGCAGTTTCTAATGCCTTTACGCGATCCATTGTGGTGCGTAAACGCTTCTCCAGCTTGGGCAATTCACAACGCAAATCGGCATTATCCCGAACCAGTTGCTTATGCACTTTCGTTAATTGCTCTAGATTATTCTCCAAGAATGAAATCTTCTGTTTCTGGGCCAATGAACCACCATCATCTTCACTTTCTTCAGCAGCAGCTGACTTCTTAATTCGAGCCTGAAAAATATCACAAACGCCAGTTTAGTTTTACGATCCAATGGAAAAATGTTCGGTTTTGAAAAATGAAGAAAAAAAACCAACCTGCAAATCTTGCACGAATAATTTACGCAAATTGTGAAGTGTCTGGAGTTCTTTTGCTACGGTATCTTCCAAACCCTTCAAGTCCTTCCGCGCTTGTTCACGGCGTTCATTCGCTAGGCTGAAATTAAAATGTTTTATTTTAAAACTGAAATTCAACGCAAAATATATAAATACATACATGAGATCCTGTAATTTAGTAGATTTCTCTGCTTCTTCTTGTTTCAATTTCTCATAATCGCTGCTGAGTTGTTGGTGAGCGAGTGTCATCTTTTGATTGAAACTGTGAATGGTAAAACACACAAATAAATAAATAGTTTCGAATAAATCAGAGAATATTAGTGTAGGCTATGGTGAAGCATTAACAAAACATACTCTTTAAGTTCGTTGATAACTTCTTGTTTCTCCGAAATTTCATCACGTAGCTCGGCCACTTGTTTTGTGTGGGCGTCTCGTAATTCATCCATTTGATTGTCGAACATAGAACGCAATTCTACGGCTTTTTGTTTTTCTTCTGCGTTGACCGCTGATACATGTTCGGCGGCCTTTAATTTTGCACATTCTTCACGTAGCGCATCAATATTTTCTTCAAGGCTACGTTTCTTGTTTTCTGCTTCGCGCATCGATTCCTGTAACGATTTCATGCGAGCCTCATGCTGCGAAATAAGTAGTCGACATTCGCCCAATTCACGTTCATACTCCGAAACTTTCTTGTTCGAATCGGTTTGATTCGATTCCAAGTTCTGACAACGTTGAGCCAAATTCTTGGCTTCCGATTTCATTTTGCTAATATAAAGTCGAGCCACAGTGAATTCCTCCTCCATTTTACCCGTGCCAACGGTTTCCGGATTGATTTTCATATCGACAGCATTTTCAGTGTTTCCGACGACCAACGATTGACCAACTTCACTGAGATCGCGTAATAAATTGGTAAGCATTTCGTTGATACGTTTTTTCTGGTGTGCTGACATGTCTTTAAGTTGTTGGAATTCTGTGGTTGTGGTATTTAACAGTGTTTGTTTCTGTTGCAACTCTTCGCTAATGGTTTCAATGTCCTTGTTCTTGGTTTCGATTTCATGGCTCTTTTGATCTGTAAATATATACATTTTTTTAAAGGAAATTTCGTAATTTAATTTCGATAATTGATATTCAAACAAAAACTAACCGTAATTAACAGCCAATTCTTCGAGAGCTTGAAGAACTTCTTTGACTTCCTCTTTAGCGCTTTCATTCTCTTGTTGAATGCGGGACATTTCACTCTGCAAGTTTTCGTAATCCCGTCGAGCGTTTGCGATGAGTTCTTCTTGGTCCATGATCTGTTCTTTGAGTTTTTCCACATATTGTGATTGTTGGTTAATCTCCTCATCTTTGTCGTCCAATTGTTGGTACAAACGTTCACGTTCTGCTTCTAAGCGAGCACGCTCTTCGTTCGAAACGGAGCCTTCCATAACGGTTACAGGTGGTTTCGGTAGATTCGCTCGTGCAACATCGTTTTCGGTCGCTTCCAAAGTCGATGTGCTTGCTTCCATGATTTCTTGGAAATTAACTTGTTCATCGGTGGACACCGTTTCACCTGCACGCCACTTGGCCAATTCTTGTTCCAATTTTTCCAATTTGCCCTTAAGTCGGCCATTTTTCTCTTTTTCACGCTCATAGCGACGCTTCCATTCTTCAGCCGTCAACTCTTCATTAACACAAACCACATTCTTAACGGTTTTAGCACGTTTACCGAATTCCAACGTAGATTTTGTTTCGGATTCGTTGAAACTGGCCGGTGAACAGCAAATCACAATTGTTGTACGTGCATTACCACCAAGGGACTCTTGTAAAATTCTACAAAAATAAATACAAAAACATAATAACTTTTAATATTGTTGGTTTTTCGAACACGTTATGAATATTTATGAATGTAATTTTTAAGTGGTAAATTTAACCATACCTCGTCAACTTTGAATCACGATAGGGAATGTGTGATTTGTTGCCATCGGCTAATGCACTAATTACGTTACCCAAAGCTGAAAGCGATTTGTTGATATTTTTCGCTTCATCGAGCACAGCACCTTCGGCTCCGGTTTTCGATACCTTCTCCGAACCAGCCAAATCGACCAAATACAATTTACCCGACAATTTTTTCTGATTCTCTAAATTTTCTTGTTTTACATTGATCAAAAACACTGAATGCGAACGTGATGAGTGTTCGTTCATGTTTGTAACGGCCACGTGTCGATTCGATTTTCCATCTTCGATCACTTCAAACACTTCTTCTGGACTCGATACGAAACGTTCAGTGGCTCCTTTTACAAAAGGCACACGATTTTTATCCTCATGCACACTCAAATTCACCTTCGACACATCAAGCAAATCTCGAATTTTATCCAAATAAATTTCATAGTAGGAGACTTTAATGTGGAACTCAAGATTCACTTCCATGCTGTAAATATGGTTGAAGATGTCGTTCACAATTCGAGGAATTATACCTTGTTTCGTCGGATCACCTGTAACAAACAAGAAATTAGAACAGCATGAGGTTATGGATCGAAATTGTTGAATTATTTATAAAACGTACCGATAACACCTTCCATTGTGTGCGTTTTACCGGAAGATGTTTGACCGTAGGCGAAAATTGTTCCATTGTAGCCAGCAAGAACATCGGTAACGATGGACTTGGCTGCTTCGTTGTATACTTTTTCTTGGGTAGCATTTGGTTTAAATACTTTATCGAATAAATAAACTTTTCCCTGTTGTGATGAAAATACGAAAAAATGGAAAGAGATATTGTTTAGTTCATAGAAAATCCAGAAATTTAAAATTATTTAGAAACAGCCGAGACTACACCTTTACTATGCCATAATAAACACATAAAAATTGTATACATATATTTTCTGTTTTTATTAAACTCAGTTTGTTACAGCATGTGTTTATTTTCGCTCTTCGACATTTTTGCATCTCAAATTTCGATTCTCAATTGAGTTCAATGAATACGATAAATTCTTTTCGCGAGAAAAAAAAAATCGTTTTCGTTTAAATATCATCAGTTGTCGATTCATACAGAACAAAAATTCGTTGTTTATATTTGAATAGTTCGAAAATCGATGGCTCTATTAAATATAAACAGTTTTATGGTAAGTGATGAATATCGATTTTGCCCATAACATTTTATGATTTCCTTATGCATACATGGCACAATATATGCAATGTAGCGTAGGTATGTCTGTGCGCGATATGCATGCAGAAACTCAAGAAAATCATTGACCTTAATAGTAGTTGAAAAAGCTTTAACTGTTTCGGCACGGAAAATAGCCGAGCATATGATTTGACAACAACAACAAAAAAACATAAATTGTAGTTACAGCCAAGATGTTTACATGGAACCGACAGCGAATAAAAGTACATATCGCGGTGAGAATAGAAGAGCAAAAGCAACACAGAAAAAGCTTACGTAGACAGCAAACAATTCAGTACTGAATGCGTACCGTGTGCTATAGTTACAATGATTCATTCGGGTATGGTTTTTTTTTGTTCACACTAAATTTAATCTTCATCACCGTCACCATTTCTTCATTTGGCAGAGAGAGAATGTCTTTATTCATCGGTTAAAGATCAGATGACGAATGAAAGAGATGGAGGAAGAGTGCGCAAACATGAAATAACATTTTATTACAAAAGGTTGATGTTGACGATAAGTTTTTTTTGTTGTTGAAATTCTAAACTTGCATAAACGACTTTTGTATTTGTATATTCCATTAATAGTTATTACCACACTTCATAGAACCGTATACCCCGAAGTTATATTGACGAATGTTTATTGGTTTCTTATGCATACGAACACATACACAATTCCCTTTGGTAATACATGAATGATGAAATGGCAAAACCATTCGCTGATTGAAATAATATAAAATAAAAAAACAAAACCGATCACAAAACTGAATATTCACACAATTGCAAGCTGCGCTGCTATGAATTCATTGAATGCAAAATTATCGAAGAGGCCCACATATTATGTTCGGTGCCATTGTGTTTCTATTGAATTGGAAATTGATTTGTTTTTCAAAACACTCACCCCGATCGATAAACAATTCTCTTCTTGGGAATTTGGAAATTTGACAATAACTTTGGATCCAGCTTTTTCTTCGCTATCGTTTAGCGGCCGAAAACGGCAAACCACTCTAATGCTATCCTCGGCTGCGATTTCACGTTCAGCCGACATTTTTAATTATCACACACTAGTACTTCGTCTAAAGTTGATGTTCTCGTTTTTCTTTTCCTGATTCTCTCTGTACACACTCAAAACCAATTGCGTTCGTTTGTTGCCTGCTGTCCGCCAATTTTATGGGGAAAAATCGGCAAACGTTGTAATTATTCAAAAATGTTTCACTCTCCACACAATCCAAACAAGATTTCACTTCCAAAATCGAGAATGTGAGCTCCGAGTTGTATACGAACGAATGACTATTGAATTGAGACTGAATTTCTTTCTTTCAATTTTTTTAGATACATACACACACTTATGATTCTATTACACTATTCGTAGCAATATTCGTGTCTATGTTTGTATGGAGTTTTCCTTTCTATGTTTGTTTCTATACGCAATTCAACTAGGCAACTACTACACATACACTGACAGTTCAACACTGACAGCAACAAAAAAACACATCACACATTAACCGATGTGTGCTACACCAAATAAGATGATGCGATTACCGTGTGTGTGTGTGTGTTTGTTTCGTTTGGATACGTCCAAATCGAGTTTTGAATGTATGCGTGTGTTTTATTTGGAATTTGGGAATGAACCGAAAATATAATATCTGAAAATGAATTGAAGTGAAATGCAATTCATTGGAACAAAATGGTTGAAATACACAATAATTTTTGTTGAAAATTGATTAAAACACAGTTTTACTATGTTTTCAATATAGTACACTATTTTTTTAACGAAATATAAATGTTAATCATATCACGGAAAACCAACTAGAGAACAGAGTATGTGTGATTTGCGTGTCGTCGTTTTTCTGCTACTCAATCGTCAATTCGATTTCCAAACTCACTTTGCCAGAATGTCACGGTGAAGCGCACATATGATGGAAATGACGTTAGTCGGTTTCCAAAACCAAACTCTTTTCGATGCGGTTTAAAGTGGTAATGTTTTACATTTGACATTTTAATGACAGAAAACCATCCCTAATGAGTGTTTTAATGATTTTTTAATTTATAATTTCCCTTATTTTGCTCGATAGTAAAGATGTCCGCAAAGAAAATGGTGAGCTCATCATTTTTTAAATAACCTCTTTACAAACATTCCAAATGGGTGCGTCTCATTCTCTTTGTAACAAATTATATCCATTAATGAACAAAACTTTGAACTCAAGTGAGTTTTTGCTCATTTTTTCGAAATTTTTTGATGAATCTGTTCATATGAAGGTATAAACATCCATTTTAACACATTAACTCAGCTGTAAATACGTTTGGGGTGTTGTTCATATGCAAATGGTTTGTGTCTTTGATATTCCAATTGCATAAATAATAAATGATCAGAATGACTCATCGATGGGAAACACCTGCACATTTTGTAACTACTACGATGTTAATTGAAATGCATAACACTTGAAATAAACAATTATGTATACAAAAGGAAATCATGATTTATTTCGATCACACCAAAACACAAAAAAAAATATTTTTTCAAACTAAATTTTACAAATGACAAATAATGTCAAATAAAATAAAATAAGTTAATTGTCTGTAAATTGTTCTACGATAATGAGTATTTTTATGTAGGAATGTTTCATTTCTAAGAAAATAAGTCAATAAAATTAAAAAAAATGAGAATTTCACAAAAAGTAGGAAAAATTTCTTTGGTAGAAATTGTGTTTTTTTTTCGATAAAAATCTGCCTATTTAAATTGGTGTCCAATGTTCGGCTCGCCATAATATGCAGTTGGATTGATAATTTTTCTTTTCTTTGGTCTTTGATGGATCAACATCGGTGTAACGATTGATGAGTGACCGGTAACCTTTGCCCACACTCAGAATCACGGGCGTATTTGATGAACACTCTGGCGGTACTGCCGCTATGTACTGAACTTCTTCCTCAAACGGGCGAAACACTGTGATCGGTGTAAGTGTAGTATTTTCGGCAACAATCAAGCAACCCCACGACGTACCGACGTAGATGTTGTCGTTGAGCACACAAACGGCAGTAATCTAAAAATGACATAAAATTTCCAAAATGAAAATAAATTTTCATTTTCAAATTCGTTGAAATTCCTTACCTGACATCTTCCAACGCTTAAGGCCTTGTCGATACTTATACTTCCCAAACTCTCTGAGCACGGCACCAATTTCAAACAGTCCAATTGATTGATCGGCTTCTTCGACAGCGTGCTCCATTGATATAAGGTGCATCCAGGCGATGGATATGAATAAATAGAATTTTGTGATGTGGCAAGAATCGATACGGATATTTCAGCACCGCAATTTACATGTTGTAAATTGAATTGGCGTGACTCAAAGGTGTCCATTTTAAATTCAAAAACCGTCAATTTTCCATAGTTGTGACCACACCAAATGGTACACGATCTGTTTCAAATACGAAAAATAATTTGTTGAAAAACATCAGTTGGGAGTTAATTTCAAATTCAATTATTTACCTCATACTATTACAAAATGTGGCCATACTGGACAATTTACTATTGATGCAAGCTTCGGCAAGAACGAAATCATCTTTATCATTCATACATTTGATCGGATAGCATGTCGAATCCAAAATGTAGATGCGACCATTTTCAAGTCCGGCTGCCACAAAATTAGTCCCAGCAATACACTCAATCTTTATAACAGCCGCACCATCCAATTCATAAGAGAATGCGCATGTATTTTCGGATTCATTGTACGAATGAATCGATCCTCGATTATCACCGAACCAAATTGTATTCAACTTTACGCTGCACATTGCCGTCATCTTGGATGGCATATTACCGCCTTTTATCGACGGTAGCACTTGTGATGGTTGATAGCGTTGATATGAAATCCAGCCATGCTCAAATCCTGTGATAGTTTCGACACAACGTTCAATGGATATCCAAAGTTTGAATGAACTTTCACGTTGGAATTTCTGATTGTTTAGTGTAACGATTGCCTTCACTTCATCGCCATGTGGCAATAGGATGACATCAATTAAATGTGTAAATTCCGGAGCGCAGGCAATTGAAACAATTTGACTGGCTGAAGGTCGATTTTTTGGTTGATGATCCCAACACAAAACCATTAAATCAAGGCAATAGCTGGGAAACATTACTTCACGTGATGTAAACACAGGTCGTGATCCTTCCAAAATAGATTCTTTGACCGTTTCGTGGCCTTCAAACGGTTGGCGAAGTGTAATCAATTCATAAATGAGCATTCCGAATGAGAAACAATCGACTTTTTCAGTGTATTCCTCTTCACCATTATGACAAATAATTTCAGGTGCCATAAAACCTTCAGTACCACCAAATCCTTTGGTACCCGTTGGTAATGATATTCGACTGATGCCATAATCGGCTATTTTAATGTGAACAGGATTATATGGAGAATCAATTCTGTGAATAAATGGTATGGTTAAAACATCGTCTGAAAGATATAATTCAGTATCGATTTTGGTTAAAAACTCACTCGTTGGGATCTGGTAACTTCCATACAAGCACATTTTCAGCTTTCAAATCACGATATATGATGTGGCTTCGATGCAAATATTCAATGGCTCGAGATATTTGGAGGACAATCAGCTGGAAACAATAAGGACCAATGCGTGATCCATTTCGGCGATATTTTTGAATTATTGTATCTAATGCACCTTTTGGTGCACAGTCCAAAATCAATGCCAACGGTTGCATGCATACACCAATCAACGACATTATGTTCGAGTGTCTTAAATTTAACATGACCGTCAACTCTTGACGTGCTGTAAAATAAGCTTTACACGAATTCTCCAATGGATCACGACGCCATTTCTCTAATGCAGCTTTATACGCCATTAATGCACTCTGAAATGATATTTATTTTTCTTGAAAAAATCCGTAACATTGATTGATCATGTGATGTGTGGTATTGAAGTTGATCTCACCTTCCCTGTTCGTATGCCGGGCTGGACGGGCTGAAGCATTTTCATCGCAACTGATCTTGGTTCATCGCCCACTTTGTGAAGTGTTGCTTTGAATACAAACCTAGGGGATAGACAGTATATTTAGTTTCATTTAATATGCGATTAGTTTCTTTTAGTTCGTTCTAGGTTTTTTTTTTTTAGTGTACAATCAAAAATATTCTACTAGTATTTCTAGTATTGAGCTGAATAAATTGTACAAACCCGAAAGCCCCTCTTCCAATTAAATTGCCTTTGCTGATTTCATTAACTTCGATTAGATTTTCTCCATTTAAATCCAAAAACATCTATGAAATGGAAGAAAATTAAGGAAAATCGTAAATTATTTTAAATGGTTTTATATCTGCGTTATACATACCAAATCAGGAGCAATTTGAGTGACAGAAACGTCACCATGAATGGGACAAACTAAAACTTTTTTATCATATGTTGAGAGAACGCATTCTTCAATGGTCCATAGATAGTTCCAAACCGTTGTTTGCAAATAGGATTTATCATCTATGCCATTGCTCGACGATCCGTCCAGTAAGTTTTCGTTTGATTGTCTGAATGATCCATTCATTGAAATTGTATTGATTTGTTTTCGTTGTGTACGTTCTATACACACTGGACACGGTACTAGGCGCGTAACTAAAAATCTGCCTTCAGAAGTGTGCACGAACCTGGTTCCAAGAGCAGGATACCAATCTTCCAACAAAATATCAACATGATCGACACAAGCAGATAATAATTTTGTTATGCCTTGAATATTTGGTGGAATATCATATGCGTGCCCATCACCATCATCATCGGTTTGTATCAACCTTAAGAGTGGAAAATTAATTTCCAAAATACTTGACCTCGAAAGATCAGTATCTGACCAAATGCCGTCCATTTTGATTTTAAATCTATTCAATTCATTGCGATACGGTGAATTTAAGCATGTTAATGCAATCTCTCTTAATTTGAAAATAAGCGTATTATCAACGTATAGCTCCATGCCAGTTTGCCAAAGCTTCCAATGTATTTTATTTGTCAAAGATACCTAGAAAATATTCTTTCAGTTATTATGTATTCAAATTCAAGGTATTCACTTAAAAAAACTTACGTCTTGTGGCATTTTATAAATATTTTGCGCTATTTCACCGATTTGATTGTCGGCAAGTATGCGAATCTGTTTTGATTACAAAAAGTGATTATGACAGGTTTGATTAACAGTTCAACATTCTTTTCAATTTAATTTCAAATATATATTACCATGAGACGCGACCAAAACCCAGAAGGAAAATATGAAATCAATAATAAGCGGGAAAGCGGTTTGGTTGATGTTCCAAATAATTCAGATGAGCGGTTATTCGTTTGCAATTGAAAGTGCGATTCTGATGTTGACATTTTCCGTTTCGGAGATTTTGACACAACCTTTTTGTGAAGAGAAAATTTATTCGATTTTTTTATTCATAGTAAAATCGATTGTTATGGATGCCTGATATTAACCTTGAGAGTGATTGTATTTTCCGGTTCATCCTCTGTCAACGGCAATAGCGATGGAATTAACAATGTTCGGAGGTCCCAAGTCAATGCAACTTCAAATTTATTCAATAAACTCAAAATGTATCTAAAATAAATCAAATGAAAATAAAAATGCGAAATATGTTGATAAAATTAGCTCGACTATGGCTTACTTTCTGTCAGTGCCGGCTTGTCCAGTAGTTTTGATTAATTGATTGATATCATCAATTTTCATCACACCATTTTTAACAAAAGGGTTAATCTCTTTAATAGTCACAACCTGAGCTAGCATATCACATAACCATTGGGGGTCCAAAAAGTAAAAATCTCGCAGTGTCGAATCGTTATAGTGCAGAAGAACTCCATTTTCGTGCAAGAATAGTACAGCACTGTGCAGCTCGAGTGTATCTCTATTCAAATTATGTTATATATATATTTATGTAAAATGTTTGGCCTGGGTAAAAAATATATTCAAAATTTAAAGAAGAAGTATTTCCCACCGAAATGATTTGAAGTTTTGAAAGTGCATTTCTTGGTAGACCATTTGCTTGAAATTCTCATAGTTCAAAACTGGATCGGAACCAACTTGTTTCAAATAACTGCTTATATTACCAACGACATCTTCTAACGCCAAGTAACTGAAAAAAATAGAGAAAAAAATTAGTTTTCATTTTATTTGAGTAAGAGAAATCAAACCAAACCTCGCCGGGACATTCTGATGTAAAAGCAATTCCTTTGAGCCGGGTGATCTCAGTGAAAACACGGTATCATAAATAAGCGATCCCAATTCGCGGACATTAAAGTGATTTCTGAAAAGGGTAAATGGAATCATTTTAAATAAATGGTAAATGGAATGAAACGAAATAAAGAAATAATTCATCAATACGTACTTGCAACTGATTTCAATGGAGCTCATAACTTTGGGCAAGCCAATTTTTTCTGAATCTGTAACAGCAATGAATCGCTCGCGAATATATTGTTGCAAAGAGATTGCTTCAACTTCGGAGATGTTTGTGCCAATATTATCGTGATGCGTTCCAACAATGATGACGGGTGAATTTGGTGCTCTGGCCTGAATATTTCCCAGCCATTGTAGAACTTCAATCAAACCATTTTTGCCCTCATCGATCCGCCACACAACCAAATACAAACTTCGTTTCGACAAAAAGTATTGATGAGTGGCATAATACTCTTTTTGCCCTCCAAAGTCCCAAGTACGAAATACAACGGGCCCATACAACGATCCGCCATTCTTTTTCTTTTCCTCACACACCAAGTCACCGATGTCAACTCCCACCGTGGAAATATTGTAGTTTTTCTTTTTTGAATTCACTGCGGTCGCACCCATTCGCTTGGTCCAATGATCGCCGAGAATTTTCTTATTTTGATTTGGATACATTTCACGCAGAAGTTCAAGAATACTCGTTTTCCCAATTCCCTGCTTTCCCACAACCATCAATTTCATTCGCGCATACGGTTTTGCATCCTCGTATATTGATTTTAGATAACCAATTATTTCCATGGTTTTGAATTTTTTGCTTTCGATCATTGTGTTTAAGTAGCCTTGTAATGAACAACCTTTCGTATTTAAATTCCATAAGCGATATAAAAGACCCATATTCGGCGGTAATTCCGTTATCTCAACATTTCCACTAATATTTAATATACTCAAATTGGTAAGCTTGTGTAGAAATTGCGGTACTTCCTGGAAAAAGTATCAAAAATTTGAAATTATTTAGAAATATATTTCGAATTATGAATTATTACCTTCAAACAATTATTGCTTATATCTAACATAGATAGGTTTGGATAAATAAGTCTTAATTTCGTCACACCAATATTGGTCCATTCTGACATGGTCCATTCCGTTTCTTCTGTTTCGCTAAATGTTGTGATGTCATCTGTTGATAATTGGATTTTTGTGAGCGCATTATCGGCTAATATCAAAGTTTTTAACGATTCCAGTCTCAAGTGTTTCTTATGACAGCACAAATTTTGATAGACGTCTGTTTGTGGATTTTCCAATACAGCGTTTGAGTGTGATCCATTAAATTTATCACTGCCACCACTTTGATCTAAATTCAAACATTTATTTCAATGTCATTAAATTGTCACAAGCTCATTTCAAATTAATATGTACCATTATAGCAAGCAAGATATGGATCTCCTGAATTAACTGTTACCAAACTGGGCCAACATGAAATCTCGTTGTGACTTAAATCCAACTGACGCAAAAATACTGGATATGATGTCACATGTCCCATTGATCGGAGGCTATTGTAAGACATATTAAGGCGGGAAAGATTTTCGGCAAGGCAAGGAAGTGCGGGCGGAATGCTAGTGAATAAATTATTTGATAAATTTAAATTGCGCAATGCAGATGATCCTCGAAGCTCTGAAAATTGTGTTGTATCACGATCGACAATTTCAAGTGATTTTGACCAAATATTCTGATGAATCAGCTCATTTTTACTGTAAACCAAAGAAGGAAAATCTCTCAGTAAACATTTTAAATACCAAAATTCGATAAAACTTACGCTGGTCGATGGGAAATTCTTTTCAATCCAGTCGATTTATATTTGAATATCGTCGGTGAATCGCTCTGGAAATATTTTCATGAAAAAAAGTTAATCTTTTGCATTTTTTTGCACACATATCTGTTGAATATACTTACAGCTTCAGAAGAGGTTGGAAGATCTTTGAGCAAATTAAACGCGATATTGAGTTCACGAAGTTTTGGCGACTTCCACATATCAAACGGAATTTTTTGCAACTTATTATTCGAAATATCCAAAATAGCAAGAGATGGTAATCGAAAAATTTGCGTTACAATTTCTTCCAAATTATTGTCTTGCAAATAAATCTCCTCCAAAACGGGACTATTGTACGACGATTCAGTTGGTGAGGGTAATCGTTCGATTTTATTTTGTGCGGCATTCAAATGGGTTAAACTACACATTGAGAATATCTCTGGTGGAAGCTGTGTAAGCGAATTGTGTGAAATATCGATGCGGGTTATTGCGCCGAGAGATATTTGGTTCAGTGTTGAGGACGTTTTTAATTTTGGATTACAATTTGCCACCGCTCCAACTAACCATTTTATTCTGGAAAATCAAACGAGAAATTAAAATCGATTGTCATTCATTCGATGGGTGAAAAAAGAGACTCACTTGATTTCTTGTAAATGACAATTGGTAAAACTCCAGTCGATCACAGTCGGATTCGTTGGAAATAAATTACAATATGTATTGCAATACGAAGGTAACGTTTGTCCCAAATTACTGCAGCCGGTTAACAAATCAGTTTCATTAAGTTTGTGCTCGATATCTTCGTGTGAATGCCTTGCGAGAAGGCAATGAATTAGTTCTTCATCTGCGTTTGTGCATGCAATTTTAATTGCACACGATTTTGTATCTTGGGCTCCAAATCGAAGAAGAAGCTCAGTCATGAGAAACGATTTTTGGCGTACGGCTTCAATCAGCACTGAGTTTCCGCTGCTGTCTTCACTGCCCAGATCGTCAATTAAATTGCTATTGTAAATATTTGGATTGATTCCATTTCGCAACAAGAAAAATACAATGTAAAGAAATCCACCACGAACAGCAGCCATTAGAGCCGTCTCTTTTACGAACGCACACTGCACATTCAAATCGATTGGAGATAGAAGCATCTGACTTTCTTGTCTTGTTGTATGTGTACACGTTAATCTCCAATTTAGCAAAGACTCAATGATGTAATCATTTCCGGACAAGCATGCGATGTACAACGGTGTCTGATTGAAATTATCCAATTGATTTGGATCGAATGCACATTCATACTCCCATTCACCGAGCCTAGAAAAGATTTTTTTATGAATGAACCATTTTTTTCTCAAGTAATTTTAGTTTTGAACAGTACCTGTACTTTTGTGACAGTTCTTTGGCAAAGGGATACGCCAATAACAAATCAACGACATCGTTTTTGCCATTGATACAAGCCACATGAAGTGGTGACCAATTCTCAGATGTCATAACCTTTCGAGAAAAACCATAGTTTCAATCATTACATATAGATGCTATAAATGATAATTTAAGACAGTTTTGCAAAAAAAAAATGCTTTTACATTGATTGCTTCAGGGAAATGAGTCAAGAGTTTTTTCACAATTGAAATATGCCCGCCTCGAATTGCCGCATATAGAGGTGTACATTTGGTACTTTTATGAGGAGTGCATGTAGCACCGGCGTTAATTAAACAAACCACCTGTTCATGGTAACCATTTTGACATGCTCTATAAAAATGAATGAGAATCAAAAACTTAATTGCTTACATTTGACAATGAGATGTGAGTTTTTGTAATATGGTTCTAAATCACGTGTGTATTTATTTGTAATTAACACGCTGTTAATTGTCATTATGTGCCATACTCACATGAATAGCAGAGAGTTATCTTCTTTTGGTGTGAAATTTACAACGAGCTCCTTATCAATGTTTAAATCGTTTATTATGCGTTTGGTAATGTTCACATTGTTTTCGAGAATAGCCTTGCGTAAAATTTCGTACTCAGTGACAAGATTTTCGTAAGCTGTACAATTCAAATCAAAGTATAAATGTGATTGTAGATTAGAAAGGGAAATTGCATGCAAAAAATGTCCATATTCCTACCTTTCTCTTCATCAATTCCCATATTTGTACGATCAACACAACGATAAATCGTAATTTTGAGAAAATTTGTTTTTATTCTATGCGAAATTCGCGTTCAACACAATTGCACTCAACTTAATTGGTGATGGATGAACATTTCCGATTCGCACCAATTATCAAGAGACAGTCATATATGATATTCGCAAATCATTCACAACAATATTGCATGAAATGGTCAACACTTTGTTGGCAATCAAAATGCACACGAACAAAGGCGAATTGCACGAAACGAATTAAAATAGAAATATTACGAAACGTTTCAAATTTATTGCAATATCATATGCATATTTTACATTTTTCGTCGACAATTCTCTAAATTCACTTCGACGATAAATGAAACACAGTGTTTCTTTTTTTTTATTTATTTACGCCAAACGTCAAAGTGATGTCAAATGTGACATTTCACATTTACATTGATAATTGCACACTGATAGATGCGTATAACAGCGAACGATTGTAGATAGCACATTTTATAACAGTTTATAATCAAATCTGAAATATGATGTGTATTTTCAGCTAAAAAGCGGGAAATGAAAAAACTTCGATTTGTTTTTGTCAATGAGGTTTTTTTTTATTTCATTGAAGGTATCACAATCGTCTAAGTATGTGCCTGCTTATAGTTTTGACTAATTATTCTTCGGATAATTTAAATATTGAATCCTTGTTCTCGCATGCACTTTTTATGCGCCTCGATTAGTTCTGTGCAGTTCTCTTCGCCCTTTTCCACAATGCTGAAATAAAAATTTGAGAAGAAAAATCCAATTAAAATTTGAGGAATATCTCTGTAATATGACATAAAACGGTCAAACGTACCATTTATCGCGTGCTTGCTTCGTTTCTGGACAGGCACAACATGCTTTACATTTTGGCTTCTCTGTTACTGGCGCTGGTGAGCTCGATTCCTCTGCTGGTGAGCTCGATGCTGGTCTCGATTCAGAACTGCCCATTGTTTATCTGTTTAAATGCGAAAAAAGTCGGAATAAAATCGATTGGTTAATTCATTTTAAAATTGCATAAGAAAAATGCAAACAACGTCATTAATTCACGTTCAAGGACATTGTTTTGATTCTTGGAACAAAAATTGAAACTTGAACAAAAATTAAACGACACTTAGAAGTATTCATATTTACAGAGGATTCTTTATTTTTCTTCTTAGCCCACTAGAATTGAAGTTTTCACTCGAAAAGTTTGTATGTGACTACTTCTTTAGCAAAACAAATAGTGAGTTTTTGGTTATGTTCTATGAATCATATGACATTTCTTTACATTTCAATGTCAACTTTGAGTTCAGTTGCTTTGAGACGTTTAGTTTAGATATTTTGTACGAAAAAATAAACATTTTAATTCGTTAAAAAAATTATCATTTTTTTTCGAGAAAAATAATTTAAAATAAAATATTTTTCGAGTAAAAAATGTTGAAATTACTCTTTATTTTGAATGAATTTCAATACATATGATGGTTTTAGTACAATGTGTCAAAGCGGTAAAATGTGATATAGCGGGCGCTTGTATCGCGCGCAATTTTTGTTCGGTGGATAAGTTTCAAATCAATTTAAAGTCAAACGTATTTTATGCATCTTCATTTCTTATCCGAACATTGCAGAACATAGTAAGCTGAACGCCAAACAGCGAAACATCAATACAATCAAGAATAACGGAATCGAAGAGATTTTTTTTTTTATTTTTAGTATCGTTGTGTTTTTTTAAGTATAAAAAACGTTTTCTATTACTAGAGAGAAAATTGTGAGTTGTGTTCATCATTGTGTCATAAAAAATCAATTGGTGCAGTTTTTGATCTGTTTGTTGCATTAGTTTTTGTGTTTTTCTCTCTCGCCATCTTGGAACGGGGATTGAATTTTCTTTTATATTTTTGACCGAAAGCAAGTAAGTAACAAACAAACATAAAATAAATAACCAATTTGAAACTAATCGGATGAATATCTAATTATTTCGTTCGATTTTACATTTGTTTTAGTCGAAGAAATCATGGTAAAGACACCAACTGTAGAAAAAATCCGCAAATCAACGAGAACACCGAAAACCGTTCCGAAAAAGTTGAGTACACCAACCGTGGAAAGAAATTTTTTGGACGTACCGCGACGTGGACAACTAGATTTTGATGCGAAGACATCAATAAATGTGGAATCAATATGTACACCCAGCCGAACAACACGGTCGATGGCCAAGGTAACTTTGAACGATATGCCACCACCAGCTTTTACACCATCGAAGCGAAAAACAATTGCATCAACATCGTCGGCGAAAAAGTCGAAAAAGTCAGTCGTGCGCCCCGACAATGATGAACCAAGCTATTTTGGTAATGAAACAGCAGAAGGAAATCGTGAATCTGGTAAATTCGTTCGCCCTCGACAATCGAATGAAGATTATAATGAACAAGTCGAGGCAAATAATACAAATGCAGTCGAGTCAAACGATGAAGACTTCGCGTCTGTTAGCCAATTGGGCATGAGTACACTGGATGAAACTGTTCGGACTCGTAAGTCAAAATTGAGCATTTCTTCAAAGTATCGTTCATCTCCGGTTCCAACACAAAACAAACGTTTATCTGCTGGTAAGTCAAATCAAAGCATCAAAGATGCTAACGAATTCATGGCCAATGATTTAGCTTTAGATGATCCAGCAGAAGAGAATCGTGAATCTGGTAAATTTGTTCGCCCTCGACAATCGAAAGAAGGTTTCAATGAACAAATCGAGGCAAATAATACAAATGCAGTCGAGTCAAACGATGAAGACTTGGCATCTGTTAGCCAATTGGGCATGAGTACACTGGATGAAACTGTTCGGACTCGTAAGTCAAAATTGAGCATTTCTTCAAAGTATCGTTCATCTCCGGTTCCAACACCAAACAAACGTTTATCTGCTGGTAAGTCAAATCAAAGCATGACAAATGCTATCGAATCCATTGTCAATGATTTGGCTTTAGATAAACCAGCAGAAGAGAATCGTGAATCTGGTAAATTTGTTCGTCCTCGACAATCGAAAGAAGGTTTCAATGAACAAATCGAGGCAAATAATACAAATGCAGTCGAGTCAAACGATGAAGACTTCGCTTCTGTTAGCCAATTAGGCAGTACACTAGGTGAAGTTGTTCGGACTCGTAAATCAAAATTGAGCATTGCCTCAATTGATGGTTCATCTTCAACACCAAACAAGCGTACAAGCGAGCACTCATCGGCAGCTAAGGAGAGTAAGAGTCGTATGTCAGTTATCGATTTAACCGATTCGCCAGTGGCTAAACCGAATACCAGTGTGTTGAATGTAACATTCACCGAAGAAAGTAATAATGAAACGACGTTCCAACCAGTTAACGATAAGACGTTCAGTCCAGTTCCATCAACTAGTGTTGAAAAGTCACCGAAAAAGAAACAAGAACAGGCAACGCCAGCAAAATTGAAAACACGCGCTTCATTGGAAACGAAAGCAAAATCTACTGGCAAAAAGAAGTCTTCACCACCATTGAAACGCTTACAAAATACACCGTTTTCGAAATCGAAGATCCAAAATAATCTGAATACATCAAATAAGATGTCATCGGCCAAAAAAGCAAAAGTTGCTGAAGCCACCGTCAATTTGATAAGTTCAACAAAAGTCAACAAAGAAATTGAAAAGGTCAAAGCAACAAGAGTCACGATTGAATCACCAAAATCGAAGATTTTCAAATTTGGAACAGAAAATCAGCAAAATCCCGTATTCCGATTCAGTTTAGTCTCTGAACATTTGAAAAATCCGCAAATTGGTAAGTTTTGTCAACATTTTCTGTACTGATATGTGTAAAGTAAATTAAATGTGATTTTTTTTTCTCTACACATTCAATAGGCAAACCGAATGTCAAACCAGTGCCAAATTTCACTAATATACACAAGCAGATGTTTAAGAAAGCCGAATCGATTGATGAAGCCCGAAATCGTCAAGTTGAACGAGCCAAAATTCTTCTTTCCGGCAAGAAACCACCTCAAGAACTGAGTAAGATAACTGTTTTAAATAACGAAATACATAGATTCTAATGGACGTCATTTGAATTTACAGAAAACCATCCAAAATCGGCCACAAAAATTCCAAAATTCCAGTTGAATGTCAATACTGATAATAACGCGGTACAGCGAAAACCATTGGCACATGTTAACAGACAACGATTGAATGATGAAGAACGTCAAGAACGGCGCAAGCAATTGTTCAAACAAGGATCGAAACGTACAACAGCGTCAAAGAATATTGTTCCAGAGATAAAAGGAGTTCGTATGAATCGACGATTCGAATTAATGATGAAAAATCGCAATGCAGTGAAGAAAAATTAACCCTTCAGGGTAGTACTGATCGTTTCAATAAAATAAGTTTGTCATTTTCAAAGAAAACTAAAAAAAAGAGAAAATAGTTCTGTTCCATTTATATAGATCAATACACAATGAATAAAATTTCTCGGCATTGCGGCCTATACTGCACAAAGCAATGCGATTGATTGAAAATGTACAATGTCTTATTTTACAACACACAATTCGGTCTACCTATGGAGTCATTGTTTTGCGAATAAGACTTTTCTGAATGAGAAAAATTTTGCGAATAAGAGAATAAAAAATTCATCAAGTACGAATAATAAGCATAAAAATCATCTAATTTTTTTTACCTAATTTCTATTTTTAAATAATTTCTAGTTGTTATCGTTTTTGAGATAATAAATAAATGTAAAACTCAAATGATCAACCGAATACTTTTTCTTGGAATTCCCAATGAATTCAAAAATTTGATTGTCAAAAATAAAGTTGAGTTTTCAATACAAAAAAAATACTTCAGACGAATACAAGCATCTGACACTGCCATAAAGAAATCATCATATTTTCTTTTTTATTTTAATACCAATTCTTATCACATATCACATAATAAAATGGCAATATCAGTTGCAAAATAAGCGCAACTATCACCCGGCTATAGTATATGACTATACGTACACACGACTTAGAAAACGTCTCTATTCGTGTTCGGTTCAATGTCGGAGTCGTTCATCACACCGATACACAAATAAATAACATAAACAACAACATCAACGTCACACTAACACAAGTGCATCTGGTCGCATTGATGTGCGTTTCAGTGAGAAAGCTCAACGGGCAATTCATTTGTCAAGAGAGATCACAGTAACAAGTTGCCGTCTGCAGCAAACGGACTGGTACCCACATATACGCAGTTTGAAGTTTTCAAAGAACGAGAGGCAAAAAGATTTTTAATAACAACAGTGAATGTGAAACGCGCGACCGACGATAAACATCACACTACTGATTGACGTGCCAAGTGTGAATTGAATTTTGCACGGATTATTTCTGTTTTGTTTGGATTCTCTAATCAAAAAACTAATCAGGTATAATTTCCTTACAATTAAAACAAAAAAAAAAAAATATTAATAATAATGAAATAACAATAAAAGTATAGGCAAATGTTTCATTTGCAAAATTTTTTTTCTTCGAAATGAGTGTCACGTGATCGTCGGTTGTAATGTGTGAGCTATTGTTAAATTTAAAAATGTGTAATGCTCAGGATATTCTTTAATTGAAATTAGCGCCTTATTTTGACTTTATCTATTTCTCGTCTAGTTAATTATCGACCTAATGAGAGTATTAATATTTTCCAATTTTCTGAGAAATTTAACGAACGAACATAGAAAAATACGGATGACACGAATGAAAAAAATACGGACGGTCATATGTTTTGTTCTGTGTGAGCGCTTGAGTGGAACTCGTGATTGATCAAATGTTCAGACGGAGCAACGTAAAGTAATTTATGGAATGGTCATGTGACTTAATAAAAACAATAGCAAATAGGCGAATTTATGACTTTTGAACTATTTTTAGGTATACTTCTCTTTTTTTCCCAATATTATACCTACAGATTTTGTTTTGTATTTCGGCGACTTTTGTATTTTTCACTTTTGTTCTTATCATTAACAACACATCCGATCATAGTCCAACTTTTGATGCATTATACCATTCTTTTGTATTTGTGCAGTGAGTTTTGCGCTACTCAAAAATGCATTCGAATGAATTTTCATTCTTTTAAATCGCTTTAATTTTGGAGTATATATACTCAAGGGCACATGATTTTCAAATCATTTATTATTTGATAGAATTTTATTGCTCTGTGATTCGCCATTGTAAATAAATATAATGATACAGTCAATCAAAGCTAAACATCAAAATGAAATTTTAGCAAAAAAATGTACGCTTTTAACCCAATTCGGTACGGTGCAAAGAAAAATCAAAATGAATCATGTGATGGCATGTGATAGGATGATATGTGGATTGTCATTTGACGTATATATTTGCTTGATAGTTTGAGTTCTTTAGTTGAAAAAAAAAATGGTTATCTTGGTTAAATATGCGAGTTTTTATGGCTACATTTCGAGATGGGTTAATTCATGAGCAAGTTGAATATAGTAAGATAATGAAAACTCCAAGGTTTCGTCAGTCAGCATGAATACACATAGTGCGTAAGAACCTATGTATTAGATTAATATACAGTACATAGATCACTAGAGTCTTATTCAATGTATGAAGAAAACGTATAAATTAACGTTCATTGTGTCATGCATTCCGTTGACACATTCAAATCAATTCACATGTATACATTCCATATCAAAAGCGTATCACATGATACTTTTTTTTATATTCAATTGCAAAAATTAACACAATTTCATGACAAAAGAACGAGTATGTAACTTGAATAACTATAGCGGCTAATTCACACATCGAAACATTTGTCGGTTTTTTATTCGAAAATATTAAAGGAAGATTTGCATGTTGAATCAAGAACAGCTTTTTGTAAAATTTAAGTGGATATTTGTTCGAATTGAATGCGTCCACTCATCATACTGTGTCATATGACTTCATTGCTTGACAATTACATAATGTTTATCGTACTGCGAAAATGAAAACGATCCCAAAACCCGTAAAAATGCAAATTAGGCTCAAATGACAGACAGCTATTTATCTATGTAGGCATAATAGGAACAATCAAATCAATTTCAAAAAGTCGATGAAGTGAAACATTTCTTGTTTTCATTAAATATGATTCCAAAAAAAACACCGAAAACCAATATTGTATTGCCACAACTATTTGTGGTTTGTGGCAAGCAAATCAAAATAGAAATTTTTATTTAGTTGAGAAAAATACGTCACCAGACTATCTTTCCATGACAGTTCTTATTTCAGAGAATGAGTTAAATTTGGCTCTCAAGTATATTTTCGTTTTTAATTCATGATTCACATTTCGAAATTGACAAAAAATATATATATCGTTCTAATGTGAATAGTATGTGTGAATGCTGGCGAAGAAAAAGAAAAGTTACTAAAATTCTATAAATATTACATATTGTATATTATATATATATATTTCGTCATTCGTTTTGTGAAATACATTAATAACATTTCATTATTTTTCGTTTTTCTTGAAAACGTGTGAAGTAATTATTTAAAGACACACACCGATTGTATGGTGCACTTTATCTATGCTTTGCGTGCGCTCGACTAATGACAAACATATTAAACGCGAACTGCCCAATTTTATTTGATCTTTAATTTTTGATTAGTTTTTACGTGATACCTCGATATTTGTTCGGAGAAATAATCAATGAAAATTCAATATCAACTGTCTGTCATTTGCGACGACATTCAATTTTGTTTGTCGGTAGTTTAATCCATTTAGTAAATGTATATTTTTCCATTAGTTTCAGATAGTGTGGATAAACTTAAAAAGCAAGTGTCATGGGTTCGATGTTTCGGAGTGAGGAAATGGCGCTCTGCCAGCTGTTTATACAGCCAGAAGCAGCATATACGTCGGTGTCTGAATTGGGAGAATCGGGTACCGTACAGTTCCGTGATGTAAGCATATGAAATTTATAGATTCAACACAAAAAAATGAGCGATTATTTTTATAAAACGAATGTTGTGATTTGATCTTTAGTTAAACCCCGATGTCAATTCATTTCAACGTAAATTCGTGAACGAAGTGCGCCGTTGTGACGAAATGGAGCGAAAATTGCGATATATAGAAGCCGAAGTTCGCAAAGATGGTGTTAATATTCCAGATTTGGATGAATTGCCACGTGCACCCAACCCAAGAGACATAATAAATTTGGAGGCACGTTTCGAAAAAACGGAAAATGAAATCTTGGAATTTTCGCAGAATGCGGTCAATTTAAAATCAAACTTTTTGGAATTGACTGAATTGAAGCAAGTGTTGGAGAAAACACAAAGTTTTTTTGCTGAACAAGAGGGCGCTTTGAATTTGGATTCGTTACGCAAAACTTTGGTTCCCGAAGAAACGCAACAGGTTCAAGGTTCCAGAGGGCGTCTTGGTTTTGTGGCGGGAGTGATTCAACGTGAACGTGTCGCTGGATTCGAACGTATGCTCTGGCGTATTTCTCGTGGTAATGTGTTTTTGAGACAAGCTGAAATCGGTACCACTCTTGAAGGTAAACTATTCTCTTGCAAACGGTCATCTTATCAGCATCGATTATTTTATTCGATTTCTTACATTTTCACAACTTAAGATCCAACAACCGGAAATCCACTGTATAAGACCGCATTCGTTGCATTCTTCCAGGGCGAACAATTGAAATCGCGCATTAAAAAAGTATGTGCAGGTTATCACGCATCTTTGTATCCATGTCCCTCTGCACCGGAAGAACGTGAAGATATGTTGAAAGGAGTGCAAACCCGTTTGGAAGACTTGAAAATGGTGTTGAATCAAACGTTTGATCATCGACAACGTGTTCTTTTGAGTGTGGCCAAAGAGCTCCCATCATGGATCATCATGGTATGAGTGAATCTCATTTGAAAAATTAAAAATTAATCAATATGAGCAAATAAAAGATTGATCAATGTTTGTTTTTCGTAGGTGCATAAAATGAAGGCCATTTATCACACATTGAATTTATTCAACATGGATGTTACGAAGAAGTGTTTGATTGGCGAATGCTGGGTACCAGTAAACGATTTACCAGTTGTGCGCAAAGCCCTAACCGATGGTTCGAATGCGGTCGGAAGTACAATTCAATCATTTTTGAATTTAATCCCAACCAATGAGAATCCACCAACTTTTAACCGCACCAACAAGTTTACACGTGGTTTCCAAAATTTGATCGATGCATATGGAGTTGCATCGTACCGTGAAGTGAATCCAGCACTTTACACAATCATTATATTTCCATTCTTGTTCGGTAAGATTTTTCTTCTTATTTTATATGAATTCCATCTAATTCAATGAAATTTGCTGCCTATAGGAATTATGTTCGGCGATTTGGGTCATGGAATAATTATGATGCTTTTTGGTGCTTGGATGGTTATCTGGGAAAAATCTTTGTCCGCAAAAAAGACCAACAACGAAATTTGGAATATTTTCTTCTCCGGTCGCTACATCATTTTGTTGATGGGTCTGTTTTCGATGTACACCGGTTCTATTTATAACGATGTATTCTCCAAATCGGCGAATATATTCAATTCGGCATGGTTGAATAAATACAGTCCGGAAGAGATTATGACATCCAAAGACATCCAATTAAATCCAACAAAAGACACAGGGAATGATCCCTATCCTTTCGGTATTGATCCGGTCTGGCAACTTGCCAGTAATAAAATTATCTTCTTGAATTCATTCAAAATGAAATTATCCATCATTTTTGGTGTGATTCATATGATCTTCGGTGTCTGCATGAGCGTAGTGAATATGGTTCATTTCCGAAACAAGATGAGCATTTTGTTGGAATTCTTGCCACAAATTTTATTCTTGGTTTTGCTTTTTGCATACATGGTGTTCCTCATGTTCTTGAAATGGTAAATCAATCATTTTGTATGTGTTGTATTTGTTCATTCAATTATTTACCATTTCAGGGTTTTGTTTAAATCAAATGTCGATACTCCACAAATCTATACGCCAGGATGTGCTCCCTCAATTTTGAATATGTTCATCAACATGATGTTGTTCAAAGATTCGACGCCTTTGCCCGGCTGCAATGAATTCATGTTCGAAGGTAATAAAGAAAATACTGTCTTCGTTGTGGTTGTTAATACACTGTTTTAATTTTATTCCAGGTCAAGCAACCGTTCAAACTGTCTTTATTTCGGTTGCATTGATTTGCATCCCATGGATGTTGCTAGGCAAACCATTGTACATCATGTGCTCGAAAAAAACCAATCACGAAGTATGAGATATTTTACCGTTTTTATTTTTCAAACATAACAATTAATAACGGATTTTTCCAATAAAAAGGCCAAAGTAAATGGAAATGTCACTCAAGATATCGAAATGTCAGAATCACAGGCAGTTGTTGACAATGAGCACCATGACACCGCTGGTGGTGGACACGACGAAGATCATTCGTTGAGCGAGGTTTTCATTCATCAATCCATTCACACAATTGAATACGTTTTGAGTACCATTTCGCACACGGCATCTTATCTTCGTTTGTGGGCCTTGTCTCTGGCTCATGCTCAACTCTCAGAAGTATTATGGAACATGGTTTTGTCAAAAGGATTGCAAAGCGATAATGTTAGCGGATCCATCATTTTGTATTTCATTTTTGCTGTTTGGGCCGGTTTGTATTTCATTAATACTTATTGATTTTCGGTTTTGAAAAAGCTTATCATTTTGTTTATTTAATAGCCTGTACACTAGCCATTTTGGTCATGATGGAAGGTCTTTCTGCCTTCTTGCATACACTTCGTCTGCATTGGTAATTATCGATTTCATTATTAATGCGTTCGTTCAACCATTTGAACTTCAGTTTTATTCAACATACAAATTTTCTTTGAACTTATTCACAGGGTCGAATTCATGAGCAAATTCTACCAAGGTGTCGGATATGCATTCCAGCCATTCAGCTTCACCGCTATTTTGGAAAGCGAAGAGATGAGCGAATAAAATATCACAAACATAATGCTAATGAATATTTTTTGTTCACATAATCAAATTATATCATAGTCCAAGTATTAATCTGTATTTAAAATTGTGCAGATAGTAGACAATGTTAACTTTGACTTCAATATTGTAAAATAAATTTACAAATGTGTTCGTTTAAAGATGCAAAAATTGTGTTTCAATTTTTTTTATATTTCAATTATTCGATATTCAATAATTCTTTATAAGTATGCTTTAATATTTGAATTGAGTAAAAGGTAAGTATATTTCAAGTCATGTGAAAGAGAGAAAAGATCTATGTCGTCCCCAAAATTGCGAGGAAACCATTTGATACAAAAAATTTCATATTTAAACCATTTGATATTAGACATTTATCTCTTATCTATGATGCAGCAATCGTGAACAATTGCAAATCTAGAACAAGCTCTTCTTCAGAATTAAAAAAAAGTTCTACCATACGTTTTATTTTACTAGCCTCGGAATCTATGCAAATGGTTCCACCAAAGGATTAAGGAAAATAAAACAACAATTATTATACTATTTCCTATCTTTATTTTAATTGATTTTTCGGCTGACAATTTTTGCAATGGAAGTTTACATTTATTTCGATTTTCAATTTATCAACAGTGCATTACTATGCACGGTGCAATTCAAAAGACATAAATCTTGATTTGTAGCTTAAAATTTGCAAATGTTTATACACCTAAAGTAGCACGTCAAGGCATCAAATTTGTAAAGACGACATTGAAACCGTTGCAATTAACAAATAATTTGGCAGGATTAGTCAATGTTTATTTCTACCAATTATCAAACATTTTTCCAAAAAGGAGATTTTCACAAAATTATGAAATATTCGTTATAAAGTTTTAATCTACAAACGAGAACGTTAATTTGACAACCAAAATTAAGTATTTAAGGCTTTAGTTTATTCAAATCTGTTGGCCGTGCAATAGCATTTATGTTCGTTTATTTAATTAACCTTCAATATATAGAAAAATGATTATAAAGCGCACGGTTCACAAACAATTCAGTTACATAGTTAACATTTATGTTGGATCTGCGTTGTTAAATATTTGATTTTTAGTCTTGACACATTAAACACTTAATGCTAAATACAAATTATAATGTCAGTAAAGAAATAATACCGTAAAATATGGCAAAATTATACAAAATAAATGATTGTACGACATGCACGTACACGTTATTTAGTAAAATTCGATATATCTATAAAATAATTAAGAAAATTATTAGGCCCTTGATCAAGAAGAGACGGTTGATCGGGCGATTTTGACTCAAATGACAAAAATTACTTCTTGTAAACTATTACCCTTTCACAAAGCAAAACAAAAATAGATTTTGTTTTATTCAAGTCGAATTAGTTTTTTTTTAATTAATAATAATTTCTTCGAAACATGTAGAGATCGTATTGACTGATGTTAATAAGGCAGTATGAAATTTTTATGGGCTTTATGATTGTGCGTTTAATTATTCACCCGTACAATTTCTAAGGCACAAAATCATCAGATCTCACGATCGAAGAAAGTCGACAAAAAAAAATATTAATTTTTTGTGTTTATTTTTTGTTTCATTAAATACAATGCACTTTTGTTCAAAATCGATCTTTGGTTAATATGACGTTCTTTTATCTTGTATAAATATTACTTTCTCTTTCACACATCGGTGTATATAAATTTTTTTGAATTCGATCGCTTACTTATTATTAGTCGGGTTAAAATTGTATTCGAGTACTTGACGATGATCTCATCTCGGTAATAATGATGATTTATCTTAAAATTAATCATCATGCTTAAGAAACAAACAAAATATATGCGCGAAACCATTTCATATTTGAATATTCAAAAAAGTATATCTTGGCTATGTGGTACACACTCTAACGACCACCATTGTATGTTGGATTTTTGAAAGTGGATGTGGCTTGCTTGTAAATTGGATTTTCACCCTGAAAATATACAAAAAAGCATAAATCGATTATTAATTTGAATACATACAAGGTTTTTTAAAGATTCAAAATTCTTACCGTATCCCATTTGGCTGATCGTCTCTCCTTTTCGAATTTGGCAAATTCACGTCGATCATGAATGGTCGTCAGAATCTTCCACAGGAATAAGAATGCCAAGCCAATGAGCACACTACGTTCAAGAAAAGCAAATCAGTTGAATAATTCCGAAATGGATTTATCAAAAAATAAAAAAAAGAACTTACATTGATGCAATCACACCCATTACAATGCCAAGAATGAAAATTTCCGTTGGACATTCAAGTTTTTCTTTAGCCGAAACTTTAATGTCATCGAGATTGCTGTCATTGTAGACAAACTCAAAGCGACAATCATTTTCATCGTAGAACATACACGAATGGTCACCGTCTTCTTCATTTACTTTGAGTGTTTCAACGCCCTTTGGTACAAATTGTGTACAATTTTTGGCGCAGAGATCGGGATTATCGCCCATTGGACCAGTTTTATACATTTGGCATTGCACACATTCTTTAAATTCATGACATCGGCCCGAGCATGTTGGACATTTTTCACAGAATTTTCCCGAGTACCGTCCTTCGCTTGTCTCTTGACATTTACATGCACCGCAAACGCAGTCACCATGGCCCGAACAAATCTCACCGCCATTTGGTGGCATACATGTATCATTTGATGCACGACATGTACAATCTTCTCCGGTCCAACCTGGTTTACAGTTACAGTGTCCACACTCACAAATACCATGTTCGGGTCCACCACACAACAAACCTTGATCACGTTCGCACGAGAAATTATCACATTCGCAATATTTGCCGGAGATGACTTCTTCTGGATTATTTCGCTTATCGCACTCACAAACACCGCATACACATTGCCCTTTGCCATGACAATCTGTCATTGTTGTATTATCTGGTCGGCAGCCACGATCCCGTTCTGATTCACTGTGTACATCGGTACTAGAAGAAAAAAATCAAGTCAGTAATGAACAAATCGAAAAAAGTCAATATAAACTTACATCGAACATTCACAGTTTCTTCCGAAATGGATATTGTCACATTCACAAATTCCGCATTTGTATGTACCGTGTCCTTTACATTTTGGCGAATTTGCTTCATATGTTGGATTCAATTTGTTTTCGCATGGACAACTGCATAGCATTTCCAAATCAACCGTTAAACTTTCATTGATTCCGACTGGATAAATTTGGAATGTTTGGAGCCAATCTTTTGGATTTTGTGGACATTCAGTAACAACAATTTCGGCTTGGAAGCTAACCACATCACCAACTCTTAAACCGTCGCATTTTGATGTTTGAGTCAAAGCACCACCATCCAAACACGATGAATAGTATGTTACCTTAATCGCACTTGAAGCTGTGTCTTTCATTTCAACCGAAGATGAAATTTTCTATAAATTATAAAAAGAGATATTTGTTAAATTAACTAGAATGAACAACGGAGAAAAAGAACTACATACACTATATTGTTCTTTCACCAATTCAACAACATTCGATGAATCTTCAGACAAAGTGGCACTGGTCGAGCCTTCAATGTGTTTCGATAACTTTTCATAAACGCCAGTTTGCTGAGCCGTCACAGCAAAGATAACATTGATTGAGTTTTCTTTAACTTTCAAATTGATTTGTGAGATACTTGGATAGTCCAAAATTTGTGAATGTGTGTACTCGCCATTCGAACTCATATGACATTGTCCGTCATTTGGTGCAATAACACCGCCCAACTAAACGATGTGAAAACGATGTAATAAAAAATAAAATAATGACGGTCATTAATCGAAGTCAAAGAGTAAACAAACCTTTCCATCGCCTGCATAATGGAAGCCTGCATCAGTTGAGAACACTAACAAGCGTCGTGCTTGGTCGCGCCAACCGATATGATTGCGACACACAACAGCCTGCATAATGGCATCAAAACCACCTAGATAACGATACAAATTGATAATTGGATTCATTTTCTTTTGATATTTCAATCAATTTTACCTTCGGGAGCATCAAGATTTCCACTGACCGCAGCTCTTTCGACGTTTGTCTGTAAATTTTATTTGAAAAGTGTTATTCAACCATTCATGAGACCTGATTTCCGTTCAATATAGAAAAGAAAACCATAAAACACCATAGATAGTTTCCCATTAAGCAATATTGTTTCATATCAAAAGTACAACAACAAACATATTTTTATAGCTCCATTTCAATCAGTGAGATTTTTTTTTAGTCAATTAAAAGACTTATTTAAAATGAATTGACTTCAATTTATTTTGATTTTCAGTGAAATAGAATATTGTTGTATTTTTGATGTTAGCATTCAAACATCACCATTAACCATAAAGTCATGCAATCAAATAGTCCAACAAAAAAAACTCCAATGCCAAAGCTACATTCATTAGTGGGAAAATCAAAGCTAATGTTAATGGTTCCAAGCTAAGTCTACTAGCCATATTTACAAAGACACAGCATTAAGATGTGCATATATGTTGCGGACGTTTTGCGGTTAATTGTTTAGCTAAGGCTGATACTTTTATGTTCGTCAAGCCAATTCATCAAGCCGATGTTGATAAAGTTAATCAAACGATAAAATTACGTGAAATTAGACGTTGTATCCTCGTAAAATGGGATTTATATCGATTATTATTAGGAATTAGGTCATTCGCTGATTTTCATTCGATTTTTTCTTGTCATCAAATGTTTGTGAATTACGGTAATTGGCTGGGAAATTCATGCCATTCAAACAATTTAGTGGGCAAAGCTGAAGATTATGAAACGTTATGGGTCAGTTTTTTTATGTTGTTTTTGTTTTTAATTTGGAAATGGTTGTAAGTGGTTCGGTATTTTTTTTTAATTTCGGTCTATCTTCTAGTGGAACTTACTGTAAAGCTACGAGTGTCCGTACTTAATGCCATTGCATTCCTAAAACCATAAGGTTTGGCACAAAAAGCACAAGGCTCTTCCAAGCTATTTTACATACATATAAAATAATCGTTAGTTCAAAAATAAGGACATTTTCCAAAAATCTTATTGATTATTATTATTATTTGTAATTTTGACGTCAGACTGTGCGTATCTCAACAGTTTCAATCGCCTCATTTTTTTCCCTTTTAATCTCATTTTTGACGATACAATATTTTATATTGGATCATTCAATCAACCGATTTTATATGAATGAATTGTTTACTTTTGAGCATTGGCTACTGCATGCCATATCAAAATGAATCTTTTTTTAAATTCGATAAGAATAAAATAAGTACGAACTTTAATACAGTCTTAAAATGCTAAACGCAATTGAATCACAACATCTATATACTATATAGTACTTATAAAATAGAGCCCAAACATGTAAATACAATAAAATATGTAGAAGTCTATAGTAGAAAATACAAACAAACTAATAGTACATCGAGACAACATTCACATGCTAGATAGTAAAAAAGAAATATTTATATTTTCCCCATAATAACTGATAAAAGACAAGTGGACAGGTATGGAATGAAAGAAACGGAAAGAAAAAGACAACAAATGTATTTCCTGTGCATGTCGAAGTCACAGGGATAGTTTTATTCTGAAGCGAGCAATAAAACGGAATATGAATCGTTTGAGAAATAGAAAGAAATGACAATCGATTGTGTTTGTTTCGGTTGCGTGCAGTGTCGATTGAACGTAAAGCATTCACTTGACATTTTGAATAGAACAAAAACGATTATTTTAAAAATGCGAGTCACATATAGTCCATTGAAACCAAAATGAATATGTTCGATGAATATGCATATTATGTGGATCTCTTTAAATGGATTTCCGACATAGTGTAGTCAAAATGTATCAGATGTTCCTTTTTCCATATGAAATCATGATTGTAAATAACATTCCAAGGTGTGTGTGTGTGATATATAAATTAGGATGACCACAGTGAAATAAACCCACGACAAAAAAATGCTACAGATTCGAAACAGTACCATAAGCTAACCTGTTCATTGAAATATAAAGTGCATCGTGCCATATCTAATGAAAACGAAATTCTTATGACTTTTCCGTTAAATTATGATGATGATGACATTTCAATTTTTCATATTTCATTTTTTTTTCGCAAGCAATAAGAAATCTCATTTTAATTTATCATGCAACCGATTTTTTGAGGAAATGATTTGGAATATTTGAAGAACTTGATCAAAAAAATATGATTTTCCTTTTAATTGACAAAAAATCAGTTGAAACGTGAATATAGTGCTGAATTTATTTGTCTTTTTTTCCATAATAATTTAACCAAATGCTTTTTGATAAAATGAGACGAAATTTCAGCACTCGCAGAAAAAAAGCGGATATTTTGAATCCAGAAATCGGTTTTAATCACAGCGGAATGATTTCTGGGTTTTAGTTAACCGGAAAACCAGATAAGACTTAAATTTGAGATTTAAATTGTTTTCGTCTTTTCTACTCTCGGTATAATGCACAAAAATATTTGAATTTTTTTTCCCGTCTTTTCTGAGAGATTATGCCGAGTTGGAGTTTCATATAAACATGCCCAGTAACAGCAAAAAAAGAGTCGAAAAGGCGAAAAAATTTATTCAATATTTTTGCATTGTACCGAGTCTTGTACTTTAAAATATCCGCTTTCTTTTTGTGAGCAGTTAACATTATCAGTATGGGAAAAAATAAACTCAGCCATATAATTCTGGGCCAAAACATTGGTAAACGATAAAAAATAAAATGAATAACCCTCTGAACCGCAGACATAAACCACATAAATATGCTAACTAACATCTAGCAACATTCAACTAAATGTATTTAATTATCGAAATATATTTTCATGGCGATTCTTACAGTAAACGTTTGTGTGTCTTCACTTAAAGACATATGATTCTTATAACCATACGGTGCCTCACATTTATCACAAGGATGTTCCAACCTGTTTATATTTGAAAATTTTTATCAGAATAAAAAAAGTCATCTTATCAAAAAAAAAAAAAAATCTTATTCGGTTGCATTGAGATGTCAATGACATGATTGAAACATCTTATTCGGTCCTGCAGGTATCCTATCTTAAATTTTCCCTGCTAAATAATTATTTTGATCCGAAAAATTCGTATTTGTAATATGTCTTATAAATGAAATCGTGAGTTTATTTTCGTAAACAGAGAAGATAACAACGAAAATGAAACTTACTTCTTTGGAACAGTTGAAACGTATGGCATCAGCACTTTGTCAACGAATGAACCAAAACCCAAACGGAAGTTTGATGTAATATTTTGCATAGTTTCTGATAATTTGGCGCCCAATGCTGACAATTTAACCTTATCGTCCTCCATGGATTTTGACAAGTCCATAAGATAGTACAGATCAACGGGATAATCTTCAGCTTGTGAATACTGAATGTTTAGTCGATGTTCTTGATCTGTAAATTCGCCATCAAAAATGATTAATCCATAAATTGGTGGTTCACCTTCAAATTTATTGAATTTATATAAATGGCGTTGCACATACTTATACGAAGTTTAAGTTGAACTCTTTGTGGATAGATTTGCACAATATTTCCACTTTCGGAGTAACTGCCATAGTTGACCTTTTTCCCACTTTTTCGGCTTGATTGATCAATAGCTTCTTGTCGTTGTGTATCCCAACTTTCTTCGGTATATTCGTTTTTACTATAGCTTTCCTCGCGATTAGCTGACCAATATTCGCCAGCAGCCGCCGATTGACCGGATGAACCTCTTGAAGCGGTAGCACTGCCGCCACGTGACAATTCTTTTTTAACAACCAATGTCTCTTCATTATCCGGATTAAAAATATATTCCTCTGGACAGCCACCGCTTAAAGGTGTAAGGCTGGGTTGGAAGCATCGTGGTTTATCACCAATATCTGGTTGTAGGCACCAGGCACAACTCTTTGCTTGCATACATTCATGACACGTTTGTTTACTTACGCACGGATTCTGTATAAGTTTCTCTGCAAATTGACTTTGCACAAAATTTGCGGATACAACAACTAATAAGAGCACTGCACACGAGTACAGACTCCGCCTCGATATTGCTTCGATTGCCATATTCATCCGGTTTTTTTGACACTCACAATTTAAATGCACTCTGTAAAAAAGAAATAAAATTCAAACGAATGTAACAAATCGAATGGTTTTTTTTATCGCTTTTTGCTCGTAGATGTTGTAATAATAGGTCTTGTATATCATTTGATTCATAAAATCGCCCACATATTTTGAATTTCATTTAAAATAGACGGTCAAAATGGAAGGCAGTTTGTGTGGTGACGATGTAGTGCTTATGTTTTTCACTATTTCTGTCGCTCCCCCTTGAAATTTTTGTGAAGAATTGGACGCTTGACACTTTCCATCAACATTTTTGAAAACAACATTTGAAAAAAAAAAAAAAAATATTTGTAAAAAATTGGAACAGCTAAAAATAAGGTGCAAACCTGTTGAGATTGGTTACTCATTCTACAAACTTAGCCATGAAGCGAACGAAATTTATACCTCAAAACTGACGCTTTACTTTCGCTAGTAAATTTCATGGTTTTGATTTCAAGATCATTAATTCGATGCACTTTAAAAACATAAAACCAAAAAAATGATGCACAAAAAAGCCGTCAATTTAAGACAATCACGGCATCATGATTGAAGCATATAGAATACATTTTAAGCGAAAGCATAAAAATTATGTGGGTTGAAAGTGGTTTGGATGAGATTGTGCTCGCATGCTTAGTCTGAACACAGTCGATTTCTCTACAGAGAGACTCAAAATTCATACATTCATACCGATTCAAATAAGTTTGTTTATTCAAAGTACAGTGAATGGAATAAAGTTGCATGTGCGGTGCAATGTGTTAGAAATCAAGTAACACCTCACTGCAACGAAGCCGAAAAAATACCATAAGCCATACAATGCGAGAGCGTGTCTCGTTTTTAGTTCAGAAACATCGAACATATGTGGCATTTTCGCATATATTCTCTATGATATCATTGATTTGTGTTCGACTAGCATTGTCCAATGAAACGGCTTAGTGATGAATATTCAATTAATCAGTCGCTCGAAAAGACGATATTCATTTTTTTCTGATTTAATCATACTATGATTCCATTGAGAAAAAGAAAAAAACGAAACGATGGCGCACCAATCCCGTTTCTCTATTTACAAATTCATTTATCAGCTATATATAGTACTATGTATATGTATTCAAGACTTTGTTTATTGATGCGTGTGTTGTAGAGTATAAGCGATGGTGGTGTCAGTATTAACGAAGGAAAATGATTCATATTACACCGAAGACTGTTCTCTATAGATGTGTAGATTCCGTTGAGTAAGTCGGACGAGCAGGCTTACTTCATTTTTCATAGTGTTTATGTTTGGCTTGTGTTTTTCTATTTATTTTGGTTTATTTTTCATGCGCGCTCTCGATTCATATACACCCATTCACACACAGAACAATACACTCGCACCTAGTTTCATTCGATAAAATTCGCTGAATGTTCACTTAATGTTTCAAATGAAACGGCGATGACACACGCATTTAGCACACGGCATACAACATCATTTTCTACATAGCAAAAGAAGAATCAAGTCAATTCTACATCATTTATTTCGTGTAGAGATCATTGTGCGTTTGTGCTTCTGCTTATGTCGTTGCTGTTATCACCAATAACTAACTATATGTGCTGTTATTTTAGGAACGTAAATGGGAGTTAGTTTTCTTTGTTTTTCCGTAGCTCATTTTCTTTCACGTTCTTTCAATGTACATATATCAATAACACATCCCGCACATACACACACACACACACACACATCGCATAATTGCACTGTCAATTGACTTGAGTACCCGTATGTGTATTTAAATGCTTTAATTTATGCTTGTTCGTATTCGGTGTACAAAGAAATTTGCACTAACGCATATGTACAAGCGAAAATTTTACGATAATTACATCAAAAGTAGCCGTCTTTCTGATTTTCTCTAATTAGAGGAGAATTTCTTAAATCCCTCCATGGAATGTGTTGCCGTCACTCAACAAACGCGCTTCACTTTTTTTGCTTCAAAAAAATACTTGCTGACGATATTTTTCTTTCAATTTACAAAACACACAATATATTTCAACACCAATTGCAATTTTTTAAATGTCTTACTAATACTTGACGAATATTATTACAACTCTTCCTGTTTTCTTTAAATAAACAAATTTTTTTTTTCTTGTTTTGAATCAAACAACACCGTTCAAGAAATTACCTTCAGCAGACGGAAATTTCAATTGAAATACACACGATCGTATTTTTTCCTTCGATAAATTTATCGAATTTGTCGAAAATATGAACCAAAAAATGGTGGAAAAAAATCCGTAATTATTGTCGCCCACTATTCATATTTCTTACTTCACTCGTATGGTGATTTATACACTCACTTGGACTTGAATGCTTGCACTCGAACAGCTTTACTACGATGACTAAATATAAATGTCTTATGGCGATGAATGTTATTATGTCAGACTTCGAACATGTCTCGTCGGTTTTGGTGTTTCAGTATGTTGTGTGTTGAAAATTTGAGTGTAGTTGTGCGTGTATGTATCTCACACACATGTGCATTCAATAGAAGCAGTTTTGACAGATATCGAAATAAACTATGAAATCATTCAGTATGCACCATTCACAATAATGGATATGTCCAAGTGTCAATTTGGAGTCAAACAAATGAATCATCTCATGTTTTTGGAATTCGTCTCATCAAATCGTCAAGAGATAACATTAACATGACTTATACAACCCGTTTTTTTTAAATGTATTTCGAAATTTGACCAACTATGAAAAAAAAAACAATTTTTCAACGCTCTCGATTCTTATTGGGTACACAATTACATATTTTGTTTTAGATTGAATAAATGAATTCAATCTCTTTTTAGCTTGCTTTTTAGGTATAGAGTAAACAAATATTTGGAAATATACAGTTAAAAGAACGTCATTTAGAGATAAGTCCCTTGATTTCTTAATCATACATTGAAGATGTTTAAAGTTCCATTGAAATTTTTTCTGTCCCATCTACAAAATGTAGGAGAAATATATGATAAATTTAATTTATTGTTGTACGATTAACAATAAATGTACAGCCTTTTCAGAAGAAATTGTAATAAATTTAACAAGTAATTTTACATCTATTTCAGAGTTTAAATGCAATTTTTTATTTATCTAACGGCTTTCATAGAAATTTAAGTGCATTTCAAACCAAATCATTTATGATCTATTCACAGTAGAAATTTCAATGTGTCAGTAAGTGATATATTCAGTCAGTAAGATATATTTTATCTGAAAACCCGATTCAAATATTTGTTAAATAAACGAGAACAATATAAAGCCTTCATTCGAAACTGAGAAAATTATTTAAACACAAAATTACCAGTTTCACTTATTGCAAAGGAAGCATACTGTTTGTTTAAAATGATCAACATTGTTTGATTGTAAAAAATGCATGCCATCTCATTCTTTAGCATTCACATGACACTGTGTGTCTGGTTTCGTTTGCTTGCTTGCGGTGAATTTATCGAGCATCAGTTGCAACGGTCGAACATTCGTTTTGTACACTAATGTGTATCCATCTGCATGGAATGAGTTGTCAAAGTGTATTTGTATGCGGAGTCTACACATTTTTTTATTACTCAAATGCGGTTTGTTGGATACAGAACATCGGCATTTACACCGAGAATCCAAAAATCAATTTTTAATTGATTTTATTTTTTAAATTCAGTGAATTCTGTTTGTTGTGATTCTTTAATCTTTTATTAACAGTTGTTGTAACATTTTTGATACGTTTTTTATTCTCACTTTTTTGTTGAACGTTTTTAGTGTGTCAGAAATAGATACACAACATCGACATTGTTAAGCCGCTAAGGAAAAATTGTTGTTGTTGTTATTGTTGCAGATTTGTCTTCATTGACTTATTTGGCTTAGTGCATTCATAGAAAGAATTAAAGTGCATCGAAAACGATCAAAAGCGAATTAAACACAATTCACATCAAATCGATCCATATTTTAAGGTAAAATATTCTATACTATCAAAATTAACAATAAGATTTAGATATTTTTTGCTTGCCACAACTTAATTTGTTATAAAGAACATTCTTGCCGCTATCAGTGCATTGATTTACATCTAAAGATACAGAATACATGTAAAACAATTTGATCATTTCATTTCACTTGTCTCTTCACTTCAAAGTTTTTTTTTTATTTTAATAATATTTTGTTGTGATGAGGTTTTTTCCACTTACTTGAAATGTCGGTACGAAACGATTTGTGTGTGCATGTATGTGAGTAGCACACACACACATACACATACCGCACAGCCAATTATATACACATATTCATGGCACTGTGCACACGTATAGCTAATAGAAAACGGCTAATACAACTGTATTAAAATGTATGACAAATATTCACGGAGACCGACTGAATCGAAACCGAAGAGTTGTTATCGCTATTCGTTTCTCATGCAAAGTTAGTTATAGAGTTTCGGTTGGTTGTTATACGTGTTTTTGTATATCGTTTGAGAAACAAAAATCACGGATTTATTCCATTAAGTGCTATTTAGTTTATAACATTCGATCGAAACAACAGGTATTTCGTTACGTTTTTTTTTTTATATGTGAAAAAGTTATTTTTTTTTGTTTTGTGTTTTAATTATGCTAACGATTAAATTTATTGTGACGACGATATTATAATTGTGTGTTTTAAATTTCTTGTGCCAACGAAACCTTCTTCAGCAAAAAAATATTCGAATACATTGAAAGATGAACCTCGCCTTTCTTAGCATTTTTAATGTGCGCGCTTTCGTCATCAATGGACTTGCATTGCTTAGTTTGCCTAACTATGATCGCACCAGAATAAAATAATCATCATTACCCACTTTTTATGGCCAAAAATAATGAAAAATGGAACTGAAAGTGCCATATGGAGCACGTGATGATTTGAAATTGTTCAATTTTCTCTTACCTTGCGAATGGTGGAATGATCATCATTCTTTGATGATAGAAAAAAAACAGAGTGTGCCATTTCACCTCAAAAGATTCCGCTATGGACAAATTTGATCATAATTAAATTAAATTGGTGTATCCTCCCATGTTTTTTTCGGTCATTTTTTCCCCGTTTATCATTGAAAACAAATCTAGTAGCAGATCCTCTATCCATCCGTAACGAATAAAACAACAGCATCACCTAGTTCAGTTTGGTGTGTAGATGAGATTGTGTCAGTGTGGCGCACAGAGAAAAATCATTTGATTTGATTATTCACGTATTTATATATATATATATATGATGTTTTGAATAGCAATTAACGATGATCATGTGAGTGGCGGTGTGTAAGTACGTCTGTGTGGATTCATTTCATGAAATCGTACATCGAGCTCGCCACGAAACATTTCGTTTGTGTGCATTATGTTTTTTTTTTTTGTTATAAAAGCGAAATCTGCTGTCTTTTTCAATCGTATGGCTCAACGTGCACGTCTGCACAATACTCGTGTACAATTCACACAACCAACGAAAGGCGTATATCAACAGTATGAATCAGTTGCATCGACTCTGCGCTATTGTTTGTGCATTTCAATTCGAAACATAAAAAGAAACACACAAAAAATAATATTAATACAACAACATTTGACATAAGAAATGAGGTGGAAGTTTTTCTGTTTTATTTTAAGTTTATTATAATGATATTTTGTTTCATTTACTATGATCTGCTAATTTGGTCGAATGTGCAAACTTTAACGAACGTGTTACTGTTTCTTATTCATATGTGTGTTTAGTCAAACGCATATTTATTTGACCCACTATATTGTGAGTGCAGAGTGAAATTTTCAAGCTGTGAAAAAGTAATTATTAACGTCGTATGTTGAAGTGTGAGTGCTTTGAATTTTGCATACAAATCACTTTTTGTGCAAATTGTCGGTGGTTTCCGTCGATTACCATTTGTGCTGAAATTACTGAATTTATGATTTCTTCAATATGTGACGTTCAAATATTTTCAAAATATACATTCAACTGTTGAATTTCAACATACTCTGGCTTCTTATCTTTGATGTGTTTTTAAATCACACAACTTTTTTTTATCACAATATTCGAAAATTTCATAATACATTATTTCATATTACATGTATTCATAAAGACCTCTGATTTTAGAGCTCATATTTGTAGGAGAAATAAAGAAGATTTAAACAAAGAGTTGTGAACAGTAATCTAATTTTCAAGGCGTATCGCTCTTAGACTTTGACTGTTGGATAATCGGAACAATTGCAATATGTAAAATTGATATTGTCGATTCGCAAGAGGCATGAACTCTTTCTTTGAGCTTATTCAAATGTCGAACTGAATACTTGAATGAATTTGAACAATATCCGTTCATTGGTGTGACGACGTTCACACGTCCATGGGATTCAATTTCCAAGTTCAGCGACTGTTTTATGGTTGCTGAAACTGCAGTGTGATCATCGTAAAAGTACGACTATTTCCCAAGTAACTGAGTTTTCTTTAAGGCGTCATCATATTTTGTAGAAGATGTCAAACATGAGTTGGTATATTGCCACCTCATTACTTTGGACTGTGTTGTAATTTTGGACGCTATTATGAAGGTGCTTAATGTGCCCAACTGATTGGCTGCACGTTGAATATTTGCACAGCCTAATTATCTACTAACCTATAAATTGTCGTGTTGTCTGCTTTACACACACACACACACATACATACATAGCACATCTTGAAATGATCATTTGATTGATGTATGCAACACATTCATTTAAATACTTCAGTAATTAGTGTTCGATTGCATCTTAGTTGTGGCCGCACAAGAATCGCTGAATAAAATCCGTTATCCAGTCACGGATTGGAATCACTTAAAGAAAAGTATATACTTTTATCTATCGTGGATTCCGAATGCTACTGATTACAATGTGAACAGAGTTGTCAACACAAATAAAAACTTGTTCACTCTCTTTCACTTGTTGTGCCGTTTTTTTTTCTGTTTAAACGTGTTATGTGCTCAACGTTAGGCATGTATGCATAGAGATAGCCACTAGATAAGAGCTATGAAAAATTGTACCTGTAAGTTGATGATTACATACATCGTATTCATTCATGCTAACGGATGAAACTGTTCACTGGATTTAAACAGACGAATAAATGAACAATTTCTATGAAAAAAATCCATTTTCTACGATTTCAAGTGTCGTTCAGTTTAGTTTTGTAAAAATCTTACTGAATCTAAAATGATGATTGATCAGCAGAAAAAAAAATGAAATTCCCTTTGCATTATGACACATCAAAATTCATATATGTGCCGCATCAGTGCAGTAATAATTGTGTATATCACTCATTTGTGAGATGTAATTACCGTTTTTACGCCAGAAGGTAAAGAATGTTGCGGAAGCGAAGAAAATCACCACGAAGAAGAGAGTGCAATCATGTCAGAGAAAAAAAAGCAAGAGA